GCAATCGGTTCATCCTGGGCAGGAAGCGTTGCAGCGGTGTCTAGGGGAGCATCTGTAGGTACTGGAACGGGCTGTCTGGTGCTTTGTTCTTGAGGTTCTTCGTTGGGGAAAACACTTTCAGTGGGGTTGGTAAATTGCGAGGGTTGGTCCGCTGTGTTGGTATTGGGCGTCTCGGTGGTCGAGATCTCGCGTTCTGTTGAATCCGCAGGTAGAGGTACGTTGACCGGGTCAACGGCTGCCTGTTCAACCACTTGCTGCTCACCCGACTTCAGATCCATATTTGCAGGAAACGCGTCTTCTGTAGGTATCACAGTCTCTAAAGAGGCAGTTTCAGACACGACCTTCGCCTCCGCATCCTCTACAGGCAAGACTGCGGATTCGACCTCAGAAACAGATGTCTCCGGTACATCAACCGATTTTCCCTTTTTGCCCTTTTTCTTCTTGTCTTTCTTCGATACAGTGGGTGTGATACTCTTATCCTCGGGGGTCGGCGGTGGATGCACAGAAGCATGGTCCACGGACACTGGTTCAGTTGCGTTGTCAGTCTCGTGCCGTTCCACTTCAACCGGAAGAGTTGTGTTTTGCTCTTCGGTCACAGAGGGCTGAGCTTCTGTGATCTCTCCACCTTGGGTCTCAGGAGTTTGAGTCTCTCTGCTCTGCAGAGATGAGTCGATACCTTCCCTCTCTTCGACAGCTACGACAACGCAACCTCGCTCCGCAGGCAAAGCTTCGGCGTTTACGGCAGACTCGGTCACCCTCGGAGGCGCAGACTCAACGACATCCTTGGACTGTTCCTCCGGCACGACATCAGATTCAACAGCATCCGGGGCTTGCTCGGTCTCAGCAGGCTTTACGGCACTGAGAGAATCCTCAAGAGGAATGGAATTCGCTTGCTCCTCAATGGACGATGGCGCGTCTTCCATTGGAGTTTCAGTGCCTTTGCTCTTCCTCTTCATCTTCTTTTTGTCTTTCTTGGACAAGGGCGCGGCAGCAGGAGTCTCGACGACCGGAATTTCGACGGGTGCTTCGACAGCAGGAGTCTCGATAGTCGATCTCTCGCCACCAGTGATATCGGCAGTGGGTACTTCTGTAACCACTGTCGCATCTGCATCGAGCGGGTTCTCCTTCTCGAGCAGCGTCGACTCGTGGTCCAACGGTCTGCCTTCCAACCAAGCATCCGTCTCGACGTCAGCCTCAACAGGTGCAGACTCTGCGTTCTCAGACGTGACTTGCGCAACATTTTCTGGCGAAGCTCGCGTAGCGCCTTCACCCAAAACGCCATCCAATTCGTCGTCATGTGTATCAGGCAGAGGCACAGTGGTAGCATCAATGTCAACTCCACCAACCGCATCACCGCCCTCTCCGGACGGCTTGGTATCAGTCTTGACCTGCGGGTTGACTTGGCCGGCATGCACGTCCCCACCCGACCCATCGTCCAACCCTTCATCCTGCGTGTCAGGCAAAGGCACAGCCGCAGCATCAACAGCGTCAACACGCTCGCGTGACGTTTCATCCTCAGCTATCAGACCGACAGGTTCTGCTGCAGGAGTCTCAACTAGGGCGCTCTCTCGCTTCTTCTTCCCTTTTTTGCTCTTCTTGCTCTTGCTGGGCGCTACCTCTTCAACGAGCGCGGCGTCCACGGTAGACGCGGTCGCAGATCCACCCCGTGCTTCTAGACCTGGGGCATCGTGTACATCGATCACGGGATCGACGCCAGGTACATCGGACACGAGCTCGCGGACGCTGGGGACAATATCGATTTCGGTGGTTGAGTGTGAGGTTTGGTCGCTGGGGGGAGCGGGTGCGGAAGCTGTGGCTTCTGAGGCAGGGGCTTCCAAAGAATGCCCTTCGAGGATAGGTATGTCAGACCCTTCATTTCCACCCGTCTCAGCAGCGTGTGTTTCTGACACTGCAGTCTCGTGTGAGTCTACGGGCGGAGGAGCGAAGCTGGGGAAGCTGAACGCTGGGAGGCCACTGTCGCCAAAGTAAGAAGTCTGCGGTACCGCATACAGTGGCGTGTCCTCAGGCTGCAGTGCTTGCTCCTGCCGGTCATCAACAAGAGTCGGTTCTGGAAGCTGAGCGCTGGCTGTCTTGCTCTTCTTGCCCTTTTTTCCCTTCCTATTCTTGCCCGAGGACGCCTTTGGCGCGTCTTCATCGGCTGCTGGAAGCTGTGCCTCTTCGGCGGCGGGTGTGGACCCACTATCTGCCACCGAAAGTGCTTGTTCAGCAACAGCAGAAACGTGAGTGGGGGTCTTGTCAACATCAGCGGCCGCGACAGACTCAACAGCGGCATGCTCAGCGGGATCAGTGTGCAGAGATTCTGCCTCACTAGACCCTAAAGCCCTACTGTCATCCGTAGCGACCATGGTCTGCGGTGCATACGTCCTTAGGAGGCTCTTGTACGCATCTTCTTGCGCTTCTGGGGCGGTATCGAGCGTGCGTGGCAATGCAAGTGCCTCGCTGGCGTTCTCGTCCGCAACAACAGCAGACTCCTCGAGTGGCACATCAATGGTCCCTGGCTCCGAGATGGTCATAGGAAGTGAGCGGTCTTGTGAAGGACCTTCAGAGATAGTATCAGTCGTGCCAATCGCGATGGACGGAATGTGCGAGTCGGATTCTCCTGAATCTCCACTGACGACTCCCTTCACATCATGGCCTTCGACGACGGCGGATATGGGAGTTGAAACTGGGATTGAGGTCTCAGGTTGCGATACCGTCTCTGGCACCACCGGCGTCTGTACCGCCTCTGCTGGCGCTGTCGGTTCTGGCACTGCTTTCTCTTGCACTACCGTATCTGACACCGTCTCCTCGACCACTGCTGGTTTCTTCCTGCCCCAACCACCAATCGCACCCCACAGCCCAGAGCCCCACGACGAGCGCGCAGGTTCTGGAGTTGGTGGCGCTTTGGCGGATGCTGGTGCGGATGTTGAGGGGGCTGGGGACACAGGCGCTGGCGCTGGCGCTGACGTTTGCGTTGAAGAAGGAGATTTCTGGACCTCCTCTGGAGCCTCTGGGGTCACGGACGTCCACTCATCCACGGCCGACTCGTCCGACGGGGCCGTTGCGGGCGGAGAAGCAGGGGCTGTCACTAACACTGGCGTCGATGCCAGCGCCTCGTCAGACTGCTCAACATCTTCCTCGGACAGGCGGGGCTCTATGGTATTCGTCTCGGATTCGACCGCGCGGAGGGCTGGCTCCTCGATCGCTGGCAGTACAGAGTCCTTGGCCGCTGGCAAAACCGACTCGTCGACCGTTGACTGGTCGACCGCGGATGCAGAAACCGCCGGTTTCACAGACTCAGCGCTCCTGTCTACATCCTCTTCCCTGTCGTTCTTACCAACGCTCTTGGAAACCGACACGGGCTCGGGAATATCAAGCGCACTGCCATCCACGATCGAACGTCGCGCTTCTACGCGCTCGTCGCTCACAGACGGTTGAGTGGCGTGGAGCACCTTCTGTTGCACCTCCTGCGCGTCTTTACTCTCGAGGCTGCTGGGTTCGGGGCCTACACTTAGATCCACACCCGTTCCAGCACTCGGATCCGCACGGGAGTCTCGCCTCGACTCGCCAACAAGCGTGTCGTCATCCGTGGTGATAGCGTCGTCGTTATCCTTCGTCCATCGCTCTTCATTATCCGCGAGTCCAAGATCCCGCGGCGCGACCGTGTCCTCAACACTGCGTTGCACGTCGGATTCGGTCTGCTGGTCCTCATCCTCACGCGTGCCCTTCTTACCCTTCTTCCCCTTTTTGCTTCTCTTATTCTTGCCCTTCTTCTCTTCCCCACCTTCCGATCCCCGCAGTGCAGCACCTACAACGCCGCCCGCAAGCGCGCCGAGCGCAGCTCCTTGAAGTAAGGATGATCTCGCGGACGATCTAGTGGGTGAGCGGTCTACATTGCGGTCCGCGGGGCTATCGTCGGTGCTCATGCGCCTGCGCTCGTCGAAAAACGGACTCGCCGCCAGTGGGCTTGCGCGTCCGGGAGAAGAGACGGCATCGCGGTCATCAGCTCTCGCGTTCTCCAGCGCGGCGGTAAGAGCCGCGTGGCTGGGTCCTGTGGCGGGCACCGCGAAATCTGAGGCGCGGGGCGTGGCTTGGCCGCTGTCTGTAGCATCGAGATCCCTTTCTGCAGAATCGGCCGTCCCAGGGTAGGGAGCGGGCAGGATCAGGTTTGATATCGGGTCGAAGAATGGGTCCTCAGACGCCTCACTTACACTTCCATGGGGCGACTCATAGGCAGATTCGTAGGCGGCGGACTCGGGGGCAGATTCGTACTCGCCCTCCGTCTCTGTCTCATTCTCGTTCTCTGACTCCCGCGCCGAAGACGAGCGCGACGGGCTGCCGCTCGATGGGAGCGCGGGAAGATCCTCAGCACCCTCGAGGTCGTTAGACTTGCGGTTACGCTCAACGAGATACAGCGGTCTGAATTCGCGGGAGGTGGTGAACTCTTTCGACGGCGACTTGGCATGGCGACGGAACGGCGAGGACTGGGTCACTGGACTCGAAGGCTCGGGTTCCGCAAACTCGCGTTGCGGAACGGCGGGCGACACGGGCGGCTTGCGGAAGCGGATCGGCACGGCCGTTGAAGAGGATAATCGACGCTCGCTCGACGTGGGGCGCGCGTGGTCTGGCGAGCGGGTAGGTGAGCCGGGGGACACGGGCAGCGGGGGGAGTTCGTGCGGGAACGCTTCCAGCTGCCACGGCTGCAGGCCTGTCAGGCGCGTCAGCAGCGCGCGGCTGTCTTCAATGGACAGGTGCGGCGGCGTCCGTGGTCGATCAACTCCCAACCCTGCACCCTCAAGCGCCTCGGCCCGATTGCCAGGGGTGACCTTGTGCGCGTCTTGGGCAGCAGCCTCGTCGGGCAGTGGAGCCTCAACGTCGGGCAGAGTATCCGTGTCCTCGTCCCCGGCCACCGCCCTATCGTCTAAAAAAGCATGCTCGTCGGTGTATCGTCGATCGGTCTTGGCAGACGCAGCGGAGTGGCGCGACACGGAGCGATCCTGTTATCACAATATTAACATTCATTCTAATTACATGCGTAGAAGCGCTACCACCGCCGCCAGTCCCAGTCTCGACACAAGTCTTGACAAGTCTGCTCTTCAAGGCATTGTCCGAGACTGGTATTCTACTGCGCGGTGGCCTAACGCAGAGAAGTCCGCCGTACCTTTTCATTATCCCGATCCCTCTTCTCTCTGTCGTCGCGCTCAGAGCGACTGCTCCTCTTCTCGCGGTGGCTGCGGCTGCTAGTCGAGATGGTCGATTTTGTGTCGTCGTCGTCGGAGCCATATGCCGAGCCGCGGTCCGATCTATGCTTCCGTCTGCGATGCTTGCGGTCTTCATCGTCGTCGTCGCGGGACTTGGTCTTGGATTTGCTGGGCTCAGAGACGTTTTCTTTCGACTTGCTGCTGAAGAGGCTGAAGAGGCCGGGGCGCTTGGAAGAGGTGTCTTTCTCTTTCTCCTTTTCCTTCTCCTTTTCTTCCCGGCGTTTACTCTTCTCGTCGCGGCGCGAAGACGTCGATATCATGGAAGCGTTGTCATCTATGTCCTCTTCTCGCCGTGACTTCCTGCGTGATGCTTTGCGGTCCCCATCGTTGAGTTCAGGATCCGACGCCACAGACGAGCGCGATCGCACCTTGCTCTCTGTCGACCCATCTCTCTCGCTCTCTCGGCGCTTGTGCTTGCGCCTGCTGCCTTCAGACCGCGCCTCAGACACAGTCGACTTGGTGTCCGAGACGTACCCGCTCTCATCGGCCTCCCTGCGGCGATGCCGGCGCTTGCGGTCCCCGTCGTCGAGCGCATACCCGCGGTCGCGGCTGTGTTCGCGGCTCCCCGGCTGCGCATCCCGTGCCTCCCGACGAAGACGACGACGTTCTTCGCGGTCGGGGTCGTCGTCCACGTCCTTCCCGCGCGCGTTGCCGTCAGAGGCCTTCCCCCGCGCGGCAACGACGGTGCTCACATCGTCCTCGGCACGGCTGAACGCAGACACAAACGTGCTCGCGTCGTCTTGGTCGTACTGGCTGCGCGTATCGTACGCATTGTACGCCTCAATCAGATCACCGCGCGCGCGCTCCGCCTCGTCATCCGGCCGGCTCAACGCCGTCACGTACGTGCTGGTTTCGTCGTAATCGCTGCGCGGCCGCGGCTGGGGCTGATACGCGGTGTACGCGTCGCCGGCACCGGGCTGATATGCGTTGTACTTGTCGATGAGCTGCTCGCGCGCCTTGTCCGTTCGATCGCGCTCGCGCTCGCGCTCCTCCGAGCCCGCAGAGAAGAACTCGTCTGAGTCGCGCTCGGTGCTGGCCTTAAGCGGCGCGTCGTCCGGCGCGTAGTACCCCGAGTCCTGGATGCTGCGGGACTGCGGCGCCGCGCTGCGGATCTGCTCGGGCGACCCGTGCCGCGTGCGGCCGAGATAGTCTTCGTGCTTCATCTCGGAGCGCAGCGGCGAGCCGACGGTGGGCGACCACTTGCCGCTGCTGTGGCGTTTGTCGAGTTTGCGGCGGGGCGTTTTTTCGGGCTCCTCGACGCCTTCGAAGGCGTAGCTTGGGATCGTGATGGCGGTGTTGCCGTTCAGGGGGCGGGTGTCGCGCGGTGGCGATGCGGGCTCGCGGGGCGTGCTTGCGGCCTCGAGGGCCTGGCGGGCGTGCTCGCGCTCCGCGGCGATGCGGTCGCGGTCTTGTTGGGCCGAGGCGCCCATGAGCGCTGCGAAGCCGCCGGCGAGCATGGCGGTGGTGGCTTTGCTGCTGCTGCTGCTGCTGCGAGGGGGTGGAGGGGCTTCGCGCGACGGCGGATCGCGGGCTGAGGCGACGTGCTCAGACGGCGTGTCCCACTGCACGTTGACCGGGCGCTCATCGGGGACGTGTCGGGTTGGAGTGTCTTGCACGGCATCGTGTGCAGCCGGCGCGGTGCGCGAGTACGGGACCACCGTCGACACGGAGCCCGTCGACTGCGAATGCGCGTCGTCCCAGTTGGACGTCGACAATTCCGACGCACCGGGCGCCTGGACAGTCCTGGAGTATGGGACCACCGTCGACACCGACGCTGCGGACTGGGTATCATCGCCGCCGCCCCAGCTGGACCTCTCCGCCGGACCGTCCCGTGGCGGCACGGTGCGCGAGTACGGGATCACCGTCGACGCGGACGCCGCCGACTGCGCATCGTCGCCCCAGTTGTACGTCGACACTTCGGACGCGGGGAACGCGCCCCGGGCGCCCTGCTGTTCCTTCCCGACACCCTCATACCCATACTCATACCCATACCCGTCGGTCTCGAAATCCGGACTCGGCGGCCTGCTCTCGTCGCTCATTTCCCAGCTCTGCACGCTCATCATGCTCATGCGCTTGGCCTCCTTCTCGCGGCGCGCCTGGTCTTTCTTGCTCATGAGGCGCAGCGTGTCGGAGGGGGAGAGGGTCGCTGGATCATCGCGGGCGGGCAGGTCGCGCGGGGCTGTTTCGTCATCAGTGGGTTTGCTCTTGCGCTTACCTTTCTTGCTCTTCGCGGGCGCGGACCAGACGTCTTCTTCGGCGGGGGTCTCGACCGTCTTGGGTGCGGACTCGACGCTCTTCGACGGCTCGGCGAACTTGTGCAGTGACGGCGAGTCGATGAACTCGCCCGGCATGTGCAGCTCCGCCGTGTCCTTCGGCGCAGACGCACCCGCCTCGCTCTCGGTGATGTAGTCGAAGTACGGCGACATCGACGTCGACGGCGGGTTGTATGCATCCGCCCGCGTCTCGGTCTGCGGCGTCTTGTACGCATCCGCCCCTGTCTCCGCCTTCCGGTTTTTATCTACCTGCGACGTCTTATACGCCTCACCCATGGACGGAATCGACGACACGGCCGACGCCGCAATCGTCGACCGCGCCATCTTCGAGTCCGAGAACGGATTGCTCAGCGTCGACCGGTTGTCGCCGTGCTTGTACTCCCAGTCGCTGAGGCGATCGTCCTGGTCGTTCTGCGCGATGGCGGCGGCAGTCAGCGCGCCTGCTGCGCCTGCGGCCACGGCGGCCGCGGCCGCGGCTTTCTTGGCTTTCTTGTCTTTCTTGCTGGCCTTGCGCGAGGGGGCTGGGGTGCTGGGCTCGGCGGGGGGTGCGATGGCCGGCGTGGTGTGCGAGAGCGCGGAGGGTTTGTACGTAGTCGTCTTGGGGGCGTCGCGCTGCGCGACCTCATCGGGCGAACTGCGCTCCTGCTCCTTCAGCTCCTTGTCCGATATGAACTGCTCGCGGAACGACTCGGGCGTCGGCACGTCGAAGTGGTGGAACTGGTTCTCGCCCCAGCTGACGCGCGACGGCGCGTTCTTGGGCCGCGGCTCGTGCTCCTCCACGGGCTGGATGTTCGGCGACGGCGGCATCGACACGCTGCGCACCGACGGCGCGCGGCTGCCGGGCGGCGTCGGCTGGATCAGATTCAGCGTCGGCACGGGGTCGGGCGTGCGTGGACCACGGCCATCGCGCGTCGCGGTGAACGAGTACGAGGCCGGGTACGGCGGGCCGCGGGGCTGGCTGGCGCCGTAGTCATCAATAGATTCATAGACATGCAAATCAGGCGCTCCCTCATTCGGATCGAAGCGGCGCGTCTTGGGCAGAGTGTCGTCTTCCAGCAGGTCCTTGGGCGCGAAGAAGTCGGCCTGCGACACGGGCGCGGCGTTGTAGCGGTCCTCGAGGTCCTGGAACATGTCTTGCGTCGTCGCACGCGCGGGCTTCTTCTTGAACATGTCCGGGTCGAAGATGTCTTCGTCGGCGTAGTCCTGCGCGACTTTGCTGGGCTCGATTTGTGTGAAGCTGGGCTCGATGTGCGTGTAGCTGGGCGCGTACTCAACCGCCGTGCTGGTCTTGGGTTTGCCCGGCTCGATCTGCGTGTAGCTGGGCGCATACTCAACCGCCGCGCTGGTCTTGGGCGTGTTCGTACTACCCGCGCCGTCCCTCTCCTCCGATGACGTATCGCGCCAGTTCTCGCGGCGCTCTTTGCCCTTCTTCTCCTTCTCCCTCTCCCTCTCATTCCCCTTCTTCCCCTTGTCGCGGTGCGCCGAAATGGCCGCACTAGTAATCGCCGCGACCGCACCCGCCGCCACCGCGCCCGCAGCACCGCTCTTCCACGTCTCCGGGCGGACAAGCTCGCGCTCGCGCGCCGCGAGCTCGCTCTCCTTGCGCCGCACCGCCGTGGCGACGGAGCTCGTCTCTGAGGTGCCTGTGGGCTGGTCTTCGAGACGGTCTGCAGCGTACCGCTCATCGCGCCGCCGCTGCTCAGCATCCGACCGCGTCTCGACATCCCGGCGCGCGGCTTCGGCCGCATCCGCATCCCGCCTCTCGCGCCGCCGGGCGTCATCCTCGCGCTCCAGCGCCAGCCGGCGGAGGGCCTCGGCGCGTGCTTCGCGCTCGCGGCGCTCGCGGTCGAGGGCTTCTTGGGTCTCGCGCGCGGCGAGCTCGTCGTGCGTGCGCTGCCGCTCCGCGTCGAGCTCCGCGTCGAGTGCGAGCTGTGCGCGCCGCTGCGTCTCGAGGGCGGTGCGCGCTTCGTCCTGCTGGCGGGCGAGTTCGCGGCGGCGGCGGTCTGCCTCGGCGCGGTCGCGGTCTTCGTCGTCGCGGCGCCGTGCGTCGTCGGCTTCGCGCTGGGCGGTTTCGCGGGCGCGGCGCTCGTCGGCTTCGCGCTGCCGCTGCTCCTCGTCCTTTTCGCGCCGCCGCTCGTCCTCCTCTCGCCGCCGCGCATCTTCCTCCTCCCGCCGCGCCTGCTCTCGCCGCTGCTCCCGCTCGTCCCGCGCCGCCTGCTCCTTGGTCAGGCTAAACCGCACATTACTCTGCGCGCTGGACGGCCGCGACGTGTCGCTGCCCCTTGCGGCCGCGATCGCGGCGGCGCCCGCGGTTGCCGCGAGCCCAGCGATGGCGACGTCTTTTTTCCACGAGGACTTGTGGATGGGCGAGGAGTTGGCGCGGCGAGGGAGTGCGGGTGGCGGCGGGTGTGGGTGCGAGTGGACGTGGTTGTGGATGGTGATGTTCTGGGCCTGGGCTTGCGTTTGATACGGCGGCGTTGGATAAGGGGCCTGCGCGAACACGGGCGGCCCGGCGGGCGCGGTGTACTGCTGCGGCGGTGGTTGGGTCGAGTAGATGGAGCCCGGCACCTGGTGCATGGGCTGCGGCTGGTGCAGGCTGATGGCGCCGGGCCCCGTGGTGACGAGCGCCTGGGGGGTCGATGCCACGCTGGTGCGGCGCGCGTCGAAGCTCGTCGGGTCGCTGGACGCCACGGGGTACACGCTCTGCAGCGTGTGGTGGCTGCTGGCCTCGCTGGCCGCCACGCCCGCCGCGGCCCCCAGCGCCGCCGCCGTTGTGGGTGCGACCAGCGGCGTGCTCGCAATGTTGTCGTACAGGTTGTCGCTCGACCGTCTCTTCTTCTTGCCGAACCCCCAGCGCCAGCCCCACTTGCTCGTGCCCTCGCCCGCGGAGTTGATCGACTCGCGGCTCTGCGTCTTGCGCAGGTCGCCGTACACAAGACCTGCGTCACTTGACGAGGATGTCCCGTCGTCGGGCAGGTCCTCCCACTCATCGTCGCCAAGTGAGGGCGCTCCCGCGCGCCCGCTGCGCCGCTGCCGCTGCCGCACGGCGACGACTTCGGCCTCGGAGCCCTTGCGCCGCTGCGCCTTTGCGACGGCGATGGCGGCCGCCGTGGCGCCCAGCCCTGCCAGCGTGGCGCGCAGCTTCTCGTCCGACGTCTGCGTCTTGAGGTGTTTTGTCTCGCGGGCCTCGCGTGTCTCGCGCTGGCTGGTGCGGACCTCGCTCCTGACATCGCTCCTGACGTCGCGCCGCGACTTGGTCCGCCGCACGAAGCCCGAGCCAAACGCCATCTCGTCCGACGACGACGACGAGCCGTTGCTGAACGTGAAGAAGCCCTTTTTCTTCTTCTTCAGCTGCGCGCCCTCGCGCCGCGGCTTGGGCGGCGGCGCTGCGAAAAAACCGCCCAGGAACCCGCCCGCGGGCGCTTGGTCCTGCGAGATGTCGATGAACGAGGCGCCCGAGGCGGAGCTCCGCGAGGCCTTGCGCCGCACTTCACGCCGCCGCTCGTCGGAGCTGCTGCGGCGCCGGACCCGTGTGTGCGCCGACCGCGAGCGGCTGCGTGTGTGCTTGCGGCCGACTGCGGCGCCCAGCGCGGCGCCCGCCAGCCCTGCGCCTATCGCGGTGCCGAGCCCGGATTTCCCATCGCGCGACCGCGAGCTGGAGCTCGAGCGCGACCCCGGGCGGCGCGTGCGGCGGTCGTGCCGGGGCCTGGTGACACCCGTCGATAGTACGCTCACGCGGTCCTGCGAGCGGCTGCGGTGGCGGATGCCCGCGCTGCCGTAGCTGTAGCGCTTGCTGTGGGTGCTCTCGCGGCTGCGGCTGCGGCGCGAGTGGCGCTTGTGCGCGGCGGTGCCGTCGTGCTCAGCGCGGCTGTCGCGCCCGGACTTGATGCTGTACGTGTCGTCGAAGTCGGTGCGGTTGGCGGCGAACAGCGCCTTGCCGGCCGTCGCGAGTCCGATGCCGCCCAGCCCCGCGGCGAGCCAGCCCGCGCCGCTGCTACTATTCGTCTTGCGCTTCTCGTCGCTCGACGAGTACAGCGACGTGCGGCTGCTCTTCTCCTTCAGCCCGTAGCGCGCGCGCTTGTCCACGCCCGAGCCGGCAGGGCGGTCGAACTCGTCGGAGCGCCGCCGCCGGTCGCGCTCGTAGTGGTGTTTGCGCGGGGCGTCGAGCGGGGAGGAGCGCGGGTCGAAGCAGTACCGGCACACGCCGATGTACTCGGTGTACTCCTCCATTTTCTGCACGTCCTCGTGGTCCTTCCACCACGTGACGAAGCGCGACATGGTGCCGGCGTGGGCGTGCTGGTGCGCCATGTTGCCGGAGGTGTAGGGCGAGGGCGAGGACGCGTGGGCGCCAGGGAATGCGCCGGGCATGGCGTGTGTGTGGTTGTGGGTGTGGTGGGTGTGGTGGGTGTAGTGGGTGTGGCTGGTGTGCGCGTGCTGGGCGTGCGAGTGCGAGTTGTGATTATGCAGCGCATAAGCTGCGAGGCCGGCAGCGCCGGCAGTGTACAGGCCCGCGTTGGAGCTCGAGTGCTTCTCCTTGCCGGGGCGCGGTGGCTTGGGCGGCGGCGCGCCAGAGAGGGCATCATGGACGTTGCTGTAGTTGCTGGTGGTGTCGTGGATGTTGCTGTAGTTGTTGTTGGTGGCGTCGTGGATGTTGCTGTAGCTGCCATTGACGGCGGCCGTGGACGGGAGGTCGCCCTGGAAGTACACGGACGACGACCCGCTGTGGCCGGCAGGCGTGTTGGTGTAGGTAGCGCCGTGCGCGTTGGTGTTGTAGGTAGCGTCGTGTGCGTTGTGCGTATTGCTGTACGACGACGAGTGCTGCTCGTTCACACCATACCCAGCCGCACCATGGCCCACAGCATACCCCAGCGCCGCGCCCGCCACGCCCGCCGCCGCAGGAAACGTACTCGCCTTGCCCGGCCGCACCTCCAGCGGCCCCTCGTCCACAAACGCACCCGGCATCGAGCTGGGCCGCGGTAGCTTCCCAGGCTCTGGCGCAGACGCAGGCGCAGCAGTTCCATAGAAATCCGCGGCGCTCCCGCTCCCTGTGTCCGCGACCGGATTCGCCGTCGCGCCCGCGGCAACCAGATGCGGCGTGTCCTGCCCGACAATCACGCTGGGCGGCTGCGGCCGCACGCCCGGCTGCAGGCTGACGGACTGGCCCTGGTCGTTGTAGAAGTCGGCGGCGGCGCCGAAGCGGTTGTGCGCTGGGCCGGCGAAGGAGACGGGGTCTTGGCCGGGGAACTGCGCGTGGATGTGCGAGGAGAGCGGGGCGTGCTGGTGCTGGTCGGGGTACTCGATGGGCAGCGCGCCGCTCATTAGGGCGCTGCCGCCTGCTACGACGCCGCTGTTGTCCAGCGCGCGCGGCTCGTCGACGATCTCGCCGCGGTACCCTCCTGCCTGCGACTGCGACGTGCTGGACCGGGTCGACTTGCGCTTCTCCCTGTCCTTGCCGTCTTTGTCCTTCTCCTTATCCTTGCTCGCCCTCTTCTCCCTCCTCCTCTCCTTCTCCCTCTCCCTCACCGTCGACGCCGCAGACTCGGCATAACTCGACCGTCTATCCCTATCATCTCGTCTGTCCCTATCCTCCCTCCCCCCTCTCAGCTCATCCCGCGCATCCTCCCTCCCATCCTCCCACAGCCCGCCCCCATCATCTCGCCGCTCAAACGCCGTCGCGAAACTCGCAATCGTCGAGGGCGGACTATCGCGCCGTGTCGACGGCGGGGCGGCGGGTTTGCGCGACGAGCCCGACGAGCGCTCGTCGCGGTCGCGGTCGCGCTTGGGTTTCTTCCCGTTGGAGGGGTTGGTGAGTTTGCTCCACATGGTGCGTGGGTGTGGGTGCGTGTGTCGGTGCGCTGGGGCGTGGGTGTGCGTGTGCGTGTGGAGGTGGGTGTATTAAGCGTGTGTATGTATGGGGAAATGAGGCGGCGGTGCGCGCGGGGATGCCCTGGTGTCGTTGGGTATGCGTCGCAGCGAAACAGTGGTTTGGGTCGCGTCAGGCTCTAGCATCAAGCGCGCATCAGAAACGCGGCAAGGCGCAGAAGCAGAAGCAGCAGTTATTAGATCAGCGACGCGCTCGTCTGGCTGCTCTCCCACAAAGCAGATGCGAAGCCGCCGGTGGAGTGTAGGAACCGTCGCGGATTCGAGGCGGCGCTTCAGCTGTGCTGCTGAGCTGGCCGCGATCGCCACGGGGCTGGGCCAATCGCGTGCGCGCTCGCGGGTGCCGCGTGGATCCACTCAGATGCCCGACATCACCAGTCGTGCATCCTTGTACGGTCTGCAATCGTCTGGCTGCAGTCGCCAATCAGCAGACTCCGAGGCAATCTGCAATGCAGCGACTGCCTGGTTGCAGCGTCGCCTCACTTCTACTTTCTTCGAGTGTTTACTCTGAGTGCATAGCGCTGTTGTTGTTTACACTCGCCTTTGTTGACATCCTGGCTGGAGGCCGGACCCACATTTGCGGGAGTGGACCGGGGTCGGGGGGCGCTAAGCGGTCTTGGCGCTGGCTTCGAGGTGCTGGTCCGAGGATGCTGCGAACATGTCATGTCGCTGTCGAAGATCTGGTACAAAAACCATTGTCAAGGGAAAGAGGGGTATCTATTTATTCATTGATGCTGCCATGTGGCATACTAGTCCTAATTCTGATGCCGGCCGTCAATGTGTGCTGCCTTCGAGAAGCATTCCTGGCATCGAAGCTTTTAGTTCTGTGCTGCTGTCTCCCTGGCCTGACTTATTGTTTCCATACTACAATGCACTGTCCCGGCCTTTCACAGTCTTCATTCAATCCTGCATGCGCGCGGCCCTCTTCTTCGACCGGCGCCCCCTCCTTTGCCTCGACCTCCGTGCGTGGGGTCCCTGCGGCTCCTCCACCTGCCGTGCCTGCGCCCCAAGTCCTAATGCACATGTATCTGACTGCGCGCCCGCAACCCCCTACGGTCGCTGGCCCGCCATGATCATCTGCCTGATCTGCATAATCTGGTTCCGCTGGTCAGGCGGCAGCTGCGCGATCTGCTCCGGCTGCAGCGCCATGACCTGCGCATACAGCGCGCTGTTGTCCATGGGCGGCGGCGCCTGTGGCGGCTGCGCGTATGGCTGCATCTGTGGCGGCGTCGGGACGGCTTGTGGGTAGCCGGGCGGCATGGCGTAGTTTGTGGGCGGGCGCGCGACGGGTGTGGGTTGGGGCTGCGGCGGTACGGGAGCAGGTGCCGGCGCGCCTGTCTCGACGACGCGGCTGAGCATTGACTCGTCGACGAGATTGAGAAGGAGGAGCGACTGGAAGATGGCGTAGGCGAGCTGCGGTGCCTGGCGCAGCAGTTCGGTGGCCTTGGCAGGGTCGGTCATGACGAGGCCTTTCATCTGCGAGAGAATGTCGAGGAGCTGCGGCGCGGGGAGGGTCGAGAGCGTGCGCGAGATGGCGTCTGGGCACGTGAGGTTCGGCGGCAGGTCGACGCCGGGGGGCAGCGGGCCCAGTGTGCTTGAGGGCTGCGGCGCGGCCTCGGGCGCCTGGCCGTTCATAGGGGGCGCCGTCTGGTTGGAGGGCGCGTTGTCGCCGGAACCGTTGTCGTTGGACCAGTCGACGCGCAGCTTGCGGCCCATGAGCTCGTAATCGTTGAGGTTACGCACCGCAGATGCTGCTGCGTCGGCGTCGGCAAATTCTCCAAAGCCAAAGCCCTTTGGCCGCCCGGTCTCCTTGTCGTACACGAGTCTGAAATTCACCACTTGGCCCACGCGCCCGAGCGTCTCGGTGATGAGCTCTTCGGTGCCGCCTGTCTATGTTAGCAGCGTCGTATGGACGGAAAGAGCGCGCACCATAGGGGATGTTGCCGATGAACACGACGCGTCCAGCTTTGTCGTTTGGCGCCATCTTGCGCAGAGGGTCCCAGTGAGGCGTGTATGCGGTGAGGTTTGGTGGTTGGTGCTGGTGGTTCTTTGAGACATTCCAGCACCACGCTCCGTCACTGACTAGCGCGTGCACGGGCCTTTCCATCATTGTGAGAGATGGTAACTTCAGCAGAGTTCGAGCAAGTCAGGAATCACTTTCAATCACCATAAACCATGCATCGAGCTTCTTTGTGTTCTGATATGTGTCATAGTGCGTCTGTATTTTCAACCTCTAGGAAGTCGCCCGTGTGTATCCTATATAGCAAGCTTCACCAACCATCTTGTTACCATATTCTCTACCCATGCAACGCACCGTCGCTCTAGATTCTCGCTCACAGTTTCGGCGCACAACACTCCCCGTCCCTCCCCACCACCGCCTCAACCACCGGCTGCGCATGCTGCCCACTCAGCAAACTGCTCTTGTTGAACACCTGCTCACTCGGTGGCACATCAATCGCCGGATTCTTGTCGAAGAAATTAACCGGCTTGAAGTGAATCTTCAGCACCTCGCACGGCATCACCGGGAAATCCTCCACGCGCGGGACGTGATTGATCCCCGCCTGCACAAACACCACCACATCGGCATCTTCCACGTCATCGCCGCGTTGCGCCCATGATCGCACCCCCGTGCCGCCGCGCGACTGGTTCGTGTACTGCCCGCCGGCGTAGAGCTCGTTGTCGCGGTGCGCCACGACGTAGATGTTGTGGTCCGCGAACTCGGCGCGCTTGAAGTTGAAGCTGTCCTCGTCGGAGAGGATCTTCTGGAACGGCGGGGCTTGGATCTTGTACGCCACGGCTTTGCCGTTGATCGGGTTGCGCACATGCGGGTTTGTGATCTTGAAGGTGCGGTTGTGCTCGTAGGCCGTGTCGTAGCCACCGGATTTGCCGATCACGGTCTCCGACACGGTGTAGCCGGTGCCGTGCGGGTTGAAGTCGGAGCGCGGCATTGGGTGGGCTTCGTCGTAGACGACGGTGTTGGTGAGGCCGTCGAGCATGGGGTCGACGCGCAGCGAGAAGATGTGTTGGTGGTGCACAGCCAGGACGCCGGGGTGCACGACGGTGCCGAAGGGGACAGTGATGCCTTCGTCGATCGGCTGGGTGCTGAGGATGCCGGTGGCGCGGATTTCATAAGTGAGCTCGCCGGCTTGGTTGAAGATGAAGGCCAGGATGTATTCGTAGTTGGAGACGGTGATGATGGACTGCAGTACTAGCTCACGGGAGCGGACGACGGCTGCTCGACCGGTGCGGTAGTTGGTGTGCTTCCAGCCGATGCCAGCATCTTGCTCGTGGATGCAGACGACGTTCGGCATGTCGATGACGCCTCCCTTGTCGTCTGAAAGCACCGAGCTGAGGTAGTAGATCGAGCCCAGGCAGTCGCACCCGAGCTTCAGATTGTTCGCCATAATTCCAGCACCAGCATCGCCCAGATCGAACGCCGACTTCTTGTGGAACGGATGTCGAGGGTCGGCGTAGGGAATGTTCATATCGCTCAAACTCAATCGGTAGAACAGAGGGCGGCCGTCGTATCGCACATCGTACAGCACCATACCCTCGCGTTGGTTGAAACCGACCCTGAAGTTCCATTTCTGCCACGACACGACGCTTGAAGTGCCCTCCTCCTTCACCTCGAAGCTGGCGCCCTCCGGCTGGACGACGTTCAGCGGTTTCAAGTCAGTTCGAAGAGTCTGCGCCTCCGGAATGTATTCGTTTGGCGGCTGAACTTTGTACTTCTCGATCGGCTTGATCGTATTGTCGGCTCCAGTGGGCATAATCTCAATGCGGATAACCTTCATGGTCTCCGTGCTGAGAACTGGCGAGATGGGAATCGGCATGGCGTAGTGATTGGAGTCGGCTTCAGACGCATTGTTGGGGTCGCGCAAGTACAGAAAGCATTGGTACATTCGGTCCTCGTCGTTCACGCCGTCGGCTCCAAAGATCCACGGGTCGCTGATGACTACGGTGCCTTCTGGCAGCTGCAGCTTGGCGATCTCGGCCCTGACACCCTCGTCTTCGAGCACGATTTTCTCGATGGCGACGATTTCGTCTCCATCTCCGTTGGCGTGGATGAATGGTCCGAGAAGCACATTCTTCTCGACGCGCCCTGATGCAACGTCGATGATGGCTTCATGGAATTTGTTCTGTTCGCGTCAATGACTGTTCATCTGAATAATGTTTTATTTCATACTGTGTTTCGAATGTAGTAGTTGACGAAAGCTTTCCTGCTAATGCCTGGAAGAGGGCTTCCTGCATGCTCGGCTTCAAGGTACTTCAAGACTTCCACCTTGGGTGGCTCCTGCAATGTGATGGCCTTGAAGTGCAGGTCTGTGTGTGCTGGCCATGAAGCCTTGATAATCGACGCCGCAGTCGTGATCTCCGAGGCCGATAGCGGCGCAAGCGGATGTGATGCCACGGCCTTGGTGGCCCGTGGTGCTGCGTCGGTGGCAATTTCTGCAGACATGTTGAGTTTTGAACACGTTGGGTGCGGAAAGCGTTGGTGGGCGACTCCAGTCAGAGTATTTGTAGCTCTGTCAGATCACCCGTCAAATCTCACTTCGACTTCCCGATGCAGTCTTCGTGCTCGTCTACACTCCAGTCCTTGATAAGAAAGTGGACCTGCTATCTTAGACGCCAAAGCCGTCGACCTGGTCGGATGGACTTGCCGCAGACAGGTTAGCCGCCTGCTCGAAAGGTGAAGTCCGCGGCGCGGGGTGACCCCGCTTCGCCTACAAGCGGCGGTTTTCGATGCCTGTTCACCACACAGCAGAAAAGTCGCATGCGTTGCGTAACACCAGCATCATTTTGCGAAGTCGAGACAATTGCTTCCATCCTGCAAACGTCGCTGCAGTCTTGCTAATGTTTGATGTCTTGCAGCGCTAGTGTCAATCTGCCGCGAAGGCTTTCTCTGTAGCTGGACTTGCATCCCACTATCCCACATTTCGAACCTCACGAGCATTGCGCATGAAGCTGACAGCTTTCCCACATCAGCCCCAGCTCAAAGCTTTGCGTTCACTCGGATCTGACATCGCAGCTGTCACACCACCCGCACGTACGATGCTCGCTAGAACGGTTTTCGCTTGGCAGGTTGGCGGTGCGAAGGGACGACACCGCTGCAGATTTTATGAGCGCGTACAAACTTGTGAATACTTACTGTAACACGGGCCTCATAGTTGAGGTCCTTCATCGCAACAACACGGTGTACGACAACCTCAAGAGCTCGGTTTACAAGTCTTCGTCTTCATCGCCTCGCCCCTCGACAAGCCTCCTGCGCTGACGCGAGCGCAGTCGCAGATGGTGTAAGACACTCTTTTATGATTTTGAAGAGAGTGTTGTGGAGAACCCGGCCTGAACGAGGAACCCGTGACCATTGGCTGTTTGACAGGATAACGTGTTTGTGGGACGACACTCAGTCGTTCGCCCGCATAGACCCCTTTCGTCGAACCTGTTAAAGTGACACTGGCTGATGTTTTGTTTCTTGTTTGTTTCGCCGTTCTGGCGTTGCCACGTCCCGGCTCATATCCAGAACTAATATGGCAGATTGACTCATATATTAATCTACCCGGCACGTGGACTGTTCGACCATCTACAAAATTGATTTCCCTGATCGATATCCCAGCATTGGCACTCAAACCTCGATAGAGATGGTCTGTCCATGTTTCGAATACGTGGGCGCGACGTCGAAGCGATATTTGAGGATCCGCTCTAGAGTGTTTGGTCCTACCAACGCACGTTCGCTATATGACAATGTCGATGTTTCAGGCCACGCCGATCCACATCTGACAGCGGGTGTGAGTAGCCGCCGGGAACAGGAACATTGTCCCGAGTCTTTATCCGCCATGGTATACCGGGGCTGCATTTGTGGCTAAGTGCTTGATTCAATTAGAGGCGGGCGTCTAAATTGGATGGCAGATTCAAGTACTACCAAACGAGCATGGATATTAAGGTTGCATCGCCATTGATTTGCAGGAATTTATATAAAGGAAGAGGTGCAGCGTACTGCTGTTCAGCACATCGACTCCATTCACAGCATTCACATTCGCTCTACAACAACCAGCATCATGAAGTCATTCGCAGCAATCACTCTTGTTTGCGCGGCGCTCGCTGAAGTTGCCCACGGTCACTACATCTTCCAGTACCTCACAGCGAACGGTGTCAAGGGCGCTCAGTACCAGAATATCCGCCAGAACACCAACAACAACTCGCCTGTCACCGACCTCGCCTCCAACGATCTGCGTTGCAATGTTGGCGGTGGAAGTGGAGCATCAACCACCACGGTCTCGGTCGCTGCTGGATCATCAGTCACATTCACAGCAGACCAGGCTGTGTACCACCAGGGCCCCGTTTCCTTCTACCTGACCAAGGTCAACAGCGCCGCTGCTGCTGATGGCTCCACCGACTGGGTCAAAATCAAGGAGATCGGCCCCACCTTCTCTGGCGGCCAGGCCACCTGGGACTTGAAGGGTATGTCTGACCTCAAACTCCAATTATCACACTATACTAACATCCAAGCAGACAACTACGCAGTCACAATCCCCTCCTGCGTTGCTGCTGGCGAGTACCTGCTCCGCATCGAGCAGCTCGCAATCCACAACCCCGGCTCTCCTCCCCAGTTCTACATCTCCTGCGCCCAGATCAAGGTCACTGGCGGCGGATCGAAGACACTCTCGCCCACAACCAAGATCCCGGGACATGTCAAGTCAACAGACCCCGGCTTCACTGCCAACATCTACAACAACTTCAACAGCTACATTGTTCCCGGCCCGAAGGTTGCGACCTGCTAGGTGGAGAGCGGATTGTAATGACTGTCACATTTTTTGAAAGTTCAATATACCACCATTTATCGCGTTTTATTCACTATCGATCTCCCCATGCCGTGTCGTTCTTCTTTGTCGTGCTTGTTGGTTATAGTCGAAGCGTTTGCCTACACGTTCACAATTCGCAGCGTAACTACGTTCGTGGCGCTGAAGTTCACAGCATAACTTCAATCTCACAACGTCTGGCAGCCTCGTGGTCTTTATCGTACGTCACGCTACAATCGGCGGTCCGCGTTTGCGATGTCACTGCTCCTCACTGCTCCTTCAGCCACTTATCAGTCTTCACGACATGCCATTCAAAGTTGAACTGAGCCAGCGATACAAATACGGTGTTCACCGTCTACATCAATGTAGCTTATCCTCACCTCTCATTCCTCATATAGCATCAAAATTCAGAGCCCCTACAGACTCCTGAGTTGTTGCATCTTACTCTCGCTATCGACCCTCCAAGTCGGCCCCTTCTCTTCCGGTCTTCTTCATGTCTGCCGGCCCTCCTTTCGGCCAACCCTGGTGCGCAAACATCGGCAGCAACCCTAACATCAACCGCGATCCTCCTCCTCCACCGCTCAACGTAGTCCCGGGTAGTGCACCCGTTCCAGCTGCAGCAGGCAACCGAGCTGTAGTCGGGCACCAGCAAGCGCCCATCTACAGTCCCCCCGTCCCCATCGGCATCGCCCCACCCTTCGGCCTCGCCCCCCCGTTCGGCGCAGGTTTCGGCACAGGTATGTTCCCCTCCATGCCCTTCATGGATCCCCTCATGTACGGCGGCGGCCCCTTAGCACCAATCCGCACCGGCAAGTCCCCTCCTGCACACCCCCAACCCACAACCCCTACTAACACCCCCAGGAAACTTCATCCCAGGCGCCCACGGCGGAATCGGCTTCGGCCTGCATGCAGCGGGCGGCATGCCCTTCCCGCCCCCGCCCCCAGGCGCCCTCGCAACCGGCGTTGTCCCGCCCTTCGCCCCAACCGTACCCCTGTGGTCCAGCGGCCTGACATTCGGCAACGTGCCGCCGATGGGCGCCGGCATGATTCCCCCCATGATGCCGATGGGCATGGGCATGGGAATGGGCATCCCGGGCCACGCGCCCGCACCCCTCGCCGTCGACGGCAACACCGGCGCGCCCCCGCAGCCGCCCCAGGCCGACGTCACCCAGCTCCCGGGCGGCATACCGCCGGGCGCGACCCACGTCGAGGCCGCAGAGCACACACTCTTCATCCAGATCAAAGGCACCGTGTGCCCGTGGCTGTCCCCCGGCGCCCAGCTGTTGACCGAGATGCTGCACATTTCGTCGTCGACGGGGCTCAACCGGCTGATCCAGGTGTGCAACAATAACGCGGATGACGAGGGGTGCGAGAATATGGCGATTACGGAGTGTATTGAGCTCGGCAATGGGCTGTGGGAGAAGGGGCAGACGTTCAAGTATGGGGATGCGGTGGCGCGGGTGTTGACGATGAAGTGTGTGGGGTGGGATAATAGCAGGAATAGGTTGGGGGGGCAGAGTTTGCATATTTGGCTGCACAGGATTTAGTTGTGAGCGGAGAGGCGTTTTCCTGGAGCGGTTTGGTGGACGGATGGCGGCGGCGGTACCAATTGATTCACTAGGCTACCTAGTCATCTATGGGAATATATCTGTGTAGAGTTTGCAGCAACGGCAAAACACAAATGATCTTGTCGCCACCGGTGGTGACTCTGAGCTCCACATACCCACTGCGCATCTCTTCTTGCAGCATCTACCCCCCCCCCCCCCCCCCTCTTCCATCTCACTTCCGTCCCCGTTTCTTCAACGCCTTCTTCACCTTCTTCTCAACCGTCCTGTGCAACACGTACGCCAAGAACAGGAAAGCCACAACCTGTACGAATGTCTGGCCCCGCGGCCGCTTGCGCTGCTTGGGTTCCGTTGGGGCGGGAGCCATGGTTGCAGGTCGGTTGAGTGTGGGGTGAATGGGTCTAACGTGCTAGACATCGGAAAGTTTGGAGGTGATGTTGTGGGGGACATGGGCACAGTGTAGGAGGTGCATCGTGGATGATCTTGGTAGAGATGCGGGGCGGGGAGGGGAGTGTCTCCGCAGCGACTCGAAACCGCGTCTGAGATATAGCAGTCGTTCATGGAACTTGTTGGGTCACATCGAAAGATAGGTCATTTGCTCTTTGATCTCGTCGACGCGTTCTGTTTCCTAAGTAGAAGTGATCCGTTTTGCTCACACACTGTTCATGCACAATGTAAACTCGTGTCCTAGGGGCAACAACGTCAATCAAGTTGTCCACTCACTCCACATGGCTTTGCATTGTACACTTCGATTGCGTGCTCATTAGTGCCAATCGACTTGCCACGATAACAGGTTCCAAATCTCGATTCTTCATTCTGTGCTAATCAAAGTTTCGTCCGCGTAGTCAAAGTAGGGGAACAGCAAAGCGAAGGACGACATTGTGAGAGATCAGTGTCCAACGACATTGTGCCAACCGGGCGACCGAAAAAAAAAAGCCCAATGACCCGCGGAAAGTAACAGACGATTAGACTCTTGGTCTTCTATGCAGCCAATGACCTCCTTATAATACATCGGCTGACCCTGAAGCCTTTGTGCTGCTCGGGCGGGTGCCAGCCGTTGGAACGTAGTAGCAAAGCTATCAGGGTATGCGTCGCTCTCAGATGATGGACTTGACTGATGTAGAGTGGCCAAGTCTACGCAAGCTCGAAAGTACCAGCTGTCCATCCAAAAGTCCTGGTAAGTCTGCGGCCATACCTTCTCGCCCACATGAACGGGCGCTTGTTGCCGGGATGAGGTTCATGGAACTGTATCGATCGCTCAGCGCCCAAGGCAGTAGGAGTGAAGTGCCAAGCAGATCCCTGCAGCTTCTCTGCACCGAAGCCAACAGACACCATCGCATGGAGGAAGTCGGTCCAGATTATTCCACCAGGCTGATCCGGAGAATCAGGGGAGTGAAACAGTGTTCTGAAGACTTTGAGAGCCCTCTTGTCAACTGCGTGCACCGCACTCGGCTCTGGGACTGGAGTAGCAGTAGCCTGCTCAGGCAAGTTGGCTTGCACCTCAAGGTTCTTTTTCCTGTGTTTTGTCTTGGCGGGGACAGAGGGCTTTGTGAATGTGCCGGTAAACTCTTTGCTGCTGTCGTGCACGTGGCCGGAGAACGGTGCAGGAGGCGCAATGCCATCCAACGCACCTTTGACGGACTTCGGGAGCTTTGGAGGAGGTTCCACCCAAATTGGAGTCCTGTACAAGGTTCGCTGGCCGACAATGTCCTTGATCAAGGCGCCCGGCGTGTTGCCAGCCATTCGGAGCCAGTGTGCGTTTGCTGCTTCCCAGAACCTGTCCAACGCGGCTTCGGCAGATCGCATCTTCTCAACGCTGGCGCGAGTGCGCTTTTCGAGGACTGGATAGTCAAACTTGCCGTCTCTTGGACTACCCAACTTGCACAGCTCTGGTTTCTCGAAACTTCGGTGAGCCAGATCAATTCGTGCCCAATGTATGAGAAGAGCATCATATCGATCAGAAAGCACTCTGTAGTTCTTCTCAATCTCATTCTCTACCTTGCGAGCCCATGGCTGGAAGCAGTGTAAGTGATGAAGACATTCTGTAAGTATGGCGAGTTGAGAGAGCAAATTTGCCATAAAAGGTGATATAAGAGCTTTTGCTTGAGCGCCGCTTTGCATGAATCTCTCAAACTCGTCCATAATGACGTGGAGAGTGAAGAGGTCCCTTGGGCCCCTTTCTTTGAACATTTCGATCAAGCGCAGCAGATAACCTAAAGTATCGTCGTACTTTTTGTAATCACTGTATCGAGGCATTACGGAAATCCTACGCTTGTTCGGGTCATCTGGATTACCCCGATAGGAATGCTTGCGGAGAGGCGGAGAGGCCGGGAAGTAAGTCTTGGTCATAGTGATTAAATCAATGCTCACAGATTCAATGAAGAAGCGCGTCTCAATAAGCTCATAGAGAAGACCGGTGGGTAGATCTGAATCCACGGAGATGATGTCGGCATACTTGGTTGACAGATTGCGTAATCGACACAAGCTATTCGAGATATGGTCCCAATTAAAGATCATGCAGTGGGCATCCATGATCAAGTGTCTCAATGCCTTGTTATAAAGCGAAAAATCCCCAGCATGCTCATGAAGTTTACCAGCCAGATCAGGAATGAGTTCGTTTCTATGATCTCGTTGCTGTTCAACCGCGTCGGCAAAGTAAGCAGGGTCTTCCCGTAAGCCCCAAGCATGCTCAATAGCTTGAAGCTTTTGAGCAGATGTCAGTGCTATAAGCCTATTAAGATCCAGTTCAGTTGGTAGACGATATGGTGCCTCCCGTGCGATGATGTGCAGCAATGAGTAGCCATCAGTGTTGTCTGTCAGGGTAGTTGGTTCCAGCGAAGTATCGAGGGCTTTTTTTGGAATCTCAATATCACCAACTAGTTGGGAGACACATTTGTCGAGGAATCTGAGGATACCTCGCTGGATGGTGAGGATCTGAATACCATGATCGACGTGAATAGTGTGCCCCGAACGCAAAGACTCCAGTTGCTCTTCGTGACTGGCCCACTCCACCAACTGTCCATACTCGTCGCAGGTGTTTCTACCAAGGAAATCCATTGTGAAGGTGTCTTGACGAAGGTCAAGAAACTCTTTGCGCAATTTGAAGAGTGGCGCCATCTCCAAATCGAAGTACGCGAACTTGTCTGGGGAATGGCGAGCCCTTGCGTTGAGAAAGATGAGTAGTGCCTTAGGTCGAAGAAGGTCTTCAAGATTGATGTATGGCCAGGTAAAGGTGGCCTTGACCTCATGGCCGTGGTGTTTGAGGCCCCCATTCATAGATACTGCGATGTCTGGGCGATGCACTGATGGTATATCTGGCCAGGCGTTGATCAGAACCTTTTGTCTCTGAGATCTTGATTTCTGTCGCCAATTGGTCTGGATTGAAGCCTCGTGATGCGACAGGATCCTCTCCAGGCGCTTGTGCAATCCCATAATCTCTCTGACAAACGACTGGGAGATGTGACGACATGTTGCAATGGGAAGAGAAATTTCGCCATTAGCTTTTGCCTTATCGGCCGCTACTTGGAAAAGGTGATCTATTTCAGTCTTTTCAGGGCGAAACCGGTGAATATGTTCTTCAAGCACAAGCAACCACGATTCAGCGTCGTTTCTCATTTGGAGTAAAGCCGACTCCCTTGGTACGGGATCTGAGAAGACGGTTGCTTCCATGGACGTGCTGCGATGCTGATTCAAGGCCGCATGCAGCGCTTCCCGTTGTTCCCCGGGCAGCAATGCGACCAAAGCTTGCTGCTCCGAGACAGGCAGTGCAAGATACAAGGGGAGCAATTCTGTCACAGAAAACAGCGACAACATCTTGACCTCTGAAGCTTCAGCACACCGTGTCTACCCTCTTGGGCGATGGAATCTGGTAGGTATCACTTACTTTACGAGAGGTTGTTGTAGGACGAGTGGAAAGGTGTTCGTGGTCGAGAACCCAATGGCAAACCAATCAACACACCACATTGGCCAACCGTGAGTGGATTGGCACACCTAGTGGGGGATGAAGAGAAAGGCGTGAAATTGGGAATATATTGGCTTGGAGGTGAGCAGCTAGCTTAGGCAACAGCGACACAAACAAACCAAAACAAGATCAGCCCTTGTGACGCACTAGAACCTTCTAGGGTAATTAAACAAACGCGAGATCGCAGGTGAAAGAGAATAGCTACCGGGAAAACGAGATATCGACACAGCAGCTAGACATAGGCGACAGGCATTGGTACGCCTTGGGTTATGTAGTGGACAGGGCTTCGGAGCGTATGTAGAGAAAATTAAATATCAAGGTATGAGGGAACTAAGGGTCTTGATGCCATGTACTAAAGACACTCAGTGAGGGAATGTACATTCAGGAATGCCCGACGAGTGCCTCACGTTTGACGGCTAACGAAATCTCCACGCGAGCTAGTAGGTATTATCTGGTGCAGTTAGCGGATTTCAATATCAATACAACGTCCATTTGCAAGGCGCCGAGTGGAAAGACAACGGAACACCTTGAAGTCGCGCATATCCATGGTGAACGCAAGTCGCGTTTCGGTCTCCTCTACAGTCGTTCCAGAGTCTTTATATTCACCGTGAATGCGCGTTGTATTCTGCCTTGTAGGTTTTGATCGAGCAGACACTAGGTACAGGTTGTCGGATGTGCATGTGATCTGCTGGGCAGGGTCAGGATGTGCAACAAAGAAGTAAACTCAGGTCTACTCTGTTGACTGATTCCGAGATGTTGACAAGAGGGCTCTGTCTATATCAACCTATGATGGCGTGTGTTGAAAGGACAGCTCTGTCATTAGGTGGCCTACTGCAATATGAGCTGTAGTTCTGATGTATCTGAATGCATCCAACGCAGCTTCTCTCTACTAGAGGACAGCAGAATTCGCCCGGTTTCTGACTGGGTAGTGGGACTGAGTGTCCGGTTTGGTCAATCGAAATCTGTACATTCTCGCCTTGACCGAGTTCTTAACTTTCTTCGCCTACGATTCGATTCTAAAATCATTCATGGCTTATGTCAGTGCGCGGATACTCATGGTGATGCAAATGATCTGGCTCTAGCACTGTTGCGCAAGAGGTGCCAGACGGTAACCACTAGGATACTCAGATGAAGCTGCTTCTGTAGCGCTTGGGTTTGCCATAGACATTTGAGATGGTGAGAGATACACTCAAGGTTCTTACCAGTCTTGTAATCTCCTCGAACTGCGTACCAGCTACAGCTTAATCAGCAGGGTTGCAGGATTAAGTGAGATATATACGGAACTTCTGATACGCGGACAAGCCGGGTATCAGTTGTAGGACGATTTCGGATTGACAAATTCTAGAACCACCAAGCCTGGATGAGCGATAGGCTGAGAATAATCGAGATCATCTTTACATACGCTCCATATGCTTTCCGAAGGTCTCGCCATGTCATCATTGGTTGCAACCACACAGCCATGATTCGGGGTGGCGAAGATCGCCTGAGTTATCCTCCGAGCAGCCATAGGTAGTAGTGATAATCATGCTCGAAATGGCGGTGTGCATCTGCTCCGCTGAACGAGAGGCCATCGAGCAAAGTGTCTATGAGCAGCGCCGTAAATAATCATCTAGCAGCCTTTGGTGACTTGAGCGACTGAAGCCGCCGGAGATACGCATCTGCCGATCTTATCGTGACAAGCGCAATCGCAACGCTCATCCCATTATGGACGCTACTCAGGCATTGATATTTTCTCATCTTTGGGTCCGCAGTCATTTGCTCACATTACACCCCAACTTGCTGCATAAAGCCAGTAGGTACTGCGGCGCCGCATGGCAACATGCGCATGTTGAAATGCTGGACCAGAATAGCCAAAATGCGCGATCGAGCCTGCAGTGCACAAGAACAACCTTGATGCGAGCGCAGCCGAGAAGTTTGCCTGCGTTGTTGAGTAAGGTTGTGTAACTACAGCGAGTCCAAGCTTGCTGCATCCCCAATTGGTTGCGTTCACTTCGCTGGCTGTCAACCAACCTCGCAGGCCATCCTCTTCTGCAGGAACCGCCGCCGTTGCGATAGCCAATGGGTAATTGCTGCTCTCGCTCAACACACAGTTTCTGGTCTTTCACTGGAGCATCGCTTAGAAGAAAAAGCGGTGAGAAGACCATGAAACAGCAGCGGCGAGGTGCATAGCTTGGATGCTGCATCGAAGATCCTTTACTCATCGGATTGGCTTTGGGCGGAAGCAACGGCTATCTCAACAACGTCCGGATCGACAGACCGCGTCGCGTTGTACCACACGGAGCTGCGATAGCAATCTCCACAGATGCGGAAAAGGGCAGCCCTATACGACAGGGGAGGGGCGGCTTCCCCAGATGAGGCAATGGAGCGTACCCTGGCAATGCGGAGAGGAAAGAACCTTTAAGAGGCGCGGACGCTACTAGCTCGATGCGAACGCAAAGTGCCATATATGACTGTAGACGCCGTGGCAGGGATCTAATATTGTTATTTTGTGACAAACAAAGCCCACCGCTTTTACCTACTTGAAGTCGAGACAAATCGCACGAGTACAAAGTTTCTCTCGGCTCGGCGTTGTACGACAGAAGCGGGCGGGGCGGTGTCTGGAAGGAGTAACCGACGGCGGTCTCGCGCCCACAAAGGTTCAGCAACGCGTCCCGCAGCTAGAACAACGGTCAGACGATTCGCCCAAGGAGCGTGAGGCTGCAGACAGTGCGTAGCGCTGTCTCTCGTAGTGTTGTCTCAAGCAGCATGACGTGCGGCCTAGGATGAGGCGCACTGGTGGCGCCAAGCTGTGACCATGCACCATGTTTGGGCGAGCGGCGCGTTAGATCCAGCACAGGAGGGTCAGTGACAGATCACATCATCAAGCGGGTATTTGCCGGTTTCTCCAGAGTCTGTCGTGCCAGCAGCCGACGACGAGCGACATGGTTCTTTTCCGGAGGTATCGGAGCCTGGGCTCGAGCGCCCTTCTAATGTCCTTCTCGAAGCCTCATTGCAGGAACAATCCTAATCGCGTTGCGCCACCGTGCACAAAGCTTGCACAGAATCTGCTGCAGCTGCCTATTGTGAAGTACCATCCAGCTTCAAGAGTTTGTCCAATTTCACCTCAACGTATCATCACGCAGCTGTTGGCGCTGTCTTCAATCCCAGCGGAAGGCCTCCGTGAGTCTCATCGGTGCAGTTCCAGACGCCTTGTTTGAAATATTAGCCCCATGCAGCCGGGTCCGGGGAATGCATCCGTGACCCACTTTTCCCCACCCCAATGCCGCAAGCCACGCGTGGCGTGGGATGATGGAATGAACACGATCGAGAAGCGGTCAGAGAATGATTTGTCCTCCGTCCGGCACACCACGGCTCGATTTGTCGTCCTACTTGAAAAAATCCAAGGAGCATGTCCCACGTCAGTCAGACGCAGCGATATTGACGCCATGCGCGGGCCCGTCAACCTTAGCCATTAGGTACCCCGTCTGCGATAACGCGCTCATCAGCAAGGACTCGATAAAGACATACGTGGGGATCACTGCATACGGCAGCCGGCCATTTCATGCCGCTTCCGACTGAACAAGCATGTGTCTGAAGTCGAGTGTGAGAGGAACCCCAGACGCCTTTAAATTTACTCCTGGAAGGTTTGACCGTGCGGTGGGACCTGCTCCCCGTGTGCAACAACGGATCAAAGCAAGGAGCGCAGCCGTCCGCTTCCCCGTTCGCTCCGGCGCTTTTGAAAGCTGATACACTTTTATTTTCGCTCAAAGCGTCTTTGCATCCCGACGCAACAGCCCAACCCTGCGAGTCAGGATTCGGCGGTGAAAAGTATAAGACAAGAGCTTCCCCTTGCGGCGCCGTCATTCCCAAAGCACAAAGCACCTCTCACAACCAGCTTCTTCCAACTGAGTAGTCTATTACATAGCCCCTGCGCTATATATAAGCGGTGCTTATCGACTCTCCTTGACGCAATCTGTCTAAACACTCCCACGTTCTGGCTCGAGCCTTGTAACCCTCGCTTCCAAAACGTTAAACCATTCGCTCGTCGCTTCGCCCAACCAACACACGTTTCCCTTCCCTTACGTTTGTTGGAACCGCCTAGAAAATCAAGTAAGCCTCACCTGCAGCCCTCTCTAAACTTATCACCAATCCGGCATCTCCGCCATTCGCTTACCACCCGCCCTGGCATCTGGTTCGCAGTGCCAACACACTCCCATGCATACATCGCTAGCCCTGTGTCCATCCCACGCATTCGATATTAGTCTGACTCACCCCTCACAGCTCCCATTTCTGGCTCGTAGCATATAGTACACCTCAGCCTCGGGTCATAAGCAGCCTGTTTCCGCTCCGCCAATACTGCCAGCGAAGACATTTATTTTCCGAGCCCGAGACAACTCAGACCGTGTTTGCGCCTTTCGCCGACGACACGACTTGCCACTTCAGCCTGCATCATTGCGACGATCTATCCCAGCTCAACTCCGGTCTATATAGTCGCATTGCCCGCGAAACCGAGTTCGTCGCCAGTTCCCTCTGTTCCATACTAGTTCCAAGATCAGGAATTCTGTCTTACCCGACACAAAACAAACCTTCGTTGAAGTCAAAAGCATAAAAGCTTGCTCAACACCATCACTTTCACTTATCATCTTTTAATCTCACACGATTAAAACGACACACAATGCCTTCCGCAACCCTCAACCCGCGCCAGCGCCTCTCCATCCTGACCAACGCCTCGTTCGGTCACGACGTCAGCGCCGCCTTCACAGTCAAGGCCGCCGCATCGCCCTCGCAGCAGCGCTCCATCGTGTACGGCGAGACCGCCGCGCCGCCGCCAAGCCCAATCGACTTCTCATTCCCCAGCACGCCGAAGGAGAAGCAAGGCGAGTGAGCGCGCCCTCTGCAGCACACGGACTCCAGCACAAATAGATGCTGAGAGCGTCGATCGGATGTTCGCACTCTTCTTCCACTTCTTTTTTGCATTTCATTCATTGGCATTTTAGCGAGCGCGGTGCTGGATTCTTCGGGTCTACGGTTCTTCGGTTCTTATGAGTAGGGCAGGGTATGGTAGGGTAGGCTGGAATTGTACTTTGTGTCTCCACCTCCTTTCACAGTTGCCTTCTCGCGCGCGTTGATCGCAGCCACGGTCTCGCTCGCACTTTTACAGCTTCAGTTCGCTTCGCTCTTGTACATTCACATTCACATTTACATTTACATTTACATTCGCATACGTTTTGCACCTCTTAGCGTCACGTTTAGATCGCAGGCTCGCAGGAGCAGACGGGATATTTCTATAATCTACACTTCTTCGTTGAGCCAAACCACCTGCAGGTCTACCTATCCCGCGCCGTGATTCGCTACATGCCTGTCAACACCAAGCCCTCTCGCACACCCACAACACCAACCAGCATGCCAACACCTCGCTCTCACACCCCTCCCTCGTTTCCCCGCCGCACGATCCCGCCTCGCCACGCCTTCCCTCCACACCTCCACAGCAGTGGCGCACGGTCCGCCCCGCCCCAGATCCGACGTAAACATGAAACCGTCGCGCCGCCAGATCCAGACACAGCCTGGATATACCCGTACGCAGTGCTTTTATCCGCCTTGTCCCTAATGGCCGGCATTGTCAGTGCAAAACTCCATGAGGGGTTTGTGTGCTGGGTTGTGTTGTCTGGATATATAGTGGTGAAGATCGAAGTGTGGGTGTGGGCGTGTAGATTCGGTTGCCTCCCTCCGACGCCTTTTGTGCGAAATGAATGAAGGTGGGTGCAGGTGGGTGCTTTTGTACGTACTCCGACTTGATCGCAGCTGGGTATGTACATTTCTCGTCGTCGGACCCACTTCGTCTTTCCGGTACCTGCCGGCGAGTCTGCATCCTTCTCCGCGGCGATGTACGCTGTATACATACCATGCGTTCTGATCGTGGAGTGGAGGCAATATGGGATACGCTTTCGGGACTTCAATCGTGGCAGTTCGGATGTCAACGCCTGACGAGACTTGTAGTGGAGTGTGTCTTCGCTTCTCAAGTAATGTCCGTGCTGGAGCAGGTCTGTTCATAACGTCTGAGCAAATTCCGGTAATACTGGCTTACAGCTTGTCGCTGAGAATTGCGATACATGACCTTTCATTTTCCGATACTACAGAAGTGCTAATAGACTCTTCAAATATGCCTGAGTGTATTAGGTCGACCCAGGAACGTACACAGTATGTCAGGGGTAAGTAGTCAATGTGTCACAAGACTTCGCAGCACCCAGCTGTTAACAAAACTTGGCCTATAGAGGTGCACAAAATATTTCAGATTTAATGTTAGCACTTCATTGTTTAGTCTAGTGTGCTTTACTATTACTTGCGGAAAGGTGCTGCTAGAAGGAGAATATCTAAGGATTTACATTGATTACTTACCCCTGCTATACTGTACGTTACCCAGACCCAGTTATCTTGTGCAGCAAGTACCCAGCTAAGCAGACAGATAATAGCCATCCACGTTCTCGTCCCACAGCCCGTCGATCCAGATCCATAGGATCAGATGAAGGCCCTCCCTCGCCACTATCTCGGTATAAAAGCATTCATCCTATGCAGGGAAGAGGTGATCGCATGCACTTTGTACAGTTACCGGTTCATCCAGATTCACATGTGTATGACCTGAAACATGAAGGTTTGGTCATGAACTCTTCTTCTAGAGTGGCTACATGGTACTGATATGGAGAGATCTCGGTATTGAGGGCTCGCATGAGCCAACAGTGTGCCTACAAACTATGTCTCCTCGCTATCCTCCGCCTCAGCGCCAGCGTTGAACAGCAGCTCAATTATCTCGATATATCCTCTTACTGCTGCCTTTGTTAGAGGTGTGTCTCCTTCCTCATCCTTCGTATTAACATCTACCTTGCCGGTGCGAAGCAACAGCTCTACCATTTCACTGTATCCCCCTATTACTGCCATCGATAGAGGTGTGTCTCCATTCCGATTCCTCGCGTTCACATCTACATTTCCATTGATAAGTAGTAGCTCCGCCGTGTCCTTTTGGCCGTGATGGGCTGCTCGCATAAGTGGCGTACGTCCGTATCTATCCCTCGCATCCACATCCACCTTGCCAGTGCTGAGCAGAAGCTCAACCAAGCTTTTGCTGCCGGACTCGATCGCATACATCAACGGCGTCCGACCCTCTCTGTTTCTGGCATCCGCAATTTCCATGTTCTCTTTCTCAGCACGGGAAAGAAGCTCTTTGGATATACGCAGCAACCCAAGTGATGCCGATAGATGGAGGCCTGTTGACTGCTCTTCGTGTGGGCCGTACCATACGGGATTGTATACCGCTCTAATGTGAAGAACAGAAAATGCGCGTTTACTGTCCTGGAACAGATCCATCGACCGGTCGCATATCTCTTCTTCTACAGGAGCTATATGGTGATGCAAATATTGGGCAGCGTACCTTATGAATCCGAACTCTTGAGACAGGCTTGTGAGCTTGTGAGAGGTCGTGCATTTATCACTGACTAAGCAGAGGTACGTGAGACATACAGACGCAATTTCGTACCGGGCGTGGGGGATCCACGTCTCTCGTATGCTTTCCAGGTAGTCTTGGGCTGTGTAGTGCACAAGGCGAATTACCTGACTCCCTCCGTCGACTGTGACAAGACCAGCACACACAGATAGGATGTCCTCAGTATCTGGAATGTTGTCTGAATTGAATTCGTCATCATCTGATTCTACTGCCAAGGCATGGCAGATTTCTGCTGTAGTCAGTGGCCGCTTTGCATACGAGATCCATGAAAGGACTCTCTTCGCTAGGATGCCGTCTTGACGTAGTTGGCCATCTATCCTCACAATTGTCTCGCTGTACGCATCATTGAGCGCCTCATCGCCCTTGGACAGGTTGTTCAGCGCCGAGATGACTTTGGCTTTGGTTCTCTTATCGGCAAGCGAATCGACGTGGAGGCGGGCAAGCAGGAACCTAGGAGACTCATGAGTAACAACACTCCATCACAATACATGAATAACTCACATTCCATCCACTGCTCCCGCGACCTTGTTCTGAACAAGTCCCTGTAGTTCGTCGTCGCGTTGGATGCATTTGGCAAGCTGGTCAATCTTGCCGACTACATATCGTTTTACATCTGCGTCGCTCGCGCGCACCTCTAACTGAGGCGTGCCGTCGAACTTCTCTACTATGTCAGATATGTGTCGTGATGTAGCCATAAGACGCAGAACTGTTTGCTGTTGCAGATCTCGGCAAAAGCTTAGCAGCTTGTTCCGTGTACCATCTCGCCCTTGACATTCGTCTAGAGCGTCTATAACAATGTACACTTTGGCGTAGTGACCGAGCACAGATCGTAAAGCCCCAACTGTTTCGCCCAACGAAAGTTTGGTTTTGCGCCCCGAATGGTGTTCGTACAGATCCGATATGGGCTGCATAAGCGATGGCCGATCCTGTACAAGTTGTCTCAGAATAGCAGCGAGCAAACTAGAAGTCGTTTGATCTGCCTGCGTTGTGTAGTTGCAGTACAGATACGTGACACCTACGTCAGGAGCTTGCACTGTGCTTTGGAGATGATCCACTGCGATTGCAGCCATCATTGTTTTGCCAGCCCCAGGAATGCCAGGGCAGAACAGCGTCTGGCCTGCGCCATGGACCCACTCGGTGAACTGGGGCGAGTCCAGAAACCACAGTCCAGTATCTGCTTGCCTGCGAGAAATGAAGTCTGCATGTTGAGCTGGTAAGTCATCTGAAGATAGCCAGTCCATGATTCGGCGGTGCTTCTGACGTTCCCGGTCCAGCTGTAGGGCATCAACTCCCTTTCTCAATGGTTTAGTGTCGTCCCGAAGGGAATCGATGCGGCTCCTAATGCTCTGGGATAGCTTGCTATTTTTGTCAACTTTATCAACAATCCATACCTAGAGGGACACGAACAAATGGTCCATTTCAAGGGCTATAAGCACTAGCGACTTCAGTCGCTCTACCCTTGATAGAATGCGCTCAGCATCGCCTTTGATGTGTTTCCAGAGTATCGTCTTCGCCAGTTTCTGTATCCGATGTGCATCAGATATCTTATCCTTCAGTTGTTCCAACGCAACACGGTACTGAGAGATAATTCCATCCTTGCCGCCCAGTCGCCTGACGTTCGCGTGCCATGGGTCGTTGGAGCCTTCTTCTAGACGAGTTAACAAGCTGACAAGCAGACTTGACAGGTTCGATAGATCGGCTGTGAACTGGCTACGGTCCGTCGAGGCGTCTGTTGCATCGCCTAATGCCTCGCCGACTTTCGCGGTTAGTTGCAGGATAGCGATAATGCTAGCCGTGACACTGAGTGGATCCATGATTCAGTCAGTACGTATGCGAGAGAGCATTCCTGTAGTTGTATTCAGGGCATGCAGTTGACCAGGTTCACGATGAGGGGCGCAGCTCACATCAGCCTCGTTGAGCAGTTGACGGCTGTGCTGCACCATGCATGCACCCCGCCCCAACATGGACACGCGTTATATGTGACATCAGTTCAGAGGCTACTTCTTGTATGGTGACAGTGAGCGCAAAGGGCAATACCTAGGCATGTGGGCGTGTGTTGCAAGAAGTTGCTATTGGTCGCGCTACATACGTGTGCATCGTGGGGTGGCTTGGCATTCGCGCGGAACGCCCTTCTGAGCGTGGGGAGAACCAAGTGCCACCAAAATCCGTCTCACAACAACATATAGGTACACCACTGATCTGTACAAATGATCCCCGTCATGTGTCAGTAGCTTCCTGACAAGCGCCTTAGCGGAGGCCGAGCAGATGTGTAACCAGAGCCCAGAGTCTCGCCTGTCGCGATAGATTCGGAAACCCATGGAATCCTTCAAAGAGAGTACTGTCGAGTAGCAACAGTTTGGCAAGCTGATCTATAAAAAGAGATGGACACACGACTTATAGCAGATGGACATGGCTTCTATCACAGTATTGTTGTCTTGGTTTTGATTGAAGAATCTAGGAAGAATGTTTCATTTGGCGACACAGACGAAGTCCCCAAGAGCTGCGAAGAGAGGTCGGAAGAAGTATATACAGTAGGAAGAAGTATATACAGTAATGACAACACACACAGCGAACCACTGCTACAGCGAGACGACTGGATCCAACCAGAACGAGAACAAACAGTAGATACAGACGTGCGGTCAACCAAGTCAACAAAAACGCACCCAGCCCTGCCCAAACCACGCGAAATCCGCTTTCAGACACGAGCCCGCGTGGTCGCCCCAATAGCAGCACCAGATACCGGAATCAAGAAGTCACTCGCCACAACCCTTCCATCTGCACCCCTCGGCCCCTTCAACACACTCGGATCCACGCTCTTGAAGGTCGAGTTCGACCAGGTCCCCGATTGCCACGAGTTCCCGGTCGCCACTACAGTCGACACAAGCGACACCTGAGCCGAGCCCACGTTCACCGCAGCGATATTCGCACTAACCCTCGACGACGAACTGCGGAAATTGAACCCCACATCCCCGTTCGCCCACGCCGTGTTCCGGCTCACCTGCAACGCGCCTGGGTTTCCGTTATCAATGAACCCCTTCTTGGCATTCGCGAACGCGATCGAGTTGCGCACGATGTGGTTCGCGGGCGGGTTCCCGGTGATTCCGAGCTTGAAACCGTTGCCGTCGCCGTTGAACGACGAGAAGCCCCATCGGTTCACTCCGTTGCCCCACGCGTACACTTCGTCCAGCGTGACGGCGTCCGCGAACATGAACAGATCGAGACCGTCGTCTACGTTGTCCCAGAGGCGCGCGTTGCGCAGCACGTTGCCCGTTCCGGACCCGGATTTGCAGGCGAAGCCGTCGGCGCTCTCACCGTTCTTGCGTGGGTCGCGGTTGCGGTACGAGTCGAGGTTTGTGACGGTATTGTTGGCGGAGACGCCTTCGAGCTGGAAGCCCGTCTCGTAGTTGTCGTGCGTGACGAGCAGGTCGTAGGTGTTGTGGGAGGCGGTGCGGGCGTAGACGCCGTAGGGCCCGTTGATGAGGGTGAGGTGGTAGAAACGCCAGTAGTTCGCGTTCTCAATGTGGAGGATGCCGCGTTCTTTGTTGGGGAGGGAGGCGTCGAGAGCGTAAGGGGTGCCTGGTAAGTCCTCTCCGTCAAGAATCACTTGTTCATTCTCGAAGGAACGGAGTGTGATGGGAGCGGTAGCTGTGCCGCTCTTGGTGATCTGGATGTTGGTCGTTGGCTGCAACTGTCAGCTGGATCTCTAGTCTCGATATACTGGCATACCTTGTACGTCCCAGCCCTGAGAAGAATGTTATCTCCCGCCACCGCCGCATTCACAGCAGCTTGGATAGATCCATACGGCGCCGCCGCAGTACCAGCACCAGTACCAGTCGGCGAGACGTAGATATCCTTTGCCAAGGACGAGCCTGTCAGTGCTACAAGAGCCACCACAAAAGTTACGGAATTCCTGGACATGACGGCGAGTATTTGCGTAACGAATGGAACAATGCGACGACGGAAAGAAAACCAGCAAGATCATGATTATAACAGTAAAATCTCCCCCAATCTCACTGACATTGCCATCTCAACCCATCCCTGCTCGCCGCTAATTAACCACTATACACATATTACCTCCGCGCACGTCCCCGGCCCCACCCTTCCACCAATAAAATCTACTTTCTACTAGAAACAGACGATGCCAAGGTAGTGCGGCGGTGTGTATGAGTCGGATACGCGACTGCCGACATGCGACTGCCGACCGGAACATGGTCAAGTATATGTATACTCTGGCTCGCAGACACGTCGCGAAAAACACAGCCACTTACACACCACAGTTTGAAGCAAGAACCACAGCACTGCCCTCGACAGCAAGACATGTTAGCACAACACAAATATTCCGATTGAGTAAATATGCATGGAAGCTCCCGCGCCCAATACACTGATTTTCTAGAGCCCGGGTTGGGCCTTTCTTCGGCATCACTGTACGAAGGATGCCCCAAGGCCAGGTATGAGTGGCTGCGATGGGACGATAACTTCGATTGCAACATACCAGCCAAGCAAGAAATACGAAAGAGCAGGTAATCACTAGTAAGGGGCTCCCCGCTTCCCAACACGCCCTACAATCTCGCCGGGGTACGCCGCTGTGCACAGCAGCGCATGTGCGCAGCATCCAAGCTCTGTTACAAAAGTCCCGCGGAGTCGGTATTCTGAGCTTTGGATACGTAGACACGGAAACTGAAAAGCGGCCAAGTGCAGGACCGAAACGAGTGCTTGATCGCGCTGGGAGATAGCTTGAAAGAGGTAGTCCAGTGTGGTGTTCTGTGCCAATTATGGAAAGACTCGTGATTAGCATGCGCTGGGAGTTGTAGGTATAATGTCTACATGACAGGCTCCATCAATCTCGACGATAGGAGCGGTATGAGATCCAGCAGCGAGCGGCTTTGGAGAAACGGGCGCGGGCGAGCTGCTCTTGTGTTTCTGAGACGCATTCGCTGTTGGGCGACGTATACTTAAGTCGAGAAATCGACAATCCGATGAAACCTGCGAGCAGATGGTTCTGGCACGCTCTCGTGCCATTGCAGTCTGGCTATGATATATCAAACGTCTGCTGCGCCATGTAGTCCGACCAAGACGTCCACGGATCAGGCGCAATATTCAGCATACCACATGTTTTATAGTGTCGCTTGCCGCTTTCTGCGGTCAGGACTTTGCCTTGCATCTGCTGATCCAGGTCTTTTGAGGTAACGAAAAGAGTGTGATTTGGCCACCCTCCGCAGTACGCAATGTCCCATGCGACTTCAGGCGGCGCGCTGGAGAGGGTCTGATTTTGTACAAACTCAATGCGATAGAAAGTTCGTCAGACCAATGATCTTCTTGGGTCTTGTGGATCGTTGATGACGACGTCCGGAAGCGTTCCCTCGATGGTTAGCGTGCATTGCATGGAAGATGCGAACAAGTCTGGTCCTTCCAGTCTAGGCAACATTCCTTGTGGTCTCTGTTCATGTGTCGCGAGCTCTCAAAATAGTGACACGCAGAAACAGAGACTAATGCCCACGACCATGTCAGGGCTTTGACCAACCGAGTATGTACATAGGCTGCTGGTTGTACGATGCTGTGCTTGTCAACTTGCCACAGCAGCCCACCCTTGACTATCATCGGAGACGTGGTAATGCGCTTTGGCCAGGCCAGCAAGAGCAATCAACCAATCAGTCGCGACCGTGATATTTAATTAGTATTATTTAACGCGCATATGCACAGGCCTGCCGCTTGCACTCGCACGGTGTTGGGTTTGCGGGGGTGGAAGCGGCGCTACTCCGGCACGCCTACACCTTGGCTTGGCTTGGACCGAGCACGTTGAGGACGCGACCTCATCCGAATACTTCCATCCCAGTGCAGTAGTTAATGGCAGATCTCGTTGCTCACAGTACGGTGCGAGGTGTAGCGCGTAAGAAGGCGGTAGAGGCGTGCGAAAGATGTCGAGGCAAGCGTATCAAAGTAAGCACTGGCTTCGACTTGCAAGAAACAAACTGCGACTCCCGGTGTCCGATGCTAACGACCTGGAAGTGTGATGGTCTCCAGCCGTGCAACCAGTGTGTAAAGAAAAGTCTCCAATGCGACTTCACAATCGCACCTTTACAAAAAACAGGTGGAACTGAGGCTCTTGCGGAGTATGTGAGCTCATGCGCTTCATAGAAGCATGTGCTGAGAAGTATAGGAGGCTTGACCTTGTTCTTGCGCGACTCGATCAAATTGAGAAAAGGTTGAGTCAGCAAGGCACCAGCAGTACAATTCCCTCCAGCCAACCGGCAATAGCATCGAAGCCCCAGCTGTTCGCTTTGCGCCCACAGACCCGTGGTATAGTCAAACTCAATCAGCAGACCGGATGCTTTGAGTATTACGGTACGTCTTAGATTAGTGTGCACAAGGTGAAAACTTATCAGCATCAGGTCGAACCTCGACTTTCCAGATAGCGTCCACACTCGGAAAGACTTTTGACCATCGAAATGATGCAGCAATAGACCCACCATCCAAGAAGCGAAGGCTTGATTCGAGTCCTCCGGAGTCGCCTAATACAGCTCACAAGACATTGGATTTGGATGAACTCACGAGCTTTTGTGATTACGTTGTTCCACCACATGCTTTGCGTGGTGATAGACGTCTTCAGGTCCATGTCGCTGACAGGCACCTTGAGAATTTCTTCCGCACGATTCACATCTTTCTGCCCATCCTGGATCAAGCGCATCTCAAGGCGAGGTACAATGCGTTGCGGAGACTATTTGGAGACAAGCAACTCACCTTCGCAACGTCCGGAGAACCCAATCGGCCACAGTTTGTGTGCCTTTTGTATTCAATCTTGGCATTAGGCGCTCTATATGAAGATGATCAAGATGACAGCTGCGTATGGGCGTCTTGGTACTTCGCCGAAGCACAAAGCATGCTTGGGCGTCTACTGGACGCGAGCAATCTGGATCTGGCTCAAGCAGCAACATTTCTTGGAGCATACGCGCAGCATGCGATTAAACCAAATTGTACTTATAGCACCGGCTTCAAGGAATCTTTGATGTGCTCAAGCTAATAGATGCCTAGTGGCTTACAATCTTAACGGCATTGCAGCGCGATTGGGATACTCAATTGGTCTGAATGTCGAATCGTTGCATCGTACTTTGGGATTTGACAGGGAAGAAGCTAAGCGAACTTGGGCGATGATCTATATACAGGAAGTCGAACTCAGTTTAGACGCGGGCAGACCTATGTCAGTGCGTTCTTCGGACATGGAAATGAATTACCCAACTGTACAAGTAAGTCAGCTGGTAGATATGCAAGTCAAGCTGACCAAGAAAGCTACCAGCTACACATGAGTCGCGAACAGATCTTGCACAGGTTGTCTTCATCTCCCATCTGGCAAGATTCTCCAAGATTGTAAGGACGATATTGAAGCTGGTAAGATCGAAAGTTATGAACTTCTGGACCAAGTCTGACCTGAGATCAGTCGGATATTCATGAAGAACGGCCTGTCTTGCTTTTAGAAGAGCGGGAGTCGTTGCGACAACAGCTCGAGCATTGGCGAGACTCTTTACCGTCTTACTTAAGCATTGAGAGCAACAGTAGCGAGATCCCTGATAGTGGAGACGCCAGTCTCTCCTTCCTTCGTGACTGGAGAGCAAGACAGCAAAGTAGCCTCAGAATCCGTATGTGTAAAATCATTGTCGCGGTCGTAAGCTTGCCATGTTAACGCAAGAGCAGATTTTAACTTAGGAAACATTATACTACTGAGAGGCGCAGTGAACGCCAAATTTGATTTGGATTCTGGCGCTGCTGATTGTCCATTGATGGCTATGCACCGCAGAATCTGTCTCGATGCCGCTCGTGACATGATCATGCATATTCATCGATCGTTCGAAAGAGCTCCAGAGCTAAGGCGCTGGGGCTACTACACTTTCTATACTCTGCAAGCCATCCTGGTCTTACTGCCACAATCGAACGACTTCAGCCCAGAGGATGATACAGCATGTTTGCATGCTGTTGAGATCTTTGAAAAGATCCCTCTGAAGGCTTCGCAACGCTGTGCAGAAGTAGTACGTCAATACCTTCGTCGTCGCGTCCAGTCCAAAGCGAAACGGCAAAGAGTACATGTTGCCCACGATGCTACGTCCACGGATGCGAATCCTCCGGAGCCTTTGTATACCGACGAAGTCTCTGCACAAGTCCAGGCACCAGAGTTGCAAGATCTAAGCAGATCCCCAACGCGAGACAATAGTCATCACTCGGGGGGCGTTTCAAATCTGGAGAACAGCCTTTCGTGGACTTCGGTGTCTCCAAATACGCTCCAGACCGAAATGTATAGCGCACTTTACAGTCATGATTTGACCAACGACTTTTACTCTGGGCATCAACAATATTTCTTTGGCTCCACGGGATTTCCAAGTATCATTCTAGAAGACAACAACAACAACTACTGCTATAACAACAACAGCAACAACAACGACATTAACAATACTAGCGATTGGTTCGAATTTTGGAACAGATAGCAGAGTAAAAACCATCTCCTCCTGTGACCGATATCGCGACAAGTGCGACATGTACAAGATCCGCTCAGCGTGAATCATGCCAATCGTTGCTCATACTCGCTTCACGATCGGCAAGACCAACTTCCCGCCAAGCTTGATGCGATTCGTTCCCGAGAAAATTGCTTCTGGTCTATCCGGTCCAATGTGCCGCATCGGAGGAATGATATCTTCCTCGTCATTGGCGCGTAATCCAATGGCAAGTCTGTGCCCTGGCTCAACGATCATGGAAGTACATACAATCGGGACCTTGACATCATACCACTGACCAGCTTCCACAGCCGCCGGCCCCATCTGATTAAGTATAGGCCTGTTAGGCGTTGATTCATTCGAGAGCGTACGATGTGAGAGCCGAAACCAGCTTCGGAGGAAGGACACCGCAGGCTCGTCATGATTGCCGCGAAAGACAAGCTTTTCACCCTTGGGGTCGATGACATAGAAATAAAAGAATAAATCCATGTCCTTTGCGTCTGTGGACACAGTCAAGTCGAGGTGTGGAAAACCTAGGATTTCGAGTTTCTCTTGCAGTGGCTCAGTCTGGAAAAAGTTCACACCCGTCAGACCTGCGTAGGAGAGGACAGCATCTGTTGACGAGCCTTTGTACGGTTCAAAAGACAAGGACTCGTTGGGAGCAAAGTACAGAGGAGTCTGTTTGGCGTCTGTTGGTGGCCACGCTTTCTCAGCCCTGTAAAAGTTTTCGGTACCCTTGCGTATGAGGAGGTCGACACGAGGGGCACCCTTCAGGCCATTATCCGTCTTGTTTTTCAGGAAGTGATCGAGAAACTCGAGTTGTCTGTGGATTTGCTCCGGCTCGTAGTATGCGGCCAGATGATTACCTGTTTTCGATTAGAGAAATCATCAGACTAGCTTCTCGACAATGGGTTCGAACCTGTGTGCATCTCAAGAAACTTCCATTCCGATGAAGCGCGCTCATACGACGTCGGATTGCCTGGAAGGTGGAGCTCGGAATCCATCCAATTGCCGGCTGTAAGCATGGGAACCTTGATCTTTGACAGGTCTCTTGTACGATCGAGAATGGGCCACGGGCCTTCCTTGCGCCAAATCCAGTTCGTCGCGAGCGCATCGTAGTCGAATCGTTGCTTGGCGAGCTGCTCTTCACTCAACCCCTCTTTCTTTCCGTACTGTTCAGGAACGACGATGTTGTTGTACCAATGCTTTTGGAAGCCGGAATGCCACACGCCGCCTTGCCTGACAGCGTCGCCGTACATGTCAGCCAATGCCTCATACGGAACGATTGCGCTCAGATGGGGTGGCTGTTGCATAGCGGCCCAGTAGCACGCCATGCCGTAGTAGCTGATGCCGCACATGGCGACCTTGCCAGTTGACCACTCTTGAGTGCCTGCCCACTCAACGACATCGTATAAATCTATGGGACCTTAGCAATGATACTTAGCGGCCACTGCAGATTTTCGTGCTCACCTCTGCCCTCCGAATCGTCATTGATCAGCACTGTTCGCCCGATGCCGAACGGATCAAGTACACCAGGACTGCCGCCAGAACCTCGCACGTCAATCCTCACAACAGTGTAGCCGTGGGATTTACACTACTGGTGGGTCAGTTCTTAATCCCTGCGACCCTGAGCTCTTCGCTTACCCAAACAATCGGATCTGGAGTCTCGAAGCATGCGTCTGGCCCAAGTGGTGAGATCGCCTTCGCCATGTTCGCATACATGTCTGTTTTAGGCTTGCCAAACTCTGAGAAGTGAATATCTTTGCCATATGGACCCATGGTAAGAAGTACAGGAAACTTCTGAACATCAGTGTTGGTTGGCAGGTAAACGTTCCCACAGAGCTCGGACCCGTCTCTCGTTGATATGTAGACATCTTTGATGAGTTTGTAGCCGTCGCGATGAACTTCTTCAGTCTCACGACGTGGAACTGTCTCGAAAGCTCCAGGATGAGGAAAAGACATATTTGCAGATGGCAAGCGACTGTTGTTGGTGATTGGATTGAGCTCTTCAGCCCAAGTCATTATATATTAGGAAGTGGTACGAGCGGCGAGCCCCAACAGCTTTCTTGCGTGCGGGGTCTCGATGCGTCGTACAACGCGACATAGAAGGTAAATTCCACAGTCTCGCACAAGACGGATGTGTAGGATGAATGTCTATTAGTCGAGGTGACGGCGACCATTGCCAATCGGGTTTAGGTTGACGCGGAGCACCCGCGGTGGACATGGGATCGCGCTTCCGGAATCCCCGCGCAACCCCATACATAAGAAATGTACGCAAATAAACAGCGAGGTACGATTTATTGCATGGCTGAACGGCCCACAGATATCTCATCTTCTGCGACGATTGCTTGCGACACTTCACTCTGCCTGACCCTGCCATCGCACGATGTCATCACACTCAACGTCTACCCTAAAGCAGATCGCCTGCATACGTCGCAAATCGGACATGACTCGTGAAGAGTTCTTCACTTACCATTTCCAGATTCATGGCTCGATATCCGACAAGCCAACGACCCCAGACCACAAGCCACAGTATGTTGAATGGGTGTGGTGATACTCTCAATGCAATCACTTACATACGTCTACAGTAAATACATCCAGACCCACTTTTTCGATGCAGCGTTTGGCTCACGGTCAGGAAGCACTGCTGGGACTGGAAATCATGTTTGGACGGGTCGCGACGATATGACCGAGCTCTGGTTTCGAGATTGGGACCATCTGAAGGCTTGTTTCGGATCTGATCACGTCAGAAAGACAATTGGGCCTGATGGTGTAAACTTTAACGATCTCGAAACAGCAATCCCACTGATGACTATCGAAAAGGAGTTGCACTTCGGCAGCGCTGTCACCCCTTCCGCAAGGCTAGATGAAGGCTTTCGCACAGTCGCTGTCCTCTTTTTGGCTTGCAAAGCCGAAGTCTCCGAGGAGCAGTTTGAGCGAGAATTGTCGCCTGCTCTGCTCGAGGTGTTGCAGACATACGCATCGGATGAAGTTTATGGTATCCAGGCGAACATCAGTCTACCACAATCTCAGTTTGATATTCGAGCCTACTTCGGTGGCAAAAACATGCCAGAGTATCCGGTTACCTACAAGATCTACATCAAGGACAGGGGATCTTTGACGGCCATTAGGAAAGCCCAGAGAATTTTTATGGACAGTGGAGATAAGCTCGTAGATGCAAGCAATAGCTTCATCGCTTTTGGGAAAGAAGGTCTGGTCTTTGATGTTGGAAGCGATCGTAAAGTAGGTGGCCCCCTCGCGTATGGCGCAAACACTGTTGACTTGCGCCCAGTTCGATCCAAACCGCCAGCCTATGCTCTCGTACTAAATGGACAGAGATTGTTTTTACCTTGTATAGAAGCTTTATATAGAATATACATAACCTTACATAACTATATTTTATAACAAGAGAAGATTATATCTCTTCCTTTAAAGAACATAATGTGGTGGTCGGTGCGAGCTTGCTTTGACAGGGCGGTGCGAATCCCGTCTGACGCTGTATGTACAAGGTCGAAGTGGAATGAGTAGTTGAAAGTGGCTTCATTGGAGGAAGGTCCGCCACTGTGTCGGGTATAGAGACGGTGTCATACGCTAACCCGCCCGAGCAAGATCCTATGAGACCAGTATCATGGGGTTAACTTCGCATTATATTAATAATTTCTCGCAGCTGCCGGCATATACTGCGTGTTTGTTTGATTGTATATATGTCCCAGACCTCATCAAGTGGCCTGCCCGCGATGTAGTCCATTCGGATATAATTTTCACCATCTGTCTAACCAGGACCGCGATCGTGAACGCGTGGTACATGAAGCTCATGCTGTGCGGCGAGTTTCAATGCTTGCACCTCCTCCATTCTGACGCGTCTAACTTCTTTAACGACAACAGAGCGAAGTAGACCGTGAGCTAGACCACGATTTCGACCACGACTCCGACTACCTGCCGATAAGTGTAGTGTTTAATATGACTGTGTAACACCTTCAGGAGACAGCAAAGAGCAGCTGGAAGCGCGTGAATGTGATGATGTACTTGAAGGCTTTGAAGCAGACTCTACTGCCACTCCGCAGGCAATGACTGAGACAGCGCTCGACAACTACGTCGGCGACAGAGTTGCTGCCGCTCGCAGGCAAATTGCAAAACGTACAGTCGCCTACAAACCACATCACCACATGCTAGCTTGATACAAAGTGATGTACATGCGCAGGTATCTGGAGTAATCAACAGGACGTTGAGAACAAGTTCTTGCGTCCAGTCCACCGTTTTCCTAGACACGATCTCGGACCATACCTTCGGCATCACTGTATGAAGTATCCAACCGTACACGATGCCCTTCCAAGATCAGATGCGAGTGGCTGGCACATGACAACCTCATGCTGCAAGAGTTGGCTGTCACGACCTTTCGATGATATCTTACATCAAATGGAAGATGGAAAATATTTGAGCGTAATGGCTTTGGCAGAGTGCTAAAATGATCTATTATACGATGCGGAAGAGGGAAAAGCGGAGGTAAGATTTCCCTTTTCCCAACTAGACTAAGATATGTGTGCTTTAGGGATGCCAGTACGGGCATATTGTCAACCGTTTCCTGTCTCCGCACACCTGCCGGCGTTTTATTTCACCAAAGCTGATGTTGATGTTAAGATGACATTGCGCCCGAGACAGAGCCGCAGTCTAGCCCGGGGCGGCGTTTCGATCAACTATCGCCATGTCCTATTGTGAACTCGTAGGTTTTCTGAAGTTGCATAACGACACCCTGGTACACGGCCCGCCGGAATTTGGCGTCGTTAAATTTGTTGATGCCCGCATCGAAAGTACACCGAATGCATCGCCGAACTGCACCACTATAGCATACATCTGCCTCGAACTCCAGCTCTTCAGCCATTCTGTCAGCTATGTTGTATCTGGTCAATAAAGCTGCTTCTTCGGGCGTAGTGGAAGATTGCTCATCATCCGCTGGAATCCGCAGTTCATCCAGCGTCTGACCATACCAAAGCTCAATCAAAGCAACGCCTAATGCAAACAAGGTCTGATTGCGGATCACTCGAGCGATGGATCTTGGGACCGCTTCATTCATACAAATACTGGCCTGATCGAAACATCTCGATACGAAGAAGTGATCGTAGGCAGTCGTACCTAGACGCTCAATCAGAAAAATGCTATCGATACCCCAATTCTCCTCAAGCCAGGCTGTTTCGTGCAATTGCAAGACGCTGGAAGCCAGCGTGACACCTAGCCAAAGACGATCGCGTTTTTGAAAACGATGTCCACGTTTCAAAGCGCTCCGAAGCGTTGATACCGACCAGAACTCAGTATCGTGTGGAGGCTTCTTGGTTGGGAAGATCTTGAGTCCGTATCCTTGTCCGGTTGCCATCTTAACTGTGATACTGGACACTCGAAAAGCCTTCTCGGCATCTGGTGTGATTCAAGTCGCTCAGATGCAAGGAGCATCACTCATCAAGAGGGCCGAACAATCTGGTCTTCGCGTGAGCTCTGTGGTGAAAGATGAATATTTGAAGGTGTGCTGATAGAAAGGTGCGAAGCGGGGCTCCCAGCCCGACAGCTGGGTAGTTACGTGCTGACAGCACATACATGAGATGTTCAGGTTGTCCCGCAACCCCTCAATCCTTCGGCGATCTCTGGCGCCTCGCTTGAGTAAAATAACACGATGACTATAACATCTCTCAACCCGTATAATCCAAAATCCTTCTCTATCCCGCTTAGATGGAGGCTTCTGTTTTGATTTCTACAGTTGTCGATGGGTGTGCCCGCAGGTTTATCAACCTTAATAATCGATTAAATGGCGCTTCGCGGTTTTCAGACCAGGTACCGGCGGGACTGATAGCAGATGAATTCGATCGCTTGAAGCTGTGGTAGGGTGTCTGTCTGCACTGAATATCGTCATTATTGATTGAGGCCATAGGGCAGGTAACATCGCAGCACACCGGAAGGGTTGGTCTTATCCAACGACAGATCTATACGGTGCCTCCTATTAACACTAGACAAAGGGCGCAGATCACTCGAAAATAGGCTTCGCGATGCTCCTCAACTGAAAGAAGATACCCTCGAATAGCTGAGATTTCTCTCTGATAGTCAAGATGAAGGTTAGCTGTTATGATCCATATGAGGAGTAGACAACCCTGACCAGTAGTAGCTTTGGAGATCGTCAAAGGCCAGCGCATCCCCTGGGATGAAGAAACTTTTTCAGACGACGACGGAGATTGCTCAGATGACAAAGGTAGCAATTCTAGCATTGAGGATATAGCTTTAAGATAAGTTAAGTAGAGAGCTAGTTATAAAGAGAACCTTAGTGCTTACTACTTTAGATATACCTTTATATATGCTATATAAAGTAAGTATCTTAGCTTATGGGCCCTAGCCTAGCTTAAGCCTCTAGCATCCCGCGTTTATTATAGACTAGCTTTTTAAAGCTTTAAAAACTCTTAGTAAATAAGATATAAAAGTTATTGCTATAAGATAGCTCTTAACTACTTAGGCTTATAAGCTTAAAAGATAATTCTATAATAAGAGTTGCTAGAAAGACTAAGAAGACTTTTATAAAGGTATATATAGGTTAGAAAACTATAACTACTAAGTAGATTGTGGATTCCTATCTGGTACGATACCTGACGCTCCTTCTCTAATTGGCTGCGGCTTTCGATCCATCTTTGGATGGTACCGGTATGTAGTTCATGCATACACGCAGTTCCCGTGAGTGGCTGTGAAGGTGTGGTTCACGCGAGTATAATAGTGCAGCCGTTCAGGTGCAGGGAACGTTCGGTGCATTTTACGAAACATATCAAGCTCTTGTTGTCCAGCAACCACGCATGATCCGGGAAACCTGTCCAGTGTTGTGGCTCCATGCTTCGTATATCTTATGGGTCACGGCATGAAGAGCGTGCTCAGTCGAGCGCATCTTCCTGTCACCCATGTGTGTCGGCGGTAGGACGTGATGGGTCTCGGCTAGGTAGCTGAGTCGCCGTGCCATGACTGCGTCCATGATTGCTTCCGGAGGAAGCAATTAAATCCGAAATGGAGGGGCTTAGGTGTTCAGAAAGCGCAACCTCTAATTGGCTAAGCAAACCTCGTAGCTGATTGGCTCATGCAAGTTGTGGAATCTTTACGTAAGCAGACCTTAGGAACTTCATTCCTCCTAGTCCGACTAAACGTCACATAACGCAGCTAGAACTTTGAAGTTTAAGCAGCTAGAAGTTCAACCAGCCAGAAGCTCAACTCCAGCCAGAAGTTCAACCAGACAGAAGTTTGATTAGCCAACTTGGCTAACGCTTCCGCCTCTAGAAGCACTTTCAGCGCGTAATCATCGATTTTTTTTACGCCTGACATATCTACGTTTTGCCTGTGGTGTTCATCAATGTGATGGGCCTGTACGACGTCGGTGCCGTGTAGTCGTCTTTGCCCGGCTTGCGTAAGACGACCGTAGTCGACTCGCGAAAGTGGGCCGGGCAGTATCCTAGGTGCAGGCTCTGGTTGAAGATCCTCGTTAGGTGAGACGCAAGCTGGGCTAATCCCGCCTGCTGATGGCTGCTGCAAAGAGCAAATCAAGAATATTATGTTGAGATAGCGGGATAGATTGGGAGTTGTTTCTTTTGGAAGAATACATCTTTGACGCCTTGGGAGCCAGACTTCATCATCTTTAACTCGTCTGTTAGCGCCGAAGCATAAGTGATTTTCGTTAGCTAAGCGGACTGGCTGATTCCGAGCTAACTCCTTCGCATTACAGTGGTCATATCTCGTAGTACATGGCGACAAATACCCCGTTCATGAGCCACAGGAGTCACAGTCATTTGCTTCACTATGATACTTCGTTCTTCAATTTGCCCACTATGTTGCGGCAGTAATTTCTATTTGGTATCATTGAATAGACAATCCCGATCGCTTCCATACATTGGTCACATTGCTTTCAAGCGCCAAAGTAAAGGGATCTTATGCTTGGGCAAGTGCTCACTTCACTTGTTCTTTCGTAAGGAGATACATTGCCATTCCTCCTTAAGCTGCTAGGGCTCACAAATTGTTGCTTTGTCGCCGTTTTCGGGGAATGTTGATCCTAAGCCTTGACAAAAGAACTCTTCTCCAGGAACTCCTTCAGACCCACCAGCTTCTCGTCAAGAATCTCATGACTCTTCTCCAACCCTTCTCCTCCATAGTAACCCGGGTTTTCAATGAATAAATGATTCTGTAGCAGTTCTTCAGCCATGAACTCTGGCAAGAAGCTCTTGTAAGTGTTCTCGTCCACCTGCAAAAAGCGAGTCTTCTTGCTCGTCACGTTGGCCAATTGATCGAGAATCTGGGTTGGAGTGTAATAATCCCGTGCTCCAAAGATGCGAGCCCCAAGGACGGATTGGCGGTTCTTGATTATGGACTTCACAAATTTGCCTGTCCACTGATTAGCAACCACTATAGCTTTGAGTGGCTTTCAAGGTGTCATCTTACCAGTATCGCTCTTTATGTCAATGAGTGGGAATCTTGCGTCCTTTCCAACGGGAAGTGCCCAGGTCAACGCACCATCCTGGCCTGGCCTTATCATCGTCTCGAGATTGCTCATGAAGTAGCCAGGTAAGTAGAAAGTGGCTGGCACGCCGCTATCGCGAATGTACTGCTCAACATCCGCTTTGCTATCAAAGTGGGGCACATGGGTGAGGCGACCGTTGCTTGTCTTCGTCACATTCAAAAGCGACGAGAAGATGAGATGCTGCACTCCAGCATCTTTGGACACATCTGCGACGTTCTTTCCCTGGGTGATTTCGGTATCAGAGCTGGCACTTTCCCAGTAGTTGGTGACCAAGAAAACAGTGTGAGAGCCCTTGATTGCGGCTTGAAGACTGTCCTTTGAGTTTAAATCTGCCTATAGTCGAGGTTAAATATATTGTTCTGACAAGCCAATTGAGGTCGACTTACTGCTACCACCTCGACGCCAGCTTTGGCGAGCGCCTGGGCGACAGGCTTTGAGGTATCGCGTGTAATGCCACGGACCTTGAACCCCTGTGAAAGTTCGGGGTCCTTGAGGAGCTGCTCGATGACAGAACCACCCTGGTTGCCTGTGGCTCCGAATACAGTGATGATTTTGGACATGTTCGCGAATAGTTTGGATTTCCCTGTAGATTGAGGGCTGAGAAGAGAGTTGAGTGCTGTACTGGCTCGACTGTGTGGGATATAATGAAACGAATAATTGGCAAGGCCTCCATTTATACTTCATTGTGCTTGCTATTTTCTCTTACGAACGCAATGCCCAGCTACAACTAATCCGCGCAAGTAGGGACCGATATCCAACATGGAGTAACTAGCCTCCACCACATCCCGTACGTTAATCTAAGAACGATGACAAAGCTTGTGGTCATGTTGAATTAGTATACTAGCTGACAAGTTTCGGCGCGAGTTGAGCGCGCACCGTGACAAAGCAGCCGGAAGTTTTGATTGCCGACATGCGATCGGGCCGACCGCTGGAGTTGTAACACGACACAATCAGTATGTATCTCACTTGTCAGCAATTCTGACTAAGCACCCCATCGCGCACCTCGCTCCTATGTGTGCTACCGGCTGACAAACTCTCTAACCCGTATATCAGTACGTTGTGGAGGCTGGAATTTACGGTAGCTGTTTCAATAATTGTCGCGTTCATACTGTCATCACTTCATCTACGATCATCCAGGCACACAATCTCATTCAGAATGAGCAATCGAGCCGCACTCGTCGAGAGTCCAAAGGGCGAAGTTGTTGTGCGCGATACTGAGGTCTTTGAACCCGAGCCAGGAGAAGTGCAGATCAAAGTCCATGCCTGCACCGTTCAACCAATAGATGCGAAAATTGGAAGGCTTGGGATGATGCCAATGGAGTACCCTACTATCCTCGGTAGTCAGGTTGCAGGTGTCGTCACAGCCGTTGGGGCACAGGTGACTAACGTTGCAGTGGGTGACCGAGTTGTGGGAACGACCAAGGTTGTTGCGCAGAAGAAAGCCAAATTTGGCGGATTACAGCGCTTCTCAATCCTGGATGCATCTGGACTTGTCGAAGTGAGTGAGCTATCCAAATATCGCTGGTCAAGCCTAACTAAATATAATAGATTGGCGATGTCGACTTCGTCAAATCTACGACACTGGCACCCACCACCCCACCTGCAGTTCTGTTTGCAGACTCGACACTGAAGCTGCATCGCCCTACCATCCCACCCTCTCCCCTCCCTGCCAATGAGCAAGGCAAGAAGGTCCTTATCTGGGGTGGATCCTCTTCTACGGGATCGCTATCCATTGTGTATGCGAAGCTAGCTGGCTACACCGTCATAAGTACGAGTTCGCCGCGTAACTTCGACCTCCTCAAAGCATGCGGTGCCGACTACATCTTCGATCACAGTGATCCAGCCACCATCAACGCGATTAGAGACTTGTTTCCAATCGACTACTGGCTCGATACCATCTCGCTGCAACCTTCAATAACGTCGATCTTCAAGATTCTCGCGCCTGATGGCAAATCTTTGGTAACAGCAAACATTCTTGTCCTGCTCCCACCGTCCATGATCGGTGTTACCAATATCCCTGAAGGTGTCACCCTTCAGGCCCATCGCTTTGCTACTGCAGCTCCAGAGAATGCGGAGTGGCACAAGTATTTCTTAGCACGTGGCGGATATCTGGAGCAGGCTATAAAGAATGACTTACTGAAGACTGTACCCGCAGATGTTCTGGGTGGACTTGAGAAAGTTAGTGATGCATTTGATCTACTTTTGAAGGGCGTTAGTGCAAGGAAGATTGTAATAGAACCCTGGACCTAAGGTTGCAGTGGTGGAAGAGCTAATATAACTATACGTCCAGAAAATCTTAAGTTGTTTATCTTGTTAGCTAATAGGAAGACGCTTTCTGACTTGTAATGGTTGTCTTGACAAGCACTGATTGAAATCCACAAATACACTCTCGCTAAACGCAAGGTTTTGTTCACACTGACATGCACTTAGAGTAGGCTGTAGGACAAAAATCAGCCTCATGTCGCCAGATGAAAAACAGAGAAAAAGGGATATGAGAGAGACCTACTAGCGCCATAAAGCTTGCACACAGTTCCTGGAATACATTTCTTCGGCCCGGTGTAAGCCTTGCCTCCGCACTGACCTGTATAAATCTTAGTAAAGGGTTCTTCCATTTAGGTATTGCGATGAAGTATTCCTAAATTGTCACATTTCGCTCTGACAGCGGACTGTTACTTACCATACAACGGCACGGTGGCAGAATCAGAGGCTCCAGGTGGGATAACAGACAAGCGAGAATGCGTACGAGTTGCGAGCGTAGTCAGCAATGGGGCCGGATCCACAGTTGAGTTGGCTGTTGCAGAAGGCGCAACAGTAACATGCAGGATTGAAGTGGAGGGCGCACTTGTGGCTGAAGCAGGTTCCTCTGAAGTTGAAAGTATTGAGCCCGAAACACTAATCGCACTGGTCTGGACTGGTGTGCTCAAGCCACTGGGACTGTACAACGGGGGACCAGGAGGCGTATAGTTGATGATTTTAGCATAGGGGTCAAAAAGAATGCCCGTATCGTCGGCCTTGTAGAGCTCAGTACCCAACAAACCGGCAGGAGAGTCGGTGCCCGAGCCAACGATACGAATGTTCATGCATTGAGGATATAGCTGTGCACCGTCCCTCAATGCACCATCATGAAGGTTGATGATTTCGTTGCGGAAGACGTAGTTACCAGGAGCGATGGTGGAGGGCACTGTCGTCGTCCAGGTGAAATTGTTGTCCATGAGCTTCTGTCCAGCCCAAGTGCCGTCATATCCAGCCTCGTCAATTTTGACCCACTTTAAAATGGACTTGTCGGCCGAGGCACAGTCACCGTTGCAGGACGCGATGTAGGTCAGCACAGGACCGATGTTATGCGGCCAGTCTGGCCACACGAAGTCAACTTTACCGCCCGCGGTGACTTCGGCTGTCAGAACACCTGGGACGGCATTCTTATGGCAAACAATGTCCAGAGTTCCGACGTTGTTGGGCTCAATGTAGCCTCGGTCAACAGCCTCAGTAGACCACGCAGCAATGTCTGGGACAGGATTGCCGTTTTGAATTCTGTAGATAGCATCGGTTGGGAAGCCATTGTTGCGGATGCCGTCGGTGATGAACTCGCCTATGATACCGTGCGATAACACCCGAGAGACGAACGCAGTAGCAAGTAGGACTGTTGATCGGAAAAGCATTGCGCAGTTGGGTGTCGATGGACGAGGTCAAGCTGGCAAATTTTAGCACTACGATCGTTGCGTTAAAGCCAATGCTGCTTTAATTAGGAAGTAATGGAGTTACCTTAAGATGAAAAAGCGCAGAGTTGAAGAGAAAAGAGTGAGTTCCAAAAACCTAAGGAATGTGGTAGTGACCTGATTTTGCGAACGACCTAACACCATTTATGCTACATCGCATGGAAATTCAGGTATTCCGTGCCTATCCATTTCGAAGAAGCCCACGCACGGGAACTTGAAACACTCTAAACAAAGCGCCATTGATGCCGGAGATACGACGCCAGAAACAGATGTAGCCTGCAATTCTGCAGTTCTCAGACCGATCGAAACATGTGCGCCCAGACTTTTTGACATCTCTTTCACGGCACTTTCTGATCAGAAGCGAAATTTGATATCTATCACCTCAGTCCTGCCAGTGAAGGAGTAAGGAGTAGATGTACGCAGGTGAAGGACAATCCTTCCTGCAGGTGCATTAAAAAGATTCGGACAGACGGCACCATCTTCAATGCAGTCTGGACCCAGTCGGAGAGTCTCACAGACTGTCCAGTGTGTAGCAATTTATTGAACATGGGAGACCTTCATCGTAGTACCTTTTTCTAGACAGAAACTCGGTGCGGTGCTGGTGCAAATCATCGGGTAACACGGCTTGACATGGCTGAGTTTGGCACGACCTGGAAGATGACACCGAGCGGCACATCTTGCCAATCTTGGCTCGTCGATACCTTCCCGCCTCATCTGGGGGTCCGTCTTACACTGCACGTACCCAGGCAAAACCACAGAGGAGATTCTTTGAAATGAACAGTGGACATTTCGGAAGTGCTGTCATAGACATAAGCAAGGAATGGAGGTCTGTCGAGCGTGCTACAATATAAGCGTGACAGCATGCCTCCACAAGACTCATGTAGACTTGATATCATCACGGAAAAAGCCGTCGTACTGTTACAGGCTAACATAATTATGGAAATTAAAGTGGGATACGACAGTCAATGTTGTTACCTTGAGTGGCGACGCTGGCCGTAAGGAGAAAGAGGAGATCCCTTTATCTGCAGCGACATCTGACTCAATCGCTTGGCGGTTAGCCCCGCTAATCAGTCTCAAGAGGGTTTGAGGCTGTACAGCTCTGCAATATGAGATTTGGGGCTGCATTCCGTTAAATTGAGAAGCCTTGTGCTGTATACAGCAATGACAGTGTACCATGTGCCACCGACGTTGTGGTTTGATATCACGGTAACGCCAGGCCAACACAATTCACGATGTTTTTTTTTAAGATCTGGACACTCTATTCTCTGTACACTGTCAAGATGGTACACCAGCGTGATGCATTGCTACTTCTATTCGCGCCATGTAGCACGCACTCTAGTTAGTAGCGGTGTTATGCGCAGCAAGCAGACGCCTAAGTCCACAATTAAAGAAAGCAGGTCTACTCATAGATAGACACTATAGGAGCTTCTCGCCCCATCCACAGTAGAGTTCTTTTCTAAGGAAGGTGCCAAGCTTAGCAACAAGTTGTCGCTAGCAAAAGAAGTGCGCGAGGTCACTAGCATTCCTTACTCAGCGTTGCAGGGTGAACTGTTGTCCAACTTTACTATAAATAAGCAAATCTCATAGAATAAACACCAGGTAACAAAAGTTCTAACAGACCACGCATACTCTTTAATAGGAATATTAGGAGTTAGTCTGTTGCCATTCAACAGTTAGAGTCCAGCTAAAGCAATGAAATAAGTTACAGATAAGGCCAAAAAGCAAGATAAGTGCCTTCAAGACATACACTAGACAGATTTCTAGAACAACAAGAAGCGCATTAAGGATACCAAAGGCAGTCGTCTTACGGACTCCTACCACTAGGTGCTTGCCAATCCTACTTTTCAGCAATAGCAACAGCGCTTAGATAGCCAACTGTTATAGGTGAGATGCGACCCTGGGAAAGGAAAGACGATGCTTCTGTGTGGCATCATTGACGAGCTACACAACTCAATGCCAAGGTCCGCCCTGTTGTTGTACTTCTTTTGCCAGGCAACCAACCCGCGCATCAATAGTGCTATAGCTACGGGCCTTGCTGTATATGCCTATACACCAGCAACCGTCACTTGTATCACATGTCTATAAGAAGCACGATCATGCAGGCAAAGCCTTGTTTAAGGATGCAAATGCCTAGGTTGCCCTAACAGAGATCTTTACGGACGTGCTACAGGACCTACAGCTAAGAAATACATACTAGATTGTTAATGCGCTAGACAAGTGTGTCACTGATTTGCTAAGACTACTTTACTTTATTATAGAGCAGTCTTCTACCTCTTCCCACGTTAAGTAGATCGTGTTAAGCCGCAACTAGCCACAGATTAAAGAGTAGATAGAGCAAACTAGGCATAAGGTCAGGCTAAGCCTTAAGCTAAATGTAGAGTCTATATCTACAGGTGTCGGCGTGTTCATCCAGCACAAGCTAACTCAGCTAGCACAACAGAAGAATTACGAGAAGCAGATGCAGGACACAGTTTTGGAGAGACTGACGGCAAATGTAGATAGCACCTTCCTGTGGGTAGCGTTGGTGTGTCAGGAGCTTGGAGCAACAGCGAGATGGAACGTGCTAAAGATACTGAATACCTTCCCGCCAGGATTAAAGGCGCTTTACAAGCAGATGATGCGGCAGATCAGCGTGTCGGTTGACGCTGACCTTTGCCGACAGATGTTGGCTCTAGCTGCGCTGGTGTAACCTTGGTACTTCTGCTCGGTATTGCGTATAAGATCGTTGCCCCCCCCCCCCCCCCCCACATGTGGGCGAAGTTGAGCACGCAAGCGTACAGCTCAGAGGACCGATCTTGACTGCGTCTCTCGAAATCGTTCAGGTGCCTGACGCTTCCAACATCTACGTAAATGAGGCTCTGTACAAGATCCACCCCCAGATTCCAGCCGTCTATCGTCAATTAAAACCAATGTTCTGGCGCTTCGAACCGGACTACGATCTGAGCAGTGGAGTCAAACCGGTCGACTTGAAAGTCAGGTACCAAATCCTCATGCTGTGGCGCAATGAGAGGGAGCACAGATGGTTCGGCTTAGTCCTCAGACAAGTGTCTGGGAGCAATTTTGAGCGACTTGGTCTTTGTCAAGCTTCGTACAAAGACACACCAAGTCAGACGAAAACATGCCAGAACATGATCGACACCCTGTCGATTGGAAGCCTGCGAGTCATTTGAAAGAGGGGGATCCAAGACTTTCACCATATCTCCAAAGACTTCGATTTGTCACACTGTGGATATATGCATTGCACAAAGAAACGTATACGTGTACGGAGAGGCTTGAGGCTATGAATGACCCCACTACTATTGTCGACTAGTACGCAGTTCCTGTTCGCTACGTCATTATGGACACCCGTTTTGACGGGCAGCAGACGGACAAGAAGAGACGCTCGGCAAAGACCATGAAGACACGCTTGAGAGCCAGCGCTGGCTAAGGCTTGCGCTGCACAGACGGAAGAAGTACATTGTTGCTTAAGTCTGGGTATCGTATGGCTGGCACGACCAATGAATCGCAATCTCCGCTTGTTCTCGCGCGATTGGTGACTCTATAAAGTATTTGTTGCGATTGTGCTACTTATTCTACATGGTCTCTGCGGGCCCTAATGATTTTCAAATCTTTCATCGTGTCATCAGTCTTCAGCACATCAAATTTGATGCCTCCTATGCACCTATAGCATGCTACCCACCGAGATCGTCACTTTTTCCCCTGAATTGAACCCACTTGCTAGTGTTAGGTGAATGCTTCGCTCGAGACAAGATGACGATGGTGATAGCTGTCGTCGTTGCGCTACGTGCCGGCCCGACACAGTTCCCAAAGTCAGCGTATCCTAAGCGATCAGCTTGCTAGTCGCTTGCCATTCTGTTGAAGACACCGCACGGGGGAATGTATAGTCAAGAAGCGCCAGGCATTCCTATCGATGACTTTGGCCCGTCTGACCAAGACCTACTCACAATGTCACACTACGCATGCGTCTACTGGATGGACTGCCTTGGCGATGCGCGACCAAAGTCTCGTGCAATCCCTTAAACATCGTCCAGACTGATGCAGCCCGCTCCGGCCCTGTCTGGCTTTGTGAACTCGATGGTGATAGTTGATAACGTCTTGGCGGACGCGTCTCTAGCCAGCCAGCTTATGTGATGTATCTCTGCGTGGTGGATGAACGATCAGTTGTCCTGTAGAATCTGTGCTCTGATCTCGTCGAGCTTGCTCATGTCCATCGCACTCGTGCGTATGTCGTGAGCCAGGAGGCCGAATGTCGGGATCTGCACTGTAATTCCACTGCCAATACGGTAGGCCCAGTCATCCGCAAACTGTCGCAGCGCCTCGACTTCGTTGCTGCTTGCTGTCTTGATGCTCAGGTCTCCGCTCTTCAGCTAGTTAGATAAGACAATCTTCACGCTTGCTATGTTTTCATTGCCGCTTTGCTCGATGGCAGGCTGGACATGCAATCTAAGATTACTGGGGTTCATGGCCCTCAGGCTCTGTACGGTGAGTAGATCTGATGTTTATGATGATCTCACAGGCTGGGCCGTTGTTGGTACGAATGAGGTACCTTCCTGAGTGGACGAATGCATGCGCAAGCAGTTGCTTCGCCTTGTCTAGCACCCTCCAGAACTCCAGAAGGGGAACTATGAATAGCTTGGCAGCGTACTGTTCGGTCCTGACATCAAGGGAATGAGGGGGGCGTTTTGTGTCCCTGCTCTGGCGAACCGTAGCGGAAGAATTAAGGCCTGGACCGAGTCGAAAGGCTAAGGCTAGCTTGCTTCCAGCGCATAGTGACTCCTGAATGACCCAAGCTCTAGTATACCATCTATCTTGACTCGTTCTGTAGAGGAAATCGAGAAGATGGCGGACGGCCTCTTGGTTAGGGATTCTCCGAGCGCTATCGTCTGTGCTGCGCATCAGCGCGGTGATTGTTTTGATCTGCCACAGGGAATCGATCTTAACATCAAGTAAACCTGCGGTGACAGTTGCTCGATTGTAGACGATGTCCATCGACTGTACCCCTAATTGTTGCTCATCTTTATCGGCCTGGGGACTGTCTTTGTTGGGTTGGGGAAGGCATTCCTGGTCAATCCAGATCATGCGAAGGCCACAAGAGTTTGCGAAATCAACGGCCCGGTCAAGGACGTCATCAAGGGCACGACTGGGTCGTTGGCGTCCATCAATATCTCGTACCAAGTAATTACTCATTGGGAGCTGCTCATCGGCAGGAGGCCAGCAGTATGAGATTGCAACGTAATGGGTACAGACGTCCGTGACCGTAGGTTTGACTAGACGGAAAGTGCGAGGCTTTGACCTGTACGGAAACTCTGGGTATGACGAACAGACGCGGCAAGGTGTTTCAGGGCGCCCAGTGTTTTCTGTGCGTGATGCAACTCCTGGACGAGCGTTGTGATCGTCACTGTTACCTTCGCGACTCAGGTCCATGGCATATGCCATCATTTGCTCCTCGACATCACTGTCGTAACCATCGGCATGCTCATCTTGATGGGGTCCTGCTCCGAGAGTGGCATCTGAATGAGGTTGAGTGCAATCATGCTCATTCACTGGTGCTGAAGTCGGTGCCCTACTGACGTCTGTCTCTTTACACTCGCCCGATTCATCGCCAGTATCATCAAAGACCAAGAATTTAATATCTTCAAACGCCCACTTCTGTGCCTTAGCACGTTCCAACGTAAGTTTCGAGAGCTCAATGATCTCAGGTAAGCATGAAGCCGGGTCTGAAGAAGGTGACTTGAGGTCGTTCTTGAATAAATTGTCTTCAGGAGCGATAGAGTTTCCAGCTGATGCAGGTCCACCTGTAGATTCTCCTTCCCGTCCTAGAGGTGATTGTGCTGAGTCATCGGGTTGAGAAAGATTGGTTATGTCTTGTTTCAGGTTCGCGTCAGTCATTTCTGTTGTTACTTTGGGACAGAGATCCGTATGTCTAGTCTGAACACTGTTGCCCTCTTTAAAGGCGAATTTTTCGACTGTCTCCGTAGGCTCCCATCACAAGGCTGAAACGCAGCGTCCTTCGACATAGCTGACAGCTTCCTATAGGCGCATCAACGAATAGAGGCAGTGCTTCGGCTCTTGGCAGATGTGCATTGCGACAGATATGGCTGAAGCGCTCTGATGTCGTCCAACTATTGTCGGATGGGTCGTGGCTGTGCGGCGGTGGGGTGGGCTGAGCCGTGAAGGAGGAGTGAGGCGGAGATGCGTACTTACACGGCTGTTGGCTTGGCCACATGAACCGGCGCTTAGGCAAACTCTGCACACTATTCGACAAGCACAGCTCGTGCCAGTCACCTACTTGGGCAGCACCGATTCTGGATCTAGTGGGCTCTGTTTTTGCCATTACTCACATTTGTGTCATCTCACAGCATTAAGATGAATTGGACATCGAGATAAGCACCCAGACGGCGACGCTTAAATACATCCGACAACTTCTTTGCTTGAGCCTACCTACCAACGTGTTTGTACTTCATCTGTAATGCTTGGGTGGTATGGGAGAAGGCAAAGCGCAACAAGCCTTTAAAGGACCAGGCCTCTCTGCCAGAGTCAGCCTTTGGCTAAAACATGTACAGCGTAGGACACAAGCAGCCTCGTCTGTCGAATACATCGCATCTTGTATCTTACGTCAGCTATGTTTCTCACTCGTTCCCAGGTCCATTGACCAGTAACTTCTCACACTGGCCTCTGCTTCTTCAGCAGGATCGGAGAGGCGGCTCCATGCGGAGTCGTGGGCACATGGTCTTTTTGAAGTTCAGAGGGAGATTGACGGCGAAAATATTGCTTGGTAGACATTATAAACCCATCTCTTTGTTTCGGGCCGGAAGTGCCTGGCCTAAACCCGAGACGCAGTCGTGATAGACTATCGGTGAGCTAAAGCAGCAGGAGTTCTGAGGTGGCGGCACCCGGTCGTAGCGACCCCGAGACCCACCATACACCGTGAACACACCGGACCCACTGAGTCGATGAGAGAGCGACCGAGGCAAGTGACCACCAGCTGCAGCTTCTTCCACAGGAGCGTGCAGCGCCGGGCTGTTACAGTGTGCCGGCGCGCTATGCATTCAGCAAGTCAGAAGCTCTATGCGTGTCGTGGCTGTTCTGTATTAGCCGGGCTCTCCATGAAAAAACCCGTGAGTTAACAGCCGGGGGGAACTACACCCCTATAAGGTGCCTGGGTGTAGGTGTTCTCCGTCCAGCGGCCCGGCTTCTGATGGTGTTGAAGACAGAGGCCCTACGTAAAGTCTACATGGGGAATTCCATCCCCACGCGTCCCCAGGTGCGCGAGAAACACACCCCAGCCCAGCACAACTCCAAACAAGCCCTCCTCTTCGATCAACCACTTCAGGACCAATATCATAGGTAGAAAATAGCATCATAGTCCCATCCCCACCAGCTCAACCCGCGCGCTATAGAAACACACGCGCGCCATACAACCACACGAACCACAATATAAACGCCCAAACAAGAATCACTTCCACATACGACCATAGGACGTTGAAAACAAGGCTTCCCGTTCGCTCAGCCCTATTTAAGCAACGTACCGGTGGATTAGTACTCAGGTGGGTGACCACTGGGGAATCCCCACTGTTGTATGTATGTACCAGATTCGTTTTTGTTTTTTTGCTGGTTGCGCGAGCTTTTTGCCGCTGCTACACAGTAAAGGCTGGCGGTGTGGTGATGAGCCAACGACCGAGTGCGGGAGGGTGGACGTCGACTTCCTATTTTGCTGCCTAGATAGTATGGCACGGACAGCGAGTGTACTAGGAATCTCTACGAGAGGGGTGTGAGGATCTGGAGGTTGATATATGCATCGCGCGTGTCTATTTTGGTGGTGTATCGTACAGGGTATTACAGTCTATGAGCGCGAAAGGGGGTATCAGTATCAGTATCCGTATCAACAAACGACCACCACATAGTCAACCGCGGCTTCCTCAGCGCACCCGTGAAGGCTTCGTGCGCACCCAGCGACTCCCTGACGCGTCCAGCGGCGCGGGAGCAGGGTCCTGCACACTGGGCTGTTCCACGCTGGGGTGTTCCACACTGGGCTCCTCCACGGTAGACTCCTCCACAACCGCAGATTCCCCCACACGGGCAGCCTCCTCGCCACCAGCCAGCGCCTCCAGCTCGCCCGTCTCTTCGTTCCACTTTAACGTCTTCACGTCCTGCGGATTCTCCACGCGCCCCGTGCGCGGATCCACAGACCGCGGATCCGTAGACACGAACTTGCGCACCGGTGCGCGCGCCGTGTGCTTATGGATCTTGATGTCTGCAGCGTGGGTGGGCGCGTCCGCCGGCGTGTCGCCCTCGACGCGGCGGAATGTGCTGCGCAGGGCCGCGATGTGGTCGCGCAGGGCGGCGAGCGTCGTGGGCGGCGCAACAGGCGGAAAGAGCACGTCGGGCGGGGCGGCGTCGCCGTGTGCGGGCAGGGCGGCGGCGGTGCTGAGCATTTCGTGGACTGTGATCCAGTTTAGGAAGCGCAGGGTGGCGAGGGGGATGGCTGTGGTACTGAGGGCGGGCGGGGTGGTGGTGGAGGGTGCGGGGGGCTGGTGGGGGTCGGTGGTGAGCTCGTTGTAGATGGTGCGGAGGTCTTCTTCGGAGCCGAGCGGGGGCTGCGAGGGGTCGATGTGCATGCAGAGTGGGGAGTGCTCCATGTTCAGGGGCTGGCCGGACATGAGCACGGTTTGGATGTTCTTGAGTTGGTCGTTCAGGAGGGCGATGCCGGAGCTCAGCTGTTCTTGCGTCATGTACACAGCAGAGGATTTGGCAGGTCCGGGCTCGGACTCAAGCATGGTAGCGCTGACCTGCCGTTCGATGGTGGATGTAATGGAGTGCGCCTGTTCTTGGAGCTGCTGGTCCAAGTACTGTGTGTACTGGGCGCGTCTGCAGGCTTTGGCAAAAGTGATCCAGTCGCTGTAGCTGAGCTGGGTGCCTTTGCTCGCAGCTTCAGTGACGGTAATGGACCACAGAGCGTGGATGAGATCGCGGTCTGGGATGAGACCCGCAGCCGTGAGCAGGGCTCTTCGGTCGACGGGGCCGAAAGTGACACCTGCTTTCTTGGCGTCGTCGAGTGTCTGTTTGAGGAGATCTGCATCCTGCAGCTTGCCAGCCAGAGAGGTCAGAGACGCGAACGGGTGGGCTCCGGCGACCAGACCAGACTGGACCAGGCCAGTAACGTATTCCCGGGCGGTGCGGGCGATGGTTGTCCGAAGGGCTTGCTCTCCTTCTGTAAACGGCTGGCCTGGGGCCTTCTGCGGGACCAGGGCTTCGAAGGCTTTGACGAGCTGACCGGCATGGACACTGGCAAGGCCTCCACCGCACTGCTGGTAGGCATACATGGCGTTGGCGATGGCACGCACAACCTTGAGACGTTCGTCCATGACCGGGGTCTGTGTCATGGCCGACCGCAGCCTGTTCAGCAGGACTGTGAGCTGGGCGCCGCCGATCTGCACGCCAGAGCGGCAGGCAAGCATGTATGCGGTGTAGGCCTCGGCGATGGGCCGCTGGGTGACGAAGAGCTCGAAGAAGCGGGACGGGGTCTGGGCGGGGTAGAGGCGCAGGATGGTGTCGAGGGCCAGGTAGGCCTTCTTCCAGTCGCGGAAATGGAGGCGGGCGGTGGTGATGCCCTGCAGCAGAGTGGTGGGCAGGCCGAGGATGTGCACGGGCTGCGAGCGGTCGGGCACGATGGCGTCGGGCGAGAGGTGGTACTCGGCAAAGGTGCCGGGGAAGCGCTGGAGGCCCTCGGCGTACAGGTCCTCGAGCTCGGGTAGTGTCTGCAGGTTGGCGGCGGCCAGCAGCTCGATGGCGGCGCCATAGGCGGCCTGCGAGACGTGGGTGTGGTCCTGGGCGTGCAGCCACTGCCACAGGGCGCGGCCGTCGGCGAAGTGGCGGGCGGTCTTGTAGATGCCCAGCAGGTGCACGTAGGCCTGCCGGTGCGGCGGCAGGCGGCCGCTCTGGAGGTCGCTGACGAGCTGGTCGGCGAAGGGGAGCAGCTCGGGCAGCTGCGAGGCGGCATCGCGGGAGACGTCGCGGCGCACGTGTGTGTGCAGCAGCTGGCAGATGGCGTGGGTGGTCGCCCTGTGGACGAGCCCGGCGGCGAGGGCCTCGGGGTAGAGTTGGCGCACCAGCGGCAGGTTGCGGTGCTTGGTGGCCGTCTGCAGGGCCTGCGCCAGCTCGATGCGCGCGGGCGACTCGACGGGAACGCTCTCGCCGCGCCTGCGCCGCGTCTCGTCGCGCCGCTCGGCCTGGTGCTCGCGCGTGCGCCTCTCCTCCCAGTAGTGGCGCGCCGACTTCTTGCCCTTGGCCGCGTTGTCGGGGCGTCGCGGCGTGCTCGAGAGCGCCCGCGCCTGTAGAGCGCCGCCCGCAGCGACCGTCACGCGCAGCAGACGCGGCGCGAGGAACGGCGCCGACGGGCAGACGAGCGAGGCGAGGGGGATGCGCGTCAGGGCGGACATGGCGGGTGGGCGTGCGGCGGTGGGCGTGCCGGTCGCGGGACGGGGACGTCGTGGCCGCGATGCAACTTTTGAGTTGAGGCCGCGCCTACGACCCCCGTGATTGGCTGCTTCGCCGCCGCGCTGGCCTCGTCGCTCGCGGAGACAGCTTGCAACACCCCACGATTGCACCGATCGCAACCCGCTGCCCGCCGCACACGACCGCCGCCATGTCGCGCCCGCTCTCCCTCTTCAGCGTCCAGGCCATCCTGGTGCTCGCCATCGACGATGGCTCGCGCATCCTCACCAAGTACTACTCGAACCCCCACCCGCCGCAGGGCAACCAGGGCGACTACCCCGGCCAGATCGCCTACAAGACGGTCAAGGACCAGAAGGCCTTCGAGAAGGGGCTGCTGGGTATGATTGCGCCCGACCACGCCCGAGCCGCCGTCTGACCCGCCGCAGAGAAGACGGCCAAGCAGACGACCGACATCATCCTGTACGACCACAAGGTCATCGTCTTCAAGATGGAGTCGGACGTCATGCTGTACGTCGTCGGCAGCGCCGACGAGAACGAGGTGCTGCTGTACAGGTAGGGCACGCCAGTATACTGGCAGGGCTCGTGCTAACCGGTGCAGTGTCGTGCTTGCGCTGCGAGACTCGCTCAACATCCTCCTCAAGTAAGCCGCACAACAGACACGCGCATCTGCCTGCAATGCTGACACTCGCAGGAACTCGGTCGACAAGCGCACCGTCATCGAGAACTACGACCTCGTGGTATGCTGCAAAAACCCCCCACGCACGCCTCTGCTGACCCCCCCAGTCGCTCGCCGTCGACGAGCTTGTCGACGACGGCATCATCCTCGAGACCGACCCCGTCGTCGTCGCCTCGCGCGTCAGCAAGCCGCCCGCGCAGGACGTGACCTCGATGAAGAACATCGACCTCTCCGAGCAGGGTCTGATGAACATGTGGGACTTTGGCAAGAGGCAGCTGGCCGAGAGGATACGGCAGGGACTGTAGTTGGATTAGACACAGGGCATGGCGTTGCAGGCGTTCTCAATGGCAAAACGAGCATAGCAGTTGGCATTCTCCATCGTGATAGACGGTACATCTCATCGAATGCAATTCCAGCACCATTGCTGACCTCGACAGTGCAATTGAATCGTCCGCAGAGTGCTGTCAATGTTTGCTGTTTGTCCCTGTGCACTTGCACGGCCGTCGATTGATGACATGACTTAGCGCCGTGCATCACCTCCGTCATTCGTCATAGCCCACCACCCCGCCAAACTTTGCACACGACAACCATGAAGCAGCGATTCTCCAGCCTGGACGTCAAGGTCGGTGGTATTGAAGTGACAACTGTGCAATGCTGACCTGCCCAGGTCATTGCGCACGAGCTTTCCAAGGCGCTGACTTCGTTACGCGTTACTAATGTCTACGATCTCTCATCAGTACGCCACCACCTTTTCCTAGCTGCAAGCGCAGACAACTCTAACGCCAACACAGCGCATCTTCTTGATCAAATTCCACAAGCCCGACCACCGCGAGCAGCTGCTGATCGACTCGGGCTTCCGCTGCCATCTGACCGACTATGCGCGCACCACGGCAGCCGCTCCTTCAGGTTTCGTTGCGAAGCTGCGCAAATACCTAAAGACCAGGAGAGTCACCTCCGTCTCCCAAATTGGCACCGACCGCATCCTTGAATTTCAGTTTTCCGACGGACTGTACAGGCTGTACCTCGAGTTCTACGCTGGCGGCAACATCGTCCTGACCGACGGCGATCTCAACATTCTTGCACTGCTGCGAAATGTCGAGGAGGGCGAGGAACACGAGAAACTGAGAGTAGGGCTGCAGTACAATCTATCGTTGCGACAGAATTATGCGGGCGTACCAGAGCTCACCCAAGAGCGCATTCGTCAGGGCCTGCAAAAGGCCGTCGACCGCCAACAAGCACAACCCGAAGCAGCTGGCAAGAAGGCGAAGAAGGCAGGGAAGGATGCGCTGAGGAAGGCGCTAGCTACCTCCATCACCGAATTGCCACCGCTGCTCGTCGATCACGCACTCCATGTTGCGCACTACGACTCGACGCTGAAGCCGGAGCAGGTGCTTGCAGATGAAAGTCTGTTGGAGAAGCTACTAGCAGTCCTGCAGGATGCCTTGAGGATGACGAAAGAGATCACCGAGCCTGATCAAGTCAAGGGATACATTCTAGCTAAGCCGAACCCTGCTGTGTCAACCACAGAGGAGGGCTCTGAAAAGAGCAGGCACATGTACGATGATTTCCATCCATTCCGACCCGCGCAGTTCGAGAACGCAGATCTTGAGTTCCTCGAGTTCGACACGTTTGGCAAGGCTGTCGACGAGTTCTTCTCGTCGATCGAAGGCCAGAAGCTGGAATCGAAACTCCAAGAGCGCGAAGCACATGCAAAGAAGAAGCTCGAAAAGGCGCGCAAGGAGCACGAGGAGCGCATCGGTGGGCTGCAGAAAGCGCAAGAGCTGGACTTCCGCAAGGCTGAAGCTATCCTCGCAAACGTACACCGCGTCACCGAAGCCACAGAGGCAATCAACGGTCTAATCACACAGGGCATGGACTGGGTAGACATTGGACGTCTGATTGAGCGAGAGCAGTCTGCAGGAAACGCCGTCGCACAGCTCATCAAGCTTCCGCTGAAGCTGCAAGAGAACACCATCACCCTGCTCCTGGATGAAAACACCTGGTCTGAGGGCCAGGACGAGGCAGATGAGGGCGAAGAGACTAGCTCAGTGAGCGAGGATTCTGACGATGAGAGCGCCGACGTGAAGAAGAAGCCTACCCCTATCAAGGTAGCCGCACAGCCGAAACTCGCAATCGACATCGACCTCGGTCTGTCACCTTGGGCGAATTCGACCGAATATTTCGACTCGAAGAAGACAGCAGCCAGCAAAGAAGAGCGCACGCTCCAGGCGTCCGAGCGAGCACTCAAGAGCCACGAGAAGAAGGTTGCCGAAGACCTCAAGAAGGGCCTTAAACAAGAGAAAGAAGTGCTGCGCCCTGTACGTAAGCAACATTGGTTCGAGAAGTACATCTACTTCATCTCCTCAGACGGTTATATGGTGCTTGGTGGCAAAGACGCTCAGCAAAACGAGATTATCTACCGGAAGTATCTGCGAAAGGGCGACGTCTACGTCCATTCTGATTTGAAGGGATCAATTCCCATGATCATCAAGAACAACCCCAACACTCCGGATGCGCCCATACCACCTTCGACGCTTTCGCAAGCAGGCAATCTATCCGTGTGCACGTCAGAAGCGTGGGACTCGAAGGCCGTCATGTCGGCGTGGTGGGTCCTTGCTGATGGCGTCACGAAGACTGGTCAGACTGGAGAATTTCTTGCGCCTGGTGTGTTCAATATCAAGGGCAAGAAAGAGTACCTGCCACCAGCTCAGCTCATTGTTGGGCTTGGTGTCATGTTCGAGATCAGCGAGGACAGCAAAGCTCGCCACCACAAGCACCGGGTCCAGGGTGGCGTCCTCGCGCCTACAACTGCAGAGGCGGAGGCAGAGCTAGCACAGGAGAAAGAAGCAGCTCAACCTAACGCAGACGCAGACAGCGATGACGATGCTTTCCCAGACGCGAAGATGGCTTCAGACTCCGAGGAGGAGTTCCCCGACGCGAAGATGGATAACTCGGACGAGAGCGATGCTGAGTCTGATGCTGAAGCACCCGCAAACCCACTCCAGTCAAAGACTGCAGATCAGAAGGCCGACTCGGAGGATGAGGACGAGGATGATACTTCGCCTCAAAGTGAGCCCGCTGCTACTGGATCCGACAATGATGTTGCAAAGCCGCAGGAAAAGAACAAGACAGAAGACAAGTCTGGCATCCGGCACTTATCAGCACGAGAGCGGCGAATGTTGAGGAAGGGCCAGCTTCCGGATGCTACACCCGGCTCGGCTGCCACCGAAGAGAACGAAGACGATGGTCACTCAGCCGGCGACGAATCGAAGCCTGCAACCCGTGCTCCAGGCACCGTAACATCACAGGCCACCAAGAACAGCTCTGCGCCGCTCCCCCGCGGCAAACGCGGCAAGGCAAAGAAGCTCGCCACCAAGTACGCCGCCCAAGACGAGGAGGACCGCGCCCTCGCCATGCGCCTCCTCGGCTCCAAATCCGGCCAAGCCGCCGCCGAAGACGCCGCCGCCGAAGCCCGCAAGAAAGAAGAAGAAGCCCTGGCCAACAAACAGCGCCGCCGCGAACAACACCAGCGCGCGCAGGAAAAAGGCAAAGCGGCCGAAGACGCGCGCCGCGCCGCCCTCGACCACGACGACGACGCCGACGACGCCGACGCCCTGAGGGCCAATCTCCTGAACCTCGACGCCTTCACCGGCCGTCCGCTGCCCGGCGACACAATACTCAGCGCCATCCCCGTCGCCGCCCCCTGGGCCGCGCTCGCCAGCTACAAGTACAAAGCCAAGATCCAGCCCGGCTCGACCAAGCGCGGCAAGGCCGTCAAAGAGGTCCTGAGCATCTGGGACAACGCGGGCAAAGACGCCAAGGTGCTCGACAAGCTCAGCCAGGACGTCGAGCGCATCTGGCCGCGCGAGATCGAGCTGATTCGCGGCTGGAAGGAGCCCGAGGTTGTGAGCGTGCTGCCAGTGGCGAAGGTTAGGGTTATGATTGCGGGGGGGCGGCGGGGCGCGGCGGCGGCGGCGAAGGGGAAGAAGAGCGCGAGGGGGGGGGAGGGGGAGCAAGAAGAAGTGAGTGTAGACAGCGAGGGCCCGGCAGTAAATAGACACTTCGCTTCGAAGCTGCGGTTCAATTACAGCGCATGTAGCGCGCTATCGACACAACACTCTCTCCATCATCGTTCACTCAAACCCCACCCCCTCCCCAACCACACACTCCCCCTCCGTCTGCCACGCCACCTTCGCATACGCCGGCAAGTAGCTATTCGTCGTAAACCCCTTGTCCATGTAATAACTCACACTCCCCTTGTTAAACGCCCCTCCCACGCTATTCAGCGCATCCACCACCACCCCGGCAATGAAATCCAAGAACACCAAATCCACCGTCTCGGGCAGCGTCCCGTCAGCAGGGAACGACGCATTGGCCTGCAAATCATTCGGCTGGGGGTAGTGCGGGATCACCGCGTGCGGGGTATCGTCGCCGTCAGTGCCAAAGTCGTCGTGCGTTGTGTACCCGGGCGTTGGGGCCGTGGACTGGCGGCGGCGCAGGCGGGCGGCGGGGAACGCGCGGCGGGAGTGGGCCAGGTCGCGGGACAGCGGGGGCGAGATGCAGGAGTCGGCGTCCAGGAGGGCGGGAGAGGAGAAGGCGAAGTCGGAGGTCTGCAGGTCGCGCTTCTGGAAGGGGCCAGCGTTGAGGATGCCCAGGACCTGCGAGGCTTGGGCGTACGGCACGTCGGGGAGGAATTGGAATGCGTCGGCGAAGGGGGATACGATGAAGGAGTCGTCGTAGGTAAAAGGGCCCTGGGTGAGGTCGAAGCGCACGCTGCCGGTGTTTATGATGATAAGACGGGGAGTATCCTTGCGCGTCTCGTTTACGACAACGGTGGACAGGGCGGTGCTGAGCAGGGTGAAGATGTTGCCGGGGGCGCCAAAGGGCTTGCAGTATTGGCAGTATGTTTCTGGGGCGCAGCCGTAGAGTTTCGTAAGGTTAAGGCGGGCGCGCTCCGTGGTGATGGAGGATGAGACTGAGGCGCCTTTGGGGGTGCCGAAAGCGTCCATGTTCTGGCTGCCTTTAGCGTGGTACGCAAAGGTTCGACGGTTCCAGTCCAGATAGCGTCGGGCATAGCGTAGAGTTGAAGGCGAGGTTGATGTAGGCAATGCAGCGCCTGTACCGTTGCTTGGAGGTGGCACCGCGCTTTGAGTGGGATTTGGGACACCCTTGGGATTCGTCTTGACCTTCTTCGCGCTGGACTTGATGCCAGACATTGCCAGCCACCCTAATGTCTCACAATATCTGCCTGCACTTGAATTAGCATTACCGTCACATAGTACTACTTCAATACTCACCTGACTCCAATGCTGTGGCTTTGTTATCCCACACAGCAAAGTCGCGGATATGAGTGTGGCCTCCAAAACCCTGAATAGGTATGTCAGGACGCAGGCTGCGAATAGCGCTGAAGACCGTATCGAAAGAGCTGCTCGACTCGTTGAGTCTGACCGGATTGTGACCAGTCAGCACAATCAGATCGATAGGCTCCTTGTAGTTGACCGCGTCGAGAAACCACTGCTCCTTCACCATATCCGCTGCTTTAATGACCTTCGACACGTTGCTGTTGCCAGTGAAGTCAAACAAAACACCAAACGCCATGACCTTCAAGCCTCGTTCCGTGGTGAAGTATCGGTACTGCGCCCCGATGTACTCAAACAGCCCGGTCGCCGGGTTCTTGATCTGCACATTGCTAGTGAGATACTTGTCGCCATACACCTTTGAGAAATTCTTGAACGTCTCATACGCGATCTCTGTGACGTAGAGCTCGTGGTTTCCAATTGTCAGGAGGTCATACTCGAGATTCTCGAAAATCGGATTCGAGACAAGGCCATTGGGCGACGTAGCATCTGAAAGACCAGCGCCATCATGAAGATCCTAGAAGCCATTAGCTTGATTCCAAACTACCAACAGACCCACCAAAACCCCGCACAGGTGCACTTACCCCAGTATCAACCAGCAGCAGATCCACACCAAGCTTGTTCGCCTTCTGCTTCATATGCCTCGTGAAGCTGACATAATCACCCCAATCAGCTCCGTAGTTCTGCACCCAGTCAGCACTTTCCCAGAACTTCCCCAGTACTACTATACCTGCTCCTTGATATGCCCCTCAAGCCACCCATGCGTATCCGTAGTATGCAGGAAGTTAATCTGTCCCCACTCCAGCGGCGCCCTGGGTCCCGTTGACGCATTGTGCGCATCGGGCTGCATACGACGGACATTGCGCGTCAGCACCACATCATCACTCAGCGGGCCGTAGCAGCCGTGGTCTTCGCAGGCTGACGCCGCGGCGAGGACCGCGGCCAGAGTGGCGAGGTGGAGGCGCATTGTGGGCGTGAGTGATGGCCCCGAGCAAGTGACCCGGGGACCATTTTATACACGGGTCATGGCTGGAGATTGAGCGACATCGCTGCACGTGCGGTTGTCATTGGAGGATGATAGAGTTGATAAGCTTCGACAAGCCTAGGTGATGCGCTAACGGAAAGCTTGGTCGAGATGGGGACCTTCCCGATCGGTGGTAGGGCAGCGGCGGTCTCCACTGGCGGAGAACGGTCTCTGCAGCATATCTCCAGGACAGTGTGGGGATGCTGCGATTAAAATGCAAGGCACAAGGCACACCCGAGCCCTTGAGCACATTTGTAGGATCCTATTTATAGTAGGCACTTTTATCTCTGCTGATGAGATGTGGATTTATAACTACAAAGATTGTTAGACATTTGTACCCTGACAGGAAAAGTGTTCAGGACGATAGTTGCCTCTCCTTACCCGATGCTGCATTTTGATAAGTGGCTGGTGAAATTTGTGATCGGAACGGGCTGGAGAGATGATCCGGATCTGTTCTAGCAGGTTGCGGAGCACGTTGAGAGTGAGAGTATGGTGGAGCCAGCTACGCCAATCGGCTCGATCAGAGTGGCTCAAACCAAACAGGGATTAGTATACGAAGACCAACAGTATCAACAGCCGCATGAGGAGAGCACTCACGTAAATGGATTTGATCACCTATCCTTACACCTTGGTCAACTACTCAAGTCCTCTAGCTTGGAATGTCAATGCCTTACAGTCTCACACACCGTTCTCACACCATAAACGATACCGAAGTAAAGTATCTGCACAACGAACGAGTCGCTGTATGATTGTGAAGGGTTATACCTAGATGTGCGCTATAAAACTACCGAAATGCCGCGTGGCATGTGAGTGTAAATGCAGACCCAGTCCCATCCTTCCATTGTAGCCCAGCGCCAGTGTCTTTCCGAAACCTATATGCCGGACCAAATCAATACATTCCGGACCAAACAAACCAAACCATATATGCCAGCGCCAATACCTATCAAGCCCAACGCCAACGTCAATGCCGCCTCAAACAAAGAAAAAGATCCCAATTGGGACCGCTCAACGCGCTATTGTTTGCAGCGCCGCTCATCATACAACACTCATCGTACACTTGCGAACCGCGTAAACTCCAGACCTGTCACACTACTACCTGACTGTGAAAACATTACTGTCCGCAATCTGCACCGCGACCCCCGCCCTCAACAGCGTGATCCGCAGCCGAAACGCGCCCGCCTGCTGCACCACCAGCGCCGGGAAACTCATGTACCCGACGCCCTGCGCACCCGCCATGTCCATCGACGCGATCGACCCGTCCGCCTCGTCGTCCGCAAATGCGTGCACGCTGTCGATGCGCTGTCCCGCGAGCAACGTGTGCAGCAGCGCGGGATCCGCGGGCGTGCTGTCGCCGGGGATGAGTGCGACGACGGCGACCAGGTTGGGCGTGTCGAAGGCCGCGTGGTCAGGATCTGTGTTGGTGGTGCACAGGCGCACGATGATGGTGCTCGGGAGGGTTTGTGAGGTGCGTGCGCTGCGCGGGGGTTGCACGATGAAGTCCATGGCGTAACTGGGGGGCGTTGTGGAGTGCCCGGGGCGCGGGCGGGATGTGCGGGCGGGGTTGTGGTGGCGGGGGTGGGCGGAGCGGCCCATGGTAGGGTGTCTTGCTACGTCGGCCATTGCTGTGGTGGAGGTGGTGATGGCGTGGAGGGAGTCGGCAATGCGGGCTGATCTTCGGAGCACAGAGGGGGTTCGTCTTGATTGTGGACGAGGCTCGGGTGGGCTTGAGTGGTCTTGGGTGGAAGGTGGATTGGACCTGTTTCTTCTGGTGGATGCGCTGCGTTCAGATAATGGATATGTTCGTCGTCCTTGTCCTTGGCCTCTTTGCATATACTAGTGAGGAACTCTGATGTGGGTTAGTGGGTCAAGCTTAATACAGTTGAACGAGTGTCGTTGGGTGGACAGCAATGGATGGAAGAAAGAAAGATAACAAGCATCACCTCCTCGGAGGTGATGCCTCGACACGGTGCCTGAAGGCATAGAGGATGGAAATGACTTCTCCACTTTTGCTCTCACATCGTTAGCGTCCGCGTAAGCGGAGATAACTGTGCCGCCGACGATACGATACATAGGAAGAGATGAAAATCCCTACGCCGGTCATCTGCGGTGCTGAACAGCATCTGTGGGAGCAAGTTCTGATTGGGATGCTTCATGCATGTGTCTGAGCCCAACAGAGCGCGTGATCACTGCAAGACGGCCAATCAGGCCTCACGCTGTGATGACAGGCAGGCAGAAGAAGACGTGAAAAGAAACACGAAATGCAGCGCGCTCCTTCAAACGCAGGGTGTGGATGATACTCGAACGGCAGCCCGGCAAGCCATGTGGGTGACAGGGGTGACAGAGATGACAGGGATGCAGATCGAAGGTTGAGGGGCAGGAACGGGCTCGGAAGCGAAATGGATGTGCTTACCCTGTGTCGTCACACGGCACCTGCGTTGCGTGTTTCACCAATGCACTGGGATTTCTTTTTTGCTAGGGTGCTCGGATTCGTGTTCACGTTCCGATGGTCGCACACGATCTTGCAGATGTTGTGACCTCAAGGATCTGACAGTGAGAACAGCAACGGCTGCGAAATGAAATTGGGGATTGTCGTAGAAGTTCGGTCGCGAAGATGATAGGATGCTGGCAAGGTGCTTCTTCGGCTCTACTCGCTGGTGCGCTGTGCTGGCGAAGTGACGTCTGTTACCTGGCAGTATATTAGCTATCTGTTCCCTCGAACAACATGCTCGTGCATGGAGCTTCCGCAATCCGCCGACTCAACATCGCATATCGACATCGGTGCACATGCTAACAGACTCCGAGTCACTCCGAGCCACTCCGACGTACCTTCCGGACAATGTTCTCTGTCGATGTCGACGCCGTGCAGTGTACAGAGGCAGGCAAAGTCCCTTTGAATGCTGGGAACCGGGAACGGTGAAGGGTGGAAGATGTCTCAGTCGTCGAGCGTGGGGAGCCAATGCTTTTCAATCTTGAGCGGCGTAATGCTTCTTGTAGATGAATGGTCATAATGGAGCTGGTAAGTAGCTCGTCTTATACAGTCGGGTCAAATTGCAGGCATGGCAAGCGCTCTTGCCGGTCCTGGTCTGGGTTGCAGCTGTTTCCACGGCGTGCCGCCTTCCGCTATTGGCTTCAGCATCATTCTCCTCATTCTGACAGATCCTCCGCATGCTTCTGTTCAAACCAGCATCCTGGGTGAATCAGATGGCGGGCCGCCGCCCTGGAGGTCCCTGTTCTCACCAAGCGCCGGTGGAGCATACCGCAATCCGACGCCGCCCCACAGAATGAGGCGGCCTTGGGTTTGCTTTCTCCTAGTACGAGCGCCCGATCATCTTGCAGCTGTGGCTGCGCCATTGCCGATCTGGGCAGCTGCCACATATCTGGCGGATCCCAAAGCATCGTCATGGTATCACGTTCACCACAGATGCCACCAATACCGACTGCCGGGCTCCTGATTTCCAGGGGATCTGTACCACGCATGCAGCCTTTGCCGGGACGACGTCTAATTGGCCTCAAAAGCAAAACGGTCTACATCAGAAGCACCCAGGCTTAGCCGCCCCGTCGCCTCGTGGACAGCCACGATTTCTGATCTCAAGTATTTTCCGTGCTAGTTGATCCCGGTACTCCCAATATGCAAGCAATGAGCCGAACAACTCCGCAATCTCATCTACGCAACTACGCTACTTGCGTGCCGACCCTAGCTCGCTGGACGGTGCAATGACATACCGTATTCTGATGTCGACAGCAGACCATGTCGCTGTAGCGAGCACAGTCGATTGTTTGACCGAAACGTCATCAGCGGTACCCAGGCCTATGAAATCAGTTTCTTTCACGCGAGCACCGTTACACACACTCATCAGAATAGGCACTTGAGGAACCACCGTCCGTCACACACCGCCGGCCTACACCCTGATTACTTTGTTGTTTCGGTCGTATGTGTCCATAAATCTGTTCTGTTTGACAGTTGCTGACAGATAGCAGCGGTCGGCGTTCTTGCCTGCGCATGCCGCGGTTGTATTGACACCGCATTATCCAAGATGAGCTTCGTGACCACCCCACGCAGGAATCTTAGCATCCAATGGCATGAGTCCCTTGTTACCGTTGTTACTGTAAGTGGGTGCGCATGTCCACAAGGACACTATTGGATGTCATGCCGACGCTACCACTTTAGCTGCAGGATCTCTGCTTCTGACATGGATTCGCTCGAAAGGAAGATTGGGACCTCCAGCTGCCGCTGCACTCGATCTACCAGGGGTCGCGAGATCTCGTATCCCTGGATCTGTGGATGCACATGTGCTTCTGCGGAAGCGGAGCGCACAGCCGGTTCCGAGCGGCTGGACGAGTCTCCACCTCGACAGGGGGTTGCCACCATGAGCCTTGCTTTTTTGTACTGTCAACCAGCGTCGTGCGTCAGCGACCTCGCCGACGTCCTGCGTGCGTCCCACTTCGACGTTCCTATTCTAGTCATCTGCAGTTGCTTCGCGTCAGATCGTCTGCACCACGTTCTAGATGTTCCGTCACTCCCACATCAACAATGTTCCTGGGCCATCCGTTGACCTCTCCGGTCTTTAGGTGCCTGATCACCCCACAACCTCGATCATCTAGATTCAGACCTCGATCTCTTACCAAATCTGACCGGTGTTGTGCGGCCGAAGGAGAGGCTAACGGCACGATACTACATTGAAGGGATCCTCCAAAAACATCAATTGCCTGTGTTATATCAGGTCACATGCTCTCGACGCATGCTTGTGTCAACTGCGCGAAGGCGTGCGTCTCAGTACAGGAGTACAAATCCATCCTGCGTGCCTTCCACGTTTGGCATTCTAGCTTTGATGAACCCATGGTATCGGGAACGCCGTCATGTCACAATGAACACAGCCTGGGGCAGTTCAATGCGAAAGTGTCTTAAAGCATTGGAGAATGCGCGTCGCACAATGCAGTACAAACCGCTGTTCGGCAACGTACGCGACGGTTTTCCAATACGAAGGCTTTGCCTTAGATCGGGTGTGCAAGAACCTGAAATACCCACCGCAAAGGTTCGCACGCGTGCGCTGCTCAAAACACATTCAAGCAATCGGCCCGCGATCTCTGACGTGCTGCAGATCAAGGGCTACTACGATCCGCGATTAGCGAAAGAGTTCATCACAGCTGCTTGCCTTAGCTCGTGTACACCTTGCAGCCACACCATGTTTCGCGGGAGCATGGACCCGAGGAGCCGCAATTTGCTGTGTATCGCCACCCACGTAACACTGTACTGTTTCGCCTCGTTCATTAATCTTGTTGCGAACCCTGATCCTCTCTATCAATACGGACTGACTGAGGCGGATCTGAATCTATGTCACAAAATTGCCCTGCAGGAAGACCGTGAGGCTGTAGATTGAGATGCTGCAGATTGGCCCTGCTTTGTCCTTGGTAGTAAGCCACCGTTGAACAGCTTATCGAATATGCGCGTCTTGCTGTTTCTGCGTCGTCACCTAGCAGAGGGGCGTTGCAGTACGTGTGCGTCTGCTGTTTTCGACACCGCCGCACTGCGACCAAGTCAACTAAGATTCGCCACAATGGCGCCACACGTTGTTAAACAATGCTCAAAGTCACAGACTATCGTCTCCGGAGCTCCTAGAGCGGACCTGATCATTACTTCTTGAGTAGTAAGAGAAATGAGGCAACCACTTATGTGTCCATAAGGGCACTTACGTACCGCTTCTACCACCACCACGAACCTATGCTCAGCTGAAAGTAATTGCACGTAGAAGTACTACTCCTGTAGCCTGACAGATTGACCGGAAGACATCAACTCCAGGTTTCACTTCTACGTCAGCCTCAGTCGTTGCATCCACGGCCAAATAATTCACGTCCAACTCACGACAAGACCTCTCATTTTAACAAGGTATCAACCAAACACATCAAGTCGGAAGCCACGCTATTGGTGCCTTGATAAGTAGGTCGAATGTTCGTGATTCGAGAAGAGGCCAGACGGACAGCCAACAAAGAGAGGATAGACGAGACGCTTCAGATAGAAAAGCCAACTTGTCACCACAGATCCACTCCCCCCTCGTGCTTTGGCGGTTATCCGGTGGCTATCCAAGATTCTACTGGAACAGCCAAGGTCACACAGCGACAACGAAGAATGGCCAAAGCACTTCGAGAAGGTTACAGCCAAATGATGTCAAGGCGAACCGAGAATCCGCCGAAGCTAGACTGGCAGCGAGGAGCGCTACAACGATTATCTGCTTTTTCGTTCCGATCCCATCATCGTACGATCTTTGATCGATCAGATACGAGAGTCCGGGGTGTCTGCAGGAGACAGTGCACGAGCGCTGACCAGGGAGCGCGCGTAGATGAGATCTAGATAGACCATAATGCTTTGTTGAGCAAGGTTGGTCTACGATGGTTTGACAAACTGCAGGGAGGCTCGACGGATGCTTTTCCGCGACATCGTGCCGACGATGCCGCATGTTACAGATCAGATACGGACGTCAGGGATCATCGGAAATGAAGCAGTGACCCGGGTCGACATTGTGGTGATGATCACGGGTCTGAAGACGTGAGCTCTCGTCTCGTCTTTGAGGATTCTTGGCGCTGTTCTGCCCCTCTAAGTTTTTCAGGTTAGCGCGTTTGCAGCGACCTCTACTGACGCATAGCACATCGTGACCCCACTGCATTGGTTTTCTGCTCTGCATGCGTGCCCTTACTCGTGCCCCTCTCAATCTTTTCAATTCTTTCTCCCACTCTTTCAATAGGCCGCGGGCGACTCATTGCGCGTCCCTTCAATTGACTCACCACCGAACAGTCACATCCTCTACTTCAGTCGCAGCTTCCCCGCGTCCTAGCTTGCGCACCAAGCCTCTCCTACATATCAACCACTACCCACGCGCCTATAAAAGTCGCGCAACGCTAGACGCCGGCACAACCCGTCGCTACTCTCGACAGACCGACGCTCGACCCTCCGCGCCTTTTGGCAGTCTCGACGCGCACGCAATCAGCATGGAGGCACTCACCAAGACACTCAAGGGCCTCGGCCTCGAGTCGGTTCCCCAGGAGCCAAACACATACCCTGAGCTCAACCCCTTCGACATCTACCGAAGCCACATCACCGAGCTGCTCGCAGAAGCCTCTGGCGTCGACAAGAAGATCATATACCCCACATTGGCGTGGACTGCGAAGCCTGAAAACGGCGATCTGCAGCTCGCTGTTCCTGCGCTGAGGCTTAAGGGCAAGGACCTGAAGGCGTACGCGCAGGAGTTGGCCGACAAGTTTCCCGAGAGTCCGCTCGTCAAGAAGCCTGTTGTCACCGGCACCTTCGTCGGCTTCTTCTTCAAGCCCGAGTCGCTCATCTCAATCGTGCTACCCTTGATCTTCAAGGCCGGCAAGAGCTATGGCTTCAACAGCAGCTTTGGCTTGAAGGAGGATGGCTCGAAGAAGAAGATGGTCATCGATTTCAGTTCGCCCAACATCGCTAAGCCCTTCCACGCCGGTCACCTGCGATCTACAATCATCGGTGGGTTCCTATCGAACCTGTACGAGGGTATGGGTTGGGAGGTTGTTCGTATGAACTACCTCGGCGACTGGGGCAAGCAGTATGGTGTGTTGGCTATCGGGTTTGACTACTTTGGCTCTGAGGAGGAGCTCGTCAAGAACCCCATTGGCCACTTGTACGACATCTACGTCAAGGTCAGCAACATTCAGAAGGACGAGGCGGACAGGGTCAAGGCGCTCAAGGCCGAAATCGTTACAGAGAAGGAGGCGGGCAACGACACAGCGGCGAAGGAAGCGGAAATCGCAAAGATCGAGTCCGAAGGCATTGACGAGAAGGCCAGGCAGTACTTCAAGGGTATGGTCGACGGCGAGCCCAAGGCTATTGGTATCTGGAAGCGCTTCAGGGTAAGTGAATCGACCAGACATGATTAAGTAAATGCTAACATATGTAGGAACTGTCCATCGAAAAGTACAAGCAGACATATGCCCGCCTCAACATCCACTACGATGTCTACAGCGGAGAGTCTCAGATCAAGGACGAGAGCATGGATCTTGGTGTCAAGGTTATGTGGGAGAAGAAGGTGTGCGAGGACTCCGAAGGCGCCGTCATTGTCGACCTCACCAAGCACTCCAAGAAGCTCGGAAAGGCCGTCATCAAGAAGAAGGACGGTACATCACTCTACCTCACCCGTGATGTCGGTGCCGCATACGAGCGTATGCAGACCTACCACCCTGAGTACGTCGTTCCCTAACTCCCACCTCGGACCCCGCTAACCACCCCGAAGCAAGCTGATGTACGTCGTGGCCTCGCAACAAGACCTCCACCTCGCCCAACTCTTCAAGATCGAAGAGCTTATGGGCTGGAAAGACATCTCGTCCATCTCGCAGCACATCAACTTCGGCATGGTGCTCGGCATGTCGACGCGCAAAGGCACCGCCAAGTTCCTCGACGACATCCTGCGCGACGTCGGCGAGAAGATGCACGAGGTCATGCGCGGCAACCAGGCTAAGTACGAGCAGGTCGAGGACCCGGTCAAGACCTCCGACATCCTCGGCATCAGCGCCGTCATGGTCCAGGACATGAAGGGCAAGCGCGTCAATAACTACAACTTCGATATGGACCGCATGACGTCCTTTGAGGGCGACACAGGGCCGTACTTGCAGTATGCGCACGCCCGCCTGTGCTCTATCTACAGGAAGGCCGTGGACGCCGATCCGTCGCTAGAGAAGCTGGACTTTGCGGCTGTCGATTTTACGGAGCTGCAGGAGCCACATGCCGTGGACCTCATCCGCCAACTGGCGTCGTGGCCCGACACGTTCCTCAACACCTTCAAGACACAGGAGCCCACTACTGTGCTGACATATCTGTTCAAGATGTCGCACGCGGTCAGCGCCAGCTACGATCACCTGCAGGTCGTGTCAAGCGAGAAGAAGGTCAACGTGCCCCGACTGGCGCTGTACGTTGCCGCCAGGCAAGTGCTCAACAACGGCATGAGGGCGCTTGGGCTCAGCCCGGTGGAGAGGATGTAAAGTGGTGTAATAGCATCAGTTGGCTAACGAAAGTTTTGAATGTTGGCGTGTGAGAAAAGATACCACGATGACTAGACATCCAAAAGCAAACATGATCTCAAGTAAAATTTTCCAACGAAGTCGCCAATTTATGTCGTGTCATTTTTTATTACTCCCAAGCAGCATGAGCTTTTCCGAGATTTAACAGAGATCACCACTCTTCATAATCTTTGTCGAAGATGATGAGGTTGACGTGAATCTCATCAAACTTGCTAACCAACGCATTCAACGTTTTGCGATACTCGCGGTATGTAAAAACTTCCTCAGTCCCGGCTTCGGGTCGTACATCTTCCTAATCTCCCCCAACATCCCAACCTGAACACCCAACGGGGTAGTATCGTTGTTTTTAAACTCAAATCGTAGATCTACTAGCTGTGAAAGCTATCGTACAAACGCTGCTAGATCGCTCGTTACTCGTGAAGAGAGTTGCAGTACGCATGAACGGAATCGCATGCAGAGACTCATGATCACACTCGGTTCACTGGGAACAGTACAGTCCGGTGACTTCCAGACACCAGCCATATTAAGAGATCTTAGTGTTTGTATGGATGCTCAGCCTTCTTCTGTACTCACGCGGGCAGGTATGATAAGGGTGGGGAGTTGGTTGCACTTGGCCAGAGCAAGCGAGGAAGAAGAGCCAGCGTTGAAGGGACCGTGAATGTGGAGTACCTTTACTCGCCTGGTGAGACGCAGTAATTCAACTAAGCATGCATCGAATGTTCTTGGTATAAAGCATTTGGCACCACAGACAAGTGCCAATTGCTCCAATTGATGATGTACGCTTGAAGACTGCTTCTGACACTGATTTTGAGTACTCGAACTTTATCAGTAAGGTCGCTTCGGTGAAGAAGGGTATGAGTAAATTGATGCAGACAGAGTCCTTTCGATTTGTCATTAAATATGTCTCAGTATGTGAACGCTCTTGCACGGCTCCTTTGAACGCGCTAGCTGTCAGTGATGGAGCCCTCAGATCTGAATCAGAGAGGTAGCCAGCGACGCTGAGGAGAAGCTCATCTGGAAGGTGGAGGATGCACGTCATGGTCTGCAGATATCAACAACACCGGTCATCATCAGACGCGCGCACAGACTCAGAATCACTGTATAGTCCGCTGGAAGAGCAGTTTGATGGATATATTGGCGTAGACCCAAGGCAGCACTGGGACTCCTGGTCCGGATCATCGACCTTGACATCTACTCATGAACAGCAAAACTTGTTGTGTAAGCGCCATCTGCAAAATGCTGCTATGATAGATTACGAATTGAACATAACAACGAGGGATATATGTGTTTTCAAGCGTCTCACTTAGAGTTCTTGGCAGCAATATCATGCAAGGGAAATCAAGAGTAATATCCGTAGCTGGCACGACAATCAGGAAGTCTCTGGCGGAGCCTGCAAAGATGCTTTACGTGAAAGAACTGTCTCAATGTCAGCAGGTTCTGCATGTCGGAGTTTTGCAGATCTTGGCGTTTTCAAAGGAAGAATCGTCGTTGACCCTGTTCTGCATATTGCCGAGAAGTGGATCTCGGGGCCTTCAGCGTGGATTTTCCACATGTCTGTGCAATCACATGAAGAAGACTTGAAAGGATGCACTTGACTTGAGATGTTGAGTAAACACAAATGGCGCATGAACTCTAGTGATCCAAGATTTTGACCGAAGCCTAGGCAAAAAAGTAGCACTTGGTGCATCCCTTGCATAAAATACGACATGCAGGAGGCCTCGAAGATCTTCAGTCCAGTACGGAATAGTGTTCCGTACAAATCTAGGTGTCTCGATTACAGACAGCCACAGGGCAGAGTTCAACAGAACGCTGTGGCTCAGCAGGGCGCATTAGCTTGTACCGAACGACAGAGCCAGAGCTTCGGGAATCCAGGACTCTTGGTACTCTGACGATTTCAGGGTTCCTCGTGGGAGCATCCGTGGAAGGGTCCTCAAGGACAAGCGAGATGAACGCTGGTCAACCGTAGTTTGCCCACGGGAGGCATCCAGGGCTAAGCCGCAGAACAGCAAGACTAGAAGGCCCAGAGACCAAAGACCGTGGGTAGTTCGCGCGTCGGAGAAAAGATCTTGCTGATGTCTGGCTGGAAGACCCTTTTCTTTGTCCGGCTGCACGCAAGCGCAGGAACGGTCGCAACGCTGCTTTATCCTCTGGGTCGGAGTCCTGATCAAAGCCACAACGGACGCCGGAAGTTTCGGGACCGAGAGGAAAGCTGAGAGACTTTGAGGAATATGGACTCGATTTGCCGACCTCGTCTTCAAAGCCTCAAGGGGGATTGTATGAACGCGCTAGTTCAATGGTCGCACCACTCCTGATCTTCTTTTAGGGTGAGGTCACTGGACCAGAAAACATCACTACAGTGCACTCGTGTGTGGGACTCGTGACGAGAAGGAACTCAAATCAATATGCAGTGTCGAAGGCGAACATAACTAGGTAACCTGATCGATCGCACGATCCGCATACTGGACTGCGCAATGGCCACAGGAGTGCAGCAAAAGACACTAATGCATCTGAAACTGCACTTACTAAAAGGTCACCGGCTGAATCGGCAGCGTACTGTTAATAGGTAGCTTCTCGGCTAGCCAAGACTGATGTAGAAGCTACCTTACGATTCACTAGAGCTTCGACGACGTTAGAGGATGACTTGCATGGCGGACGATAGGAGGACGATAGGCGGACGTCAGGTCTAGTGTAGTACTCTCGCAGACTCTGACGGCGCATGAGAGCTAATTGACAGCCTGCAAGCATGGCGGGCTCCTTTCGCGAGGTGTCAACACTGCCCAGGGATGCTAAGTGGCTGAATATTTCGTTTCTCGACTTTGATTCGAGGCAACTTCCGTGCTTGTGGCTGTTTCCGAGTACACTGCATGTCAGCAGCAGCATACATACTGCAGGGCGAACAGATCGCCAAACTTTGAGGCTATTGGGGCCCTGGTCGGCTAAAGTCAGGGGGACGATCATGTCGGGGCGCAGAACGGGCACTAGACGATGATCAATGGTTCCTATCTTGAACGCTAAGCCCCTTCTGTGGTCAAAACCCATTTTTCCATTGACTAAGCAGCTTCTGTGATGACCGCCGAGGTGGCTTCGGTTGGCGACCGGTTTGTCTAGCCTGTGACTTAGGGGCAACAGCCCACGATGTCCGCACCATGGATCAAAGCCTCACTAAAAACATTAAAAACGCCTAGGTATGTGCGACGAGGCGATGGCCTGAGCAACGTCGAGTTGAATGACTTGTGAGAGTGCCGTTCAGCTGAAGATGGCACTAGAAACTTCCTGTCGTCCGTAGCATTTCAGTCCATCCGAGTCGATGTGCAACTGCTTGTAGGTGATAGTGACAGCATCGATGCATGAAGATGCATGTACTATTGCCAATTGTTGACCTGGTTCAGGGAACACACGTGGACGACACTTTGGGCCACTAGCCGCGGTACTTCCAGACCTGGGTACCAACAACAACAACTGAAATCATACTTGGTGAACAGATCGCACCACACACCCCACAATGGCTTGTAGGTTCCGAAGGCTGCTGTAATCGCTTCACGCAGTGGTCGGTCCAGTTTCAGAACCTATCGATACGAACATAACGTGGTTAGGGTACCAGCCACGGTCTGTGAGCTCATGTCGCCGGACAAGCCACGCGAACTGACTCGACCTCTCGGCGCCGAAGCGACTAACAACCTGAGGTCCAGTGTCTTTTTCCAAATGTTCGTAGCATCCAAGATTCTCGCCACTGAGGCTGATGGTGTCCGGCGAGCGATAGCCTAGACGCCAGCCGTGCTATTGAAAATTGCGCGAACAAGCCTGCAACGGAGCAGTCTACAACCTATTGACAGTCGAGACAATGCGCCAGATGAGAACTCTACACCTTCAGTATGACGCAGATGTACAGAATGACATGTTGCATGCACCAAAAATAAAAAAATCAGTGTTTCGACTGCGTATCCACGCGAAGATATCGCCCTGGTGCCGAAAGCTTGCTTTGCGTGCAAGCAGTCCAAGGAACTATTGAATTAGCAAACAGCGGTTATCAGACTAGCAAGGTAGCGCGGGTGTGAAACACCAAACAGATCTTCTAAAAGTATCTTAAGCTTTTGTCTGCCCGTTCAGCCTCGCAGCTAACCCGATCAGTCATTTCACTAGTCCTTCGCTTGAGCTCCGACACTGCGTTATTGGTGGCCAGACCCGGTACCTGCATGAGCCACGCTTGTTGGCAACTGCCTGTTCCCGAAAGTTTGCCTGATTTGGCCTGTCAGAGAAGGACGCTATTGTACTCGACTATAGCGGGAGTCGACCGACCACGATGAGACCCAGGGTACTGGCGGATCTCGAGTCCCCGCACTGACCTCGAAATGGAATCTTTCATCGTATCCGCGCTGGCTCTGGACTGAAGCCTCACGTATATAAGGATTGAGGTTTACCAAGTAAGAAACTCATCATCAACGGTTTCCACACCACCTCCACTCACTACTCTTATCTTCACCCTTGTACAAAGGTCCTTTACTTCGATCGTTCACTATGCGCTACGCAATCGTTCTCGGGGCTGCTGCCCTCGTTGTCGCCAGCCCGGCTCCTCAGGCTTTTGACCCCAACGGTCTTGATGCCCTTGCTACTCTCACTCAAGGCCCGCCTGTCGGTGTTGGTCCTGCTCAGGAAACTGCCTACGTACAGGGCTCTGCTCAGTCTGTCGCTGCTGCTGCGGTTACAGCCGGTGCCACGGCTCAGGCTGCTAAGAGAAGCCTGAACGAGAAGTCTCTTGAGGCTCGCACTTTCTGGTGGTCTTGGTTCTCGCCCAAGCCTGCTCCTGCCCCTGCTCCTCAGCCTGACCCCGTCAAGACTACAAGCACCACACAGGCTTCCGCCACTCCCACAATCACAACCACTGTCGATACTGGTGCTCAGACTACCAGGCCTCCTTCCACCACTGACGGTGTCGTTCCTTCCTCTTGCACTCCCGTTAACTGGATCAACACCTACGCTTTCACAGCTGATCCCGCCTGCCCCACGCAAGTCGAGGTCGGCACCTACTGTGGATTCATCAACCCCGATGACCCATGTGCTCCTCAGCCTTCCGGAGGCGGCGTTGCTCCCAAGGACGACACCGTTGACGGGTTCTACAACAACGCTGCGTACAAGCAGCTCGCTGTCTCGGCCAAGACTCCTGTTGGCTACGAGCAGGCTTTCGTCAACCTTCAGGGCGCTACTACCGGTAACGGATACATCTCTTACAAGGTTCTCGATACTTATGATGTCGGTGCCTGCTCCAAGTTTTGCGACGAGACCGATACTTGCACTGGCTTCAACCTCTACATCGAGCGCGACCCTAAGTGGAACCCCCACCAGTGCTCTTGCACGAACCCTCCTTCCATCATCAACTACAAGTGCTCCATCTGGGGACAGAAGGTCACAAAGGAGACTGCTACCAACACTGGTGAGGGTCGTGATGACTTCACAGTTGTCATCACAGGATCCAACGGTTACAACAAGGGCACCTACACTCCTCCTACTCCTCCTTCTTGTAGCAAGCCCCAGAGCTGCGGCAACAAGATCCACGACCAGCCTCGCTACTGCATGGGCCAGAAGACTTTCCCCGGTCCTTTCGATCCTTCGCTCTGCGCTGCCTACGCCCAGAAGCAGAACGAGGTCAACCGCGCTAAGGGCCTGCTCGGTGCCATTCTTTCCATGCTCGGCATGAACAAGGGTGGCTGCGTCCAGTTCCAGGCTGCTTACCTCGAGAAGTCCGGCAAGGGTTTCGGTACTCACTGCCGCCTCTTCACCAAGAAGTTCACTCCTGCCCAGGCCACTCTCGACATCTCTGTCGGTGGCACCTCCGGCTGGGGTTGCCAGAAGTCCTACACTTGGGATGTCGATGTCAACGCCAGCTTCAACTGGGGTGGTTCCTGGAAGAACTAAGTGTTTCGAGTCAAGTATTCGGAACACTCGAAATGAGTCAAAGCATGCATGTGCATTTCTCGGCGCTTGGGGTTCGATTAGTAGACACTGGGGTGGTCGACAGAACAGTGTATTCTTCTTATCATGTGTACATATTCATGGTCCTCTTGAGCTTCTCAGCTCAACTGTCACGACGACACTCTGAAATTTGTATAGTTAGCACTTGCAATTAATGTATTAGTCTTGTTAACATTCTCGCCTTTGCATCTCGTGAGACCTGGAGTAGTTTAGCGCCTTGCTCCTCAAACATTAATGCTGACGTATGCAGGTGTGGCTAGTCTGCCAACACAAGTACTCGGTTTTCAGAGAAAACGAGTTTTCTGATGGCAGAGATGGCGGAGCATAGGCATAAATCCTTAAAAGCAATAGTCGGTCGAAGAAGGCTTCAAAGTAGCAACCTCAGGGACAGTGTTTCAGGCTTCAGGAAGCTACGGCATCGAAGGCAGCCGGTGGTACCGGGTGTTCGACTGCGGGTGGTGGGCCCAAGCACCTCGTTTGGGAAGGAGGGCGGGTCTTGCAACAGCCGAGACCCACACGCGTGATCATCGTGTGAACGTCTGGGGTAGCGCACGTTCATCGAGGGGCGACAACAGCTTGGTTGCGGTGGATGTTGGAGAAAAGTCATTTCGAAAATCGCAAGGAAGCACAGCAGTAAGCTCCTGGAGCTCTAAGACCCTGAACTTGAGGCTTTGACGCCCTTGCAGTGTTGCGGAGTGCGGCAGCCTGCGTGGCGTGGGGTAAAGGTGCGGGGAAGCTTGGGTAGCGGGAAAATGGCACGCGAGGCAGGCGCGTAGGTACATGCCAACGGTGCCCGAAGGTACGGCTCATATGTACCTGTGTTTCGCACACCGTGGCACTTGAGCGCGCCCCCTTTGCATCTACTCCCCAGCTATCCGTGTGTCGCGCAGACTGCTTGCCAGCAGATGCGGGTCTCAGACATCTTCTTTGGTCTGTTCTATCCCAAGCCGACATCATGAGCGCGCCAGCCAACTGTATCGCTGGCTACCGGCTTGCTATTCGCACGCGGGGCAGCCGCCGTGGCCTCAAGCCATGTGCCTCCTTCTTCAACCTCCGGGCAACACCAGTCCTGCAGCATGAAGTCCATTCCAAACATCTCAACCAACCAGCTGCGGGTATTCGGAGTTTGGCCCGTCTGCGTCCGTTGAGCCTGCAGCAGCGTGTCACGAAGATCCCCAGTACAGCCGTTACGCGCCACGCGTCCCATGCTGCAGCGGAGCCGCACGACGAAGAGATTCCTACCTCACCGCCATTCAGTGCTGGACCGTACGCCAACTTGACTATCGGTGTCCCCAAGGAGAGCTATCCAGGCGAGCACCGAGTCGCCATTACACCTCAAAATGTCAAACTCTTGCTCAAGAAGGGCTTTTCCAGGGTCCTCATCGAGCGCGGCGCTGGAGCCGAAGCCCAATTCACAGACGAAGCGTACGAGCAGGCTGGCGCCAAGACTGTTGATCGCAGGAGCGTCTTTTCTGAAGCCGATATCATGCTGAAAGTCAGACCTCTTAGTGTTGAAGGAGAAGACAGTGAAGTCGATGCTATCCGTGAGGGTGCAACTATCATCTCATTTCTCTATCCCGTTCAGAATAAGCATGTCGTGGACCGTATTGCATCGCGCAAAGCTACTGCATTCGCCATGGACATGGTCCCGCGTATATCACGTGCGCAGGTGTTTGACGCGCTGAGGTCAGTATTAGAGAAACACTCTGAAACAAGCACATGTCGCTAACAATCAGCCAGCTCCATGGCCAACATTGCTGGGTACAAGGCCGTCCTAGAAGCTTCAAATCATTTCGGACGCTTTCTTACGGGACAGACAACCGCTGCAGGAAAGGTATTGGAAACGTCGCAGCTTCTCACCGCATCACTGACCCTTTACAGATCCCGCCTTGTAAAGTCCTCGTCATTGGCGCTGGTGTAGCAGGATTGAGTGCCATTGCAACTGTAAGCTCGAATATCTGCAGACCGTCAACAAGTACTTATATATGCTCAGGCACGACGCATGGGCGCCATTGTGCGTGGTTTCGACACTCGCTCAGCAGCTCGCGAGCAGGTTCAATCTCTTGGTGCTGAATTCATCGAAGTCGAACTCGAGGAGGACGGTTCTGGAGCCGGTGGATATGCCAAAGTGATGTCCAAGGAGTTCATTGAAGCCGAGATGAAGTTGTTCTACGAGCAGTGTCGCGAGGTCGACATTGTCATCACGACCGCTTTGATTCCTGGAAGACCGGCCCCGAAGCTGATTACCAAACGTGAGTGCAGCTTCTTGAGTTTCTGTTGAGAGTTACATTCTTTGATACTGACTATGCGCAGAAATGCTAGGAGCTATGCATCCGGGATCAGTGGTCGTGGATCTTGCAGCTGAGGCTGGTGGCAATTGCGAAGCGACTGAACCAGGGAAGTTGACCAAATACAAGGACGTTACCATCATTGGCAAGTATGACACAACTCTGTATGAAGCTATATTAACCTGGGCAAGGCTACACCGATCTTCCATCTCGTCTACCCACTCAGTCCTCTACACTCTACTCTAACAACGTTACTAAGCTACTACTCTCACTCGTACCTAAGGATAAGAAAGACAAGTACTACGATGTCGATCTTACTGATGAAGTCACGCGTGGTTCCATCGTCACGTACGACGGAAAGATTCTCCCGACTGCTCCCCGACCTGCGCCCCCGCCTGCACAGGCCAAAGCAGCGCCTTCTCCAGCGGATCAAGTTGCGAACATCGTTGCTCTCACACCATGGCAAACTCAATCCCGCCAAGTCGCGACCGTCACTGCCGGAATGACTGCTGCCCTCGCCCTCGGCAAATACACTTCGTAGGTTTTATTCTTTGCAATAAGATCAAGTTACTAACAATACCAAGGCCCCTATTCATGTCGAACGCCTTCACGTTTGCTCTGGCAAGTCTGATTGGATATCGCGTCGTCTGGGGTGTTGCTCCTGCCCTGCATTCGCCGCTCATGAGTGTCACCAATGCAATCTCCGGCATGGTTGGTATTGGAGGTCTCTTTGTTATGGGAGGCGGTTACTTCCCAGGAACCATTCCTCAAACTCTTGGTGCGCTCTCTGTCTTGCTCGCGTCTGTCAATGTCGCAGGAGGCTTCGTCATCACCAAGCGCATGCTAGACATGTTCAAGCGCCCAACCGATCCACCCGAATTCCCATGGCTTTATGCAGTACCAGCCGTCTTGTTCGGTGGAGGCTACGTTGCAGCTGTATCCACTGGAATGGCTGGTCTTGTACAGGCGGGTTATCTTGTCAGCAGCGTCCTTTGTGTGGCTTCCCTCTCTGGACTGGGTTCCCAGGTTACGGCCCGCCGAGGTAATTTGCTGGGTATACTAGGTGTCATGTCTGGTATCTTGGCTTCTTTGGCTGCGGTCGGCTTCACGCCTGACGTGCTCGCTCAATTCGCTGGAGTGGCTGCTATTGGTACCATTGCCGGTCTGGCCATCGGCCGACGAATTACCCCAACCTCACTCCCGCAGACAGTTGCTGCACTGCATTCGGTAGTCGGCCTCGCAGCTGTGTTGACTAGTATTGGTAGCGTCCTCGGCCATTCCGGAGACATCTCCACCCTGCATCTGGTCAGTGCCTATCTTGGTGTCCTCATTGGTGGTATAACTTTCACGGGAAGCATTGTCGCTTTCTTGAAACTGGCTGCGAAGATGTCCTCCAAACCGTTGGTGCTTCCTGGCCGCCATCTCGTTAACGGCACGCTTTTGGGTGCGAACTTTGCCACGTTGGGAGCCTTCCTAGCATATGCTCCTGGAGCACCTATGATTGGCGCTGCCTGTTTGATCGGCAACGCAGTACTCAGCTTCATCAAAGGATACACCACTACAGCGGCGATTGGTGGTGCCGACATGCCCGTCGTCATTACGGTTCTGAACGCGTATTCGGGGTTCGCACTTGTGGCCGAGGGCTTCATGTTGGATAATTCTCTACTGACCACGGTCGGTGCCCTGATAGGTGTATCGGGCTCTATCCTGTCGTACATCATGTGTGTGGCCATGAACCGATCGATTACGAACGTCTTGTTCGGCGGCATAGCTTCGACGCCTCAAACCCAGACCAAGATCGAGGGTGAAATTACCAAGACCACCGCAGATGAGGCAGCGGAGGTATTGGTGAATTCCGAGAATGTCATTATAGTAAGTCAAGCTCCCCGGCAGAAGCTCTGAGCACAAGCTAACCCGCATCCTAGGTCGTCGGCTACGGAATGGCAGTCGCAAAAGCGCAGTATGCCATCTCTGACTTCGTCGCAGCTCTGCGTGCCAAAGGCATAAACGTTCGCTTCGCCATCCATCCTGTCGCCGGCCGCATGCCAGGACAGTGTAACGTGCTGCTCGCCGAGGCCAACGTGCCCTACGACATTGTGTTGGAGATGGACGAGATCAACGACGACTTCCCCGAGACAGATGTCACACTCGTCATCGGTGCAAACGATACTGTCAATCCGATCGCACTAGAGCCTGGTTCCTCCATTGCTGGCATGCCGGTCCTGCACGCGTGGAAGAGCAAGAACGTGATCATCATGAAGAGAGGTATGGCAAGTGGGTATGCGGACGTGCCAAACCCCATGTTCTACATGGAGAACACGAAGATGCTGTTCGGCGATGCGAACGACAGCTGCAACGGTAAGTGCTTCAGCCCGGCTGCTCCACGCCTGCTAATCATTCCGCAGCCATCAAACGCGCTCTTGAAGAGAAGCTCAAGGGTCTCTGAGCTCGGGGACGGGTCTGCAATATTGGCGTTACATCTGCTACCTATAATTGCTGAATTACATATGATCTCAGCACAAGCCCTGCCTCCGAAATGCTTTCGAGTCTGATGTTCCCGCCGGGAAATAACGTTGACGTTTTCGCGTTGCCCCGCGTAGCCGCCCCACACCCCTGTTCGCGCCCCTCATCCGTGCCGCATGACGTAGCTGCGTAGCACCACTGAAGCCGGAATCCTGCAATTGACGTATGGGCAGGCCGCAGCCCACGAGTCAAATATGTAGACACCTGACAGCGCGCCGTTGAGACTAGCATTCGCCTTCATCCACCCACAGACGCACAGAAGTGTAAGACCCCATACCATGTCGCCGCGCGTGCGTTGCGCCTCAGCGCACACTAGACTAACACGCCCAGACACCGCAACACAACATATCACAACACTACCTTGCCTATCAAATCCACCCCAGACCAACCAACATGTCCTTCCCCGTCGTCTTCACCATCCCCCCTTCCAACCGCCACGAATTCATCACACTCGACCCATCCACAAAACCAACGCTCAAGGCGCTCAACAAGCTAATCACCGCCACCCTCGCCGCGTCGCCCAACTGCGCCGAGTTCATGGGCAAGTACAAAGCCGCGGAAACAAAAGAGCAGATCCAGGAGTTCAAGATTCACTGGAGCGGCAAGGAGTTCGACCTGAAGGTGTGGCCCGAGTATACGGTGGTGACGGACGCGAACTTTGGGGCGATTTTGGAGGTGTTGAAGCGCGAGCCGAAGAGTGGGGTTTTGGAGGTCAAGGTTGGGAAGGCGGAGGAGTAGGTTGCCGGAAGAACAAGGTGCTGTGAAATCGATGGTGATACAGGGTCTAGTGGAGTACAGACGTTATGAATTATGAGAGCCATGCCGTTCATCTACTGTGCCTATTTATCACATGGACCGTCTTTTTTGAATATGATGAGCGTCATCAAGCGCCGAACCGTTTCCTAATATACACACTAGAATATGCAGCGAACCCGCTGATGATGTGATAAGTGCGAAAGCCAGAATCTTTCATGCACATCGAATCTGTGAGAAGTGGAGGGTATCCGTACTGATCGGCAAACCCATGCCAGAAACAGTTGCTGCACCTTGGAACGCCATGGTAAAGAGAATGGTAGCTGTTACAAGCTGTTGGATGAAACAGAAACGCCGGTGCGCCAAATATGCAATCCGAAATCGTGTGTCGTCGTTGGGATTAAAGGCGTTACCTTTCTTTCTGCTCGGTAACCCTCTTCTGCCAATACACAAGATCGCGGCTCAGACTGTCCATCATCTGGATTGTAGTAAGCTGCTTGAAAGCAGACAGTTCGTTCTCGTCCTGTTTCGCCTCCGGCACATGGTGCTCTCCATTTGTCGGAGGCTGAACAGCCGGTGCAGGACTTGTTTTCTCGCCAGCCATTTCCACCTGGCGCTGCGCAATATAGCTCTGCATAGCGCCAGCAGGTCGAACGATGTCATTCCATGACAGCTTGTGGAGACGCGAATTCTTTGACTTCGCTGTTTTATGTCCGTTTGCGCCGTCACTGCTCTCGTGCCCATTGCTGTTGCCGTTTGTGCCACTCAAATGAGGAGAGTTTACCGTGTCGTTCGCAGGAGATGCGCCGTTCACGGCGGACGCTGCGTCTCGCGAGTATTGGTTTCGGCCCAGGCGACCGCGCGGCTTTTGTGGTGGCCGACCACCTCGACGCGCAGTAGGTGTCGGCTTCAAAGACTCGACCGGTGCCTCGGGTGGCGCAGACGCGGAAGTGATGGCAGAAACGGTAGGCTCCTCAGTGGGAGTAGGCGTGGCTTCTGAGGCTTCGGGCTCTGCTTCGTTGTCAGCTGAGCACACATTTTGCAACCGTGCATGACGTACCATCTGCTTTCCGGCGTTCAGCGCGTCCTTTACGCCTGTTGGCTGCCTCGGTACGTTCATGTTCACGCTCCTTCTCGCGCTGTTCTTTTTCTCGTTGGCTTCTTGCGGCTGCGCCACGCGGTTTCTGTTTCGGCGCCGAGGCTCTTGTGCTGTCGTCCTCTGATTCAATCACAGGAGAGTCGCTGGGGGATCTTGAGCTTGTGCGTTGTCGCTTGACTTCCGGTTTGGACCTGTAGCATAACTCGTCAGAGTCGGTTGCTTATGCAGTTTGTGCTTTAGCCGAAAGAGACTCACTCTTCGCTGTCATCACGACTTCGCTTTTTGCGGGTTCCATTTTCTGAGAGAGGGGCGCCCTCATGTTTGCTTTCTTCGAGGACCTTCCGCAACACTTCGTCTTCATCATAGGCAGCTCGGCTGTTCATGGTGGAACGACGTTTCCCGAGGGAGTCGACGCTAGCCCTCGGATTACGGTCGTTGTGCCGGCTCGATGGAGACAACGTCTCTTTCGAGACGGACGATTTGCGTGCTTTCTTGCCATTCTGCTGGTCGTAGACGGGGAGGTAACGAGAGTACTTCTGGCTAGATGGCGAGTCAGCGTATTGTCTAGCGAAGAGTCCGTGGCGTGTGACTTTGTCGTAATCAAGAGACGGACGTACCCTTTGGGACTCGTTGTGACCTTGTGGAGGTCCTTGCGACACTCCTCGCAGAAGTATTCGTCGGGACTGGCGGCTTCATCCATAATGCCCACACAGCCGCCGTGCTGCCAGACTTTGCAAATGTCGCATTGGATAAACAGACCGCTGAGGTCGTCGCCCTCCAATGACCTGGCTGCGTCCGAGGGCGGGCCTGGGTATTCCTGGTACCCACAGACGCAGCGAGTCACCTCGTCTTCCTCAATCATCTCGTCATCGAGCTCGTCGTCGAGCTTTGTTAGGTCGTCATCATCGACGTCCTGCTCGCGCGTTCGGCGGCGTGTCAAGGGCCGGTCCATGTGTGCAAGGTCTTCAGGCTCTTCGGACGAGAGCGAGTGCGGCGTTGAGGATTTCTGCGGCGACGTCTGCTTATCGTCGATTCGTGTTGCACGATCTGTGCGCGCCGACGAGACGGAGGATGAGGAGCCGCTGTGCGCGGTCTGGGAGGCGGACGGAGGCTGAGTGGTGCGAGCCCTCGACGATCGACGCGGGGACATTGCTTGCACAGCCGTCGCTGTCTGCAGAGATTATACGGGCTCGATAGGAGCAGAGATCGCGGTGTCGGCTGCGCTGTATTAGGTGCGCCTGCGATGGACGTCGTATCGCCGAGCGTGCTTGCAGATGGCAGCGAGAGGTTGACGGCGACGGTTGGCTGGTAGCGGGCTGTGCAGCGACAATTCGATGGCAGGAGGAGGCAGACGCCGAAAGAGTGCGGTGCGACGCCGGTAGCTCGAGCGTGGTGGAGCGCAGCGGTGACGCTGCCGGGCGGAGAGCGAGCGGGACAAAAGCTCTGGAGCTCTAAAGAGCGACAGCAAAGAGGATGAGCAGCTGTTCGAATGCGTTGTGAGCGGAAGACAGCATGTTCTGAAGTCGATGTGTTGTCTGCGGCCCTGGGGGTGAGCAATGTCGCGGCTGCAGAGGGCCTGGCGGCGGTGCGAATTCTCCTCGAGGGCCTCCTCACTGCGCTACCGCTGAGCGCGTGAATGACATGGCCCGCCCGCCGGGGCAATGCGCTGCCGCCGAGGAGGGCATAGCGCGAAGTGCTGTGAGCGGCTCACGTGACTCAGAAGCTTGGTGCCCCCGGTCTGTGAGATTGGCTCCATAGGGGTTCGATGAGCGTTAGAATTCGCGCAAGAACTCGGAAGAAGACGGTTTCGGGCTTTCTGCGCTGCTGCCGAAGAGCTTGAAGAAAGAAGGTGGGGGCAAGCTGGCCTGGAAGGTGCGAACAAGTGACAACACAAAGTTGCAAGTCGAAGCCGCGCGAGCGACGGCGCTTGGCCGCCCGTTCGGGTCGGGTTTTCGAGAGGGGTCTCAGGCAGCGCCCTTCACCGCCGGATCGAGCAGGAACAGAGACGGCTTCCCGTGCTCGTGCCACCTCGACAGATTGCTGAGAACGTGCGGCGCTGCAGGTGCAAGGCAGTCCATCTGCGAAGCAGCCTGGTTGATTGATTACCCCGTAAGCGCTGCTTTTGGTAGGTAGTCATGTCCAGCATGACGCTGGCAACCGGCACCGCCTCCCGTATTGCAGAGTAGGCACAAATTGCGCACTCCGAATCTGCACAGGGGACTTACGAAAATTTCATCCAGTCTTCTTCTCTACTGCACAGTTGTGAAAGATGGTGTTGTCTGCTATATGAGAGTCACTTCACGAGAGCTAGGATCTGGCCATGTGTAGTAGCTAGCCCTGGTTCTAAACACTACGTACTACGTGCTTTTGCTCTTTAGTAAAGAAGACAATCATTCATTCGTGTATTAACGTGCGTATGACTACTTTAAGCTTTGATGCCCCCAGATCGAGGAGCACCGTTCCTCTCATGAAACCTCTTTTCCTTTCCGTTTGCTGCCGCCTTGGTAGAATCCTTGGTCATGCCATTGTGGGAACCATTAAACTGTAGGTTGGAAATACCATCGTAGCCCTTCTTGCCCGTGGCCTTCTCCAGGCGTGTAGCGATATCATCCGACACCTCTCTGAAGATGGAGATGACCCTCTTGATGGTCTCGTCGTCTGTGCAAGTCTCCATGTGCCCGGAGATGTTGCTGATGAAGCGCTCCTTTGCGCCGTCATCAAACACCTTCTCCCATAATTTGCGAGGGGCGTTGAAATCTTCCGGCCGGATCTCAGACAAGAAGGCAATGGCATCGCCCTGGAAGTTGTTGTGGACCTTATTCAACTCAACAGACCGGTTCCTGAAGGAGATAGGTTCAATCGAAGAAAGGAAGTTTGGTCGTGCTCCTTGGTTGTAGAAGGCCATTTGACCATCACGCTGGAAGTTACCGAAGCGGTATGGTACACGCGGTGCGTTTACGGGCAACTGCTGATAGTTGGCACCGAGGCGGTGGCGGTGGGTGTCAGGGTAGGAAAACAGACGGGACTGCAAGACGGGGTCGGCTGATGGCTCAATACCAGGGACCAAGTGTGCAGGGTTGAAAGCGACTTGCTCAACCTCTGCGAAGTAGTTCTGTGGGTTCTCGTTGAGGAAGAATTCTCCGACCTTGCGCAGCTTGAACTGGTCCTGAGGCCAAATGTGCGTCAAGTCAAACACATTAATCTTCTGCTTCTCCCATAGCTCTTCAGCTTCCTTGGGCGTCATAGTCTGGACGCAAACGTCCCAGCCAGGGTAGTCGCCCTTCTCGATTGCTTGATACAAGTCCTTTGTCGAGTAGTCTGGAGAATAGTTTGCAGAATCCTCTTGTGTGATGAAACCAGTGCCCTGCTTAGACTTGAAATGGAGTTGCATGTATACCCATTCTCCCTTGCTGTTCACCAGTTTATGTGTGTGGCCAATGTAACCATGCATCTTGCGGTACCCATCTGGAATGCCACGGTCGCCGAAGAGGATCATGAACTGATGAACAGACTCAGGATTCTGCGACGCGTAATGCCAGAAGTTTGTGGAGTCATCGGCATGTGTCAAATGGGTCGATGGATGGCGCTTTTGGGTGTGGATCTGAAGACTTCGTTAGTTGGGTTGTTTGGGGTTGGGCGCTGCAAACTCACGAAATGGGGGAACTTGGCTGGGTCTCGCAAGAAAAACACCGGAGTATTATTCGCAACAACATCCCAGTTGCCCTCCTGCGATCGGAATTTCACGCTGAATCCGCGAGGATCACGGGCACAGTCGTGCGATCCAGACTCGCCGCCGACTGTCGAAAACCGAACTGTCACCGGGCAAGTCTTACCCTGCTTGAAGATATCCGCTAAACACAGATCTTCCAACGAGTCTGTAGTGGTGTAATAGCCATGTGCGCCGGCTCCCTATGACTACATTAGAAATGTTTCTCAAATGGCACTGGTAAGTACTCACTTTGGCGTGTACAACTCGTTCGGGGATACGCTCGCGATCGAAGTGTGAAAGAAGATCAACTAGATGGAAGTCCTGGAGTAGGAGGGGACCGTTCTCGCCGGCACGTTGTGATTCGTAGGGATGAGGGTAAGGAACGCCATTTGATGTTGCGTAGGTGACTTCTTCAGATGTGGCGTTCCGGTCATCGACATAATCGCGGTACAGGTCACCGTTCTTCTTGCCATCAGGTGCGTGCCCGGTGTGGCCGTTTGGGTCCATTCCCTTGGGGTAACCATCGCCGTTGGCGTGGTGGCCGTTTGTTTGTGGTGTCATGTTTGTAGTACGAAGGCCGAGGTGTGTAGGCTCCTCGGACGTCGTTGACAGCCAACACTCTTATACCACATTACAATAGCGACCATTAGCAACCACCACTAGCCCGTCGATCGTGAAATATACCGTCATCGCTCCCATGGAATTTACGATGACGCTTACAGGTGCAGCCTGACAGTCTCTCCTGAAATGCTTCTGGCCAGACACGCGGCAAGGCAATGAGATTGAGTGACGGAACTAGCAGCATGCGGACAGCCGCATTCTCAGCGCCAGCCAGATGCCTTGCATTACCAACGATCGCAAGATTGTGGAGATAGCGCAAGTTCTGACAGGCCGGTGTGGTCGGCATTGAGGGTCGAGCACTACCAAATGGGCATAGACCTCGAGCCTGTTAAGAAATGACATCATCATCCGTCATGTCGACATGGCATTTCAGATTCGACATCGAGTTTCTCTCATACCGTTTGTTCGAAGTACCTTTGCCACTGATATTCCCACAAATCAAAGGCTACATTCGAGCGGCTGCAACAGCCACAGGTAGTTCCGGCCTGATCTTTTGTGGCAAGATGCGCAAGGTCACTGATAGTGGGCCTAGCCTAGCCGCGCTCGTGTTGGTCGCAGAAAAGCAGAAAAGACGGGACACTGTCGGTTCTTAAAGTTCCGAGCATGCCCAGAACTTAGAAGCCACTCGATTGTTTAGCCTTCGCTTCTTTCGTGATCTTTGTAGAGCCTCTCATAACCTTTTATCTACCTTGTTCACCTACGGACTATTTTCGATCGACTCTCGAGAGCCTCCGGAAACTAGACAGTATAGCCCGCTTTGTCAGGACTGCGAGGGTCACAACCTCAACGATGCTTCCCGTCTTTCATAAGACAGACTCAATGATGGATATGTTCCGTGCCACCACAATTCAAAAATAATGAAGAACACGCTATGTTCGGTAGAATTACCCCACAGCATCCAGCTGCCGGATCTCTTCTGGTCAAGTCAATCAAAACCACTATCCGCAATCGATAAGAAGGTCACACCGTGCCCCGCGCAATCAACCAGCATGTTGTGATTGGTCGTATCCACCTGCCTCATCTATGTGATGCACCTTCCCATTTGGTACTACCGGAACCCAGGTTGAGATATCCATCTGTGCACATTACTCTGCGTCTTGCGTGCCCAAGATTAATTCCATTGGTCGTATGAGGCTTACCAGTCTTCCGCAGACGAAGATCTGCACCCACGACAATGTGGCCAAAGTTGTGTCCACGTACTCATATCCTCTTCATCGCGCACTCCCACTTTTCATATCATCATATCATCGACTCTGATCTGAAAGTCATCGAACATGGATATCCTTGCACTGAGTGCCAGCAGGCTCTTTGCGAGTCCCATTACCGCTCCACTGAAAGTGTAAGTCATGTACATCTGTTGATGAAGCGCGTGCTCACTAGGTATGTAGTAACGCAAATACAAACCCAGCACGCAATTCAAGCAGCACAAAGCAGGCGGCCAAAACCACCTATGTAACAGGTAGCCACTTCTCAGCAGATTCCTCGCCTGCCACATCGATGCTCGATCTTGGCCGATCACGTGCATCTTCGAACGCTTCAAACACATCAAGTTCTGCGTATTCTGCGCTATCCGCACGATCGTCAGGGCATAGCAGGACTAGTTCTACTTCAACGACAGCTTCATCTACTTCGTCTGTTGGCTCGGTAAAGCGAGGTCGCCATTTAAAGGCGCTGTCTGATGGCTTTCAAGTCACACGACGTCTGCAGAAGAAGCAGTCGTCGCAGCAAGTGCCTCAACGCCAAAGCGATCCTATGCCAGCACCAACATCAATGCTCCGACCAGTAACAATTCTTGGACCAGAGCGCATTGTAGATGTCCAGCAAGCAGATCTGCTTGTGCGATGTCGAGACGACGATTACCATGTCGACCGCTCAATCATGTGCCACCATAGCAACTGGTTTGCCAAAGTGTACTCAAAAGCCAACTATTCAGTAGGTTCACCGACTCGAGATTTTGAATCTGCAAGATTAACAAAAAATAGAAGATGTCGAAACGTGTCGTAGACCTGAGTGCGGATGACCCGGGAGCTGTGGCGGCAATGATTCAGTACTGTTATCAGCTGGACTATGGCGACACACGGACAAACTCAAACTCATCACTCTATAGCATAGTGGCATTGCGACCTCACCTTGACACATATCTACTCGCAGAACGATATGGTATGCCAGGTTTGCAGAAGCTTGCAGTGCAAAAGTACGAGAAGCTAGCTGTGGCGGTGTTGACAGCAGTAGGCGACGAAGAGGAATTCGTTCGATCTATTCAAGACCTTTATACGCCCTCACGAAGGACAAGAGCAGATGAGCTGCGGCGCTTATCGGTGAAGCTCTGCGCAGACCATCTTGGCAGTGCTGTCTTGGGCATCGGGAAAGAGGTGTCGGGCATTATCGCGTTGATGGACGAAGTCCCCGAATTCAGATCAGACCTTTTTGAAGAGCTCGCGAAGCGATGGAAGTAAAAGTTCGGCTTCGAGTGTTCAAGGGTGTCCTGGTATGCAGGGTCTAGACTTGTAGCATTCTCTTGTCTTAGAAGTATGTCTTCACCTTCACTCAGCACCACGTTTGCCATCATGCGGATTTCATCGCGCGCCTCCAACGCGTCGACGCGCGTGATTCGCGTGCCCAATTTCACCTTTACTGCAAACTCGTCTCTTTACAGTCACCGTCTTCCCGCATTCAAACTTTCGATCACCTAGCTACGTCAATAACCAGCAAACTTGTCGACCATGGACTACCAAGATCAGCGCAAGCGTGCCTTCAGTCAGGCTTTTCAGCTTGCAAATCAACCCAGGTTCAGTGACAGCCGCTCTCAACCAGCCAAGCGCATCTTGACATACCCACTTCATTCTATGGGTCTCTGTTACCAGAACACCGATAAGGAGAACGACGGTCCACTTGATCTAGACTATGATTCTACTGTTGACGAGGCCCCCGGGACACAGGTCCGTCATCCGCCGCCTATAAATTTGCGGCGCACACGTCCTGTACTGTACAATACCGCTTCGCTGCAGTACGAACTCTACGGCGACGGGCCAGGACCAGAGGCTGGTACTAGTTACGACCCAAACTCTGTTGTACGAAATGCAGGCTTGAGAGACTCAGACGTTTGCAAATCTCCTCTCTCAACGCCGTCGATCGTTCGAGGCAAGTCGATGTTTGGCCCTTCGCCCTATCTCAGGCCAAATCTCAGCTTGTCACTGGGTAGTAGTGCAGATTCCTGCTCCCAGACTGCATTCATATCTGGCGTGCTCGAAAACGCAGGCCCTCCAATGAGCGATGCTACGACAGCGGTGAACCCGTTGACACCAAGCACTCTGAAATTTGGCGATCTGTCATTGAATAGCGAAGGATACTCGTTCATGTCATCGCCTCTTCGGCAAAGCGTTCAAGGCAACCGCGCGACAGTCTCTATGGTATCGACCTGTTCTTTCTCAAAGTTCGACTCTCATTATCAAGTACAGCACAGTCGCTCGCACGTTCGCAGATCCATCCCAGTGATCCACCCAAACGAAGTCGTTGTTTTGTTCGACAAGGGCAAGGCGATTAGAAAGGCGAACAAATATGCGCTGTGCAACGCCTCACGCCTCTTCGCTCAGTTGCTTGGAGGTCCTTCCTTGGTAAGGCGATCCCCAACCATACATTTCCCAAGCGCGTCTAACACCAAGCTAGGACCCTGGCCTCACGCGGTGCCTCCGCCTCCGCGACGACTTCCCATACGCCATCACTATCATGCTTTACTTCATCGAGACCGGCTACTACGTGTTCGATCAGCGGGCATTTACGAGACATCCCCTTCTCTCAGCACTTGACTACCACATTCACGCCTACCTCGTTGGCCGCAAGTACAACATCAAAGGGCTCCGAGACTGCGCCATCAAAGCCTACCTCATTACTGCACAGCAAGAGTTGGACAACGGTTTCCTGATGGTTCCCGACGACCAAAATCCCAGCATTCAGTTTCCCACAACTGGGTTTCCGATCATAGCCCCTGCAGACGATCACAATGACGGTGAGACCAAGATAACACCTGTCGACCGCTTTCTCAACTCACTGGCGCTGTTGTGGAAGAACGCGCAGTCGGACCGTGATCCAATGCGTCAAGTAGTGCTTGAGCTGATCAAGCGGAATCTGAGCAAGCTGCTGGGAGTACCGTTCTTCATCACCCTCATGCAAGATGTGGTCGGGTTTGGAGACGACATCATGACGAGCTTAGGAGATGATGGGTTTGAGGTGAAAGCGCTCCAGTTCCCCAAAGGAGGAAGGCCACGTCCGACTTTTTACTTTGATATCTAGTTTCAGGGCAATGGTTCGTTCTCTTGTGGGGGACGTGTATGATTCTGCGTAGCAGGTGGGGTTTTGAGGTCCTCGAATTCGGCGATTGTCGAGTGTGACAAGGTACGATGAAGTCTAGTATGCATCGTCAGCGCGAACAGATGATAGCACGTAGCTTGGAGAGCTTCTTTGAGACCAACATCAATATTGTTGAGTTCAAGCACCAAGAAACCGAATCTTTGATGTCTTGAACCACAGCTGGTGGCTTAGTGCTTATATACTCAGGCAAACGTTCAAGTACTTTTGCTGTCTTCATTTGCAGTTGTAGTGACGCGACCAGTTCCAATGTAGCCTCGAGGCTTGTTTAATACGATCGTAAAGCGTTACATGAATGTACCGGAGCCATTTCTTCTACAGACGACCACGAGACGTTTAGAACATCTTCTCCTGTTCGACCCTCCGCCTGCTGAGGTACTGTTCTGGAGTTCATGTACTCATAAAACAATCACATTAACAGGCAAGGCAGGCCAAACTGTCGCAGGCTCTCCTCCATTGTTAGCTGCAGCAAGGCATATCAAATTCTCAATTGTAGGTATTAGTCAGATTTCGCAAGCCGTAGTAGCGTACTGTGGTCGCAGGCGTGAGTATTGTAGGTGGGCCTCGGGGTGGCTAGGGACCAGCTCCCAAGTAGGTAGGTGTGAGTGTTCCAAAGCCGCAGATAACGTAGATGACGGTGATGTCCGTTATGTGAGACTGCTTTTACCGTAAGACCACATTTATACCTAGTACTCCCTTATCTGTACCCCCTTCGAATACAGCCTCCGCAAGATTACAGTGATAGTACCTAGATACTATATATGAGATGCTACGGCATTAGGTGAGCGAAAAACCAGGACCTTCTTAGCATTCGGTCCGTACCCCTGAGCTTGTGTCTACTATAGGAGCGTCAGTCACGTCTCTGGTGACTTGCTTGCGGGACGGGCCTGCGCGAAAACCAACTGCCGCCGGAGGATTTCGGCAAATTGAGCTAAGGCACTTAGCGCCGACGTTACGCCATAACCCGCAATTCACAACAGAGCACCTGCCGTAACCAGCGCAACAGTTCGTTGGATCACGCATATTGCATAAGTATCTGTAGTATGGCATCACCGGCCACGATGCACAGCCTGGGCGATATTCTGTCCAACAAAGTCGTACTTCACCTGTCGAAACTTCTTTCCAATTTGCCACGCTTACCTGATGGCTTAGAGAACACCCTTCACGCAGTACATCAAATCTTACTTATTCGTGGACAGCTGTAAGACTCGAATGGCTAATCAATGTGAGAATGAGTGTTAAGTAATCAACTTAGATGGGGCCTACTTTGTACTGATACGTACTCCATCTGTACCTGTACCGGTGGGCTAGTCCACACCGGGATTGATCCGTATTGCTCCGATTGGTCGTTCCAGCCCATTTCAATTCCTTGGTACTCACTCGGTCTTGCTCCGCTCAGACAGTGAGCTATACTGCTCTTGCAGCAGTATTGCAATAGAATTGCAAGGCGTAGCGGTGCAATCGACCGAAAGGTAAGCACACATCTACTCGTGGACCTATTCACTTTCACGTCAGTATATTAGTAGGTAGGCAAGAATCTGCTTGAAAGCACGACCATGAAAAACATGCTTGTGACACGGCCCCTCATGAATCCTACAAGTCTGTCCCCACCCTATTTCATTAGGAAAGATCAACGCTAATCCCTATAATTGCAACTGTACATCTCTACAAGCCGCAAAAGTGCCACAAAGACATGAGAATCTGCTGTATTAGCTCTGAGGTAGGTAGAGAGGGCTAGTTAAATGTAAACTTACGAGTAAGCCATGTTGCAAAGAACTAAGCTACATTTGTCCAGATATAATGCGACACGATGCAGATACTCCACTGTCTTCTGGCCGAGGGTTGCGTGAGCTTGCATGCATATAGGCCAGGGGGGCTTGTAGGGGTGACGGGGTCTACCATGTCTGCGTCACGCAACGGAATGCATGCCCAAAGGGTTCCGAAACTTATCAAAAAACAAGCTTCCTACCGGGTAAACATTGATCGAGCCGAGGAGCTGTCCGAACAGTTTAATATAAAGGTCGACGCAATGACGCTACCACGTCTTCTTGTCGAACACCCGGCGCCCACACTTGCAAAACTCACTTTGATATACATTGTTTCTACACATTACGAAAGCTTACAGCTCTGAGCATCAATCATGCGTTCCTCAATCATCATTGCCAGCTTCGTCGCCCTTGTGGCCGCCCTCCCAGCCATCGTCCCAGTCGAGAAGACCTCCCTGGCAGTCCGCACCGAGTCGCTCGACGCTACCGTCGCTCTCGAAGCTCGCCAGGGTTTCAACCCTTACGATCAAACCTTCTCGTGGCCCGAGACTGAGGTCTATGGCGGTGGTCTGTCCGCGCAATTCGAGGCTACCAACCTGGGAAATGGCAACTACAAGTTCCAATTCTGGAGCTCCGCCCCAGCTAATGGCGGCACTCTGAACTACCGAGTTTCCTACGGCGGCAAGACTCTCGCATCAGTCAATCTCAACCCCGGGAAAACCACTACCGTCAACGTCCCCAAAACCGGAGACAACTTCAACATCTTCATCCAGTTGGCGTAAGAGATCGTCATAGGGAAGAGAGTGAATCAGAGTTCGCTACACGAGGCCTTTCGCAGCACGTAGAGAGTTCAAAGCATGTATTGGCAACGACAGTTAGGATGTCGGTAGAGTGTTGTTTGGGCGGAAGGGTGACTGCTGGGTGCGATGTGTTGCTTGTGGTTGCTGGATTGAGACCAGTTTGTTTGTCACTTCATCGATCTTCTATTAAATACTGTGTTGATCGATATCACACCACATTCTACGATATGCTGTTGGCTGCTATGTTCCACTCAATGCATCTAACACGGAACCATAAATCGGCAGCCTAGATGTTGTTATATCACCAAACCCAAGAGACCTCAAACGGAGGTGCACAATTTGAGACCCAAAGACACTTTGAACTGAGATTTCGTGTCGATTTGAACACGTGATAGTGAGGGCAGAGAAGGGTCTCGCAAAGTGACTAGTCGTCAGCATGACAGAGATAGAGATAAAGCGCAAGAATGCTGTTATGGTCGATACTTGCATCAAGAAGGCACCCAGAGTGGACACAAGCACACATCATCGACTGAACTACTCAGGCCATCTTAGCTCTCCCGTCAGTATGAGAGCTTGCTAAAGTGGTCTAGACTTGGCGCGATACAAAGCAGTAGCAAGATAGAAGTGCTCAACAAGAACGACGACACAACGCCGATACCTTAAATCCAAGCCTGATTCTCGCTTTTGTTAAGCGTTCGCGAAGAAGTTGATCGCCATTACGAGAAGTCTTGTCTTCTTCCACCTGCATCCTTGATACGTATCACAGAAGCTGAAACGAAAAGTAGCCTTTGTCCGACATTAAACGAGGCCGAAGAACTGCTTCTTTACACGCTTGGGGTTTCGTTGGGACTCAAATTCGGCAGTCCTCTTTTTATCGTTCTGCGCGTCCTCAAAGTCCTTCTCGAACGATTTGAGTGACTGCAGGCTCTCATCGACATCGTTGGATCGTAATTGACGGTTTGCACTGGTTGCCAAAGCAAACGACAGACGCACAATATTCTTTATTTCGCGGCAATTGATGTTTTCCCTTGCAATTTTGTCCATGTATTTCGCGGTAAGGAATTTGGGGCGGCCCCCAGTGGCGTTGACGAGAAATCTTTCCCATAGGCGTTTTCGGTCATCGATGCATAGTGGAGGGAGTGACAAGGCGAGGTGTATGCGCGGTTTGAACGCTGGATCGATGGAACCCATGCGGTTTGTAGTCAGGAACATGACGCCTTGATAATATTCGACGCACCGCAGTAGTACTGGCGGTAACGCATCAGTCAACAGACGTGTACGCTGGCATTGTAGAGACATACCTAAAACAAGCTCGTTGTGGAGGATCTCATTCTCCTTCCTCTCTTCCATGAAAATGTCGGCTTCGTCTATGAGTAATGCAGCGTCCCATCTTACAGCCAATCGCATCGCTTGATCGAGCTTCTTCTCAACACGAGCGCCAAAGCCTCCCAGGTCACCTGCACCTAAAACGCATAGAGGCCTTTGGTAGCAATCTGCTACACTTTCTTGGTACACAGTTAGCCGCAATGTCTTCATATCGGTGCATGGCCATACCTGCTGTGAGGGTCTTGCCGACTCCTGGAGGGCCATGTAAGAGGAAGACCAGTCCTTTCCCTTTTCCTTTGATGACATCGTCAATTTGTAAAGCCTTGTTGGCATGGGACTTGAGTAGAGAAGCCATCATATCTTTCTTCTGCTGTGGCATTGCAAGATCATTAAATGCATCATTGTTATATTCGACCTCTCGAATCTTATCGACATCAAAGATGCCCCAGTTCTTGTGCTGAAGAGAAAACCCCGGTATAATGCTTGCCAAAATGTGCGGATCCCCCTATATCTGGGACACTACTGCAGGCTGTCCATGGAATGCCTGCATATGTGTCTATGAGTGGCTGTCTAATACTGGTTTGACAGGATGCAGGGTCAAACCAAAGACAGGAGCCACTGATCATACTGACCAATATGTATCGGCTGGTACGCTACCAGTGTGTACACCCATGTGCCAGCTATAGAGGGGTCCGCACATTTTGGCAAGCACCGATATTCGATGATGGCAAATCATCAACTCGCTGAATGTTAGATCGAGAGATCCATCCATTTCCAGATGAAAGAGTCTATCTTCAGCCATGAAACTTGTGTAAGTCGGCACCACGTTTTTGTTGAACTCCTCCTGGTCAACCAAGATTCGCCCCATTACCTGTGGGTCGTGGTTCCTGGTTTGGACAAGACACGAGCTGAGTATTTTAAATGCATGTCTCACAACAAAAGAGGCGCCATAATATCAGACGCAGCGCTGTGTTGTTCGGCAGCTGTAAAAGAGTCGGACCCGAACTTGCGAAGGGAAGCACATCACGGATCTCAATCCGGAACATCGACGCGGTATGGCACCTACTCTCACTTCTTGCATCACAAGTAACAGTCAAGATGAAGAATAGACTGTGGCCGGTATAGGGACACCGGAATTCCATCCACGTCGGCTTGACACGGATGCCATCATGACGCCGTGTAAAGCCGAAGAAGCCACAGACATCCCGATCACGATCGCTCTTGCGTCAGGTACTGTCGTCACTCCCGACACAGGTACAGACGTTTCCAAGACCGGACAGGAACTTGAACTTGGCTCAACCACACACGAGCTGCGACACCACTACAAAAAGTAACAAGGCACTAAAGAGCGAAAACACCGGACCTATCTGTGATATGGATCACTTCCCAAAACCACACAGAGATTGTTTCGCTGGTAGCTGAGTTCGTGGATCCAGCAGAGGGAAGCGACGACCTTAGGTCGAGGGAAGCGACGGCCTTGGGTCGTGGGAAGGATCAGCATAAGCTGTGGCTATCAGTTCAGCCTTTTGAATCTCAACCCCATTCCGCAATCCTTTGTAGTGCCTCGAGACTCCAAAACTCCAAACAGTGCACTACTCGAGCCTATGAACCACAGGCGTTTCCATGTGACGATGGCCCCGCCCCCTTTGAGTTCGGGCTCAGACTCTCAAGCCCCTGCGGAGTGACTTTCGTAGCCAACATACCGCTCTTTCAAAACCGAGAGAACACTCGATTGTTTCTGGTAGTCGCCCAGAATGCCAATAGAGCGCACTGATGAAGCCTTGTGCTTGAGGTACGGGTGCTCTCCACAGTCAGGGTCCGACTCTCAGGCCGGCGTGCGATCTGGATATATCAGGACGTGACTTGAGAGTCCCATTTTGAGAGTGCAGAGATGAGGATTGCCCGGGAGTCATCCGAGCTGTGTGTGCGTCTATCGGTGCTGGTCCAAGTGTACGGACCACCCCACCCCTAGATAGAGCGACAGTGAAGGCCTCTGGCTGGCTGTGCACATCTAGTCCGACACCACACAGGGCAGTGCATCCGATAACCAAGCTACTCGCCTATCGTTCCTTCACACCAACCTGCCTAAAGCAAGTCAGCACTGTGGCTGTAGCGGTCCGCGCATCACGGCGACCAAAAGTGAAGCTGGACGACTTACTTAGGCTGGTATCCTGATTGAGGCGCTGAACACACGCAGCTGTACACTAGAGGCAAGACGAGATTGCGCGAGCTCGATAGGTGCAAAAAGGGGCAGTGCACTGAGGTCTGCACAACGGGTGGGGTTTTTGTACCGGCCCTGGTCCCGCTATCAGACACAGGCCATGAGCTCAGCACAGTTGTAGGATCACCACACCAACTCCCACCCACTAAACACCACAGCACAGCAGCAACACAAGAGCAGAAAGTAGCAGCGTCAACGGTAGGCAACATCAATGGTATAGTATCCACAGCGCTCATACAGAAATCTATGCATCCACCCTGCACAATCGTATCAACAGTCCATGCAGCAGCGAACCCTCGTATAGCAAGCGCACACGTATCCAACGCAGACGCCATTAAATATACACAAACAAGGCAAAGACAGTCCCTAGCTACGTTCATCGTGAAGTCCTCCGCAAAAGTACCGGCTTGCGCTCCATCGTGTCTCGCTGTCAACATGTACTGGTGTCAATAAGTCTCCGCCAACATCGCCCAGGGCATTGGTGCTTATCAAAAGCGTGCCCTTGCGCTTGACCTCAAACGCTTGCGCACAAGCTTGGGCCGGGGAGCTTGGGCCGGGGAGCTTGGGCCTGAGCCTGGGCGTGAAATCCCGCATGGTGCTTACAAGGCGAAAAGCCACACGCCGGCCACAGCGCCCGCGATCCACGCACCGGCGCGGTGGGAGCTCGCGGCGCCGGTGAACTGCGCGGGCGCAGATGTCGTGGGCGTCGTTGCGTTTCCGCCCGCGGGCGGCGCGACGACCGAGGGTACGGGCGCGGGGACGGGGGCGGGAGAGGGTGCGGGGACCTCGGGCGCGGGCGCGGTCTCGATGAGGAGCCCGGAGGAGGCTACGTAGGAAGACACGGCGGTGCTGAGGGTCGAGGGCGGCGTGGCGGTGGTGCCTAGGGGCGTGGAGACGGGGGTGCTGCCGACGCCGCCAAGAACGGGGGAGGAGGCCGGGGTGCTGGGGACGGCGGTGGCAGTGGCGGGGGGTGTGCCGGTGACGGTCACGACTGCGGTGCCGCAGTCGCAGGGGGCGTCGCCCGAGGTGCTGTTTCCAGTGCCGTAGCCGCTGCCGCCGGTGTTGGCGGAGCCAGCGGGGGTGCTGACGGGGTAGTTGAAGTCGGAGTTTCCGCCTGAGCCGTTGGTCTTGCTGGGGGTGGAGGGCGCGGGGGTGGCTCCCTTCTCCTCGGTGCAGGTAGATGTGCCGTTAGAAAAGCCGGTAGCTGAGGGTGCGGCAAAGCCAGACTCGAGAGGGGCGCCGGTGCCGGTGGCAGATGCAGTGGCGTCGAGGACAGCGGTGTTCTGGGGAGCGCCGTCCTTGTTGCCAGCGCCGATTACCTCGATGGAGCCGAAGGAACCGCTCTTGTCTTTCCAGTGGTACTCGGTGCCGGGGGAGTAGTTGATGACCTTGATGCTAGCAACGGTCATGTCGAAGGGGCCCTTGGTGTAGTCGACCTTGCCGCCAGCCCACTCCACGGTACCCTTGTCCTTGGAGTCGCCTCCAGGCCAGTTGCCAAGACGGACGTTGCAGGGAGTCTGGGGGAAGTTCTTACCACCGTTGGCGTCGCCGTAGTTGAGAGTGCGCATGGGCTTGTCATCAATGAGCCATGTGAGGGACTCTGCTGTCCAGTTGAGAGCATAGGTGTGGAACTCGTTTTGGGTGCTTCCAACGTCCGCCTCAATCATGCGATCGTAGGTGGTGGTCTGCGCTTGTTAGCATTCATGCACTCAAAGCACTACACAAGAAGCCACATACATTTCCCTATTCATAATTAGCATGCGTATATCGAAACAAAAGGGTAAAATTCACCTTGCCGAAGTAGTTCATCTGGACCTTTGAGTCGACTCCACCGATCCATTCCCAGTCAACCTCGTCCAGGTCGTCCGACTGAAGGACAATTGAAGAAATGATACCCTGACCGGGCGCCGCCTTCATCTTGACCTCGACATAGCCGAAGTGCAAGAAGGACTCGGAGCCGATAGTAGGGGCATCGCCCTTCTTCGCGACTGTGAACACCGCACCCTCGTTGTTGTATGTGAGGGCACCGGCTGTCTGTTTCCAGCCCTTGAAGGCGTCTTTGCCGGTGGTGAAGTCAGTCTCGAAGGTCTCAGGCATCGCCGGGTTGTTCGGGCACGCCTTCTCCATGGGGTTGCAGTCAGTAAATGTCTGAGCCTTGGCAAGAGCAGCCAGGGCGCTCGCGGCGGCGTAGGTTGTGAAGCGCATTTTGAAGGTGTTTTTTTGTCGAAATGTAGTTTTTAGGCGTGTTCGTTTGCCTTTGTAGAACGTAGTCTTCACAGAAGATTAAGGTGCGTTGTTGTTGTGGTTGGCGTTGGTCGGGTTGCGGATCAAGTTGAGACAACGAGAGTCAATCGCAGGCAGCAACGTAATGAATGTATTGCTCGGGATAGAGCTTTGTCGTCGTAGACGTAAAGAATGAGGTCGACCAGCGTCCGCAAAGAGAGAAAGGGAGCGTGGTATAAGGTACGTGAAAATGCACAAAAGTGAAGGTTGGGGCAAGAATGGGCCTGAGTGCTGGAGCACCGAGTATTAAAATCCGGCACACGAAGGCGACGCAATCTCCGTTAGAGTCCGTGGTCGTAGCCATGGGGCCTCTCGTGTCCGCTCATGCGGTCAGTCTCCTGTTTGAAGGCTCGGCACGCCGAACTGGTCAATCGGTGCGCTCCTTCGCTCCCGTCTGAGGTTCCATGAAACAAGTGTGGAGACTAGGGTGTGTCAGACATGCCAGACGCCGGCCCCGACCTATCAAAACGCGTACGTGCCTGGGCCTAACTTTGCAGAAAACATCTGCGACAGCCACTCAGACCCTGCATTTCGCTGCACCTGTTCTCCTCGTGGTGGTGCTTCGCAATATTGAGGCGGTGCTCTGCAGGGCCTCAAGATGGCCTCATGGAGACCCACGACGAGGCTTCTGTGGGGTAAAGCGTTTTCATGCATATGTCATAATCTTTATTGCCACTACATTGCACAGATCCGGCACTGGATGTGAGATGACGATGCTGCGGAATGCTGAGGTCTCAGAGGCGTAGCCATGACGTTGCCTGGTGCTTCGGTGGTTCTGCTGATTGCGATAGGCCCTACCGCACACCCTTTAGCTGTTTGCTTTGATGTCGCGCGGATCTCAAACAACATCCCAGCCACTGATGAAATGATCTACCAACCGGAAGATCGCGTGGTTGTCACTGTGTAAGGGTGATGCTGGTGGCATAGGGCTGTGCTCGCTGACGCCGAACGCCTGCTGGGCTTGACCGCGCTGCGGCGGATCTCTACTGACGAATGGTAAGAGGGAGGCAGGGTTGTGGGTGCGGTAAAGGAAGTCGCTGTGTGACATGTCGTTGCGGTGTTACATCGGCCCTCATAGGTCGCAGGACGTGTGGGTGTGGCCGTGTCGGCATGGAGGAGCGCGATAGCCCCGCGTTCACACTCCCCAGATCCGGAGAAGCCGCCAACACTAATCGAACATCAACATCCATGACTTTGACGGCGGTTCACCTAGCAGTGAGTCCTGGCCGCGTGTTGAACAATTCGTGACTATGTATGTAGTCCAGCAACCTTGACTGCGGGATGCGTTAGCGTATGTCGAACATCCTTACCTTAAAGCATAATTAAGCTTCAAGGTGTCGTACATATAATTCTTACTTTAGACTTGGCACAGGGAAGTATCATTTCGGTAGTCATTCAGCCTTTGCTCGTATGTGTTCCTTTCATCGCATCCCGCGAGGAAGTTTGCATGGCTTCTTCCTCTGCGTCGTGAGTTTCGAACCGCAAGGCTTCACTTTCTCGCTGTCTGCCAGTTCGTCTCTCATACAGCGAAACGGCCAGCACCAAGACGCCCGACTCTCATCATATCGTCCCTCATCATCAGTCGCTGTCTCGTTTACCGAAGCTTTGGGCTTCTCAGCCTCGCCGTCTAGTTCAGTCGCATTCACCTGCTCAAACCCTTCAATAACGCTGTCCTGCGCGTTGGTGAGCCGACCAACATGGAGCGACGAGCACTGGTCACAATAGCCAACTGGAACGGACCCTTGCGTTCCACCCATTGCGCTTGTTGGGTCCCCCAGCCACTCCGCCCGCTCGTCTGCGGTACCGAACATTACGGCTAGCGGATGTGACGACTCGGCTTCGAACTGTACGTGCTCCCAGCTATCCTGCGGAACCATGGCTTGCCTCTGTACGAGCCGCTCCCAGTGTGATGGAACACCGTGGAGCGCCACTTCCTGGTTGCGGAGCCGCCGGCGCAGGCCATCAGGGTGGTCAGGTGGGAGGTAACTCCGTTCTGGGTGTACGCCAGAGGTATCTACGCCACTCACATAGTCGAGTTCAGGAGGCTGCACGCTTCCGAATACGCGTTTGTCCAGCGCCAGATCGCAGGTAGCGAGACCGAGCCACACCTGCCGCTGTCTGCGCTTTTTCTCCGCGTCGACGACGGCCCGGGTACACATGACCGCCTCCTCGGCATCGTCTTGGTCGAAGCTGAACTGCGAGACATTGCGCCGCGCAGTGGTCTTCCTGGGCGCTGTCCGTGGCCGCGGCTTCTTTTGCCACCATGCGAGGTTCGCCGTTGGAGCTCTCTCTGGCCGGGTAAGTGTGCTGTGAGTCTGCTGTCCGTATGGCACTGGTGGGTGCCCCGACGCCTGCCTGTCACGAAGAAGTTCGGCGCTCCCCGTCGATGTCAGACTCTCTTCCTCGATCAGAAAACCCTCCTCGTCATACAAGTCCTCCTGCACCCCAACTTCTCTCTCACCTTCGACTCTTTTTCCCAAGCTCAAATACGGTGTACCGGATGGCACGTAGCTCCACGCCACCACTGGGTGGGAGTCACCTGCATCGTCGCGCGTATGGTTTGTGTGAGGAGAGTCCACACGTCTCCTGTCGGCGTTGAAATCGAGGTCGGAGCCAGGGTCAGGGCGTTGTTGTTGGGCCTCGCGCTTGCCGTGGGAATAGCAATTTTTTGGTCGAGGCTCGCGCCTGCTCTGTTTGAACCGATCCAGCGTAGGGAGATGCGTGAGCTGCGGGAGCGGAGCACGGGGCATTGTGGGGTACGCGTCGTAGTCTATGGAGCGCTGGTGTGGCACCTGGCGTGGAAGTTGCGACGACCATTGCGTGCTGCGGGACATGGTGTGTGCAAGACGGTGGTAGCTGTGATGGCAAGATGCATAAGGAGGTCGACTGGCGAACAATGGGAGCAGTGTGCACGAGTTGCTGGGGTGGGGCGTGTGGTAGCGAGGGCTCTTACAAATATCAATTGTGCGGGTGCAGGGTATTCAGGGTCTTCACACGGTCACGGTGAGCAGTGGAGGGGCCGTCGTACGTTGTCTTCCCTTTACTAGGTTATCATTCTATCATCATGCTTCAGACTTGATTAGCAGTCCTCGGCTTTCGCGATGCTAGTGAGTGTCTAGTTGGAGATACCGATGACACCGCATGCAGGGCGGCCACCAGCGTTACCAGTCTTCTTGGACTCCTCGTGTCCACCCTTACCAAGGTCGTCGGTGCCAGCGTGGACAACTACGGTGCGCTGTTGGGAGTCAGTATATTCTTCGTCCAAGCGGAATAGGTGGAGACATACGCCGATGACGCTCTCAGAGCCGATGAGCTTAATCAGCTTGTCTTGAACACTGCCCTGGGCATTACCCTGGCCGTCGGTCTTGAAGTTACCGAGATCACCGACGTGGCGCTCCTCGTCGCCGGGGGCGCCGTGGGTCTTGTTGTGAGGGTTGACTGTTATGGTCAGTTGTGTCGGGCAGCCACTGGCTTTCCACGGCACTCACAGTGAGGTCCGGCAGAAGTGCAGCCGTTGGTGTTGTCGCCGAAGGCGTGGACGTGCATGCCACGCTCAGCGTTGGCGTCGTGGCCGGAGATGTCCCATGTGATGGTGGTCTGCGAGTTCTCGTCGGCCTGCTCGAAGGTGACGGTTCCCTTGATGTTGGAGTCTCCACGGATGACAGCGACTTGGAAGCATGTTAGCCTAACGCTCTAAAGACGTAGCTCCTGTCTCGGCACTACCCGCCCGCTGGTGTACAGATGCGTGAAGGGCCATCAAGGTGTGTGGTGAGCACGGAGCTGATTGGAGCATCTGCACTAGGAACATGGAGCACGCCACGCGGTGAGGTGCTCAGCAAGGTCCTCAGACAGCTCCAATTGAGCCACTCACGGTATCTTGAGACCCAGAATAGGCTCGTCAAGACACAATGTGCTCAATCCCGCGCACTCACTACCCCACCTTGCTATAACGGGGCAAGTCTGGGCTGCAAAGGGTAATAGACGTACCAGCCTTGACCATTTTGGCGGTTGTATACGGTTTAAGATAAATGTAAGATGGATTGAAGCTTGACTTGACGTCTGAAGTGTTTGTTGTGAGAGTGAGGAGGTGAACGAAGCTGTGGAATTGAGAGCTCTTACGGCTGTACCCTCTGCGGGGCTCGGCCTGACGCAATGAGCGAGGCCCCACAGTGCCACCCAATGCCCCCTCGGAACTTTGTCAAGCCAGCCGCCGAAGCTTCTGGGCTAAGACGAATGATAAATCAGTATGCACCTCGCTGACTGCGTCTGGACCTTGGGACTGTGTAAGCCCTGATCGCACCTCTAAACCTTGAGACTATTAAGGGTGCTGTTTTTGCAGATTGATCACGTTGTACGTTGGTGTGGCAGTTTTATCTCATTGTATTTTTGATGCATCGCAGTACCAAGCAGCTATATAAGTGCGGTTGCAGCTGACTTCAAACCGTAAAATTCATGCCTTCATAACTATTCAAAGAAAACGACTGTCATCGGACGGCTCTATGCCTGAATCTTCTTGCGGAGGATGTCCTTGAGGGTGACGGCGTCAGCAGCGAACTTGGAGATACCCTCGCGGAGCTTCTCGACGGCCATCTGGTCCTCGTTGAAGTAGAAGCGGAAGGCAGCCTCATCGTTGATGTAGGTCTTCTTCTCGATGTCGAGCGAGTTGGCGTTGGAAGCATCGAGCTTCTTGGGCACGGAGTCGGTGGAGTTGTAGAGCTGCTCGAGGAGGTTGGGCTGTGATTTGTTAGTAAGGAACTTTGATGGTGTGAAGCTGACTTACGGCGATGGTGAGGTAGTCGCAGCCAGCGAGCTCAGTGACCTCGCCGACGGAGCGGAACGAAGCGCCCATGACGATGGTCTTGTAGCCGTACTTCTTGTAGTAGTTGAAGATGCTGCCAACGGACGCGACACCGGGGTCCTCCTCCTTGGTGTACTCCTTCTTGGTGGAGGCCTTGTACCAGTCAAGGATGCGGCCAACGAAGGGGGAGATGAGGTAGGCGTTCGCCTCAGCAGCGGCGATGGCCTGAACAAGAGAGAACATGAGGGTCAGGTTGGTGTTGATGCCGTGGTCCCTCTGGAGGATCTCGGCGGCCTTGATGCCCTCCCATGTGGCGGCAATCTTAATCAGAACACGCGACTTGTCGATGCCCTGCTCCTTGTACAGCTGGGAGATGTTAGTTTGCGGATTGCAGTTTCGCTAGCCTTTACTCACGTCGATGATGCGCAGGGCCTTGTTGACCGAGGCCTTGGTGTCGAAAGAGAAGCGCGCGTCAACCTCGGTGGAAACCTTGCCAGGGACAATGGCGAGAATCTCCTTGCCGAACTGGACGAGGAGGTTGTCCAATGTGGCGTCGACCTGGTCCTCGATGTTGTCGGCGTGCTTCTTGCCCCACGCAACGGCGGCATCGATGAGCTTCTCGTACTCGGGCTTCTTAGACGCCGCGAGAATCAGGGAGGGGTTGGTGGTCGCATCCTGGGGCTTGTACTTGTCGATGGTCGCAAAGTCACCAGAGTCGCAGACGACGGTCTGGGGGTGTTAGTTTCAGCTCAACAACTGTGCAGTGCCGCAGCTGCCGTGGGGGTAGGAGTAGTGGGGCTACCTACGGTGCCAGTGGCCTTCAATTGATCGAGGGAGGAAGTCATTATGGATGTGATGTGTGAGTGTGAAATGGGGTATAAGGACGGAGCTGGGGGTATATGGGCGAGGAAGAGAGAAGAGGTTGTTATTGTTGAGCGGTCGCGGTGGTGGAGCACCTTTCAATCAGTCGGTCTCCAAGAGCCCCGCTACAGAAAAGGCTGCTGCGTCACAAGCGTGGCCACCGCGACGGCCGGAAGAACAGCTGGCTAGCATTGGCGCAACGCCGGCTGATAGGCCCACCCGTCGTCAATGCATCAATCAGCGTGCTAATTGCTCGTAGTAAGCAGGCCTGGCGGCGTAGGGCTGCCCGCTGCGGTCGCTGTTTCGCCGTTCCACGGCCGTTGGGCCTGTCACAGCGGCGCTGCAGAGCTCGAGCTGTCGCAGGATCCTTACTCATCGGCGGTATGATGCAATGCTCCCGCAACTCTGATGCACTGCTTTGCCTCGATGGGCGACACACGGCGAGCATCCACTGCTCGCGCCGTGCCCCTCTCTCCGCTCTCAGCAGAGCCTGCTGCAATTGTCGCATGTTCGACAAGTGCCACCGGCTCCCTGGATCCATGTTGGAAAAATTCCACGCTTCGGACGACTGCCAGCCGAGCCAGTCCTTCAGTCGCCGGCCGCCACGGGTTCTTGTTGCGGCCTTTGCCCTGCATGACATGTTTCCGCGGCAGCCGGAGAAAAGGCCGCGTCGATGCGAGCTCGTCATAACACCAACACCTGCTTGCCAGTAATTTCCCTCGCTGCAGCTTATCGTGAGAAGCGTTCTAGATTGAGCCTGAAAAGCTGTGATTTGAAGCGTGCTTGCTTTGTCGCTGCATTGGCATCCCACACTTCGGAGATGTCGGCGAGCGAACGGGCTTGCGATTCCTCAACAGGACCCAGCGTTTCGAGACGAGAAAGCCCCGCGCATACTGGTTTGCTTGCTGAACGATACTTCGTATCGAGTGTTTTATCCTGGCAGTCACTGCTGACCATACTGTACTTGCAGGATTAGGCTGTGACTGACCACCATAACGCGTCGTACAGATGGTATGCCACGCTCAACACCAAAATTCAAAGCCACGACAGGCTTTCGCAGAGTCGAATCAGATGCCGATGCGCTCATCGTCGAGAAAGAGTCAGTTGTATGAGGGCATAATACACATAGGATGAATCACCCAAAATGGTCATGGCAAGGAAGTCAACAGTATTTGTAGAGGACGTTGGCATATTCATACCTGAAGCAGCACGTAGCCAGAAACTCCGATAACGGCATAACAGCGCAACATCACGTATAAAGATCAACGTCAGTCAAGACCTGCGCATAAGTTACACGCGTGTACTTCGTATAAAGCTTTCGGACATTATTTTCCGTAAGCTGGAAGCTACCCCACGATACCCCTCATTCGCTCATCGCTCATCACTCGCATCACCACGTGTAGCAACACACATCGAGTAAAGATGGCTGCAAGCACACGCGTAAGAACCGGCAATATCTAGGTATATCTTACAAGTCCTAGGTCCCCACCTAAGGTAAAGACATCGGCCATTCGAGCTCCCAAAGTCCCCCAAGTCAAGACACTGGCCCTTCGCGCTCCCAAACCCCCACCACCATGGCCTCCCCACCCCCCTTCTCCGTCGCCGGCAAAACCGCCATCATCACCGGCGCCGGCTCGGGCATAAACTACCACTTCGCGGCCCTCCTCCTCTCGCGCGGCTGCAACGTGCTCCTCGCAGACCTGTCCCTGCTCCCCCCCGCCGCCGCCCTGCTCACCACCTACGCCGCCGGCACACCGCGCGCCGCCTTCCAGCCCACCGACGTCACCGACTGGACGCAGCTCACGCGCATGTTCGCCGCGGCGCGCACGCACTTCGGCGCGCTGGACATCGTGGTGCCGGGCGCGGGCGTGTACGAGCCGCCGTGGAGCAATTTCTGGGTCCCGCCGGGGAGCGCGGGGAGTCGTGATGCGGACACCGGGGGCCGCTACGCATCGCTGGACGTGAACCTGGTGCACCCGGTGCGGTGCGCGCAGCTCGCGATCCGGGAGTTTGTGGCGCAGCACGAGGAGAGCGGTGCGACTGCGGGTGCAAGACCGCCCAAGCGTATTCTCCTCGTCTCCTCTATCGCGGGGCAGACCGCGACGCTGCACGCCCCGCTCTATGTCGCTGCGAAACACGCCCTGAATGGGTTTATCCGTACCCTGGCGCCGCTTGAGCCGCGCCTCAATATCCGCGTCAACGGCGTCGCGCCCGGGCTCGTGCTCACTCCGCTGTGGACCGAGGCGCCGGAGAAGATGCAGTTTGTGGGCGAAGCGGACGAGTGGGTGAGCCCCGAAGAGGTGGCGGAGGCTATGCTGGGGTGTTTGGAGGGGGAATTGGGAGGGGGAGGGGTGCTGGAGGTGGGGAGGGGGCAGACGAGGGTTGTGGGGCAGTTCATGGATCCCGGGCCGTCGGGGAGAGGGCATACTGTGAGCAGGCTAGAGGAGATGGAAGGGGAGGTTTGGGGTAAGCTTGAGGCAGGGGGGTGGGGTGGTGCGCGGAGGGACGAGGCAAAGGCGAAGTTGTAGGGTGTGTTGATTGAGGGATGCATTGATAGGGTATGTGAATGTATCGTGTACTGATGCTGCTGTTCATCATCTTTTCCTCTCGTGCGCCGCGCGCTCCTACTTCCGCTGCCGCAGATCTGCGCGCCCGCTGTCAACACCGCTGACGTGTGCTGCCCCCCCATTTGCCGCGCCGCTGCTCACATGCGCCAACCGCACCAACTCGTCCATCATCGCACTGCGCGCCCGCTCGACCAGGGCGTCCACATCCGCGGCCGTGCACCCCTTTGTCGGAATGGCGGGGAGGACACTGACATCCACGACGCCCGGCCTGACGACCTTGCGCTTCATATCCAAGACATGCGTATAGTTCGCGCACACGACGGGCACAATGGGCACCTGGGCCTGCACGGCGAGGTGGAAGGCGCCCTTCTTGAAGGGCAGCAGCGCGGGCTCAGCGGCGTAGGAGCGCGTGCCCTCGGGGAAGATGAAGACGGACTGGCGCTCGGTGTGCATGGTGTTTGCGGCGCCGTCGAAGGCGGCGCGGGCGGTGGCGCGGTTGGCGCGGTCGATGAAGACGGTTTTGCTGAGGGCCATGAACTGGCCGAGGAAGGGGGTGTATTTGAGCGAGGCTTTGGCGGTCACGGAGCAGTAGCGCGGGAAGATGCAGCCGAGGAGGAGGACGTCGAGTTCGCTGTGACGGCAGTTAGCTTTGCTGAGCGTGACACTGGAGGAGAGAGAAGGATGCGCACGTCTGGTGATTCCCTATAAACACGGCGGGCCGCGTCTCGAGCGCCTCCTTCCCGCCGCGTCGTCCCCCCTCGGCGCGCCCGCCCACCTCGTCCACCCGGAAGGTCACGCCTGTGCACAGCCACATAGTCCACTTGAACGCGCGCCCAGTGGTCCACTGGCCCAGGCCGCCGTACCCGACGACGCGCAGGGCGGCGCTCGCGACGACGCCGTAGCTGGCGCACAGCGCGAGCAGCACGAACGCGGTGATGCTGAACGCGACGAAGGAAGCTTGCTGGCCCAGGCGCCCGGGCAGCACGAGCGCAAGGAGGCGCAGCAGCATGACGAGCGCGACGGGAAGGGCGCTGAGGGTGAGGAGCCAGCTCATGCTGGGGAGAGAGGCGCGGGCGGGGGGGCGTGTTGTGGTGTCTTGGGCATGCAGTTGCGCGGTGCAGGGCTCGGAGGGCGTGGAGAGGTCGCGGCGTGAGAGTGCACGGAGATGTGCAAGCAACGGGCGAAGGTGGCTGCGGAGAATTAATGTGAGTACCGCGAGTACTGCGTGCGAGGCGGCTTGGGAACGTGAGCTCGCAGCGGGGCTGTTTATTTTTTGCGCACAGGTGATAGGCGCGCCGAGGTCCGATGGCCGATCTCGCTACTCACTACCTAACAGTAGTTCCCGGGCAATGACCCTGCGGCTTCGTGCCTGAGGTTGAGCTCAACACGTCCGCAGTGCGACGGAAAGGGTGAAAGTTGCGAAAGACCGAAGGATGGGGGCTTATGGGGGTGGAGCGCACGCCGCTGTTCTTCCCGCGGGTGCACGCGTGACCCGCACGCAGGTCACGGCCGCTGGTCGGCTGCCGATGGCTTGGGGCATCACATGTATCTTCACATGCACGCTGCAGCCACTCCGTCCGCCGGCACACTTCACAAAGTAGTGTTGAATTATGTGTTGCATTATACCGTCAGTCTAAGTAGCTATCCAACAACCCATTGACATTCACACATGGCGTCTGAGTGGTCTTCCCCCGCGCCAGACCCAGCTTCAGACGACTGCAGCTCCACCCTCTCAATCCCGTCTCCCAACCCTCCATCGACACCGACGACGACCTTCTCGCAGTATGGCACACTTCCAGCCTCTCCATTGTGCTCCACAAGCTTCAGCCTGTACGGCAGATGCGACGTCACGTCCGTCGCATTGGACGCCACCCCGCCCTGCTCATCCCGATAGACGAACCCCTCCAGCAGCGTATCGTTGAACGTGCAGCGCCAGAGCGTCTGTCCCGGCAGAAACGTCGTATGCCTCGGCTGGCCCAGCAATGGCACCGACCCCCCGTCCTGCCCCAACTGGTCTCCCCTTAGTATCACAGTGCGATCGTACCGCGCCGCGAACCTGTACTGCGGCCCGCCCTCACTCTTGACCGCCGTCAGCCCCGTAGGTCCGATCTCTGGCGCCTGCTGTCCGCAGTGCACGCTCCTGTTCGACGCAGACGGCGGGCCCAGCGTGATCATGGCTGGGTTCTCGTCGTCGCCGAGGGATGGTAGGATGCTGAGCTGAAGCGTCGTGTCGAAGGCGCACTGCCATGCCCGGGACTCGTTGGTGCGCGCGAGACACGCCGAGCTCTGCTGCTGCGGGAACTGGATCGGGACGACGAACGTGCCGCGCTGGATGGCATCACTCGAGGATGTGTTTGTGGCATTGCCTGTGGTGCGGACATCGGACGCGTTGCTAGACCCGCGTCAGCTTGCTCTCCAGAGACTCACTTCGAGGCGCCACTGTACTCTTTCCCTGGTTTCGGGCTCGCAGTCAACAGCGCCACGCCCACCGTAATCAGTACCAGCGCCTGCAGCCCCAGCACCGTCAGCACGCGATACTTGACCCCCATCCTTCCCCACGTGCGGCCCCACAGCGACGTCGGTATGCTTGGAAGCGGCTTTTCGCGCACCTCTTGCACACCCACATACACCTCCTTCTCGTCCAGATACGCGCTGACGATGGGCGCCGCCCGGATGCTGTCGTGCTCCAATGGCACAACTTCCAGCCCATCCTCGATGTCCGGGGACCGCGCTGATTCGGACGCCGTAGAGGCGCTGTGTGTCCGAACGGGGCGGTAATGTGCAGGGAAGGCAGTGTGGATGCTCGGGAGCTCTGCAATACTGCGGACTGATCTGCGGGGGAGCTGCATTTTGGTGAGGTGAGTGAAGGGTAGGTATTAAACAAATGGACGAAATCAAAGTCGGAATATGCCCAGTCGACAGAACCGACGTAGACTTGATCGAAGGCAATACAATAGTGAGTATAATAGAAACGAACAAGTCACCGGCCAGCCAGTGCAGAACGAACGAACGTAGTAGGTTCCCGGGCAAAAGACTCTCACAATCGCAAAGCAACCCACCGCACGCACACCCAGCAGCCCCCTCCTATAAACCCACCCTCCCCCCAACAGAACCCAAGCCAAGCACCCTCCCCTCCCCTCCCTCACCCGCGCCGCGTACCTGCCGCTGCCCTGGACCAGTCCCGAGCCAGCGTGAATAGCCCGCAAAACAGCCCGCTTTGGATGCATTAACCACGCTCCCGAAACGAGCATAATCCGCAAACGAAACAAGCGAAACCCAGCAAAAAAAAAGTGAATCGCGTTAGCACATGTGGTGTTAGGCAAAAAGCCCAGAGAGGCATGTATTGAGTGGCGCCGTGCATTGGCTCTACACGCTCTGTCTGCGTCCGAGGCGGGTCCGTGCGTGCCGCTGATGCTGGTCGCGGGCGCGGCCGTCACATTTTACTCTTCTACTGTGTATACCGCGTTCACCGGTTTCCTGGAATGTTTCATGGGAGCTCTAGGTGTGGCTGGGTGGAGGGATGGGGCATGGTGAGTGGTTGGGTTGAGATGGATAAGGGTGAGTGGTGGACAGGGGGTGTAGACGCAGCCGCCGTGACGCGGTCGCGTTTAGGGTCGGGTGCGTGTGCACGGATACCCGACAGCGACTTTTAGAAGATGTGATGGATCGATTGGAGCGGTGTTTGATCGAGGGTATGTAAGCTGCCGCGCTGCAATTGTCGAGTCTTGTGGATTATCAAGTCGTCGAGTGTTGTAGGTGGACAAACGCAGGGCACTTCGGATGGATAAAATCAGGTCGGTATAGCGATGCGCAACGGTCATCTAGACTTTGCAACGGTGCGATCGCAATTGTCCGTCGCCGCACCGTTGCGATAGTAGTGCGCGTGGACCTATAATAATGCCAATCTTGACGCGTTTTACAGTTTACCATGTCGTCGCGCGACCAACAGATGTGACGTCAGCACCTTCCCCATCATCGAAGGCTCGAGGACTCGAAGGACGTAGCCCCTCAGCCGCGCTGGAGGCATCACCCAGCGCGCAGAAACTCTGTCGCCGACACTGCAGCAGCTCGATGATGTCAGACGTCCCATGATGCGCAGTCTCGTCCATGGTTCTGCTGTAAGTGGCCACAGCAGCTGAACCTTTCGACGTCGATGCTCTCCTAGTGCGTCCACCGAGGCCGCATCCGGACAAGCAGGGGTGCTACTTTCGTCAACGACGTGCCAGGTTGGGACGTAAGCCTGTTTATGGCAGGGGATGGAGGTGCGTAGCGTCGTAGATTAGGAGGCGGAGGCTAGGGAGATCGGGGTTGAGATGAGATTCACGCTTCTTGGTCTGGACGTCCAATGCGCGGTTCTGGTGAGGGCGATGGCCACCACCTTTCATGTGTACGTCTACGAGTGCGTCTAGACGGCCACAAAGACACCGCAGGCACCTCACATTCCGCCCACCTACCCATCGTCAGCAATACGGCGCCCACAAGTACGCAGCTACTTCAAGCAGTACGTCGTCAAGCCCGCCTAGTCCTGCCTCCCACGCTCTGGATCCAACACTACACAACGCCACACCCTCCCCATTAAGCCCAGTGCTGCAGATCGCCCTTCCACATGGCCCTCGTGCGGATCGACGTCAGGCATAGCTTACCGCATCGGGACGTAGACGGGCTGTGGCTGTTCGAACGCATGGTCTAAGAGCTGCGGCTACGATCGCTGGGCGGGAGCAGATGGGAGTGACGGGTGGTGCGTTCGAAGGGGGTTTGTGCTGCACCGGAACTGGCGTTGCGGCTGGTGGTGGTGCTGTCGTGATGACGACAGGCTGCTGGAGGCGGGCGAGAGGTTGTGCAGGTCTCGGTGCAGGTTCAGCTAGGCTGGGGGCTGGAGTATACGTCCTGAACTATTTCGCACTTTCTTTCGCAGAATTCTCCGGTACTCGTTCTTCTTTCAAGTCAAACATTTCCGGCTGGGAAGTCGTATCCGACACTATGAATATCAATGTAAGTCAAACACTGTGGAGTCTTCTTCCGATTGCCAGATCCCAATCGGCGTGATCCGACAAATCTATCCCATCATACATCGCTCGGGTAGTAACATCGTCAGGAACCGAGACAGGGCAGGGCCTTTGCCATCCCTTTCACCAAGGCCGCAGACCCAACGGCACAGATGACCGACAAGGAACTCCGTCTTCCCATGCTTCAGAGGCTGCCCGACAGTATCCGTAACCACTTCGTCGCCATGTGTGGAGAGTACGTCGGCACTGTGCTGTTCCTCTGGTTCGCCCTCTCTGGAACCCAGGTTGCCAATAGCATCCCGTCATCGGATGGCCAGACAGTCGCTCAGATCGGCTCGAATCCCCAGCAGCTGCAGTACATTGCTCTCTGCTTTGGCTTCTCTCTGGCTGTGAACGCTTGGGTCTTCTTCCGCATCTCTGGAGGCTTGTTCAATCCTGCCGTCACACTCGGCATGTGCTTGATTGGCGCGCTACCATGGGTCCGTGGTGCTCTCCTCTTCGGTGTGCAGATCCTGGGCGGTATCACTGCTGCTGCTCTGGTCGCCTGCATGTTCCCCCGCGACGGTCTGATCAACGTGCGTACCTCCCTCGGAGGTGGTACTACTGTCGTCCAGGGTCTGTTCATCGAGATGTTCTTGACTGCTCAGCTGGTCTTCACTATCTTCATGTTGGCAGCTGAGAAGCACAAGGGTACTTTCATCGCCCCAGTCGGTACGTCAACCAGCCCCCGTGACTCTCTCACCCCTAACACCTCTAGGCATCGGTCTCGCCCTCTTCATCGCCGAACTGACTGGCGTCTACTTCACCGGCGGCTCCCTCAACCCCGCCCGATCCTTCGGTCCCTCCGTGGTCAACCACTCCTTCCACAGCTACCACTGGATCTACTGGCTGGGCCCGATCCTCGGCGCCATCGTCGCCGCGGGATTCTACAAATTCATCAAGATCCTCGAGTACGAAACCGCCAACCCGGGCCAAGACAACGACCACGCCGCCAACGTCGAGCGCCGCAAGAACCTCCTCCTCGCCGCCGGCATCAACGAATACGACGCCCAGAAAGTCGCCCAAGAGCTCACCGAAAAGACCGCAGTCGCGCAAGCCGGCGGCCCGGATGGCGCTGTCGTCGCCAACGGCCAGGGCCGCGCTGCCTACCCCGTCGACGCGCAGGGCATGTACGGCACCCAGTTCCGCCGCCAGTCGACCCACTCGTCCATCCACAGCAAGCACGCGTCAGACAAGTCCGATGCACATGCGCCCTACCAGCCCCAGCGCCCGCTGCCGACCACGACGGGGAGCCAGGTCGGACGCTTCAGCTACCTGGGCGAGCGCGGTGTGGTGCCGGCGGAGGCGCGGGTCGATTCGCCGTCGATGTCGACGAATGACCAGATGTACTCCGGGCTGTCCCATGGGGTCGATGTGCCGCTCGGAGGTAGTGTGCATCCCCGCGTGGAGGAGCCGCGGCAGCGGTTTGGGCGGACGCCGTCGAGCTATGCTTGAGTGTGCTGGTGGGACGAGTTACGGCCTGATGTTGTGTTGTTATGACTATATTATGACCATATTATGACGGGCGTTGGGTTTGCTGCGGGTCTTGGTTCAAAAGCGTACTGTATACATATGACAGGAAATGGTTCTTGGGTTGGGTGTTTATTGGGGTCGTTGAGCGTTAACATCTTCAGTTGTAATAAAGTTAACTGTTCACTAGTCACAAATGCTCACCGGCCTCTTTACAGCCGAGTTGAATAGCCAAAGAATGTTATCGATCTCAAAGCTTGACAACTAGGCCATCCCTCAGCAGTCATCTCCACTATGGCCACTGGGACACTCGGCTGTTTCTAAGGTTCACGGATCTGGAAGCAAACATCCTCATTCAAGCAAGGCTGAATGCACAAATCCTCGTATATTACTGGCCGCAAAGCCAGAAGAAGGATCACGACCTACATCAAAGAGCATAATGATATAGAGAAAGATGTTCTTCACATGATTGTTGAAAACGAGCTGCTGTGTGATGGTCATTGACAGAAAAGTTGCAACCGTCCACTGCTTGGAGGCCAAGCTCCCACAACGGCCATATCGACTCTCGATAAAAACGTACATTGCTGCTTCCAGGGTGCCTGCGAAAGTCTCTGATTGTCTTGAGCTGTCCAAGACTGAAAATTGAAGGCCCAGTCAGCTCGATAGATCGGGTACGACATCCGCTTACTGCACAGTGAGATTCCTCCCAGCCATCATGCCATTCATCGCTCCTATAATTTCTCCCAGTAAAGCGAGCTATGCGTCAACAAAACAGTTATGACAAGTCCGAAAATCCGTGCTTTGTTTTCAGAGTGTGCCTAATTCTATACCGATACTATACATAAACCAAACAGTCCCAATAAACGCCCCCCACACAATCTCCTGCGTCCTGCGCCCTCCTCGCATACCCCAGATCGTCACCCAAAAACCCGATCGCATTGGAACCCAGCTACAAGACACAACATTGATCTGCAATCAGCCCTTGCACTACCCGTGCTAGAATACCACATAGTACACGGCGTACTCAGATCTCTGTCTCGATCTAAATTTACCTTCCCAAAGCCTTCAAACAGCGCCGGTCTTGCCCTTCGGCTTGGCAGGCTTTCCCTTGCCCTTGCCCTTGCCGAGCTGTCCTGCCTTGAACAGCTTGAGATACTCGTCTGCGAGCTGCTTGTTGGTCTTGGGCAGGGCGCACACTTTCGGCGGGCACTTTCCGCCGTTCTTCTTTTTCTCGGCGGCGGTACAGGTTGGGCACGTGCCGCCGTTGGCTTTCTTCTCGGCGGCGGTGCAAGTGGGCGTTGCTGGGCATTTGCCGCCGTTGGCTTTCTTCTCAGCCGCAGTGCAGGTTGGGCATGTACCACCGTTGGCCTTCTTCTCGGCTGCGGTGCAGGTAGGCTGCGCAGGGCACTTGCCGCCGTTCTTCTTCTTTTCGGCCGCTGTGCATGTGTCCTTTCCGGGAGGCTTGGTAGGGGGCTTGGTGGGCGTCTTGGTGGGTGTCTTGGTGGGCTTCTTGGGCTTCTTTGCAGGGGCCCTGGCAGCCAGTTGGTCGTCGTCGCTGCTTTCGGGTACGAGCTGCGCGTCTTCGTTGATCTCGATTTCTTCGTTGATCTCGATGTCCTCGATGTCGCGGCGGGCCTTCTTGCCTCCCTTCTTCGGCTTCTTCGGGTTCTCGTCCACGCCGCACACTGGGTCGACGGCGGTGTTCCAGGGCGCTTCTTTCCATCTCTTGTCACCCTTGGGCCAGCCAGCGAGTCTGTAGTGCTCTCCGCCGTTGGATGGATCGGATCCCTCCGGAATTTCGTTGTATTTGGCTGCAACAAAGGTAGGGTTCGGGGTGAACACAGCGTCCGTGATCGTCTTGCCGCGCAGCGTGAATTGATTGTACCAACCCATGACTTGTTCCCAAGGGATGCCGCCAATGGCAGCGTACTCCTGCTCATCTGGGAGTGGGTTGTCTTAACCACAGAGTTAGTATTCAAAACATGATACAATGACAGATGTACGTACATTGCTTGAGTGTGTCGTGACAACCAATGAGGTTCCGGTCGGACGCGATCTTGTAGATGGTGGCGCCAGCAGGGTCTTCGATGTAGTCCGTCACCCATTTCAGGCAAACTCCAAAGTCACTGCTCGTGGAAACGTAGCCGTCGTCTTTCAGGTTCCCGAATTTCGCTTCCGCTCCCTTGACCTTGCAATGATCCCACAGACTAATGTTCTCTGGCAACTTGTTTGTCTTAGCCATGGTTTCAAAGCCCTTTTCTTTCTTGATTACGTCAGGACCGCGTCTATATTGTAGATATATGGTCAGCGCGTGTCTAAATAAGCCTAATAATCGGCTTCTGCGTTTCCTGTGCTTGAGAAACGCAGTGCACATAGTGTTTCCGAAGAGACTCACCTATCAGCTCGGAAAAATACAAATTCTTCATTCAGCATATCAAGGTCCAGACGCTTGGAAAGCGTTGGAGCTGCGCTGCCCAGGCCAGCCAGGAGCCCGAGAAGGACGAAAGGTTTCTGCCAAAACATATTGCCTGCAAGTATGTTCTTCGAGGTAGTTTGGTTTGAGTGGCTGAACGAAATTCAGATCTGGAACGAACGGTAGTGCGACAAGTCGCTAAATGAGTGTATAGAGTGTGAAAGAGTGTCAAGAGGAGATGAGCAAGTGATTGAACGAAGAGAGTGAGATGTTGCTGGACTCTTTACGCTGCTGGAGATGGACATTATATAGCTTTGTGGAGTCCACTCTTCTCTCTCGTCATAAGAACATCCATAGTGCAATCGCCCTTGAATCTCGGAGACAATGAAATCATCGGTGTTCGAAAATTATATTGACGGTGGGCGGATGTCCGATACCTAGGTACCTAGGTACAATGGCTCGCGCGAATGAGGCCTGAGCTCTACTTTCCTGTGCACTCATCGTCGAAGTCATCTCAGATCTACCCGGATCAGGCAAATCGTGTCATACTCGCCTCTGGTTGGGCATACATCGGATTGTCACGAGAGTTGGGGGCTGTCGGACTTCGAAGTCCATACATAGATGGCGCTAAGCTGACATGGCCGATAATTGGTCGGATTAGCATTTAGCGCGGGGCTAGAACATCCTCACGAACCTAGGACATGTCAACAACGAACGCCGCACGCTATCTATGTAAGCACTATGCCTTTCCGCCTACATGCAATGAACTACACACACGATGAAACAATCGAGTCCTTGATCTGATCCTGGAAGATGTTGCACGAGCGCTCGTTCCGGACTCAGCCACATTTCCACGTGCCCGAGCCCCGATTACTGTCCGCATCGCACTTAACTTCAACTCATCCTCATCATCTCCGGACTGTCTGCACGGGATCTAATTCCTTCCCCTTTTCCGTTGTCATTCCCACTGAACAGAGTCCAACCGCAACATCCTCTTTGCTCCATTTATCAGAGTAGCGCTAGGCCTGTCTCTCAAACCATTCAATCCCAGCTCACATACAACAATGCCGGCTATCTCCTTCGAAACCCCGCCAGCAGTGGCACAATGGGATCGTAGCATCACGCACGAAGACTATACCAAGATGCTAAAAGGCCACACACCGCAAGCCATGGAGGACAAGTGGACGATCAAAACCGACGCGCCTGTAGACGCGAAAGACAGCGCTGTTGTTCACATCTACTTCGGCTGGACACCTCGCGAGGAAATTTCTCTGGAGATAACCGCTGGCGATGCCAACAAAACCGAGACTGAGGACTGGGCCACAATCGTTAAGATATCGTGGAAAGGAGAGCATCCTGGGGGATTGAAGGTCTCTGAAAATGAAGCTAAGATCAGGGCTGTCAGATTGTGCAATAACTTGTTGGACTGCGCATTAGAGGAAGAGGAAGAGGAGGAGGACGACGAGGACGAAGAGTGAGGTACGGATGTTGCATAAATGTATCCACGGAACATTAAGTATACACATGGCTTGCAAAAGGCTGAGCGAACGGGCAGCCTTGTTTTCAGTATCCCGTGGTTGGATGAGTCAGTGTACAGATTTGGACGCAGAATTTCGCAAGTCGGCGCCAGTCAGCTTGCGATAGAGACAAAGAGCATAATCATTACAGGCCTTCATCGCATCTGAGCATTTTGTCAATTGTGCATTCCCTACATCATCTGTGCTGACAGACTCTCCGAGAATAGCATCTCAAACGCGAAGGTTCTAGTCTCAAGCCTCTGATTCTATGAAGCATTCGCTTCGTCACCTGCGAAGAAAAACACAAAGACTACCAGCCTCCACAAACCTCTTGCTAGTTTAACGTGATTAGACATCTATTTCTCGCCGTCCGTGCACGAAGTGCCTACCTTAGCACGCAACTAAACTGGTAATCGTCCCTGCTACATCACACCCCCTCAAGCCTACAGCATCCCCTTCCTCCACGCCCTCGTCCCCAGCCTCTCAATCTCCGCCACCTCCACCGGCCCATGCACCTCCCCGTCCTCCAGCGCCTCCACAACCGCCTCCCCTACTAAATCCGCCTTGAGCGGCTTCACACCCCCAGCTCCCAGCAACCAAGTCAGTCGCCCCCCAACCGCGCCATTCACGATACTCGCCACCATACCACCCGCCGCGATCGGCAACGTAAAGGTGCGGCTGGAGTCGTACAAGAATGGAGCACGGACGAACACACTGCGCATGGTCGGAAACTCGCTGCTTATAATACTCTCAGCCTCGCGCTTCGTGCTGATGTAGCGCGCAGGCAAGATGGGCGTGCCGGCGGCGGCAGAGATGTACACGAACGACGGCACATGGCGGGCGTGCGCTTCGCGCGCGAGGCTGACGGCCGTGTCGCGGTTCATGACCTCGTACGTGAGCTGGGCGTCGGATTCCTGCGGGCGCAGCGTCTCGCCCTCCTTCACGTCCAGCGGGTTCTGGGTCCCCGCTTTGGTGGGCGAGAAGGCGCGGCGCAGACCCGACAGCGGGGATTCGCGGCCCCGGAGGACGTTTTTGTAGTCGGCTTCCAGCAGGATGCCCATGGTGTGGACGACGGCGGTGGCCGAGGTCAGGTGCGACGTGTAGGTGGTGGGCGAGAGGATGTCGCCTTTGGCCCAGGTGACTTTCTCGGACCAGGGGGGCGGGGTGGAGGAGGATGTTATTGAGGGCCAGTGCGGGATGCCGCTGCGTGAGATTGATGTGACGGCCCAGCCGCGGGCGACGGCGGCGCGGCAGATGCGGGATCCTGGGGGTGTTAGTGGGTGCTGTGTAGAGGTGGTAGTGAATGAGGGTTTGAAGGCGGACGAGCAGATGGAGTCGAGCTCCGTGATAAACTCAACGAACTGTTCCTGGTTCACACGCAATTGCATGTCTGCTCGTCGCCAATTCTGCTGCAGTCTCGCTGCGCCAGATTCAGAGCTCATTGGGTCCAAGCAACGTTCACGAAACAGATATACATACCCAGAAATCCGTTGCCGCCGCACACGACGAGCTTCTTCTGCGCTGCGGAAGCCATTGCAGCGGTGTGTAGCGGGTGATTGCGAGAAGTGAGGAAGTTCGGGACACGGGCTGCGAGTGGTGATATCACTCGACGCCAAAATAGTGCCGATAGCTCCACGCTGCGTAGGGCTGACAGGGGTGGTTGCGGCGGAAAAGCGGGACCTCCGAGCGCGACTTTGGGCGCGATCGGGACGCTGCTCCTAGCCATCGCTGACGCTTTCCCGCGCGCATTCTCTACAGGTGCGCCCTTTGAGTTTATAGGCGTCCATACGTCTGCGAAAAACGTTCAAGTCACACACAACGCCGCAATGCCTGCGCCGGCGGCAAACAAGCGCGTCAAGGTGCGTCCCACCACTCCAGGTTGTTGCGCCATGCCTCTAACACATGCCAGAACAAGCGCGTGTCGCGCAACATAAGTAAGCTCTCCACGCCCATCATATACAAGCACTGACACGCGCAGTCATCGGCTCCGAGGCCTGGGCGCTGCCGCCGCTGGGCCACCCCGACCGCCCCAAAGGCATCCCCGACGACCACACCAAGCGCTGGACCGTGTACGTGCGGCAGCCCGACGGCGACCCCTCGCTCTCGACCTGGCTCAACAAAGTGCAATTCAAGATCTTCAACACGTACGAGAACCCGCTGCGCACGTGCGACAACCCGCCCTTTGAGGTCACCGAGACGGGCTGGGGCGGCTTCAGCATCGACATCCGGCTGCACTTCACGCCCATCTCGGGCGAGAAGGCGCAGTACCGGCAGCACTTCCTGCAGCTGGAGAAGTACGGCACCGAGGAGCAGCAGAGCGCGCAGGAGCGCACGGGCTGCGTGCGCTCCGAGTTCCTCGAGGTCGTGCACTTCAACGAGCCAACCGAGGCGCTGTACGACGCCCTCACTGCCGAGGACCAGTGGGCGCATCTGGTCCCCTCGAAGGCGGGAGGTGGCAGCAAGAAGGCGAGTCTGGGCGCGAACGGCCGGCTGAAGCGCGGACTGCCCAACGGCGAGCGCAGCGCGCAGTTGCCGGAGAAGGGCGCCGAGGATGTGCCGTTCAGCCAGGAGCACGAGCAGGGGCTGATTGACTCGCTGATGGCGAAGATTGCGCAGGTGGATCGCGAGTTGGAGAAGGAGATAGCCAGGCGCGAGAAGACGGAGAACACGCTCAAGGCGCTGAGGGAGGATTTGGGGCATGAGGCTGCGCAGCAGGCGGCGCAGCAGGCGTCGGGCGATAGGAGTCGCAGGCGGTGAGCTGGAGATGATAGGGATAACTTTGGCAGGGCTTGCTGCTTGGAGCTGTGGTGTTTTGCTGAGAAGCGTCTATACAGCATGCACCACATGGATGCACACGCCACTCGTCTCGTCATCGGAGAAGGCATATCAGCTAACATTACCCAGCGGACGCGAGTCGCTGTCCCCAGTCCCGGCGCAGCGTCAGGGCCGGAAATACACACCGCCGCCTGCGCTGAAAGCTTGGTCATCTATGGAATGGAAGAATGATCATGCTAGAACATCCGCATTTAGCTCTCCGAATAGCTAACTTGTGTACCGCTGCGAGAGAAGACGTAGCGAGTCATTCCTCTTCATTCCCGCCGTGTGGAGTAGAGTAGCCAGTCTGTATCAAAATAAATCAGGAATAGCAGACTGAATGCTCTCGCCAACCTCTGTGAGCAACTTCACCTCGGTACGATGTGAAGCGAACTCCGCTTCGTTGTCACACTGGTTTCAGACGGTATAGGACCCTGATCAGTCTATGTATCTTCTGGTCTAATACAATAGAAGCTCAAGGATTGTACAACTGAGCAGGTGGGTTAGCTAGCATCGTGTTCACAAAGTCACTCAGCCAGCTATCGAGAAACCACTGATGTAGGATACCGAATAATATTCATCTATCTACCACGCACACCCGCACGCACCATGCATCACGCGCCACCTCGTCGCCCACCGCCCAACCCATGAGACAAGCGAATCTCTTCGGCTAGCGGCTGAGCGCGAGAAGTCACGTAACGTGGCGAGCCAGGCAACGGCAGCGCGGACGGCAGCAGCAGCCTGTGCGGTATACAAGTCACATATGATTGCTGCCAAAGCCAGGACCAATACCAGCGCCAGCACCAATGCCAGGCAAAAAGCCAGAGCTAAAGCCGGCGACGCCCAACGCCGTCCCAATGCAAGGGTATCGATGCTTACGAACCAAAAGACAGGCGCCGTGCGCCCGCAGGGAAAAAGGATAGGCGCTCGGTCGGCAGGGGAATGAGGAAAAGAGCAACGAGAGCTGCGCTGTACAGTCAAAGGTCAAGAGCCGAGCACGGACAGCGCATCCAGTGCCCAGCGGAGGCTGGTCTACAATCTCACAGGTTGACGACCCGCGTGTCGTCGTTAAGAAACTGTCGCCGGTACTTTGCGATCTCGCGCGCAATACCGTTGGGGTCCTTGATGCTTCTCTGGCGGAGATCTTTCAGGACGCTGCGCAAACCGTCGTTCCACTGCTGCTTCTCTTCTTGCGTCTTGCCGGGGTTGGCCGTGCCGAGCTGCACGAGCAGCTTCTCACCTACATCAACGAAGTCAGTCTGCGTACGAGGGGTGGGTAGGACAAACGTGAGTAAGAGACCCTCCGTGACACGCACCAGTGATACCCATGCCCCGGAAATGCTGGTTAGGGCATTCGGGGTCGTTGCAAGATCCGCCTGCAGACTCAAACGGACACAGGGGCTTGCTGTCATCAATCTGATGACTGTACGTCATGGACAGGAAGCCGCCATCGACCTCTTGTGAGAAATTGGGGTGGTAACGATACGACTTGAAGAAGCGAAGTGGGCTCTTATAGGGTGTGAATGCGGGTGGTTGAGCATCCTCCACAGCAGGGGCCTGATGTTGTTAGCAGTGTAGGTGGCGTTGGCAAGGTACTCACGGTATGAGTTTCAGCATCCGAGACGGCCACAGACGAGGCCGGCGGTTGCAGCTCAGGTGCTAGATCGTCAGCAATTTTAGTGTCATGTTGTGCGACATCCACCTGCGACTCCGAGTCCCCAAGTTCTGACTGTATCTCTCCGTCTGACTCCGAGTCGGAATCGTCCGAGGTGTCAGAGGAAGATGATGCAAGATCCATAGCTCCATCATCTGCGTCTTCAGGAGACGACACTTCAGGCTGAGCGGCATAGACTGAAGACGCAACGTCACTCATCTCTTTGTCCACGTCAGGCGGCTCGTACGCCTCTTCGTCTTCGGTCGAGACCTGCGATTGTCCAATGGACTGCGATTGATCTACTGGTGGCTCCGGCAGCTGAGCATGTTGCGATGCAGTGACATCCCGGTCGATAGCAGGTGCTTCGAGAACAGTATCGTCAACGAAAGATTCGTCAACAACGGGCTCTTCCGGCTCATACTCTTCCTCGCTCTCCTCTTCAGAAGACTCTGACATCTCAACTTCACCCTCTTCAGATGGCGATGGAGGATTCGCATTACGCTGCTCACCCTGTGGCTCAGACGATGGTGCTGCCACGACTTCAACATTGACATCAACTGGTGGTGGCGAGTAGAAGTCCTCGTCGTCGTCCATGGGTGTAGCTGAAGCACGGTCGTTCACGATGCCAACGTGCCCCGGCGCCTCGGCAGATTCGGGGAGGTCGGATGCGAGCCGTGAGTCGTGAGTTGCATCCCCAAATTGTTCCCGCGCTGGCTGTGCTGCAGAATGGAGTGCAGTGGAGGCAGAGACATTGGGAGCGGACTGGCCAAGCCCAGGGAGGAAGCCAAACTGTGGTGGGTCGCGCAGGCTACCATCGGATACAGGTGTCTGTAGGTTTGCTCCAGTCGCGGTCATGTCTTCACTGTGAACTGGGGCGGTGATAGAGTCAACAGACTCTGTCTCCAGCGCGAGCTCTTGCGAAACTCCATCTCCAATCTGTGGAGCATTCTCAACCTCCGGCGACATGGCACGCTCGATTTCATCTTTCGTTGCTTGCATGTCGGCATGGGACATGCCTTCGGTGTCGATGCCAAGATCTTCCAGTTCTTGAGTCAGACGCTGTTTGTCTTGCATGATGCGATCGTTGTCCGCCTTCAGTCGCTCCAGATCCTTCGCTAGTCGTGCCATCTCGACCTCATTATTCGCGATTTCATCATCGAGAGTAGGCAGCTGCTCTTGGATTTCTGTCCGACGACGTCGCTTTCGATCCCGCGATGATTCCCCGCCAAGCTTGCTTGATGGGGTAGGGCCATTCGAAGCCGGAGCAGGTGGGACTGTTCGTTGTGGCTTCGAGGGGGTGTCTTGCTGAGTCGTAGTCGCCGATGTAGTCGTAGCCGATGCTGTCGCTGTCGCAGCTTCTGCTGCCTCTTTAATCCGCTTTTGCTCTGCAAGCTTCTTCTTGAGGGTCAGTTTCAAAGCTGCCAGTTCTTGCTCCTTTGTACTAAGCTCTCCAGTTCGTGCAAGGGTGGCAGGCGTTTGCGGACCGGGAGTGCTAACAGTAGAGGCTACAGGAGCTTGGCGAGGTGGGAATCCGGGTATGGATGAGGGAGGTAGCTGAATTCCAGACGGAGCTTGGTCATCATCGATGTCCATATCGCTTCCATTTGACTCGTCGTCGCTGACTTCGATGATCATAGAGTCGTCTTGATGTGCATGGGGGGACTGTACGTAAGGGCGATTGTAAGGGGTCACCGAACCCCGTGGCGTGGACATAGATGTATCCGAGGGTGCTGGGCGCTTCTGTGGAATGGCCTGTGGCTGTCTTGACGGCGTTGTCGTTCCGTTGCTTGAGCTCACTGGCGCATTCATGAATAGACCGGGGATGCCTGGAAAGCCTGCAGCAGGGGTTTGGGGAGCCGAAGAGCCCGTACCTGTTGTTTGAGGCTGTGAGCCGAGGGGTTGAGAATGCTTCTGTGCGGCGCTGTTAGGCGGCGCAGCATTCTGCTTGCTTTGCGCCTTGAGCGCCTCTAGTCGCTGCTTAATCAACTCGGTCTGGCGCGCCTTCTGCTCGTCCGTGACTGGTGGCTTCTTTGTCGGCGTCATGACTGCCTGGGGAGTGCTAGTACCGGCTGCAGGGAAAGCAGCAGCTACAGTTGGTGACTTCTGAGGAGGGCTGGCCTTGGCTGGCCCAGACTTCCTCGCCAGCTTAGCTGCCTGCAGACGTGCTAGATAGTCTTTCCGATCTACTGGCGATGGGGCAGCACTGGCAGCAGCGACATTGGTAGATACCGGAGGCACGGTCTTTTGCGAAATGCTTGGAACTGGCGTTGAAGGTTGACTGTTGGCTGATGGCTTGGTCGCAGCGGTGCCATTGGTCTTGGGTGGCGGGATAGGCGCAGGTTCTGACGGTAAGTTCATACTGATATACAAGCTCCTCAAAAGCTCCAAGTCAACGTTTTCTTTGGCGAGAGCGTGGTAGCCAACATTGTTCGCATTCAGGATCCGAATGAACTGCTTGACCTCTTCACGGTGGAGCTGCACCGTGTCCGCCTCGCTCACGGCCGTCTTTACTTGCGGACTAACGTTTACCGCGGGGGCTTGCTGTACTGTTTGGCCAGCGGATGGCTTGTCCGGGTTGTAAGCGTCTTCGACGTGAGCAGGCGCGGCTGTTGGCTGCGGCGCAGAGCGCGGAGGCGCGGGGTACCTTTGACGCGCGGCATGAATTGGTAGTCCTGCTGGTGTCCCTGGCTTGCGATCAGGATCGCTGACCTCGCCATCTTCCCTGTCGCTGTCCATCACTTCCTGCACGCGCTCAAAGGGGGCCGAGGCGGGAGCGATCGGGGGTTGTCGAGGAAATGGCGGGGGAACGTGTGGATGAAACGCAATCGGTGTCGGCGGAGCTTGCGGGGTATGCGGGAGAGAGGGAGGAGGGAAATGGAGGCCGGGCAGCGGCGGCGGTACCATGCCACTCTGCATGCCACTCTGCATTGCCTGCAGCCACTGCGGCGGCCAGTTCAGGGCTGGCTTGGAATCAGCATACTCGCGGCATTGCATCCTTTTGCCGGCGTTTACTCACCAGCTGGGGGGAACTGCGGCAGGTTGTTCTGGTTCTCGGCGTGGCCTGGCTGTGGCGCGTATGGCTGGGGGGGATATTGCTGCAGGCCAGGCATATTCCAGCCAGGCGGCGGCGGGGGTGCAGGCGGCTGACCATCGTGCTGGCCGTTCTGCGGCTGCTGCATCTGCGGGAACGCGAAAGGAAAGGGCATCCCGGGTGGGAAGTGGTTGTTCGCCATTGCGGCAGGTGTGAGGCGCGTCGAGGAAGGAGCTATGCGCGCACTTCAGCGCATCGAACAGTTGAGAGTAGCGTCGATGTTCGGACGTGCCAGTATCGCTTGCGCAAGGTCCAACGAGTGCGCCTTCACTCCGCGCCGTGGGTGGTTGCGGCGGTGCTGCTGGGAGAGAGCTGCTGGACCGTCATCACGCCCAAAATCAAAGGCCGCGGCGGAACGGTCACGTGATGGACGCGCTTTGCGGTCGGTGCCCAGCCGACGGCCGATGGCGATCTCGCCAGCCCAAGAGTGCGCTGGCGCCGCGCGTTGCCAGGTAAACAAGGCGATCAACACTGCCGCCCGCCCGCGTCCATGCACGTCCTCTCCGCAAATCTATTGTATTACCTGCACCGACCCACGCTGTACGGCGCATCGCTGCATCATTGTACATAGTTTCTAATTGCCTGCGACTTTTGTCTGCGACTTTTGCTTTGCAGCCTTCCTATTTAGACCCCCCCACTGCATTCCCCGCACAATGCGCGACATCGACTCGAGAAAGTAGACCCGTCGCGCTTGCCACCACCATGAGCGCGCCTGCTCCTAATGGCCCATCACGCGTACGGAACAGCCCGTTCGCGCGAGGAAACTCAGCGTCGCCGTCGCCGGGCCCCACGCCGCGGCCACTCTCCATCGCCGACCAGCCACACTCCGAGTTCAAGATGGCGCACGCACGGCATCAGTCGCTCACACATCTGAGCAGCCCGCCGCTGAGTCGCAGTGAGTCGCGGCTGCGTTCCAACTCGAACCGAAACAGCATACCCATCGGCACCTTCGCGCCGCAGTTCATCTCCGAAGAAACCCCAGACATCGCAAAGCCGGGCGGGATCGTCGAGGGCGAGAACGACTTCTCCGGCAAGCGCTATGTATGGCTGCACGATCCGAAGAATGCTTTCGTCCGAGGATGGGTGGTAGAAGAGCTGCCGGGCGGCAAGCTGCTGGTGCAGTGCGATGACGGCACCCAGCAGGAGGTCGAAGAGGATGCTGTCGACAAAGTCAACCCAGCTAAATTCGACAAGGCTGGCGACATGGCTGAGTTGACGCATCTGAACGAGCCTTCCGTCATCCACAATCTGCACATGCGATACCAGGCAGACCTGATATACGTGAGTTGCAAGTGCGGCTAGTGATGTGCGCATACTAATGGGTGCAGACATACTCGGGGCTGTTCTTGGTCACAGTCAACCCTTACTGTCCGCTACCTATCTACTCGAGAGACTACATCAACATGTATCGAGGGCGGGGGCGAGAGGAGACAAAGCCGCATATCTTTGCCATGGCCGACGAGGCATTCCGGAACCTTGTCGACGAGGGTACAAACCAAAGTATTCTTGTCACGTAAGTGATTTTCCTGAACTATCGAGGAACCAAGCTAACATCCTGCAGAGGAGAGTCTGGAGCTGGAAAGACCGAGAACACCAAGAAGGTCATCCAATATTTAGCAGCGGTTGCAAACTCAGATACCCCCCGAGTGAAATCTAGCGCAAAGAATCTTACCAATCTCTCCGAGCAGATTCTGCGCGCCAATCCTATCCTCGAGGCCTTTGGCAATGCCCAAACAGTCAGAAACAACAACTCCTCCCGTTTCGGAAAGTTCATCCGGATCGAGTTCACTCGTACGGGCCAGATCGCTGGTGCATACATCGACTGGTATCTCCTCGAAAAATCCAGAGTCGTGAGACTTAATGCGAATGAGCGTAATTATCACATCTTCTACCAGTTGCTACGTGGAGCGGATCAAGCAATGAAGCAGGACTTTTTGCTTGACACGGCCGAGACGGACGATTTCGACTATACCAAGCACGGCAACGACGCCATAACTGGCGTAGACGATCAAGAGGAGTGGAACACGCTGATTGAGGCTTTTCATGTCATGAAGTTCTCGGAGAAGGAGCAAGCTGGCATTCTTCGTACTATTGCAGCTGTTTTGCACCTGGGCAACATCAAAGCCATCAAAGAGAGCCGACGAGCCGACCAGGCCACACTTGACCTCAACGCCGAGGCGCAGGCCAGGAAAGTGTGTAAACTGCTCGGTGTATCCGCCGATGATTTCATGAAAGCTTTGCTGCATCCTCGTGTTAAGGCCGGACGCGAGTGGGTCGAGAAGGTCCAGACGCCTGAACAAGTCAATCTCGCTATCGATGCGCTCGCTAAAGGTATCTACGAGCGCGGGTTTGGTAACCTTGTTGACCGCATCAATCGGCAGCTAGATCAAACAGGAAGCGGAGGCGACGACTCGCATTTCATTGGTGTTCTGGATATCGCTGGTTTCGAGATCTTTGATGAGAACAGCTTCGAGCAGCTTTGTATCAACTATACAAACGAAAAGCTGCAGCAGTTCTTCAACCACCACATGTTTGTACTGGAACAGGAAGAGTATGCACGCGAGCAGATCGAGTGGAAGTTTATCGACTTTGGTCGCGATCTCCAACCGACGATTGACCTCATCGAACTGCCCAACCCGATTGGTATCTTTTCCTGCCTGGACGAGGATAGCGTCATGCCAAAAGCTACCGATGTTAGCTTTACCGAGAAGCTGCACTCTCTATGGGACCGCAAAAGCAACAAATATAAGCGTTCAATGTTGACCCAAGGATTCATCCTTACCCACTATGCCGCCGAGGTTGAGTACTCAACAGAAGGCTGGCTGGAGAAGAACAAGGACCCTCTGAATGATAACGTCACACGACTTCTGGCCGCATCGTCTGATAAGCACATCGCGACTCTCTTTGCAGACTGCGCAGACACCGATGACGAAGTGGGCGGCACCCGCAGCCGCGTGAAGAAGGGCCTGTTCCGCACTGTTGCTCAGCGCCACAAAGAGCAACTCTCAACGCTCATGAATCAGCTACATTCGACACACCCGCATTTCGTTCGTTGCATCATACCAAATCACAAGAAACGACCAAAACAGTTCAGTGCTCCTCTCGTTCTTGATCAGCTACGATGCAATGGTGTGCTTGAAGGAATCAGAATTGCACGTACCGGATTTCCTAATCGCTTGACCTTTGTTGAGTTCAGGCAACGTTACGAGGTGCTATGCAAAGACATTCCCAAGGGCTACCTCGAGGGCCAAATTGTCGCGAAGATGATTCTCGAGAAGTTGGGCATGGACAAGACCCTCTACCGCGTTGGTATCACTAAGGTCTTCTTCCGCGCGGGAGTTCTCGCAGAGCTGGAAGACCAGCGTGACAACCTTATTCGCGAGATCATGATCCAGTTCCAGTCTGCAGCCCGCGGATTTACACAGCGTCGCATCGCCCACAAACGCCTCTATCGGGCTGAAGCAACCCGAATTGTGCAGAAAAACTTCCAGGTGTACCTTGATCTTCAGTCAAACCCATGGTGGCGACTTTTCGTCCGAATGAAGCCAATGCTCGGCGCTACTCGTCAAGCTGCTGAAGTGAAGAAACGAGACGAAATGATCCTCCAGCTTGAGGAGAAGATGCAGCTAGAAGCAGGCGAACGACAGCGAGTGGAGGATGACAAGCGAAGAGCCGAGATGGATATTCAGAAAATTCAGAAGACTCTCGAAAGCGAACGCGCCTTGGCCCTGGATAAGGAGGAGATTTTCAAGCGACTTCAGATACGAGAGGCAGAACTTGCTGAGAAGCTCCAGGGTGCTATCGAAGACCAAGATCAGCTTGAAGACCAGCTAGACGCCCTGATGGAGGTCAAGAAGAAGACGGAAGAGCAGGCTGAAACTTGGCGTAAGGAGCTTGAGCAGGCTGGTCAGATCATCGGCAACCTAGAAACCGAAAAGCAGGATCTCGAGGAGCAGATCGCAACCCTCGACCAGCAGTTACATGATATGGAAGCCGCTCAGTCACAGCGCAGCAAAGCTGAAGAGTCCATGAGCCAGGAGGTGAACATGCTGCAGAGCCACCTTAGTCTGAAGGAGCGAAAGGTCCAAGAGCTGGAATCTAAACTCCTCAAGACCGAGCAGGATCTCGACATCAAGCTAGCGGCTTCAGACAAGACAGTAGAGGCCGGCAGGAAGCAGATCAAGGAGCTGCTCGAGGAGAACCGACAAGTGCGCCAGCAATTATCCGATCTATCCTCGACTTCCACCAGCTATGAAGACTTGATCCGCCGCAAGGAAAGCGAGTTGGCGATTCTCAAGGCAGATCTGAAGAAGTACGAGTCTGACCGGCAGATCTTCGACGCGGAAAAGCAAACGCTCGCTTCGAAACATGACGGCCTTCAAAGCCGTTTGCGTGAGGCCAACGCGGAACTTGAAGCCATGCGCGTGCAAAAACAGCAATCGGACCGTGAAGCTGCGGATGCGAAACGTCTTCTTGAGGATCGGGAAACTGAGGATGCCCAGTCCAAGTTACTCCAAGAGCAGATTGAGCAGATCAAATCCGAGATGTTCGAGGTACAAAAGGAGCTGAGCCGCGAGAGACAATCCCGCGACGACGTAGAGCTACTTAGTGAACACAAGTACGATACGCTGAAGCGCGACTTTGACGCTCTGAATGACTCGAAGATTACAATCGAAAAGGAAATGTACGCCCAACAGGATGCTATGCGACGCGCGACCGAGACTCGCACTGCGCATGAGCAAGAACGAAGGGAGTACCAGGAGGAGCTGCGAAACCTACGTGAGCAGTATCTCAAACTACAGGAGGAAAAGATGGACGTTGAAGCTGAAGCCGAGCGGGTACAGTCTCGGTTGGCCTTGGAGAAACAAGCTGCACAGCAGGAGGAACTCCAATTCAAAGACCAACAACTCGATCAACTCGAGGCAGAGCGAGACGATCTTGCTGAGCAAGTGCACAGCCTGACTCAGATGCTCGCCGACGCAGAAGGCTTCAGAGAGCGGAACGATCAACAAAAGGAACGTCTTGAGCGCGAGCTGGTCACGATCAAGGGCCGGCTGACTGCTTCTGAGAACGACAACCGCGCTTTGCTAAACAAGGTCCAGCAGAAGAACCTCGACATCGCTCGCACTAACTCCCGCGCTGGTGAAACCCAACGTTCAAAGATCTTGCAACTGACGAAGGAGAAGTCTAAGGTTGATGAAGACAACAAGCGCTTGTACCGTCAGCTCGAGGACGCCCAAGTCACTATCGCATCGATGGAGAAGCAGAAGGAGAAGCTTGAGCTGACTCTCGAGGACTTGAACCACGAGATTAACCGCGAGGCAAAGAGCAACCGAAACGCAGAAAAGTCGTCTTCCACTGTCGGTCTTCAGCTCGCTGAAGTGAACCGAAAGCTTGAGACAGAGAGACAGTTGCGCACTCAAGCTCAAACAAACACGCGCACGATCCAAGCGACGCTAGACAACAACAATCAAGAGCTGGAAGAATGCCACAAGCAGCTCATGCTCCTCCGTAAAGTATTTGATCCCGAATCTGCAGATGTTGCCATTACCTACGACACAGCCAAGCCAGAGATCTCGAAGGCCGTCGATATTGCGGAGCGTCTTGAGGCCACTAACCAAGCATTGCGTGTGGCTACAGAGCGTTACAATCGCGCAGAAGCGCTATTGGACGATCTCCGAGAGAGGCATGAGGGCGAGCTCAACGAGTTAGATACCCGCCATTCCAACTCGAAACGCGCCTTGCTAGAGGAGATGAACAGCGGCCAGGTCAACGCAAACCGATCACCGACACACAGAAGGTTAGACAGCGAAAACCGCAAGCCCTTTTCGCCGAGCACACCAACTAACCAACGTCTCATCAGCCCCGCGATGAACGAATCCGCTCACTCCGACCGGACTGTCGATTTCAACAACCGCATGGACATGGCCGCTGAGCTGGAACTTGCCCAGAATCAGCTTCAGATGTCCGAAATGCGAAACGCGCATCTTCAAAGCCAACTTGAGCAGTCTCCCGTACGCAGCAACAGCTGGCAAGAGGAAAGCCCGTCGATGAAGCGTGTACAAAAGCTGGAGCGCGAGAACTTCCGTCTTCATGACATGCTCGACGATTCTGCGCGGAAGGTATCTTCGCTCGAGCACAGCTTGCGCTCAGGTCAACTATCGTACCAGGAAGTGCAGGCAAAGTCCCACGAGGAGCTTTTTGAGATACTGATGTCACAAGAACAGTCGCGCAAGACCATTGTACAAGCGCACAACAATGCTATCCATGAGCTGGCTGACGCAAAAACTGCATTTGACGACATCAAGCAGATGAAGTTGGCTTTGGAAGCTGAGCTGCGTGAAGTTTCGACTGAAATAGATGAACTAGCGTCCGAGCGCGAGCAAGAACAAGCAAACCACAATCAGCTCTTGCAAGAGTTCGCTGATCTTCAGATCCGACTGGATGACGAGACGTCCACCCTAGTGGACGTTCAATCCAGCTTGAGTTTGTACAAGAATCGCGCTGACGAGTACTTCAACAAGCTGGAGCAAGCTGAGATCGCTGTACTCAAGGCCTCTCGCGCTGAACAATTCGCCAGGACACAGGCACGCGAGGCTGAGGAGACTTGTGCCGCCTATATGGCTGAGCGTAAAGAGATGGACGGCATGGTAGAGGACTTCCAACGTCAAGTTCAACAGTACGAAGAGCGTGTCGAGGACCTCTCGACTGACCTGCAAGCGGCACTGCAAACCAAGAAGCGTCTCCAGAATGAGCTCGAGGATTACAGGAGCCAACACGCACATGACATCGAAGACGGCGAGACCTCTCTTGAGCAAACGCGCAAGAAGTACCAGACCGAGCTTTCAACACTGACGAATGAGCTCGAACAGGAACGCCACACAATCATTTACATTCGCGAAGAGAACGGACGCCTGCGCGAAGAAATCGAGGAGATGAGAAGCAAGTGGGACGACGAGGTTCTGAACTCTTCTACTTGGGCGAAGGAGAAGAATCGTCTGGAGATGACCCTCCACGTTGTCTCTAATTCCCGCGACGAGGCGGCCAATGCTCACAACGAGGCTCAATCTAAGATCGTGAACCTCTTGTCTCAGGTCCGCAATCTCCGCACTAACGTCGACGATCTTGCTGCAGAGCGAGATTCCGCGATTGAGGAGAAGAAGCGCCTCGAGAACCGCCTGCAGGAAGCAGCAGACCGACTGGATGACCTTTCGCGTTCCGAGTCGCCGGCACTGCGCAACGCTGCTGCCTTCGATCGCGAGCTGCTCGAGCTGAAGTCGGGTCTTGCCCAGCAGGAAGACATTGCAGCTGCCGCCGTTGGCAAGATGCGACGTGCTGAAGCTTTGGCACAGGAGCTCCAGAAGGATATCATCGCTGAACGCGAGGCTAATGTCCAATTGCACAAGGAGAAGGGTCTCATCGGAAAAAATCTGAAAGATCTCCAGCTTCGTCTTGTTGATCTTGAGACCAAGGGCTACAGTGGCTCTGCCGGTAAAGACGTCCGCTTTCTCCACGGGCGCATTCAAGAGGTATGCATCGAACATCCCCATTCTCTGACTTGACTAACTTTACTTCACAGCTCGAGAATGCATTGGAGGATGCTGAGTCAACACGTCTCTCCGACTCCCGCGTAGTCCGCAACGTTGATCGCACAGTCAAGGATCTCCAATCGCAAATCGAACGCCGCGAGAAACAAAATGCTTCAATTGCCGAGGATCTCAACAAGGCCCGCGACAAGATCTCAAACCTTCTCTCGACAATCGATGAACTGCAGTCCTCTGATTCCGGAAACCAACTCGTCGCTAAGCGCGCCGAGCGCGAGCTCCGTGAAGAACGCGAGAAGACCATGAAGCTCGAGCGCGAGCTGGAGAACTTCAAAAACTTACGTATTGAACGCAGGAGTCAATTGGGTGTACCAGGCATCGCAGCTAGTGATGCCGGCGACGCTCGATCAAGACGAGGGTCCTCCATCGGCCTCTTGATGGGCGAGATGGGCGAAGCTGCGCCCGGCGAGAAGAAGTACGGCAGCTTCAGATCTGGATTACGACGCGTCTCTGGCCAGAAGGGTTTTTTGTAGTTGATGGGATCTCTGGAGGGGAGGGGTCGTTGATGAGGTCCCAGATAAAAACAATTTCTAGTCCATATTTCCGTAGCGAAGATGTAGAGGAAATGGGCGGTCCTGTCACTACAATTACACACCAGCAGGGTGTACAGAAAAACATTTTGAATACGGTCGCTACCACGGAGCAACCCAGACCGACGCCGAGGTCGAGGGCGCTGGTCATCGCTGGGGCGGGAATGAGGAGGAAACATAGTTACGATACGGGCGTTGGCTTGCTCGACGATATCGAGGAGGTTGAATCCGTGCTTGAGAAGGAGTCAGTGCGCACGAGAGGCTCTGTGCGGCGTGGGAAAACATCAGTATCTGAGAGAGCATCAGTATTCGAGCAAAGATCCTTGCTCGGGAGAGCATCAGTCCTCAAGGAAGCATCGACGCCCACGAAAGAATCGACCCTCGAGCAAGGATCAGTCCTCGACCAAACCTTCCTCGCCGACGAACACATCGACGAAATTAGATACGAATACCCGTCCCCAACAGACGATGCAGACGCCGGCGCCGACGAAGAAGTAGACGACGATAACGAAACCCTCGTCGAAGTCGACGGCGAATTGTACAAGGAAAAACACGTCGATATCGAGGTCTCGGACTCGGAACCGGATAGCGATGTTGATGATGATCGGGTGTCGAATGCGGGGTGTGGGGTCAGACGGAAGAGGACTATAAGGGTTGTTATTCGGAGTAGGGCGTTTATCTGAGCTCAAGGGGATGGAAGGGGAGGGAGGAGGTTGGCTGGTTGTATGTTGTTATGGCTCGAGCGAGGGCTTGGGCTGTGATGATGGGATTGCTGGCTAACTGCGAGGGAGGGAGGTTGAGTACTCGCTTGGTCCATGGCGTTTTAGCGATATATCACTGTTTGCGGGCTTGTTCAATTCTATTGGTTTGATCACACCGACTGGCCCTGTTCTGCAGAAGGCAAAGACCTTGATGACATCTCACTCTTGTCCACTTACAGCCTCCCATGCATATAGACGCGATGCGTCGTGCCTGCCTACCTTTACTTCTCCGCCCGGTAAGAGCGCTAGCGGCTCCACTCCTCACCTTGGGTGCAAGACCTCACGCTCTCGCCATCACTCACTTTATCCTTCAATCCACTTCTCGCTCTTCTGCCGCAGCCACCGACCCGACAAAGTGATCTCGCTATGGAACCACACGCGGGCGAGGAGGCGGTTGCTTCTGCTGTGCAGTCGCCTTCGCCGGCTCATGTCGCGCCTGCTACGAATGCGGATCCTGATATTCAGCGTATCATGGATGTCTGCACGAAGCTGAAAGCGGAGGATAGGCCTAAGATGCTCAAGATCTGTGAGAGGTGAGTCGAAAAAACGCAACCCTTGCGATCATACGCTGACACTTTGTAGCTTCCTCATCGACGCCAACAGAGACCGGGGTGGTTACTACATCAGCAGCTATGTTCCGGATCCACAGCCGTTTCGATTCATGGATCTGCCGATTGAGCTCAGGGTAGAGATTGCACGATATGCGCTTGCTTCTGATGAGCCGCTGTCGTTTCAGTGGTCATACGGAGCTGAAAAGGAGCTCATCGGTTCCTTCCGAGGGTTGGAGGAACTCACTGCACTCACACGTGTATCGAAACAACTTCACACCGAGCTGGCTAACATTACATGGACTGTAAACACGCATTTTCGGTTTGACTCGATCGCATCTGACGAGGTTCAAGAAGACTACGATTACGATGATGTTGATGTTGATCAAAACAATATCATGGTCGACAAGGCGCTAGTCTACTTTTCGAAAGTAATTGTCAACGCATGCTTCTCAAAGACTTTGTTCATCATTGTCAAGTACTACCTCCGGCACCACCGCGAGTACAAACATTTCAGAGAGCACATGTCATCGCTAGCGAAGCAATTACCGATGGTCAAGTGGACGGTCATAAACGGCTTATGGAACCTAACGTCGGAATGCGTCAAGAGGACAGTTCTGATTGCAGATTTTATGAGCAGGGGTCGTCAAGCAGCGTCGGAATTGGCCAAATTAGATGCGGACGGTATTCCCCGGAATTGGAATCTTTTGCCACTCATCATTGGCGGACACCGTACCCAGATCAAACAGAAGTTGTTAGCAGCAGGCTTCGAGGAGGCGGCGGAGTGGATGGATCGGGGTGTGTAGTCTTGCGCATCCAAATTGTCCAAAGCCACCTTCAGATAACGAAGCTCTGGCGCATGTCGATTTTGAACCAGAGGGTGATGACAGAAAGAGCTTGTTCATGGTAGAGACAAACTCACTCATGATCTGAAGTGTTCTCATAATTGAAGGCCTTCCGTACTGCGTAACTGCAAAGCCAGCCAGCAAGCTTGCTGCTCACGCCGTCAACATAGAACGATATTTTCCACACTATTACGATATAACATGTACTTGTATTGTGCAATACTAACACAGAAAGTGATTGGTCAACTATCTTCACTCTTCCCCGGGCTGTGACCGTTTGCACTTGATATCGCATCGCTCTTTCACCGACCTTAGCCCCACTCTAGCGTCCTTGGCCTGTGCTAACAGAGCTGCATCTTCATCACCTAACCGCACCGGTCTCCACACATCCCACGCACACCACTCGATATCTATCATCGTTGCCCGCCATGGCTGCGCTACCGGACGACACAAAAGACGCCGATACGCGTGAGGAGGATGGAGGCGTTGCGCGCGTTGTGCCTGCGACCAAGCCTGTCACTTCGCAATACACACCCATAGCTCGCGGCCGAACTTTTCCTGGACTCGGCAGAATCTTAAGTCTATACGCACAAGCCTCCGACCCCGACCGGTTCGCGATGCTTGAGATGATCGAAAGGTCAGTCCGCTCAAGCCAGAGCTGGCAACAAACAAGACTTTGATGGCGAACGCACCAAGGAGCCTTCACAAGCCTCTTCTCAGACCGTTCGCCATGGAATACTTGCTTGTAGCCAAACCTGGCTCAAGTGCTGTCGAGAGACACTTGCTCACCTGCACAGCTTCGCCGCAAACTCTGCATTCCACGCTTCGGCTTCCAGCTTCATCAGACATAATCCGCACCACCCTTTTCGCTTCATGGATCTACCGACAGAGATCAGGGCTATTATAGCCGGTTACGCGTTCAAGTCTGACCAAATGCTCGTCTTCCGTTGGTTGGAACGTCGGTCAACTGGATGGGTCGGGGTTTTTGAAGGCACCGAAGAACTCACTGCACTCGCTCGTACATGTAAACAGGCTCATTCCGAGCTGTCGCATATGGTTTGGAAAATCAACACCTTCCGAATCAGTGGAGATATTCTGATCCCGCCTCCCCGCTCCACTTTCCACTATCCTCAACTGCAGGAGAGCTTACTTGAGGCTATCAAGTTCCTTGTTGACAGTTCCAACGGCCGGACCTTCAAATCGCTTTCACTCGTCGTGCCGATCGAAATGGTGGCGGGCTTTGGTTCATCTTGTGGTCTAGCTGAATCGAGCTTAACATACTGCTTCCACATCCAAAACCTGATGCCTGAAGCGCGAATTGAGTTTTACGCTCGATGGTGGGAATGTGATGACTACGAAGAGGGATTTGTGGTACGGGTAAGGATGACTCTTCAGGTGGGTTATTCCATGATCAAAGCACTGGCAAATGAGGACAGCAAAGGTATTCCTCGAGCTTGGACACTCCATCCATACATCTCCAGTCGAGACTGGATCGTGATGAAGCAGAACCTTATCGCTGCAGGTCGCGAGCAGATCATCAAGTGGGCAGAGGAGGGCCTGTGATTCGAATGGTTCGATCTCAAGAGTCGATCCTTCGAACAGGCAGCGAGAATGAGGGTTTGCGTTAAACGGCAACCAATTCATACAATACTGGGAGGGAGTCACGACCTCCAGGCAGATCCTGCACTCAAAGCACCTTTCATACGGCGCCTTGCACGAGATGGCCCAGGTAACAGGGCTGTGGCATAGCCCCAGTCATGCAACTGTAATTTCCCTTCAATAAAACTTCAAAATCGAACACTACGAGCTTTTCTGACTATGCATGCAACACACACTGCCTGACGCCCGATTCGCGCCCAGGACAAGTTTTGTGCTGGCCGACTATAAGTTCTCACACGGTATTTCTGTGGCATTCCACATGCTTATTCCCACCGTGCTATAGTCGTCATGAGCTTCGGTGCAGCGTTACATTTGAACATCAAGAGTTGCAAACATGGAGCGTTGTGCGTTTTGCAATGTGTCGCAGCATCAGTGTAATGTTTTGTGACTCCTGAACAGATGTGACGCTTAGACGATCGGCTTATATAGCAGAACGTACAGCGCAGTTGTTTTGAACGTCTGCAGTGTTAAAGCAGGGAGGTGTTGTTACAGGCATCAAAGTCCTTCTGGACGAATTTGCAGTAGTTTCGCTCGGTAATGCGGATAGGTGTGATCTATAGGTTGTATGTGATTGATACATCGTTCAGGCGTTTGGATGTATGACTTCCGGGAAGTGCTCGGAGTAGTGGTTTGCAGGAAATTCTTATGGGACATGCAGGAAAAATTATGCCGTTTACATTCAATAATGCTCGCAATGTTCAGGAAGCATTATCCTTGTGTGTATCGAATGCATATTCCTTCGCGATCTGCAGTGCCAGGTTGATGCCCTACAGCTCCGCTGCGTATACTGTCGACACTGTGTACGCTCCCATGTGTACGGATAGCGTCTGTTGTGTTAGCAGGCACACCGCTGCGGAGCCGATTTCGCCTTCGATGCCGCTGCCGTCCGTGTAGATGCTGAGGCTCTTGCTTGCTGCGCATTCTCGATCATGGCGTTCGCGGGCCTTGTCCGGGTCGCTGTCGGTGTAGGTATGGGGCCCTCGCTGCCACGAGGGTGTGATGAACGGAGGGGTGGGCTCTTGCTTGTCGAGATCGCGCACCTACTTACTCCTCAGTGCCTCGTAGGCTTTCTGCCAAGGGGTTTTGTGTGCTTCCTCGAAGCAATTTTGTAAGCTCTATGATACTCTGACTGCCTATGATATCTGTGGCGATGGTCGCGTCGTTTTGTTGTTTATCAGATACCAGGGTCGCAGAAACAGCGAAGACGAAAAAGAACGTTCTGATATGTTATACAACAGGAAACGGCTTCTTCTACGCTGTGGATGAGAAATACTGGTGGCCGCGTTTTATACTGGAAGACGCGAAGCTGCGTCTGTTCCTTGGCAATGCTGTGGAAGGGCCACTCGTGAAGCCGTTCTTGCTACAGGCTGTGTACTAAAGCAGTCGAGGCCCGACGAGGGCGCCAATCACAGGGCAAGGCATCAACTCTGCGTGCCTTGAACACTTGTCTTCTCTTTCTGTAAACTTCGCCCATAACTGGTCTCGATCTTATCTTTAGGCTCCAAAATCCATCGACGATGAGTGTGTGATGCTTTCCAACGAGCACCAATATCGAGTGGAAATTTGCCTCGTTTGTACTGTCATCAATGATGGTCCCATCCTCGTGCCTTTAAGCACACGATAAGACATAGAAGTGCGCTTCTACTTGATCAAGTTGAGCAGGTCGCATGGTGATGCGGAATGGTGACGTCTCATGTGATGATTTCTCGATACGCAAGAGGCAAAACTTGCCGGGCTTTGTATCCAGACGCCGGTGCTTGTAGTGTGGCATTTGAAGGTTGTAGCAGGAAGGAAACTAACATGTCAGAAGGCTGACAGGCTGTCGAGGTCAGGGTATGCGAGGTTGTAGCCCGGTACAGTTGCGTCACGTGGTTGTGCCAAACTGCACGCGCACCTGGCTGCGATTGTTGACACACATCCAGAGCTGCAACTCAAAGCAGGCGCAACAACCTGAGAAAGCGATCTACAACAGTAGCCATGTCTTCATCAGCGTCGCGCGTCTACTGAAGTGCAGCCCAGCAGTCACCGGGCTTATACGAAGCTCGGCATGTTCTCATCACTCTCCTGTCATAGATTCGGTCATCAATTCGACAGTGCTCTTTGGTCGAACAATAGAATGAGATAGCAAAAAGGCACTGATGTAGGAGCCACTCGTACTAATTCATTATTTTTCTAAGTAAGAATCCAGGGACTTTGCAGCTTTTAATGCTTCCTTGTTAACTTTACATTAAAACCTTATTGTAGCCTTTAAAGCATCTGCTAGAGCTTCTTTCGAGTATTTATCAATGGAAGACATCCACCCGACACCCTTCTTTGTATTATCATGCGCCAGGCGTGCTAGGCTTTTAGCAATTATGCGCCTTATTGGCGAGCTAGGCAGTGTACTATTATAGACGATCCTGACGCTCTCTGGCCTTATGTTCCACTTAGAGCTTTCTTTAGCTACTGCTGCTACTCTTGCAACGGCGTTCTTATACCTGACATTAATAATCTTCTCCCTAAAAACATAAGCATCTACCAGCATCACAAAGGTCTTTTCCGCCTCCTTGGCCACCTGTTCTCTTTTATTGTTGTCGTCCGCGTTGTATAGTGTAACATGCATTCGTCCAGCGTACAGCCGTTTAACATAGTCACTCACAGTGTTGGCGGTCTTATTGGCAAGGTCGATAATGTTAGGAGAGTCTCTTATAATGGTCTATTCTGGTTTCATCATGCGCTTGAAAAACTCAGAATGTTTGCACAGCACATCCTGATCGACGTTGAGGGTCTCTGTCTCACCAGTAGGTCTCGGGACCACTAGCTTGATGATGCTGTCATGAGGGCCCGAATCGGTCAACTTGTATACGCAAATCACAAACTCGTGCACTTACTCCATGTGAGGTTTGTGACGCAACTTCTATCAGAGGTCTGGTAATATATCGGTGGCACAAGACTTTGTAATATGAGACGCATAGTACGCTAATCGCATTCTTGAGAAGCAGCGCATACACTTACTTTCTTCGCAAGACCTTCGCCTTGTTTCTGGACAATGCATCGCAGACATTGGCAATCTACGGTGCAAGGGCTTTGATCTTCCCCTGGAACCCGCAGTAGGGAGTTTACATTCTTGAGTATGCAATTATCGGCAAGTTGCAAAGGTGTCGATCGTCATACGCAGGTACAAAAACGGGAGCTATAACGCTGAAGTCTTCAACCAGCGGTGCAAGGCATGGAATGAGCTTAGAATCTTGGACCTGGACCAGCAAACGTACGTCGAGCGATCTTGAAATGGGCTGTTATTGCTGTAGAGCGACCGGGATATGATTCGAAAGATGCTATACAGAGTTGATCTCTGCGAGGGATGGGAGCGGTTATTCTGTCGAGACGTTGGTTTTTAATAGTGAAATTGAGTTTTCATGCGGCGCCAGAGTCGATTGGACGTGAAGGATCTTTCCATAACCCAACTCATTCAATTTGAAAATATCTGATCTTCTATTTTGATAAGCAGTTTCAATTTTCGGAAAGTGCTTTCATCGCTTTCTTCGATTTCTTTTTCTTTGCTGTTACCACTTCAAGATGCCAATCGTCAACGGCAGTTACCTCTTCATCAGGTGTCGGCGCTGCCTCTGTTCCTGGTGCTGTGGCGGCGGACACAACTTCGTCTTGTGAACCATTTCCATCGGCCTCGTCCAACTCAGTGCCATGAGAGAGAGACGACAAACCTTGGCACTCTGATCTTGCTGATCGAATCGCTACATCGCGAGTGCCTACCACGGACAGACCATCAGTCTCTGTTTCCGATGTACAGCATCGCATCAACTTACTACAAGACAGACCGTGTAGGTTACCCACAACAAATTTCTTGCAAGTTTCCAATCCCTGAACCAGCACATCCAGCTGGTTCGTCAACTGCTTGCGCTTGCGGCGGCTCTGCTCAGATTCACCTGCGATACTCGTCACGACATCAGCGGCGAGATATGTGACTTTGATCGGTGAAAAAATGTCGCTGAGTTTGGCGACGAGGTTTGTTTCGATGGCCTCGACGGCGATGTCGTCAACGAAGCGCTTGAAAGCGACCTGATAGGAAAGACTATTAATACTGTGACTATAAAGCCTTCGTTGAGTTAAGCAGCCAGTGACGTACCTTGTAGTAAGCTTGCATGCAATCCAAAGCCTCAGAACATGCGTACTGGTTCATGTCGGGGTTACTGTGCTCCATGAGTGCACTCAGCAAGGGGTGGTAATCCCGGATAGCGTACTCCTCTCGCGCGGATGGACCAAGCGAATTCACGCCAAACACCTTCTTTATGAGACGCGTAAGCTCAACTCTACTCCTTTCTCTCTTGACTTGCTGCACGGTCTCGGTGAAGTAGTGGTTATATGTAATCGGATGTCCATACTTGTGTGGTGCGAGCAGATCTGTAGTCTTGCGCTTTGCATCCTTGACGACGCTCTCCAGCGCGGGTTCGACCAAGGTCTGGAACAGCACGCCACTGGTGGAGGCATCTGCAATGTGTGAGATGAGGTGCTGCAGGAATTTTGTCACCGCCTGCGCTACTTGATCAATGTGGCTTGTAGCGAGCGCTTGCCATGCACACGATTGCTCGAGGAAAAGATCCGATATAATCATCGGATTAAACGTGCCGGGGAGCTCACAGCCACGAGTGCGCTTCATAAGGGTTTCGATACGGTCAAGTACTTGCACTCGCGTGTACTGCTTTACTTTCGGGTTGTAGGCTGGCGCTGAATCTTCATCGGAGTAGTCGGTGATCGCATAGTGGTGCCCTTCACGCGTCATGATTTCGGCAAAAGACTGATTGAGGTTCTGTACAACGGCGCGAATGCGCTTCTGGTAGCCAATGTCAGCTTTAGCTTCACCGAAGAAGTCATTGTTGTATGTTCCATCTGTGGCAGCCTTGCTTAGAGACTGGAACGTCTGGCTAAGGGTGAGTAGGTAATGGCGTTGCTCCTCAATGCTGGCTCGAGGTAGGCCGAGCTTTTGTAGCTGAGTACGGCAAGCGATGGACTTGAGTTCAATTTCTTCGATAAGTCCTGGAAGCTCCGCAGCGATTTGGCCAAGGAGGAGTCTACTCAATCGCTCTCTCAAAGTCGCGATGCCAAGGATCGACTCGGGGAGCGTGCGCCAGATGCCCTCCGTGAAAAATCGTCTCTCCTCTCCATCGCGTTTAGGAAGTGACCACGCTCCAGTCTCAGAGTCCATGTTTCTTAGAATGTGCCACCCAAGACGGAACTCCACGTCAAGGTTCTGAGCGAGAGACACATACATGTGTTCACTGTCTGAGCCTGGGATCAAAGTGTCAGGCTTTGTGATTACTCCAAGCGTACGCATTCCGGTTTTATCAGCAGATCGAGCTAGCTTCAGCACAATCTGATTGGCGTAATCATTCTTCGCGGAGACAACGGCAAGGATGATACTCCTAGGTTCCTTCATGTATGACTTGACTACATCCTGCACCAACTCAACATCGGCCATGGACTGCTGTTTGGTCTCAGAGTGAATTAGACCAGGCAGGTCAACGATCGTGAGATGAGGGCGATCGGGACCAGAGATTTCGATGCGTAAGAGATCCTTGGAAAATGCGCGACCAAAACTTCCGATAGCCATTGCTCTTTTAGCGTTATCGATCAATTCTGGGAGTGCGTGGAAACCGTCAAGCGTTTCACGGAAGTTGTTGAGAGAGATTCGCTCCGCTTCATTGTGAGAATGGTCCGGAACAATGGAGACAATAACACCTACGTGTGATGTCTTTCGGAGCACCAATTCAGTTGGAAAACGAGTGCACAAGTTGCTCTTGACTGGGAAGGAGACACCTGAGATGGCTTCGAGTACAGAACTTTTGCCGGAGGATTGATCGCCACAAACGATAATTTGGGGTAGAGAAACGTAATGATCGATGCCCTGGGAGCGGAGACGGTCCACTGAGTCTAAAAGATCTAGCTGATCTTTCGAGCAAAGCTCATCCAGAACACGGTTGTTGAACGAGTGAACAACCATCTCGTATGGTTTTTCGGGGTAAACGATGGAGGTATGAATTGTAATTGAGGAAATGTTATCCAACTTCCCCTTCCAAAATGGGATCGAACTTGTTCTTAAGAAATGTTCAGAGTCGTTCCAATTCTCTGAACAGACAAATACTCCCAGCTATGTGGATTGCAATATCGACGTGCAGTTGATATTCATCACCTTGCATGCGACCTGAGGGATCTATCTCTGGCCAATAACGGCTCTCCAGCACTGTGGCACACTGTCACGCAAGCCTTGCGACGTGTTTCAAGGGCCGGCTCGATTCGTGCAGAGACGATGCGTGCTTGTATTCAACCGAACACTCCGAAAAGTGCGAATTTTGTGACTTCGATAAAGATTTAGGGTAACACACTCGCTTGAATGGCGTACTCGCTATGCACACGTTTTTATAGATTGCGATTTATGTAGACAATAGCAACGAATATCTTCTGCTTTATACTACGTAAACTTTACAAGTGTCGTATCACGCTTTGCACTCTTGTTTTGAGCAGCTATCAAAGGAAGGTCTAAACAATCTTAGAGACGCTTCACCCAAAGTCTAGAGCTCTGGAGACCTTATCCTTTCAATGTAAAAGCTGTTGACGTCGGGCACAAGCGAGGGGACAAAGACATCGGAGGCCCGTCGCTATCGCTGCCGCGCAAATTGTCACACAAAGACTCTCGACTGCCAGGGACAGCCCGTAACCCCGCTTACGCAGTTCCGGTAGCTTATCGTGCTGCCTTGCATTGCAAACACTGCCTACCTACCTGCACGCGACCACCACGATTAGGGTCCGACTCGCCCCTAGCTTGGACTAGTCCGCGACTTGGGGGCCGAGTCGCCCCCCCATACATCTCCTTCACCACATCGGCTAGCGCAATTGAGGATCTCGCAGCATGGAGAAGCCCCAGGCGAGGCAACCAAACGCTCACTGTCATCAACCCCGCTACTCGATTTAGGGCCGGTTTACCAATCCTCGATGTGGCTACCGAGATGGTCCACTATGACATTCCGGACCCCTACAACAAGGGAAGCAGATACTACACTAATCATTACGTTTGCCTATGGGAGGTTACTGGGGCAGAGGTCATTAATCACTACGAGTGGAATGATCTGATTGAAAATAAGAATTGGTATGAAGAGGTTATTATGCCGGCTTTTGATAGATTCAATGGCAATCAGAGACCTAATTCGGATGCTCTACATGCGCCGGCTTTCGACATGTTGACAATGATAGAAAACCTTCCTAGTAAGTCTTGGGCCTAGGTAAATACGTATGTAGCTAATCATGACAGTCGCGGACGGTCCTATCAGCCCAAGTATAGATTCTGTCGAGGATTCAGATAGAGATTTGGAGCATGAACTCCTGGATCACGCTCCTGATTCCGACTCCGATAACGAAGATTAGAAGGCAGATGCCAATGTTGCTGTGAAACGAAGAACAATATGATTTCAATAATGCAACAGTACTCTTGCGGAATTTTATCTTTGCGGCGGGTTATGTCAAGAATTAAACAGCTGTAGTCTTGATAGTATTGGAACCCGGCGTGCAATTCATCATCTCAACCTAAATCTCAACCCGGCTGCATACTGCACTCTTCACCCAAGCAATGGAGAGCGAGTAGGCTTAGACTTCGCGCAGTGACAAAGCTTGTGGATGTTTGCAGGTTTAAAAAGGTGAAGCTTGGCCGTCATATTCGAGGCTGTAAAGCATCGCGTATTCCTGTCATCACTAGTTCCGTCCATCTCTTGTCAGGGTATAAGTCTCACTGAACCTAAGGTGGTTCAGAAGCTTTTGGTCAATGCATTGCGGTTGTTGTGACGAGATAATATGGCACTCAACTTTGACAGGATACGTTGCACTCAAGCCATTCACTACGAGTTGTGTAGCAGGGCGTTCTGTTCGCCTTGCTATGAGTACTTCTGGCCTTGTCACGCGGTGCGAGACGCTATGCACGCGGATTGATTGCTGTATGAAACCCCTCATTAGACAGAGTTTGTTAGGCCTCCGCCTCATTCAAGCGACGAGTCGAGATACGTGACCGACTGACCAGCAGGTGTCAGAGGCCTGAACGGTTTGTATTGTCAAAAAGCCGTCATGGGGGTCATTGCTTAACTAACCCAAGGTGGCACATTGTCTTACAAACAACGCTATTGTCTTCCCTGTAAGGAAGGAAAATAACTACTAAGATTATATTTATAGCTTTAGTAAGCATATTTAGTAATTGTGCGTCTTTTGCAATTAAATCTAATTTGTCTGCTAATACTTGTTTAGGGGTAATAGGCGCATAGTGTTTATTACTAGTTATTACTTTTCTAAAGTTGTTAGTATAAGCTTAAAAGAAGTTAGTCTTTGTTTATATTACATATACTCTTACCCTTACCTGTTATAACTCCTACCTTGAAGGCTAAGTAGTTTAGAAAGATTTACTAAGTATAGTGCTAAGCTAAGCTAACATTTAATTTCTATCCTAGTCCTCCTTAACAGCCTTAGCTATAGTTAGCGCTTTAAACAGATTCTGACATCTATGCTAAAATCTATAATTAATAATATTCTTGATGGCCTAAGCGCTATCAATTGACATCATTGCTTCAAGTTGTTCAGACAATCCTTTAGGTGAAGACTCGAGCAATGTGAAAAGGGAAGGAACAGGACGTGCAGAAGCAACTGTTGTCTGGTTGGTACCGTGCTACGTGTATCGTGCATTCCAGTGTGCGTGAAGCTCTTTCCGAGCTGTTCCCAATGTGGTTATTACAACAAGCACTTGTGGAAATACCTCTTTTCGGCTAGTGTTAAGACGCTTCTCTAACCAAGCTCCTTTGCACACCCTTGACGTTTCGATGCCAAAAGAGTGCTTGAAATTCGTATATCGCGGTCGCCAGTTTCCTGGCCGCTTTGTATCTATTAGTAGTGACGCCCACATTATCTTGCCTCAGCTCGATTGATGGAGAATCCATAGCGGATGATGCGATGCACAACATCAGGCAGCGTTCCGTGGTCGTAGACAGCCAAGGCTGATCGACATATCTGGCTTTGGCGTCAGCGCTAAAAGCGGCCCGCCCGCGTCTTCGAGTGTGGACCGGAATTGCTTGCATACATTGCACTTTCAAGATTACTAGCCGTAAAGTGTTGAATCGCCACTTATCCAGAAACCATGGAGTAAAGCGAAAGACATCTACATCGATCCAAGATCATGCCGTGAGCGATCTGCTGCTGCGAAGCAGGTATGACGCTGTCCGTGCGTCGCAGATCTCGTCATGGGTCGTCTCTTTTGCAGACCCACTTTCCAAGGTGTAATACGATATACTTCTTCATGGACCGTGCGTGGAGCATCCGAGTCAGAGAATGCTACCCCAAGTACGCGGTTGTACTGCAATCCGCTTCGGACCGTGCCATTGTCTTCTGGACCCTCTTGTTTCGATGGAGACCGGAGATGTTTGTCATCGTATCACGACGTTCGTCGACCACAGCCTGCCAATCCAAGTACGCCACGCTTGCAACATGAATCCAGGACGGGGGGAAGTATGTATGTCTGATGCTCGTCCACCTAGCAGCGAATAGCCATGCTGCCATGGCCAATCGTGGAGTGCGCTGTGAAGACTTTTGCTACAGAATAGATCGTCACACGCATTGCATAGTGTATAATCTAGACGTTCTGCTACCGAATTCTCGCCTGCGCATGCGTGCACAAACCCCTCTCTTCGGGATTATAGGCAAGTGGTGTTCCCCGATTTGCTGGGTACAGCAGCGAGCTTTGATGCTTGAGTTCATTTAAGTCAGCACATCTAGGAAGTGCGCACAACATACTGTACAGTCTCGATATCTTCAAACGTTGTACATGCTGCAATCGACAATGCTTTGGGGTTTGGATAGCTACTTTGCAGCATACGTCACTTTACGGTTCGCGCTGTGTACTGATTGAAGGATTGCGGGGTACCTTATCGATATCCTGACTGTGCGACGTAAGACGCAGCTTTGGTACGACAGCACATGATCTGCGAAACGTCCAAGACAAAGTAAACAGCATGTTGTGAAAATATGTGTAGTGACGCTCGCTTATGACATTCTACCGACAATACGGCTCCACCGAAGAAGCGTCTGCATCCAACATTTGGGGATAATCTATTGGCTTTCGGGGTCCAAAGGCAGGCCGTACCATTCTGTGCACATTACGGTCTGCAGTGACGCGTAATCGATCTAGCCCAAGCCTTCTCAGTTGCAGTCTAACGGACCTCCTAGCTTTCAAATCGGTTCTCATGTTCTTGGACCTTCACTGCAGGTTACGCCAGGTGAACGCTGAATGGATGGTTGAATCACTCGGGACTGTATCGGACAATGATCTATGCAAGCGAATGTGGGCGTAATATCGTGCAGTATTAGAAGGGCTTACTAGGCACACAGCATTCGCTTCTATTACGAAGCGATGTCGTATAAAAACCGCTATGATGCTCATCATAGACTGTAAACCACAGAACTTCTTATGATCTTATGATCTCAATCACGACCGTATTTTACAATGCCTTCCTCTGACTCTAAGACCGGTGGCGCGTCCAAAAATGGCGGAGCCAAGTCCTCTACTATGGCAGCGTCTGATGCCTCCAGAATTCAGTCTTCTCAGGTCAGTTTCGCCCATGATATGCTCAACCGAGCCTTGATACTAATCCGAAGTCAAGGCACTTGGTGGGAAGGATATGTCTTCCGGTGGCTTCGCAGCGCGAGCTCAGAGTGCTGGCGACAAGAATGCAAACCAAACAGGTGCTGGCGGCAAGTAGGGTCACATCGAGACCGTAATCTCAGAGGGTGTCCGTAGTGGTAGAGATTTAGGTCTTGGCGCAACACCGAAATGTCACTAATGTCGTGTATCTACCACTCAATAAGCATCCTACAAAGAAGCTGTCTTATTTGAGCTATGATATTCTCTTCCATTGTTCGTTTGTTGCGCATCGGACGCGTGAAAGACAAGGACTACACGATATGTGCCCTACTTACGCTATAATGAATGCGGGGCCACTAGAGATCGATGAGCTGATTCGAAGAGACATAGTCTTGTTGTGTCCTGAGATCGTGTTGTAATCAAGATATGCATCATCATCGCTCATGTATTCGCAAAGATCGCACGACTGTGCGATAGCATCACTGTCATTTTTCGAAGAGTGCGCTTTGCAAATTCAAACAAGACTGCAACAGGTGAATATGGGTCTCCAGCCTCAACAAGAGCGTCTTGATGCCGCCTACAATTTGTTGGGGTGTCGACAGCGACAAAGAGAGAAGAGACTCACTCCAGTGTCTTTACGTTGACGCCCCACCTTGCACGTCAGCGACCGTTTCCGCGGGCCTACCCGCGCAGGCCGCCGCAAATACGGCTCGAGTGGGTTGCATCTGGAACCCTGTCGACGATAACACAAGAGAGGGGTAAGAACGTAGTCAGTGCGGGCCATGCCGAGCAAAATAAGCGCAGGAGAGATTACCGTTGTTGCAATCCAATATTTCACATGCCTAGACAAACTAATGATAATTAAAAGTTACTACGATTTCATGTGAGTCGCATTCTGGTGAAGCTGTTGGAGTGATGGAACGACCGAGATTCACACCACTCCACCATGCGACAATGAAGCGGCCATACCCCGCTTACAGCAACCAATCGAAAGCAAACGATTTAATGCAGGCTACAATACATGCGTGTAGAATGCTCCACTCCCGACTCTTTGCCGCCAGACGAGACTCCCACTTCCAACGAACATTATGACGGTCGGGGAAGGACTGTTGCTTGACCACGAGCTTGTTGAATGCTTTTTGATATGGATAGGCTGAGAATCGTAGTTGCATGCCACTCTACAGAATGCGATCCTGCAATGGCGTGGGCGGTCAAGGCGAATTTCCATACGAGTACAGATATGCAGCCTGCCATCGCAATGGGTAACACCGCAGCTCGTTTACAATCCTTCTTAGGTTGGAGATACGCATCGTCACGAGTTATGTGTCAATGCACCATTGGTCGCAGAGACGCCGTGTATCTTAGCCTTATCACACTCCTCTTCTTTTGCGAGATGGACCAAGTAACTCCAAAACCTCTAGTACTCCGTTCCTCGTTCCCTGATCTCTCTAAGACACAAATCTACGAATACTTCGACTGAGCCTACGATGCCTCTTTGTGTACTGTGTGATTGCTCGTTCGGCAGCGAGCATGCACTTAAACAACATCAAGAGGATTCACCCGCGCATACAGGAACCTACTGTAAACCATGCAAGCGCACGTTCAGCAGCAACAACGCGCTTAAACAACATCTACAAGATTCTCCAGTTCACCAACAACAATCCCCAGAAGTCACTTCCTCTACAGTCTTGCGGACTTTTAATCTCAACTCATCGCGATCGCCACCCAACGCTCGCGCGCAGCGCAACAATCGACGAAACTCTCAGACGCCATTCAGCAACACCTCCACTTCAGACTCAAGCCGCCACCACTCATCCCCAGCATCTGATGATAGCCCTCGAGTATTCATGATCCCGATTCGAGAGCCACCCATCAAACCGCCACAGAGACGCACTGTGCCCGTCCCCAAGCGCAAAGAAGAGACGCGGACCTCCTTCACATTCCCCAACCTGCACGACAGGATCGCAGAAGCCGTCTTGCCAGACGTGACCTCGACTTGGTTCCAGAGCAACGACCGCGAGCGGTCCAACAACGAACACCTAACTTGTGTCGTAGGCCGCTTCACGTGTGATAATGTAAGATGCAAAAAGCGGGCGTGGGCGAGTGGCGTGGTGTCCATTGTGATAAGAGGGTATGCTGGCAATGGATACAGCGTGGTCGTGTTCAATCAGCGGTGCAAGTCATGTGAGAAGCTGGGCACCCTTACCATAGACGAGACAACCTATGTCGAGCGGGTTGCGTTCAGGATCAAGAGGTGGGCCGGCGTATGGATGGAGAATCCGTTACACAATAAGGCTTCAAAAGGACCGCATGAACAAGAGCTGTGCGAAGGTTGTAAAAGAGGCACCTGTCTGTATACAAATAAGTCAAGATCGGACCTCGCAGGCTAAGCTTGTGTTCGCACATACTGCCATAGATCAAAGTCTTTGATAATGTAATTCATTGGTCTCTGCAAACTACGTGTTTCGTGCAAGCGCCAGGGATTTTGGCTTGTCGAAATGCTATGTTTAGGCCTCGCGGTGTGATGCGCTGACTTGCGCAAAATCGTTTTTCTATCCTAAGGGCTGCGTGTCCCTGTTCTTTACTAGGTTTAGCACGTGTGATGTAGGAGAGGTCTTGGATGGTTGTTCAAGTCTATATTAGATGCAATTGCAATCCCCTTTAGTATAACACCGCGGTGGTAATGGTCAGCAAACAAGAAGCCGGTGCCGAAGTTGTCTTCGAAGTTTTCGAGCTATCACCCCCAAACGAGATTGAATGCGAACAAAAGGTCAATTCAAGCGCTCCTTCCCGACTTTTGCTTCAGGTGTCTCTCCAACAATGCCAGGAGCAAGGTTTGATCGAATCGCTGGCACAGACTCTTGGGAAGATGAGCCGGCAAGAAGCCCCGGGCTTACCGCAAGAACAAGGAAGACCACGATGAGATTTGGGATACCACGCACCCTTTGAGATCCAATATCGTAGATTGATAATTAGGTTGAACACGAACCATAATGGTTGTGTTCCTACTTGCTATATACTAAAGAGTGTTCCATGCTTGTTCCATTGTTCCATGGTGGTTCCAACTTTGACACTGTGTAGACCATCGTGGGATTCTTGGTATAATGCTTGCCGAAATGTGCAGACCACCCCTAGTTTGGTACACAACACGGGAAGCCCTGCTGTCAGAGGGCCTCCCGCATGAGATACCTACCTTAGGTGAAGGTGCTAGGTATCTATAGGGGCAAGCCTCTTCCTTTCTCTACCTAGTCGAACGTTGTGACAACATGGTGACTATTATAACGACATTGTGGCTGTTATGACGATGTTGTGGATGTTATGACGACGTTGTGACTGTTCCGTGACCTCCGTGAGTGGTTGTCTAGATAAGTACCTAGTACCTAGGTAGAGCAGTACCATAGGTATAGAGATGTCTAGTCTTTGTACCTGTTATAGGTACCCCGCACTACCATTATATATAGAGTCTAGCCCTCCCCTATATCTTACACACACGCATCCTATAGCTATCTAGCCAATTAGGGTGCGTGGGTACCTGACTCGTGACTGTGACAGTATACTGTACCAAGGTAGGGGGTGGTCAGCACATATCGACAAGCACCGATACACACGTGACATGTTCCATTGTGGCGTTCCGCCAAGGCTTTGGAACATGTGGGGTCACATCGTCATTGGTTCAGAATGCTGACCTTCTTGAGACCATGGGGTCTGCCCCGAGTGTCATTAATCCTTCCTTCTCTTATCTTCCGCTGTGCCCTCTGTGTCAAGTCTCGTGGCAGCTGCGTAATGAGCTCTCGCCTGTCTACTGGCAAGTGAACACATTCGAGTTTGGAGGGGATCTTCCACATATTATATCGGGATATCGTGCTTTGACCTGTGGTATGCCGGCAGCGTAGTTACGACGTCTCTGTGTTGTAGTCACCCTTGGTCTGTCTACCGGTATCCAGCAAACGCAACAGGATATCGGTGAGCTCATACAACTGTCGCGAGATCATCCAGTTAAAGTGAGGGCGGCTTTCTGGCTTCAGCAGAATTTTAGCCTGCGCTACGAGGACTTATTGAATAAGTTCTTCTCGACTGGGTATGCTGTAGAGAAGTACCTAAACAGTCTGGAGTTGGTGGAATCAAGCCGCAACTTGCGTGTGTTCCCTTTGGGTTCGACATACGTGCTGCAGGAGCATGCAATGTTAACGGCCGATATGCGCGCAACTGCTGAACGATGGATCGCGTCTGGGATCTAGAGGAGGTATCATAAGCCGCACAATGATCCATATGAATAGGTCACGCGTGAAATCTCGGGGAAGTCGTTCGAATGGCATGATTTTCGCGACGAGATAAGCGGCCTTTGCTGCCCGTTGTACTTGTATGCAAATACCACGGTCAACCTGTTATCATGGGCTGGACCCATTGGTTTGAGATCTGCAGGTAGCTCCGGAGTTGGGGCATGGATTTGTTATTGAGGTTAGGCGTCCGAAATTCTCGACCAGCAATCGAGATTCATTGAGAATGCAACACTATGGTATCAGTTTGACTCACGCAAATGTGTGTGATGTGTGTGATGGTTTATTTTATCTTTCCACGATGAAGAAATTAGATGTTTAGTAGCAGCATAAGAACGTGCGTATGGATTGAACCGCAATTGACAGGTTGAGTCCTTCAAATCAAATTGGCATGAAGTACAAAGCCCTGCGATGAGCCGCTATAGCATACGCAAATTTGAAGTGTTTTGTATTAGTCACAGCAAGATGCTCTACTTTCTTGACACCCCCATCGGCTAACCGCAACGTACGCTGTAACTTGGACAAGATTTCGTCTAAGAGACGGTTCTCCGTGATCTTGGTGATCGAAACATGCGGGGAGATGTGACTCTACAGTTATGATGGCTCGTGACTCTCACATTGCATAGAGTCCCTGAGCTAACGTTAATTAGCAGTCTCGGTTGCTAACGGTACAGATGATATGCCAACTACTCCAGAGACCGACATATTACTTATTATAGAATGTGCTAAGCATAGTAGAGGCAAGTGGTGGCTTCTGTCCTGGTAGGTATAGGTAGGCAGGCAGATGAAGGAAAATATCCATTGACACGTTGGCGTGAGCTCGAGGATGTGGGCAACTGTGCCTATCGAACGAAACAATCAGTGCATCCAGTTGTGCGAAAACGACTTTTAACCGCACTTGAGAATTGCAACAGGACGGAAGCAGTGTCGTTGGTGTCAATACGCATTATGTCAGCAGCAGCTATGTGGGGCGTTCCACGGTGGGACTTTCCGCGGCGCGACTTCCGCCTTGGGTTCAATGCCATTGTCTCCCCCACCGCAACACAATTTCACGCAATGGTACAGCGTCAGAGCCACTTCTGATGTTTGCTGCTCGAAGCAGCGCGTCTGGTTACTCAGTTTTGCGTTTCGAGGACACAAAGCTCACGACTTCACAATATAGGGCCGCAGACCAGCATGAAAACTAGCAGATTCGCGCCACAGACGCCCCTGGAGCGGCTCCAGCAGTCAAAAGCCGAAAAGTTAAAGCAAGAAAAGGATAGAGCCACACGACTTCTGGTTCGTCTGCAGTGGAAAGCAGAGCTTCTCATGTTATCATATTTCAAAGCTTTGGAGATGCTACAAGCTTGTGACTCTTATGAAGAGGCAAACACTGCCCTTGCACGACGAGCAGAGTCCATGTTCAAAATTGATTTCTTTGAATTCTACACTTTTCTGGAACGATACATCACCGCTTGTCTCGCTACTCTCGGTGTTAGTGTGTCCGCTTCAGCGCCGCGAGAGAATTTCAACGCTCTTCGTTACATTACCAACCCGGATCTGCAGCGCACGCGCCCTCTAGCTTCACATGCATTTCACGCGAATCTTCTGGAAGCACTCGACGACGTAAAATGCCCGCTGCATGATTCACTTGGGGCGCAGGGCGTGCGAATGCAGCTAGGCTTGGCAAAGGACTATCGAAACGCATGGAAGGATGCAGATGAGAAGATCAAGGCAGACAACGCAGAGTGCGGTCATAACGGTTCTTCCAAGAATGTTAAGCTGTCGGACCTTGGGCTTGAAACGATGCTGAGAACTCTCGTCGCAGGCTGCAGTCGCGCGAACGACACCGTCCAAGCATATGAAAGGGCTGCTGTGAACGGTAACGGGCTTTCCAGTCGAGACTTTGAGCCTTCAGCCTATGTCGACGACGGCATGGTCATGGATGATGTGCCTCTCGAGTACATGGACGATGCAATGGAGCTTGATTGAGAAAGGCCAGATAGCACGCACTCTGCTGTCTGCAGCTCATGGAGTTGGTCATACCAAGACATATGGCCCTCATAATGTACGTTCATCACAAGTCAATGTCCTGGCAGATCTAGTGGGTTACTCGTGCAAATATTCTTGGATCTCTATGCAAATTGGTATCTAACACGCGAAACAGTCAGCTTAACATCGTCCCGTTTCCAGACTACACAATGGATCAAACGACAAGCCCCTTCTGCAGATTATGACTTCTGCTCTGCTCGTCCTGGAGCATGCTGTCTGCTCTCTCCCTGTTCGCGTCTGCACGGGGCGTGGCTGCAACTGCCATCTTTTCTTGCTCAAATTCCCACTTGCATCTCTCTTTGCAGTCCCAGCAGACGCTTCGACTGCAGACTCGCATGTCATATTTCCACTCATGTCGATTAAGCATCTCGTGACAATGGGCACAGTCCAACGGAATCACCACAGTCTCCAGATCGCCTCGCCTTCGTGCGACAGTCAAACCTTTGCTTGTGCGTGTCCTTGGCCTCAATTCACCGTCGGCTTGTTGCTCGATGCCGTCAAACACAACAAGCTTGTCAGTCTTGCACCACCAAGCTGGCCGACCTCCCGCCTCGGTCTTTGCTCGGACCGAGGAGCTGGTGAACGCTTCCGCTTGCGCACTAGGTCCCGGTAGTAGGCACCCGTTGACGGTCGCACGTGGCGGTGTGAAGACGCGAAGCTTATCTTCTTTGCTCTTCTTCTTTGGCGACATATTGAGGCGTTCCTGTAAGAGCTGCGTCGGCGATCGTAGTGCGGCCTTCGACTGTGTCTTGGAATTGCGAATGAGGTCGTATCGCATGTCGAGTTCGGACTTAGGCTTCGCCGGGTCCACTGCGCTGTTGAAACCGAGGTTCAATTCTGCAGGACGCTGCAGTCGAGAGATGGAATTTGTGCCAGAATTTGTGCTAGAGTTTGTACGCTGAGGCGACATCGACTTTGGTTTGGAGAGCGATGAGACTCGTGATCGCGGAGAGGCGTTGTCGTTCGATACGATGGAGGATGGTCGTGAAGATACAGGAGAGCTCTCGTTTTCGGAGAGATACACACCAGAATCTCGGTTGTGCAAGTCTGTGTCGACCCGTGCCAAAGCTACCGGAGTAGGTTTCTTCTCAATCGACAGGCTGGGCCCCGATTCTCTTGGAATGAGAGAGACAGGTCGCGACTGCGGACGAGGGCAGCTATCGTTTTTCTGTTCCATCGGAGAAGGTACATCGGACGACTCCACCTCAGTTATAGGAGTATCTTCTTGTGATACCATCTCGACGTTCTCCTGTGTCGCACTCCCGCTATCCTCTTCGGTGCTAATATTGCTTTGTTCGCTATGAGATATTTCATCAGGCACGAGAGCCGGCGATTGTGGATATAGGGATGGCTCTTCGACGTCTAGTAACGAGTTATCCACCTTCGTCTCGCCACGTTGGATTTCTTGCGCAAGGTCTGTGTCTTGCACTGCACTGAGCTCTGCTTCTAGGTCGGATGCAGGCTCAATGAGTGGTGTCTGGTCCCCTGGTATCTCCTGAGCATCTTCGTCGAAGAGAAAAACTCCCGAATCTTGGTTCCCTGGGTTGAGATCGACGGCCTTTGAGACATTCGGGATAATCACACTTAACTCCTCCTTCACTGCAGCATCGCTTAGCAGGGGAGACTTTGCATCGTCCAGTTTGGAGCTTTTCCAGAAAGCAAAAGATGGCATTATGATAGAGCGTACAGATGTTGTTCAAATGAGAGACTTGAGTTGAACGTAAAAGAAAGACGACCTTGCACCTGGGTCCCGAGAGCTCCCGTCTCCATATGGACGAACATGGCCCTCCTTTTGTCGCCTCGGCGCGGGCTACTCCTAGCATCTACTTGCCCAGCAGCCGCATCACCGTTTCTTCTTCATTGTCGACACGGGCGAGTCGCGTGTTACCTGTCAGGATAGACCTGTCGAGTGGTCGTCGCAAGCTCCACTCCCATTGGTCGGCTCAATCCGAAACACGGCTCGCTGGGAAGTGCATCGTCGCACCCCGACCAACGACGTTACAGACAGGATTGTGCGTTTATGCATCCGCTAAATGAGCGGGGCGGACATCAACGACGGTTATCTTGAAATTCATGCAGCGGGTGTGAATGTTCCAAGACTTCGGGAGATTCGCAACAGAAGCTTCCGAAACCTGACAGGCTGGGTGCAAGTGGCGCGCATACCTGTGCCGCAGCACTCACGTAGAGATGCTCGCGGACGTCCTAGATTCAATTGTGAAGCTGTGTAACCGCGTTGAGCAATGCATCGCGGAATTGCTTTTCGTTGCCTCCAGCCGGCGTCAGCTTTATGCAAGTTCACGACGCATTTCTGCCGGCAGTCCAACGAGACTTCTTACTGGTGCGAGGTGAGGGCGTTTATGAGTTAGTATTAGGATGATGGCTTGCAAAGTGTGGTCCTGATATCACCATCGCATCGGCGTCGTACCGCCGTACAACCCCCCCCCCCCCCCCAAGCGGTATCTTACAACGCGAATCCTCAAACTCCACCTTCCACAATCGGGCAGACGCGACTTTTGCTCCGTTCCGAGATTACGTCGATGTTTCTTCAAGGGCATTTGTCTGGAACTGCGAGCCGCATCCTGTAATCCTCCCTTTCAACCATCCATGAGCTGGTGTCACCCACGCACACTGACCAGGCCACGCAACTCAGAGCATTATCATCCCCAACTCTTTGAATGTGCTCAGACTCTCAGATCAGATGTCCGAGAGTGTTATGGGACCACGAAATGCTTTCGCTCGCCAACTTTCTGAACCACTCCCTTACTGTTTATCTGGGAATAACAGAGGAGTGTAGGAGGCGGCATGATGAAATGTGAAATTTGGATGCGGTTTTGATGACCCCAGTTCAAGCTATGCATGTCTGATTCGATTGGTCGTCAGTATTGTGGCTGAGACGCGGGTGTGAAACAAACCCGGCGCGTGGAGGCGGGCTGTGCAACGGGTTGTCAGTGGCTGTTGCAGTCTCAGTAACCATACAACGGAAGTCCTTTACTACCTTCGAAATTGCGTCACGGGGATCAAGTACGCACGCAAGCTGGAGATAGCCTGCCGACGAGTTGGGAGTGGAAGAGCCTCGCGCAAGGAACCGCAATAGATTTTCTAAATAGAAGGCGCAACAGGCGCGGGGAAAGAGCGTTGATGGCTTCTCAGCAAGAGCCTAAAGAAAAGAACGCATGACGAAAGCCAAAATGGTGCTAAAGGAGCGAAATGGATACCCAGATCCCATGTACTCCACCGTAGCATGTCAGGAGACAACAGCCGGTGAAGAAACAAGCGCGTAGAAAGACGAACGTGTCAAAAGCCCCAATCAACAACAGCCAGTAGAGTCTCTTCTCACAAAGGAGCGAGAAGCCTCTACAGCCACAGCCCCCGCAAGAGCCAAGTCAACCAATATATCACAAAGCTGCCTTCGGGATCCCGCACCAGGGGGCACAGGAAAGCGTTCTCGTAGCAGCTACGGAGCACCGTTCAATTCAACGGCACTCCCCATCCGCTGCGACAACGCTTCCCGGTGCCCCCTGCTACGCTATTCCGACGGAAGCCCGGCGACAGCGAGGCGCTCAGGCAGCATCGGCCGGTGCCTGGGCAGCGAGCGCGCTGCAGTCGGTAGTGAGCAGCAGGGGGTGCTCGAAGAAGCGCAGGCGCTCCATGACGGCGCGCACAGCCTCAAGATCGTGGCCGCTGTCCACCAACACGGCGCCAATCAGCGCTTCGACGGCTGTCGCCATCATGCGCTCTGAGATGCGGCCAACGTGACCAGGGTTCTTGATCACGTACGCGTCGAGACCGAGGGCGTAGCCGCGCGCTGCTAGTTTCTCGCCGCTCACTAGGTCGCGCTGGATTGCCGACATGTCTCCTTTCACGAGCGGGCGGTCTGCGGTACGTCAGTGTTTTGTGGAACCGATAAGGTGTATCGGGTGTAGTACTCTGGTTGGTGCGTGAGCGATACCACAGTATGCTGACGATCAAGTCGATGGTCTTGTCGCCAGAGATGGCCAAGTCGTCGTTTCGCCTCAGTTTGAGCCATTTGCCGTCGTAGTAAATCTCTTGGTTGTCGGCGTGGATGGCTTCGATCCCGACGAGCTTGTTGATGAAGGTATGACCAAAAATACGTTCAACGTGAGCAAGGCTCGTAGCGATGGACATGTTGAGATATGTATTGAGCGATGGGGATGAAATCGTGATGATGATGAAAGGAGTCGAAGGCAATGAGTTGACAGACAGTAAAGCAGCGATGCTATTGATTTTATATTGTAGCAGGCTGACGGTAGCCTGATCGTAGGTAGTACAAGATACCCTCAGCCACCTCAGCCTTGATGTTGTTGTATGCACGAATGAGGCACGGCAGGGGGAACTGGGCCACAACTAAAAAGGACGAAGGAGCAAGTACCCAAGTTCACCGGAGGAGGCTTCCTTGCATCTCGCCTCACTGGTGGCATGGAGCTGCATTGACTTGTCAGAATTGACATATGGTGGACAGACGTGCCAGGTTGGGGTGAGACGGCTTCTGCGCAAGTCAGAACATGATGTAAACACAGCCTTGCCGTGACTGGCGACGAAGTCACATGTAACCAGTTGTTTTGCTTCTTGCGTTTGCTGCTCAGAGGTATGTAGTCAAGTGCACTTTAATTGTATAGGCAAGTGATAATCAAGTGGAAGAAATGAGGGATTAGTACGGTATGTTGAAGTTGAGAATCGGAGTGTGTGTGTCCTGCACATGACGCGCAGGTGCTGGCGGGGGTACTAGCGCGGGCGCGTTGGTGCAGACACTGCAGAGGTTGCTTGACGCTGGTGACGAGCTTGGCGGCTCCCGCGCGACGCAGGGCCGGGCTGCGTTGATGGCTTATGCAGGCACTGGCCGCGGGCCATGACTGATCGGCTAGCGCCAACTCGCCGCTCAGCGGCCATGTGACCAGGTGCGGCGACGATGGATGCGGCGTGCGCAGCGTCCAAAGGCCGATGGGCCCCACTATCCCACTAACGCAGGGCCCCCACCTCGAGCGACGGCTCTCCCAGGACCTTCCAGCTCTGCCGCTCTGCCACGGCCTGCTCGCGACGCGCTGCTCGAACACCCGCCTCTCGTGCCCTCCCGTCCCCGCTCGACTGCCTCTCGCCCCCGCACACGACTTCCGCGCCGCCACACGTCAGCCTCAGGCCCCGGTCAGGCTCAGGCGCCATGGCGAGCGCCAACGGCAACGGACAGCCTCTGGCGGTGCCCGGCGGGCGCAACGGGCACTCGGGCGCACACCTGCGCGAGATGGGCTTTGCGGGCCCGCGCAGCCCGCCGAACAACAAGAGTAGGTCCGGGTCCGTGTTGGAGAGCACCAGCACGCCGACGGCTGACGGCGACAGGCACCTCGCACGTGCCGTGCAAGTTCTACCGCCAGGGCGCCTGCCAGGCCGGCAAGGCCTGTCCGTTTCTGCACTCGGACGAGCCCGTGACGGAGCGCGCGCCGTGCAAGTACTTCACCAAGGCACGTCCATGTCCACGCCCGCGTCCACGGCCACGGCCACGTCCGCGCCGCCGACCGACGCGCCCGGCTAACGCGCGCAGGGCAACTGCAAGTTCGGCCACAAGTGCGCCCTCGCCCACATCCTGCCCAACGGCCATGTCGTCAACGCCAACATGGGCCGCGCCCACTTCGGCCGCGTGCCGCTGCATAGCCCGGAGCCGCCGCTGAACAGCTCGCTGCTGACCCTGCAGGCCCACATGGCCCCGCCGCCGTTCGCCTACCCGCCCGACGACTACCCGCAGCGCCCGTACGACCACATCCCGAGCATCGACACCACCTTCTCGTCGCACCCGGGCTCCACCTACGGCTCGCCGCCCGACCCGCGCCGCGCCCTGTCGCCCGTGCAGAAGGGCCTGGGCGTCATGGACGTGCCGCTGCCCGCCTCGTTCGACAGCCAGGGCATCTCGCACATGGCCCGCTACGGGCCCATTGCCTCGTCCGTGCCTGCCAAGTTCCTGGCCGCCTCGCCGCCGTCGTCGTACCCCGCCGACTCGCCCGCCCTGCGCAACCTGCACGACTCGGCCTTTGGCCACGGCCCCGCCCGCCCGGCCCTGGGAACCTCCCCGCCCGACCCTGTCGACCCGCCCGCCGGCCGCCGCATGCTGCACTCGGAGCTGGCCGCCGCCCGCTCGCGCAACCTCATGTCGTCGAGCGTCGGCGCCCGCCCGCTGTACAAGGACGACGAGTGGGACGACACGGACATGATCGGCAAGTTCGAGGAGGACCTGCTGCCGCACTCGCTCAGCGACCTGCTCACTCCGCAGGAGCAGATGCGCCGCTTCTCGCGCGACCAGGGCGACCCCGAGAGCAGCTCCTTCTCGCACCCGTTGTCCATGTCGCGCCTCGGCGCCTCGCCCACCGCCTCGGACCGCTACGGCTCGCCCTCGCCCGCCACCGTCGCCGCCTCGCCCTCGCGCTTCCAGTCGCTGTGGGGTAAATCGCGCCCCACGCCCGCCGACCCCTTCGAGTCCGCCTCGAACCCCGGCGCCTCCGCCTTCGGCCACGTCGGCTCGCCCCTGCGCAACTCGAGCCTGCACCCGGGCGCCTCCCCCTCGCTGCGCGCCCTCACCCGCTCCTCCTCCGGCGACACCTCGCCCTTTGTCGCCTCGCCCCCGCGCCAAGCCTCTATGAGCATCATCAGCCAGCAACTCCAGCGCACCCGCCTCACCTCCCGCGAGGACGCCCTCCCCAGCCCCCCGACCTCCAACCCGCACCGCCTCCCCGCCCCGTCCCTCAACAACCTCGGCGGCCCTGCCACCCGCCTCACGCCACTCGACCGCACCCTCAGCAGCAGCAGCATCAGCCGCGAGCGCATCGACGAAGAGCAGGGGCTGTTCAGCATGGAAGAAGAAGATGACGTGAAGAAGAGTGGCGACGGCGCGAGCACCACGAGCAGCTCGAGCGTGAAGCGGCTGAGCGGGCTGAGCTGGGGGAGTGTCGGGGGCAAGGGGAGTCCGAGTCTGGCGCCCGTCGCGCAAAAGGGTGCACTGAGTGGGCTGGGGAGGGTCGGCGAGGGCGCTAGCGCGGGCTGGGGTGGTAATGCGTAGCGTAGGCCACAACGACCATGGATGGGCACGTGGAAAATCATGACAACCCTGGAAGAGGAAAAAAGGAAAAAAGGAAAAGTCACATATACACCACACACTTTCTCGATTCGGAAAAGCAACGTGGTCCCGCGCCGAGGACATCACGCCGCCTGGCTGGCTTGCATCAAGGCACCATAGGCGTTTTTTGCATCTCTCACTATGTTCACCACATCTCTCACATATACATCACATCCCACATCCCACATCGCATAGGCCGTGCTGCCATGTACCAAGCGGGCTTGAAAAAAGCAACACAGTCTGGCGCTGGCTTCGGCCTCATTCCAGGCGTGCTCTCTTGTCTTGTTCAGGACCGAAGGCAGGGGTGTATATAGATATAGGCTGTTTTATTCGCCGAACCATACACCAGAATCTACGTTGCTTTATCGCCCTCTTGTGCACCTGTCTATTACACACTATGATAAGGACTAAAGGGAGGTAATATGTAGGCTGTTCCATTCACTAAACTATACACTAGAATCTACATTATTTAATTGCCCTCTTATGCACCCATCTACTACACACTGTAATAAGGACGAAAGGGAGGTAATATATAGGCTGTTCCAGGCACCGAAACATACACTGTAACCTCCCCAGCACCAGGAACCCCGCCCCCCTGATACATGACAATGGGTCAGGGATCAATGCTATGTGTACACATCAGTGCAGTGTGCCTATCCTGATAGCTATGAGACTACAAATGTCCAATCCGCCAAATCCCCGCCGCACACGACCCATTCCACCACTCCATTCTCAGATCGTCCATCATGTGCACCTGCGGAATCCCCAGACCGTGCGTATACGCATTGAACTGGATCCCCGAGAGCGCGCGGAACGCCTCGGTGAAGACGACCTGCGTGAGGCGGCAGTCGACGTAGCCCCAGCACGCCGGCAGTGACGCATTCTGCTCCGCAACAAGCACCTCTTCTTGCAGCCCCGCGTCGTACCGGTACCCCGAGATGCGTAGCGTACACGGCGTGAGGCCGCTGAGGGCGCAGCCAAAGTAGCCCGAGTACGCGTTGAACCAGTATGCTGTCACTGAGGCGCGGGGCCCGGCTCCGAGCTCACCGGGGAGGAGGGTCCCTGCAAAGGGCGTGTTAGGTAGGAGACGCCCGGTGAGCGGTAGGAACATTGCGATGTTGGGTTGTGAGACGGCAGGATATGGTTCCCATTTGTCGGGCACGTATGTGTATCCATTTGCGTAGAAGAGGTGGTGGTAGGGGTTTGTCAGTTCATTGACCGCTAGCAGATTGCTTTCGCTGGGCCCGACTGTCGTGTCGTCAAAAGTCAGCGTGAAGTTGCCGGACTCGCCGCAGTCCGTTGGCTCAGCTGCAGGCGGTGTCTCCATCTCTAGCGGTATCGCTGCAGCGCGAGCCATCGCCGTCGAAACAGTTCTGAACCCACTTGATGTGGTGAGCAACTCGAAAGAAGAAACTTCCGACAGCGGAGCCTTGCGAACCGATCTCGTCATCAGTGATATCGTTTGTAGATCCGAAGGTTCTGGGCCCGTCACTGTGGGATACGTCCCTGTCCAGTACGTTTGCGTGGTGACGATAGTTGGCGTGGGAAAGACGAAGACGTACGATGTCTCCCCGTACGAGATAATTTTCGTCATCAAAGCACGTGCCGCCGCAGTCGAATTCACATTAACCTTGGATGACGGTGCTGAGGTGATCACAGTGGGCGCTTTCGTCCGTGTCCCAGTCAGCGTCGATGTGCTGGTGAGAGTCGACGACACCGTAATGTTTGAGCTATTTGAGGTAGGCCAAACAAAGCCTGGACCAGAGCTTAATATAACAGATGTAGATGGAAATGAAACACTGCTGGTAGACGAGTCTCGGCTGGATAGTTTCGAAGAGCTTAGCATCGCACTCGATATGGGACTCGGTTTTGCATTGGATGTGGTTGATGAAGGTACTCCAGGCAATTTCGGGCTGCTGCCTGAAGTCGAAGAGAGCAGTGAGATCGGAGATGATGGATTAACACTTGACAAACTTGAAGAGGTCCCAGTGCTCGAGGCTGTGGAGCTTGTGAAACCTGTGATGAATGCCGTGGTGGGACTAAATGTGAGCCAAGTATTGGGAACCGTGTTTGATGGAGACGTTGATATAACAGGTAGCACTGGTGAGGTTCCTGATATCCCATCGGAGGAAGATGCGGGAATAGAGATACCTGGCGAGAATGATGGGGACATAGCTACGTTCGTAGAGGACCTTGATGAAATGCGAGTCGGACGTAGGGAAGATGTAGCTAGAGTCCCAGACGTCACGGATGATATGCTTGCCATAGATGATAACGTTGAAATTGAAAGTTCAGACGACCTTAATATGGGCGTTGTCGCTCCTGACGTTGAAGCCGGTGCTGAAGCAAGTGGCGTACGGTTAGATACTGCTGAGGAACGGCGGTCGAAAGTTGAAGCGCTGCGAGATACAGATGACGCGGGTGACGCTTGCGATATGGAATCTGGAAACGATGTTGTGGTTCTGGAAACGACCTCACTGTTGCTGGCGATGGGGTCTGGAAGGGATATAGTGAACTCTGCACTTGATGCACTCGAACCCGAGCTCGTGATTGTCGGCGTGTTTCCCCTGGACGGAGATGGATGACCAAGAGATGACGTGGCGACAGTAGTGCCAACAGATGACATAATCTGCCCCTCAGATCGAGTGATGGTGAAGGCACTCGTCGGCAGACCCGAAGTTAAAGGTGATGAGATGCTGGATAACATCGCAGGACTGGATGACTTGAGCGAGTCACTGAGTGCAGTGGTACGGCCGTCGGATGAAGTGGCAGTGGGTATGACAGAGCTAGTCAAGGCCGGCGGCAAGTCTGAACCTGGCAATGAATTAGGCCCGCTTCCGACGATCAGAGTCGTTGATATACTTCTGAAAACTGTCGTTTTTCCGTCCGGTAGAATACTGGTAATTACAAACAGAGTGCTTGATAATGTGTCTGACCGGCCAGTCCTGGATAACATTGATGTGAACAGTGCTGGGGCTGAGGTGATTGGTATCATTGACGGTTCCCAACCAGAATCAAATGATGAGACGTCTGGTGTTGGTGCAGTTGGGGTAACGACGACACTCGTCCGACTCGGGGGAACGACACTGTTGAGCCATTCCGTCGTGCCATTGATCACCGAGTAGTAGTATGTGCCCCGTGCTGGATCCGTTGGCGGGGCTGCAATGAGCGATACTGTAATGATTGGACCTGGTATTGTTACGTATACAATGCTGCAGTTGGCAGCTTCGGAGATATCTTGTGCGTTGGCACCTTTGACAAGAGTTATAAACAGGAAGTTCAGGGCAGTGTGCGCGACGTATACGCAAGCGAGGAGTGCGCCAAGAGTGGGGATGAAGTCGTTCCTGCGAGAGCTCTGAATTCCTCGAACGTGGGCGAACACAAACATCTTAACCCAGCCGTAGATCCGATATGGCCAACGAAAGAAGCCCCTAAACCATGATCGCCATGCTCTGAGATGGTGACCTTGCTTTGTGTGTGTTTGTGTGGTTCTCCCAGCACTCGTCTCTTCCCAGTTGGCCGAGACCACCGAGTCACGTTTCCCAATCGTACCAGCTGGTGACTTCGGGCATGTGCGGTCGTGTTGATCTGTAACTGGAGGACAAGATGATCCACAAGCACCACCATCGAGCTGGAAGGGTGCAGTACGAGATGCGTCGACCTGCTGAGAAGATTCATCGTCGTCGAATGCGGAAGTGCTGACGGCCTCTGTCGAAGAAGTGCGACTTGTGACGACCTGTCGTTTGCGGTCTCTGACGGGCGTTCCCCGCTGGTGTCGGTGTCGAGCTACTTTGCTTGATTCTTTGCTCCTCACCATGATGATTAGCGTGACTATGCTGCAGATATGATGCAGTATTCAGGATGTCTGCATTAGGTTATGATGCAGTGAATGTATGTTGTCTTTGATGGTGTGGTGGTGTAGTGTGCAGGAAGACATTGCAAAAAACTGCAGACTTCGCGGCACCGTCCATTGCCACAGCTCGGCAGGCAGACTGCTAAGGAAAGTAGGGACAGCTCTTGTGTTGAGTGCGGGAAGGTGAGATTGAAGCGCCGTAAGGTTGGTTTTGACTGCTTCTGGCTGTTGCAGTTGAAACTTGCAGGTACACGCAGACCGCGCCTACTCTTCAAGCCTGTACGACAAAGCGACTGAGGTGTTTTCTTCAAAACAGATTAGGGAGGTAAGTCGCAGATTCGATACGATGGCGTTGTTGAACGCTGGATTTAAATTTTTGCATCAACGTCGCGGATTGTGATATTATCATGCGCCAACACTACGCTCTTACTTCCCACAACCTGATGTGACCCGACTCGTTGGCGACAGCAACTTGTGCAAGGCTACCTTCGCGCTCTTCTTCTTCTGTGGGTCTACCCCAAGCCACTGCGGTTATCCTACCCAGTGGTGTCTTCTCAGTGGGCCAATTCTTGAACACAGTCGCAGAGGGCAGATGTACCAGCCTCATCGCATTGTTCTTCCATCGACTCGCCATCGCCAGAATCTGACCATCTGGTGAGAATGTAAGGTGCGATGTGGGTGTGGTCAGGTTGCCCAGAGCGCGTATCGGTTTGGGTGCCTTTGGTAGGCCACCGTTTGAACTTAGCTTGGCGTCTTCCACGTTCTCGCTCCACGCCCTTCGATCGTAGATATTTACGACGCCGCTCGAACTTCCAACAGCAACCCATCGGTCGCCGCCTAACCAGTCTTCTCGTCCACTCTTTCCACCCAGAGCAATGACCGTTGTGCCGACGGCGCCTTCATCGTTCCACCGTCCAACGACACCCTCCTGCACACTCCACTCTGTGACTTCACCGTTCTTGCCCGCAATGCTCATGCCGTTACCCGTACTCCACCACGCGAAGTCAGCAACGCCACCTCGCGACTCGATGCGCACTTGTGTGGCCCATTGCAGCGTTCTTGTGTCGAGGATGTTTATGACACCTCCACCTTTTCTGGAAGAACCACGAAGCGCCATAAATTTCCCGTTGGGTGAAAGCGAGAAGTTTTCCATCGTGCGCTGTTCGTGCTGGTGGCCGTACACTCGTGTGACCTTCTCGACCTGCCCAGTCGCGATATTCCAGACATGGAAGTAGCGTCGGCGAGCACTCAAGAAGATGCGTGAATCTGAGGCCGAGGGGTGAAACGCGGTTGTGGTAAGCGGCGTGCGCTTGACATGTAGCGACGTGAGAAGCGGGTTGGGATTCGGTGGGTTCGGGTTGACATGATGAAGCGAGAGTGTGGAGCTGGGCCCAGACGAGAGAAGCAGAGGGTATGCGGGATGGAATGAGAGAGAAGTAATTGCAGACTGCGCGTTTTTGTTAGCACTGGAATTGTGAGATGTATGGACTGGATACATACCGGCCCGGCCTTGGAGACGTCCTTCAGCCGCTGGATATCGATTGTACCGGCCTGCAGCTTTCTCCTCTTTGCAGGTCCCCTAGGCGTGTTGCGAGATAGTATATCTGCATCCTTCAACAGCCTCGCCAAGGGTTGGGTAGAAAGGTCCTCTTCGTCAACATCCATGTCGCTTCCAGACTCGTTACCGCTCTCATCTTCGTCCATGGTTCGTCTCCTCTTCTTTGCACTACCCGTCGCATGTGCTACCCACTCCGGTGCTGGGTAGAGTCGCTCAAATTGCTTTCTCAGCCTACGCGCATACTCTTTCCCGTCCACCATGTCGTCCTCGGCGGTCTCTCTAAGCTTTCGCAGCTGAGGCACAGAGGCAAGGCTGACCACCAGTCGCTCGTCATCGCTATCTTCCCATGCTGGCTTATCTTCCTCGTCCTCTGATTCATCGGCTTTTGTAATGGCGACCGAGCCAGCAGGCGCCGCATCCGGACCAGTATCGAAGAAGAAGAGGTTGTCGTCGGCTACATTGTCGAGATCTGCGTCTTCGTCTTGCTCTTCGTCTGGAGTACCGCCGTACATGCCAGCTGTGCGACCGAGAGAGAAATTATCTAGCCCTTCTTTGAACCCAGCTGAGTCGCCGAAAATGAGGCGTTCGAGCTCTTGCTCTTCCGAGTCTTTCGGCGCAATGACCTTTTCCTGCTTCTTTTCCTGGATGTTGATCTTCACACTGTCTGCATCGCTGTCCGTATTTTCCTCATCCCCTTCTCCGGTTCGGTTGCCATTGTCGCTGCCAAAATCCTCAAAATCGCTGTCGATCGACTCGTCCACTGGCTGCAGCGCCTTTCCCTCAACGTCACTGCCATCTAAATCGAGTGTAAATCCTGCGTGTTCGGTGGCATCGTCCGCGAGATAACGCTTATGGTTGTTCGACTTGTGCGGGGGGGTCTTTGTCTTGGAAGGGGCCATGGCGGCGATTGCGCGTGTGTGTAGAGCTTCAGGCGCGCATTCGTGAAGAACTTGGATTGACAAAAATTATTGCAGGGATCTGGTGCCGAGATTCTCCCGGCGGAGTGTCATCTACTTCCGCGCAAGACCTTCAAGCCACAGGACCACAGAGCCGCAGACTGCCATCCAATGTCACTCATACCTACCTCCAAACATTAGGATATGAGGTAGAGCTCGGTGTCGTCTCATCACGTGACTGCGCGCGTATGCCAGGCGTCTATCCCCGCCCAGCCTCCAAAGCCGCCGCTAAACCCGCCCGAAGCCGTGCCTACTACCGCACCTGGACGTCCTTCAAACGCCTTAATCGCTGGACCGACATCACATGACCCGCTCGCTTCCACAAACACATCATCGTGAGCACAAAGACAACAGCAGATGACCGGTCAGTCGTCCATTGTGTAAGAACATCGGATTCGATTGGTCCGCTATTCCGAGTCCGAACGACTGTTCCGAGCATGGTAGGTGCTAGTGAGCAACTGACCAAGTGAATATGACTGTGGCACCAGCCCGTTTGCATTGAAACCGAACGACGTATCTTCTGACACTCTCCCTTAACCCTTCTTCCATTCCTATCCCCGTTCCTACTACTCCCTTGAATCCGGATTCGTGAGCAGAGCCATGGCTATCTCCAAAAATATACCAGCCAAATCTACGAAAGGAGGAAACCCAGACCTCCAAGTCGACCTACTAAAGCCTGAAGAAGCAGAGCAGTACACGCGTATTCGGCACGAAGTCTTTCGGTCCACAGTCAACAAGATTCTATACTCGCGCGGAGAGCCTTCGCAGAGAACGCTTGACAGAGTGACAGAAGAGATTCGCGATGGCGTGGTAAACAAGGGCATACTGTACCTTAAGTGCGTCGACATTTCAACCGGTGAGATCATCGCAGGTGCTCGCTGGCGCTGCGTCAAGCCGGCAGATCCCACCGCGACGGAGCGGACGTGGGAAGAAGTCGAAGAAAGCTTCAAGCGCTCCGAACCGTACGAAGAAAGTGATCCTGATCTTTTCCACGCTCTCCATGACCTATTCAACGAGAACAAGCGCGAGATCCTGCAGAACCGCTCACACTACGTCCTCGATACACTGGTCACGCTGCCGCAGCACGAGAGAAGGGGTGCAGGGAGTATGCTTGTGCGGTGGGGAGCGAAGAGAGCAGACGAGGCAGGCGTGGAGGCATACTTAGAGGCCAGTCCAATGGGGGCACCGATGTATGCGAGACATGGATTTGAGCCAGTAAGGAAGGTGGCGCTGGACTTGAGGCAATATGGCGGCGATGAAGTTTTGGAGTTCATAGTAAGTGTTGATCTGACCATGGCAAGACCCAACTGACGTTAGCATAGCTGATGAGAAGACCGACCAATGGAGGAGTCGAGATGCCTTGATCTGAGTTATCGAGCTGTCAGCTGCATTGTGTTGCACGGCATTTGCATTGGCCTTGAAGATCCGGCCTGGCGTTTGGTGCTTTGAACAAGAAGTTACTCGTTCACCGGCGTTTTACCTTCACAGAGATGCGTACGTAGGTCACTCTGTTCACAGCCAGATCGCTACAATAGACTTTCATTTCGAGAGGTAGATGTTGCCTGATCCGCAAGTCATTTGTGATGTGGTGGGACGGCACAGACGCAGCAGCTCACGCAGTACAGTACGCTAGCAGGCTGGCTGAAATTATCGCCAGCAGGATCCGTCTTGTGCAACACTCTTGAGCAACTGGACTTATACCTTATATTCAGGTGCTAACTACGTCCCTTTGCCAAATTGCCTTCCTAATAACCCTTCATGTGACGAGGGAGTTCTGCCTGGCGGTACCGGTAGAAGGGTCCTGAAACTTCTTGGCAACACAATCCTACGTATACAGTACCACCTACCAAGTACGGAAAACCAATGCGCGCAACGTCGGTCGTGTATTTTGTATGTGATCGCGCTTAATATGGATCATGTCTTCAGCCTTACTAGCCACTCAGGAACACCCCCAATCCTCAATACGGGGCACAACATACTGTAGATACAGAAGGATTGCAGGGTCCAGATGCAACTATGCCCACAGACCAATCAGTGTGTGTGGGGCTGGACGATGCGTAGATCGAGGGGAAACGGGCAATTGTGCAAATCCGATGAATATCCACGAGGCATAGTTAACCTCATCCCTCGACATAAGTCCACCGAAGAATTTTTATAAGGTGCCCATATGTCGTAATCTTTTCGAAATCGTTGATTGAGTCCGCCTGAATCTAAACCACGTTACGTCGCATCAGTGCTGTGCATGTCTCAGTCACGCTGCGGGTGCTCAAATATTCCGTCGTTCTCAAGCTAGTAGGTCCATGAGCGGTTAGTGATGAGATACAAAAGCTGTTAAACATTGTTTTCTGGAGGACTCGAGGCTAGACTAGTGTCGGGGGCTTCCAGGCTCCTAATGAGAGAAGTGCCTTATCCGTCTATGATGGGCGCTGACAGCATACCTGTACATCGAAACCTATTTGTGGGCCAGGTCTGAAGGGCGACAGAACATCTTGCCTGCTATGAAGGCCATTCACACGGACGGAACGTGCAAGCCTTGCATCTCACCTCGGCTTTCTATACCTAACGGGCTTCTTTGGTCTTGATCTCTCATCTTCGAAGTGCGATCTCGCGGAAGGATACTAGCTGCGCTATCCGAACTTGTCGCCGATTGCCATTGGAAATAGTTTTGGTGTAACAATAGTAGGTCGCGCTAAGACTTTACGACTACCTTGAGGTTGACCTTTTTTGTCTTGCAGTCAAAGTCTTTCTATTACTCCACAACAGAACGTGGCAGCCTAGCGAATAGGGGACCCTCGCACAGTTCCGCCTGGCTCAATGTGATCGTTGTACTGGGAGATCTAAGATTGGGCACTTACCTAGTTACTGTACCGCTTCGCTGCTCCTCCAGGGCTGTTACCAAGCAGGCAGTGTACTGCGTCTGGGCGACGTTGGAAAGGATTCAGCGCGGGTAGAGAGATCTGTCCGCAATTCGCTCGTTTCCCATATCTACAAGGGGTGTGAACAAGCGACACCAATTAACAACAATTGCTGCACGGCTCCTACTTCTCTATGCATGATCAAAAAAAGCGCGTTGGTGATATTCAGGCGCGCTGCAGTGCGACCACTTCCCACCAATCAATATCTGCTGCATCTCATGTTACCGCAATGCAGCCGTAGGGAATGATGAGAATGCGAAGACTCAGGATCCAGGCTGCATATACAACCTGTCGTCAAGACCCATCTCGATTGCTCCCGTTGTCGCCAAACACCCCCAATTCGACGACACAACATCAATCTGAGCCTTTTACTATCTTGCACCATGAAGTTCTCCGCCAGCCTCCTTGCGAGCCTCTGTCTCTGCCTTCAAGTCGCCAGCGCGGCCACTGCTGCTGCCCCCGCAGCCGAGCTGTATGTGCTTTACCTTTCACTGCCTTTTCGAACAACGTGTGATTGAATTCTTCACAGGGACCGCAACGACCCCGTCTACCGCGCCAAGCTGGTCGAGGAATGCGGTGACCTCGGTGTCATGGATGTCCCCGCTGGCGTTCCTGAGAGGAAGGTGCGCCACTGTAGGGACCACCCCCTGAGTCGCGACCCCGACTTCGCACCCGACTTCTCAGCTGGTGCCGTTGCTCCTGCTCGTCGTAGTAAGCGCGAACAAACCTCCGCTGTAGACCGTACAGCGACCGACATCTTTGGCAGAGGCGAACTAGAAGCACGTGATTGCTACTACGGAAGTGAGCAGTACGGATGCACCGATAATTCCTGCTGGAGAGTCTGTGGGTCACGTGGTAGTTGGTGCTGGTTGACCGTAGACGTCCCTAGCGGATCATGGCTGAAGTGCTCGACGAACGAGCAGTGTAGGTGGGAATTCGGCGTATGCTCGTGAGGTGCCTGTAAAGGATGTAGCTGCAGTTGTTAATCCAATGGTCTTTCTCGTCAGTCCTCTGAAGATATTGTGATCAACTCTCATATGTAGGAGAGCAGAACATCCAATCTTTTCAGCAGCGGGGACAGCGATACCCTTTTCGATCGAACCATGCGACTAGAGCCACCAAGCAGATCAGCAAGGCGAGTGTCAATGAAGTGGTCATGATTGGCAATCAACTCCTAGATAGTACTTAGCTCTGCTGGAAGATATTGGTGCGAGTGGTGAGACGCTGCCGGATAAAAACAAAGAGCACGATCTTGGGGAGGATGTCGACACCCCGTATCGATGATGGGAAACGCAAGATACGATCAAACAAAGGTGAAGCTTGTAAATAATAAGGACGTTTGGTATCATGAAGGTCGACAGCGGATCACTTTTCGTCTTCTGGAATAGAAGAGACGGGTCAGAAGAGTGCTGACTGCTGCTGACGATGACAGATCTCTGATTAGACTTTACTTTGTCAGACCCAACTCTGTACAAGTGATGTTACTTACTACTAAGAAGCTGGTAATCCCTTTATGTCGTCTACTGCTCTCCTCTCTTCTGTCAAAGCTAGCATGCGGATCACACAAGTACTATGGTCTACCTGGTTTTCTCGTGAAGAAGTGATCAAGCCGTGATGTACCAGTATTTACTTGGGAGCTGTGCGATGCTAGTGCTTGGGGTGCTTGTGTTGCTTGAGTATCTTGCCGATGACGCAATTGCCGTCCCCCACATAGTGCGCATGATTTAGCCAGACCTCACCACAGCATATCACATGAGCATAGTTCTCAATCTACGCCCAAACTTCGGTTCTTGTGATGTCCAGCTTTGTATCTATCTCATACAGGGTGACTGTTGGGTATACATCGCTGCTGTTACATCGACTGCGCGAGACTGTAGGTACTAATTCCTGCAATTATTTCAAGAACTTGAATGAGAGTCGAGCTGTCCGTGGGCTACAAGCAAGGTATCCGGACCCCGGTGCTGTTCGACAACAAGGGTCTATCTCTCGCGTCCTGTCAGGCGGTACCCAGACGGAGAGATCATTGCGATTCTGGGGTGTATGAAGAGAGGCGAGGACGACTCTTTGTACGGTGTGTACCTGGAGAATATTTCTTCAAATGGCGGGCGATACGTGCGCATCAAGGGGATCGTCAGGATTGACATGGATGAGCGCTTTATGAATCATGCTAGATTTGAAGACATGACTACTGAACATAGACTATTCAAGAAGATTGCAGGCAGTAGTACCCGAGGTTTGGTGGGAACAGAGCAGACAGGGTGGCGATGATGAATAGTTGTTGTGGGGAATTATGTAGATTGTGTGCCAATGCCAATGTTAGGAATTGTGACAAGTCCCTTTCTGAACCTAAATTATGAAATTTACTCATATGCGGTCTAATCAGAACGTCCCTACAATCTTCTTGACCGTCCGCCGCGGCCCCTCGCCAGTAACCTGCACTTTGCCTTCCGCCTCCGCCGCCCTGAGCACCTCGAGAAACTCCTGATTTTCCACCTGCTCACTCGCACCCTCCCTAATATGCTTGACAAGTTCACTCATCCTGACGCTCTGCCCTGCACCCGCCAGCTCGTCCAAGCCAGCAAGAACAGCACGCTTGAGATCTTCCTTACGCCTACGGTCGCCGGTCGAAGTGCCCTCGGTCAGCAAACTCATGTCGATGAGACCCGTGCGTGCGTCGGTGGCAGCCTGCTTGAGTGCAGATTTGATCAAACGAACGGCTTCGTGTACATCATCTGCTGAGACTTCCTCAGCCAGGCGCATTTTGGCGTGAGCTTCGGCAAGGCGGATCATGGACTCCAGTTGTCGAGTTGTCGCGGTGATGCGGCGCTCCTGGGATCGGATGTCGGCGCCGAGAGCGCGCATGGCGACGTAGGCATCTACAAGCGCCTTTTGTGCAGGCTCAGTGATCTTGGGGTGAACGTTTGTTCGAGCGTATGATATGTACGCTGTGAGGAATTCGATGGGGAGAACCTCGGCCTTGGAGGCGTTTTCAGGGTTATCCTCGAGGTACATGCCAACCAAGTGGCGGGCGAGGCGGCGATCGGCTTGCTCATCGATGCGGTCGAGGACGAGGTAGACCAAGTCGAAACGCGAGAGCAGTGTCGGAGGGAGGTCAATGTTCTGTGGTACGGGAAGGTTGACGTTGTACTTCGATCCTATTGGATTGGCAGATGCGAGAATGGAGCTGCGGGCGTTCAAAGTCGTAATGATTCCTGCCTTAGCGATGGAGACTGTTTGCTGTTCCATGACTTCGTGAAGCACAGATCGGGTAGATTCAGACATCTTGTCGAACTCGTCAATGCAGCACACACCGCCATCAGACAGAACTAAAGCTCCAGACTCAAGAACCAACTGGCGGGTCTCGGGATCGCGCGTAACGTACGCTGTCAAACCCACAGCCGATGAACCTTTTCCGGAAGTGTAGACGCCGCGTGGTGCAATCCTGTGCACATATTGCAGGATCTGAGATTTCGATGTCGAAGGGTCACCGCAAAGCAAAATGTTGATATCCCCACGATATTTCGGACTGCCGCCTTTCTCGAACTGCTTGTTAGTACCACCAAAGAGCTGGAGAAGGATGCCCTTCTTGACATCGTCCATTTCATAGATACTTGGCGCGAGCGAGCGCGAGAGAAGGTCGTAGAGGTCGGGGCGCATGGCTGTAGCCTTGATTTTGGTTTCTTCTTCTTCTGAGACCTTACGAGTTTCCTCGATATCACCGGCGGCGTGCTCAGCGAGCTCTTCCTCAATGGTCGAAACGTCAATGCCCATACGTTTCTTGTCCACCTTTTGAATGTGTAGTGCATCGACATATGTCTTAAAGATATTCTTGACCGATCGCTGGCGGGGATTGATCCGGACTTGATTGCACTTGAAGATGCCTGTGATCTCAACTCGGTCACCGGCTTTGCATACGTCAACAAGCTCATCATATGCGCAAAGCGAGACCGAATGCGGTGTCTGACCGTCCGGCACATTATCCGGCGTCTCTTGCAATTTAATGACCTGCTTGTTCGCAAAACCAGATCGGTTGTGCACAATCTGCATCGAGTTGGGCGACTCGCACACAGTGCGCGGGCATTTGGTGGGCTCGGTGATCTTGCCGCGGTCAATGTCAACCCGGACGGAATGATTGCAAACTGCGCATCGGAAGAAAGCTAAGCATGTTAGCACTGGTCTTCGATTTTTGGAACGTTTGACTTACCATCCTTCATATCTGGAATGATGGGTGTGGTCCTGATGACCAGTCCCTTCACACTGACAAGCTTGTCCATATCGGCAGGATTTAGCTCGCGCAGGTTGATTGTGTTGTCAAGACCAAAAGGTCTGACATTGTAGGTCTTCTGGTCGACTTCGCTCACTAGATTTGGGATGTCTGCAAACGGAGAAGGTGGTGGCGCGCCCGGTGTTGGCGCATCTGAGCTCAGCATTGGCGGCAGAGAGCTGGAATCGCGGGCTCTCGGCTGCTGCGCGCTGCGCTGCTGTGTCAGCTGGACTCGCATCTCAGCCATGCGCTTTTCGGCGAGCTCAAGCATAACGTCCTTGATAGCCACATCCATGATCGGGATGATCTCATTTGGATAGGCTTGTAATTGGTGCCATAGCTTTCTTGTCGGTGGGTATGACTTCAGGTTGCGGGCATCCAAGTTCAAAGGCGTCATGCCGAATTCGAGCATCATTTTCATCATGTCAACATACTCTCGTGTCATCGCTTGATGCTCGGCAGGAAGGCTCGTACCCTCTTCCAACTCGCCGTCCTGGATCAAGCGGTACTTCCTCTGAAAGTTCATCAAAAAGTCTTTCATGGCGTGCCTGGCATCTACCAGGGAAACATTGGTTCCCCAAATGATACGTGACGCATTGCCTCCTAGCGCATCGGCATCTGAGGTATCTGGGTTCACGTTGGAGAAGGTGGCCGTGTCAGATGCATCTCCCACAGGCATGCCATGCTGATCGACAAACATCCTGCGGCGCGGGCCGGCTGCCGAGCTCGCCCCAAACACATCGGAGTGGATGTCGCTTCTTCGATGACGGGCTACTGGTTCCGAACCGCGGACGAAAAGGGCACTACTGCTACTTCTAGGGTCGTCGTTTTGCGTGTTGCGTGCCCGGCCAGGGCTAGAGCTGGAGGCATAGTGGATGGGAGAGGAGTCTTTGCTTGTCAGTATTGGTGTGTATGATCCGTAGTGGTCAGTCATACCTCCGATGTTCGTGGCACTAGCCCTTGGTGTTGCACCGCCATCACTCCCAGCTTCGCCGTTTGCATCACCTCCAGTTACGGGCGAAGAGCGGAACAATAACGGAGACTGCGATTGTGTTGAACTAGCTTGTAACCTTGAGCTACTCGGTGTTGTAGGGAGTCCACGCGACGGAGTCTGCGACGCCTCAGACTGGACTTGGTCTTCAACCCCCGCGGGCGCAGGACTGGAAGGGATTGCAGAATTTCGTGTTGCTCGTTGTGGGGTCGCAGAGGCAGACGAGCGCTGCGTGCGCCGCTTCGTCGGAGAGGACATATCAGCGTCGTGGTGCTCAAAGAGGAGCGATTGCGACGACGATAGAGTAGAGTGTGGGGGAGGGTTGTGCAGACGGGCTGCTGTTGACGCGTTGCTCACGCGTGGTTGGAGAGGCGCGTAAAGTGGTTCTCTAACCGCATGCGGGAAGGTGCTTGTCCTTATCGATCGCCCCGCGATGAAATTCGTCGGCCAGGGCAACAAAGCAAACAGCAACAAGGCAGCAGCTCTTACATATCAAAGTACCACGTGCTCGAAGTAAAGTGCAAAACATCACTCTACATCTCCTGTAGTCTCAGCATCCAACATGGCGCCGCCTTCGAAGCTCGCAGTTGCAACTGGATCAGTCACCCGATTGGTCAAGGAAGAAGCTAGTTACCATAAAGAGCTCGTGCAGCAGGAGGAGCGCATCACGAAGCTTCAGGCCAGCGAGGGTGACGAGAACAAAGAGTACACGCTGAGGCAGGAGGTAAGCTCGGACAATACTCTAACATCACGAAGTGTTTAACGCGCGAACAGAGGCAGGCACTACAAGAGACTCAAAATGTTTTCCCGGCTATTCGGTCGAGAATCGAGCAGGCCATCGAGAAACTTGAGGGCGAACTTGTGAGCTACGTGCATACTTCGAGCACAACAGCTCGTGCTAATCCAACGTAGGAGACTAGCACAGATACCGGCGGTGACGCAGAGGAGATCAAGAAGGCACAGGCAGCTCTTGCATCTGGAAAAAAGGTTATTGCTGAAGGATCGTAGAGTCTACGAGACTGGGTATGAAGTATGGTTGATGAAGTCACGACCGCCCACCTGAACACCGCGCTATGCAAGAAGTACGAGAATGAACGCGAACGATCATGACTCGTCCATCTTATCTGAAGTCTCGCCGTCATCCTCACCCTCTTCCAGGTCTTCTCCCTCGTCTATGCCGTCCGAGTCTTCGGCCTGCACACCTGACGCAGCGCCTGAGTCTGCCATTGGTGTGTCGTCGTGGGACCGTGCCAGAGATGGTGCAACACTAACATCCCTCGATAGCGGTTTGAGTCGATCTTGTGGTGGCACTTTGAGTGACATCGATCCATCCCCGCCCTGGCTGACATGTATGGGCGTCATTCCCCCGTCCGGCCTTGGTGTACCAACGTGACTAGCATCTCCCCTAGATGTGCTGCCCTCGCCTTCTCCATCCTCATCGCCGTCCTTCATCATGCCCTCCTTGCGCTCTGCTTCCTCTTTCTCGTCCTTGATCATGCGCAGCATCTCCCTAGCCTCCTCTTCAATGCGACCAAATTGTATGCGCCTTTCCTCCCACGTGTTCTTCGCGGACTGAACTTCGCGCTCCAGATCTGCAATCTCCTCGTCCAATCTCTCATGTGCCTGCTTTTGTTCGTCGCGCGGCTTGAGCATTTTACTACTCGTAATCTTCTCTGTCAACTCATCGTAGGTTTTACGCACAGCTAGCGTGTCTTTGGCCTTAACGAGCTTGACCCGTAACTCTTCTATGGTATCTCTAACGTGTTGCTGCTTCGCTGTGATGCCGTCCTTTTCCACTGCGTAACGGTCGCGCTCGGTGTGGTTGCTGTTTGTCGTGAACTCAAAACGCAGGATCGCATAGTCGAGCATTGAAAGTTCATTCATAATGTTGTCTCTCCAGACTGCGACCTTGTGCGATTGTTGTTCGCGCTCGACGAAGTTGGCGGCAGCCTCCTCCTCCACAGCCGAGGCATCGGGAGGCGGCGAAAGTAGCTGCTTCGGTCGTGCGAAATCGAAAAAGTTCTCCTTCAAGAGGCGCCCCGCGACTTGCTGGTATGGTCGAGCCTCGACGGCCAGCAATCGGGATACGTTATGAAGCGCATCTACTGGGGTCAGTGGAGTGCGTCAGCGAACACGGGAACGCGGTGTACCTACCCTCTTCTGCTTGTGGAAGTAGCGACCAATCCGTGACTGCCATGTTTGCTTGACGAGGACAGCGAGATGTGTTGTTGCCAGTGGTTTGACAGTCACCCACTGAATGTTCGCGCACCAAAGACCGTGAAGCTGGGACCAAGCGCTAGACAGGGGGTCCCATGCTCAACCGCGGATCCAACGTCACCCTGCCCGTTCATTGTTCGACACATGTGCCTGATGAATCGTTCTTCACATACATACATACTTTGCGTGGGTCGGAAAGCTCCTCAACTTTGGTTTGCTAATATGATGAATGTATAACAAGTCAGCCTTGATCCCTTTTCAAGCTAGCTCTAAAGTTCACGTATCGCCTCGTCGCTTCCGACGCTCAAAGGTCTCACGCTTTTCGGTTTCTCACAAACGATCCTGTGCTATACTCTGCATCGCGCCCTCCCGTCGCAAACTTTCCAGAGGTTCTCCCTGTAGCCACAACACAGAACTCGCCGATCCGCCACTTGGCAGTCCACGTCAGTCCTCGGAGCCGACCCATCGCCTCACGATGCCGGTTCCCAGTCTCTACGAGCTTGCGAGGCATCGCCTCATTAGAAATATCGACATGCTGAACGATATCGGCGATATACCTTTTTCGTTCCTTGAGCCTGTGCTTCGTCACATCCAAAACCCCAAACAGCTGCAAGAGTTAGAGGAGACCTGCCCACAGATTCAAGGAGAGACGAAGGAGATATGGAAACGATACATTAGAAGAGATGTTCCCGACTGGGAGAGGAAGCCACACACCCCGCGCGACGATAAGAATTGGAGCAAGGTGTACAGGAAGCTCATGAAAGACGTGGAAAAGGAGAAGCTCGACCAGGAGAATCAGCTCAAGGAGTCTATGAGAGCGCTTCAAGCGGGCAGAGATGTGAACAAGACTGTCATAATGACCACAAATAAGAGCTACGGGCGAACCGGTGGTCACTGGTCGATGGGCGGCAGGGATTTCGGGCGAACCGCGCCGCCTACAAAAACAGGCAAGGTTGCCATGGATAAGCTGAAGAGGGGAATGTTTGACCGCAACCAAGCTCGAACTAGGGCGATTCAAACACCACAGCATCAACTTGCAATGCGGAAGAGCATGGTGTCCGCCATCCCAGAACGACTGGTCAGAATGGCGCAGCAAGAGACCCCAAAAGTCATGGTGCTTTCCAAGCAAGCATCTGCCTCTGCCGCGGAAAAGCGGGCACCCAGGCCGGCCTCCAGTCAGCAGAACATCAAACACCGACCAGCAGCAGCAGCCTCGCCGCCAGAAAGCGCGACACAGTCTCGGCCGTCACTACCACCTGGTCGGCAGTTCAACGCGCCCAAACTCAAGGCGACCGCGCAAGGCGCTGGGGCAGCAGTAGCGCCGAAGAGGAAGAGGGAATCTAACTTGTTTCAACCATCTAAGTACCGGAGGGCGTAAGGGCTCGGTGTCTTACTTATGCGAGCGAAATGTTGCAATATGGACAACATGAATTGTGCGTTAGCGTTTTGGATCTTGCGTGGATGTCGATGTTTTTGACACCTCCACTGGCATTACGGGTCGTATCATTTGGCGTTAGGGAAATCGGGTCAGCTTAACCGTAGAATCAACGCACTGTGTGACGTTCGGGGACTGGTCATTAAGATACAACAAGACGAGCCGCTAAATTCTATGAGCCAGAGTTTACTTCCTACATATGCATACAGTGTAACCGAGCTCTGTCTTGTCAACAAAGAGGCTGGTATCGCGTGGCGTGACTGTGTCCAGTAAGGAACGGTAGAGCTTGTTTAAGCGTTGCTAAGCACCCACCTCTACATCGGTGAGTGCATTATCACTCAGCCTGACGAAGCTTCCCCAATCACCACCGCGACACTGTACCATTCACCGCGCTAGGACGCCCTCAATCCCGATACCAAGACTCCGTACACATACTTCCTTTATTAAGCTGTGTACCTATGTGATTCGATCGATAGCTCCAGCATTACCTACCGAACCTCAAGCCAATGTGCCGCCCTTCCGTCTGCTTGACCTGCCACTGTAGCATATCGGGAATGTCTGCGAATATTTCGATGGAGAGGATCTGCTGCGAATTTCTCGAGTGTGCACGGCACTCAACGAACTCTCAGTAAAGGCCTATGACCTACGATTCTTCTTTCACTTAATCGTTTTCCTTGAACTCAACAAGCCCATACTTTCCCTGGAGACTGCGCGATACCTGAGGCTATCCCAGTTTGTCAAGCGCGTGTCTGTCAGTGGCGAGAAAATTGAAGACTTCGATGTATATCAAAGCCTCTAGCGAAGCGTCAGAGCTTGATGTACTTACCCTCAACGAAGCTTTCGTTGCGCATGATGACCTGGAGACGGCCTGTATCAACAGTCAGCAGTTCATGTATGGCCCCTAGGCTGAATAGCACCGCGCATCGGGCCCGCGTAGACATCCAAATCGCCGAAGTCAATACCTGACCTATGCACACATGATCCTATGCACACATGATCCTATGCTCAAAGAAGACAGGAAGCTGGGCTATAACTTCAATGAAGGGTTTCACTGGCCCGCCCTTTCAAGACTCGACCTTTGATGAATGATTACCACTCGCGCATCTTTTCAGAAGTTTCTGCACACGCACCGACAAACTCTCAAATACATGTTGCTCAATCATATTTCGTCATAGTGCTTGGTCGAAGTTTGTTGCAGCAATATCAAATATGCTAAGGCTCCGGTTCCAATACCTCGAGATGCTTCTTAAGCGGGGAGGAGGAGCGCGATTGGAGATATGACTCCCTCCTCCGCGAAGGACATTTGGGACTTTGACACCAGATATGTCCAGTTGAAGGTGTCTCTAACATTATGCGCACCACACAAGCTCTTTGCAGTGATGACTACCGGGACTATCTCTGCCTTTCATGACAACATTGAGGATCTCGACGGCGACTTATATAACTATGAGGTGCAATTGAAAAGGGGCTTTGCGACTTCACTGGAGGGGTCACACTTGTCGGAACTCAAGTGACTCAATGTTTTGCAAAGCAAACCATGAATAATCTCGCGGCAAATATTCTGTTGCATCTACGTGCCCTTTGCCGTCGGTAGAGCCAGGCGGATTGTCTGGAATAATCGTGTCTCTGCGTTACTGGCAGCACATGTCTCTTAGTGCATGAATGCGAATATTCTCCAAACGGAAGTCGATTACGGTAGATCCAGAATAGGTCTTAGTAGTTCCAAGGCTCCGAACAAAAGATTGTCGTGATGCCTTCGTGCAACAATCTGCAAATTGATTGGTGCACCCTCAAAGCTGCCTTCACTCCATAATTTTCTCACGTGCTCGCACTCAACACTTAGTGGCGTGTAACTCTCCGGGTAATTCTCTTCCTTCCTCGCCCTGACTGGTGTGGGTACAACTGCAGCAGGGTAGTCTACGTAGTTGTACAGACTTGTGTATGTCCAATAAAACGCAGTATCGTGCGCACAGGCTGGACCTACAAACGCAGGGCCAAGCACTATGTCAACATCCTGCTCATTCCAACTATCGGAAAAGGCGTGACGAAACTGATCACGCTGAAACCGTAGTTGGTTGATCTCCTCGGCGTTGAGCATACCGAAGGGCTCCGCATCGCTCCAGACCTGGTCGCTCAGCGGCAGGATTGGTTCACCAGATACTTGTATGGCTGCCTTGGTCACGGCGCCGCCGTCGGGCCAGTACATACGGCGGATCTTTCGCCAGGCATTCTCGGCGCCATAGGGTTGGAAGGGCTTGATATTCAAGACCGAGGAAAGTTCGGGGTTGATGAGTTTGAGTTTTGCCCATTCAATTACTCGTCTTACAGGCGGTTGAGGGACGATGAACCCGTCGTCCTCGATGATACCAATTTTGAGTGGCTTCGATAGATGTGTGCTCAAGCCGGTCCAGGGGATGGGAACGAGGCTGGGATCTAGCAACCACGGCTGCGACTTGTGCAATACGTGGATGAAGAGGTCCATGTCGCGTAAACTACTACACATAGGCCCGGTACTGCATGAGATATTTACTAATAGAAGCATAAAGCGTCAATGTACCCTCACATAGAAATGATGTGACTGTTCTTACATTCAGCAGCGAAAGGATTGGCGAGAAATCCTTTCATTGGTAAGGTCTCCGACGTTGCCTTGAACCCGTAGATGCCACAGAACGCACTCGGCCCACGTATGCTGCCACCTATGTCTGTCCCGACGCCAAGGACGGACCCTCGCATAGCTAGAAGAGCAGCCTCTCCTCCAGTCGAACCACCTGCACTTAGGTTTAGATTGAAAGGATTGAGCGTCCGACCATAGTGGGAGGTTGATTCGAGATGCATCACGGCTTGCGGCTGATTAGTCTTACAATAGAAGATCGCACCCGCAGCCCTGAGGATCGAAACCATGTGCGAGTCTTCTTTGTCGAGTACGGTAGAAGACAGCGATCCCTGCGAAGAGTAGGTCCCTGCGACAGGGATGTGCTCTTTGATACTGATGGGCACACCGTGAAGAGGCCCGATCGGTTTCCCGTGCTTTTCAAGATAATCATCTAGCTCTTTTGCGCGATGCAGTGCTTCGTCCATGAACCACTGCGTGAGACAGCATGTGAGTTGGTGTGCAATCATGGATCGCTTCGCGAAGGCTGTTGTAACTTCAACGGCGGTGAGCCTGCGTGATGCGACGACATCTGCGAGAGCTACCGCATCGTAGCTCTCCGTAACCTCAATCTCTTGGTCTGTCAGAACACCACATGTTCTGGGGATGTTTGTAACATCATTCGGTGGGTTCGTGATCAATTCGGACGGCAGGAGTAGCTCTGATGGGACCTTGCGCGCGAACTCTTTGGAAATTGCTGCACGTCGTGTTTCGAATTCATCTGTCCCTGGAGGTAGTCCTTTGATGCGGACGAGTTCTAGAGTCCCAGAAGCCATGGTTGTCAAATGACGAATGCTGCGTGCTGTCGAGTTGTGCAGAGCGTGTGTAAATCTCGATTGCTTTGTATTGCACGTTATTGAAACCAGATATCTCGTACTCAAAGTCAGAAATGTTCACAGCCCCAAAGGTGGGGACTGTGAGACGTGTTGCGGTATCTCGGAGGTATCAATGTACTATTCTACGCTACGCCTATTCGAGAATGTCCTCCCGACTGTACAATGATAGCCGCGACGGAGCCATAGTTCCTCCAGGTTCCGACCAACCTATCTCGTGTCGTCTATCCCATGATATCTGATTCGAGGCTGCTTATCGAGATTGTCGTTTCCCATATCTTTGCCTCTAACAAGTCCCAACAACTCTTCAGACGTCACTGGCGTTGGATATTGACGTGTCCGATAAGGGGTCCTTAAACAGGCTGAACTATGTCAGCCGAGTATTGATTAGATGTGCAACTGGTTGGTTACCTGTTCTCGCACTCGTCCCCGTGTACGACGCTGAGAATGCACATGATATGACAGCAATTCGAACCGAGACAACCATAAATGATGATTACGGCACCAACTTCGGTCAATGCACACGACTACAAAATACCCAAACGCCGAACCACGACTTCAAGATGGTGAACATCTACAGTTCTGGTGTTGACTCGTTGCCTGGCACCGTGCATCTTATTGATCGTGATCACTCAGTCCATGCTCGGCGCGCAGGTACGGACGAGATCATTTTGCACCCAGCCCCATCCGATGATCCCGAAGATCCACTCAACTGGATGCCGCGTCGAAAAACTCTGTCTATGATTTGTTCAAGCCTGTAGGTATTGGAGCGCGACCTGAGTAGATGGTGTAGCTAAACAGTCGAAGATATACTTGGATGACTGGCATCGCGCTTTCGACCGTATACTCTGTGCTTGTACCGCTTTACGAAGCCTCAGGAGTGTCTGTAAAGACACTAAATGAGGGTACAGGGTACATGTTCCTATTTCTTGGCTGGGGCCTTTTGTTTTGGCAGCCATTTGCCTTGAGATATGGGAAGAGGCTGACCTATCTCATATCCGTGCTGGGCGTGATTGGTACCAGCATATGGAGGTAAAACTTGAGGAAGAGCTATTATAGGATCCTATTAACATGCATCAGCGCGTACGTCAAGAGTGATGGCGAGTGGATTGCTCGATGCATTGTGATGGGGTTCTTCACTGCGCCTATCGAGGCCTTACCTGAGATTTCGATCGCGGATGTGTATTACACCCACCAGAGAGGTACTTACATGGGAGTGTATGCACTCACACTGGCGGGAAGTAACTATTTCGCTCCCATCATATCTGGATTCATCGCTGAAGGACAGGGTTGGCAGTGGGTATTTTATTGGCCTGCCATCTTCAACGCCGCCACCCTCCTGTTTCTGTTCTTTTTCTTGGAGGAAACCAATTATGTTCGCGTCACGCGTACCGCAAGTGAGACCCCTTCAGCGGAAGAAGAGAGCAAGGGTGCAGTCACGACCAGATTACCGGCTCTATCGGACATTCCAACTGCACCCAGGAAGTCGTTCGCACAGAAACTCTCGATGTGGCAGCCTTCACCCGGCCAGAGTATGGCTACGCGGGCAAAATTGAGTCTGACGTATCTCAGCTGGCCGGTCATCGTTTACGCGGGCTTCAGCTACGGTTCATACCTAATCTGGTTCAACGTACTGAATGCTACAGCTTCAATCAGCCTTGGCGGATCACCATACAATTTCAAAGCTTCAATGGTCGGTCTCAGCTATGTTTCTTGCTGCGTTGGCGTAGTCGTGGGGTCGCTAGTCTCTGGTCCCCTCAGTGACTGGTTGACGATCATACTCGCACGAAGGAACCACGGCGTCATGGAAGCTGAATATCGGCTTTGGCCCTTTGCTATCTGTCTTGTCATGGTCCCGAGCTCATTGATACTTTGGGGCGTTGGCGCTGCATATCAGGTGCACTGGATGGCACTTGTGATCGCAATGGGTTGCCTCGCTTTCACATCATGCGTAGGCGTCACACTCAGTGTGAACTATCTCATCGACAGCTACCACGAAATCAGCGGCGACGCGATTGTCACTGTGATACTCATTCGTAACACGATGTCATTCGCGGTCAGCTATGGGTAAGAAGAACTGCAAAGCGACTGTTCCGAGCATGACTGACCTCAGACAGCATTACTCCATGGTTGACAGACTTAGGTTACCGGAACTGCTTTCTCTCGGCCGCTTTTGTTGGTATGGCTGCGTCTTCAGTCTTTCTGCTGATGATTCGGAATGGGAAGTTGCTCAGGGAACGAAGCAGGACGAGATACTGGCAGCTTGTACTTGCAGCGAACACAAGCGTTTGACGTGCGAAGGTGCGATGTAAAGGATAGTGTGGCGTCCGTAGGGCTGACAGAGCGATCATCGTTCAATACAATCAGGTCACGAAAATAATGATTGATTGAGCTCAAAATACGTGTGTGATGTATGAGATGGAGTGCTGCGGATTAATTCAGCGTCCATCCAATGACACGAAATTGCAATATCATCATTTATCACCACCACAACGCCGCGTAACGCACAACGCACAACGCACAACGCACAACTCATAACGCCCTCATCCACATATCCACACCACATACGCAAATTGACATCACATTAATCGTCTTCCGAAGCCACTACCGCCCACCGTCTCTGTGCACCGGCGCTCGTTCGACTCAGCCCACCGTCCGTGCCAGATCCACAAAGTCCTTGACGTGCATAATTCCGATGACTCTGCTCAAGCACAAGCGCCGGTCAGTTGGAATTGAAGCAGTAGTTCTCAGGCTTGCTCCAGCAGCGTGAATATAGTAAGGAAGTGGTGGATGCGGGCACACTGTTGCTTCGATCAAGTCAATACTGCTTGCACCGAAGTCTAGGTGGACGAGTCCATTGCGTTGACTCACTTTAGGGGGAATGTTTCTGGTGAGAGGATAGAACTGTATTTAGAACATCTGACAGCAATGATGCCTTGACCAGCAGTCATGAATTCGAGATATCTAGCATGAATCATACCATAGTCAACGGTAAGGCTCTCGTGATCGAAGTCGCATTACAAGACATAGGTCATTATCTCCAAGCCTTAGTAAAGATGACGCAGTGCGCCTACATTAGCAAATCTGCCAAACTCACTGGAGAAGTGGTCGAGCATAAGAGATAGTGTGAGACTGCACCCTCTTCTAATTCGATAGCATGGACAACTTGAATGATTTTGTGAGTAGCTAAAGCTATGTATGGCTTGTCAAGGATCACAGAAAGGTCTTTGAATGACGAAGGTACTATTGTGCGAAGTTTTGGGAACTGAGCATGCATAGACATCTGGATTTCGAGGAGGTCGTCCGTGAGTTCCACAGTCAATATCACAGCCATTGCTAGTCTAGAGGGACATTTGTCTAATGTGCTTAGTATACAGATTCATTTACCGAATCGCTTGCAAGGAAGAGAACACGGTCCTTGATACCTACAATTTAGGTGTCATCGCAACCAAAGATGCGACAATCAACGTCAATTGTGCATTATACACAAAGCTTAAATAAGATCAGGTCAACAAATGCACCTGAGAAGGGACCGCAAGTAGTGTCACCTCCAAAGAATGAGCATGTACGGTCTAGTAACTTTTGAGTATTGACGTTTTACCATGTTTCGCGTTCTAGGATCTCGAATCTGGAGCGTTAGGCAGCGCCCCTGAAGCCATAAGATCGGGGGCTGATTTAGGTAGAATAGTAGGTAGATTCATTCGCGCGCGTACGTGTTTGTATTGAGCCAAGTTATTTATTTTTAATGCATTGGAATGATTGCTAGAGCTGTTAAAGACTAATGTCTCCTTACAACCGCTTGAGGAGCTTTTACGCATGTGTACAGCACAATGCATAGTTATCTTAGGTACTTAGAACCTATTCTTGACGAAATCGGCCAGGGTAGTCAACTGCTGTCCGGGTACAGCCTCAATATAGACGTTATGCCCATGCTGCTTAGCAGGACTGTCCTTTCCGTAGTAATTGTAGTCCTTAATCAAGATCATGTTTTCACCGAGTTCCGTCTTCGCGTGAGGAGGAAGCGGCAGATATCCCTCCCACACATCTTTGGGTACTTCCACAAAGGTCACTTTAGTGCCCGTGATCTCTGATATGGTACTGGCCACGTCGGTTGGGGTAACCCATTGTGAAACGGCTTGAATCCTGGCACCATCGGCAGCGGATCCGAGAACCAAGGCACCAGCAACGTACTTTCCAGCGTCGGAGACAATGTCGATAAGAGGAATTTTCGTGCTGGTTTCGTCCCATGGAGCGGCCATAATTGAAGCATTAGTTTGTGGATCCTTGCTGATGGAATTCTTGAGGTTTTGCATAAAGTATCCAGGCATGAAATGAGTGACCCACATGCCTGTCTTTGACTTCTGGACCTCTGCATACTCCGAGACTTCAGCTTTAGAATCAAAATGCTCGACGTTTGGAAGAATGCCTTCGGTCAAGGTCGTGACGTTGGGGAGCGAGGAGAAGATCAGATGTTTGACCCGAGAAGCGATGGCAGCGTCCACAATATTCTTTCCCTGTGCGACCTCTGTGGACTTGGACATTGTTTCCCAATAATTGGTCACCGCGAAGACAGCGAACGCGTCCTTGAAAGCAGCTTTCAGGGACGAAAGATCGTTGAGGTCGGCCTTGATGAGGTCTACACCATCAGACTTGAGTTTCTCGGCTGAGAGTTTCGCAGTATCACGAGTAACACCACGGATCCGATACTGTGAGGCAATCGACGGTTGGGCAAGAATAGCTGCAATCACGGAGCCTCCTTGATTGCCGGTCGCACCCAGAACAGTAATAATCTTCTTGGAAGACATCTCAAGGATTTGTTGTTGATGTTGAGATGGGGTATAGGTTTTTGATGGGAGAGATCTGCAAAGAACAAGTGATGAATTTTCAGGGTTGAAGATGCTGATTGTCCCTGAACGGTACCAGCATGGCCTACTTATGTGCGATCACTGCATAGGTATAAACCATTGTATACCAATCGAGCTGACAATGCGGCCCCACGCTGTTACTTCCGAGAGCGACAAAACTCGTCCGTCTGATTATTTACCTGTTCGCTGCTCGGTCTCGGACAAGAGATGGCTGAGTAATATACGAGATCAATTTAAGAGTAGGCGCCATGTCATCCTTACCAGTACACGATATAGAGAATCTTTCGGCTAACAATTGATCCGTTCCAATTTGATCGAGCAGATCGTGTCAGCTGGGCTAATGCAGGCTGGTACGTGCGTTTGGGAGCGGGGTGTATGCGCGAGTGGAAGCGTCTTACAAATCACCAACTTTGAGCAAGGTTGTGTAGCAAATTTTGAAGATGTTAACACTCGTTAGCGTTGCTGGTCAACTGTCAAGACGGCGTGAACGTTCTGTTTTCAAGTGTTTCTCTTGTTTGCTAAGTTAATTATAAGCTTACGGACCTACTGACTACCAAAGATATCGAACTTCCGAAGCGCTCTTCTTACTTAATCCGTTGCTGAATGCCTGGGTATATCCTCTTGAGCCGTACTACCAACGGCAAGCTTCCTCCCAGATCTTACAAACACGAATGAGACCGCCAAGTGAGGATACGAAGAAGTGACTGCTTCACAATGCAAAAGTCTGAGGCAAGCGGACGGATTATCGAACGTATGCGCTCTTGCAGGGGACACTATGACTGTCTACCACTGGAGATATCCTTTGCTTGTAAATGTAACATCCATTTGTTTGCTATTTCTCTAATCGAGTCGGAGTGGAAAAACTGGATGTGCAAGGATGAGTTTCAAAAGCCCGAGACTCCTCAGTTTGCCTGTATGTAGCCATATGACCCGTGCTGGAAAGCAGCTGTATATTCTTTAGGTCTATTAGCGCGCGCGAATCGCCAAGCGATTGAGTCAGACGTCGCTGCAGATACAGGGATCTCCTCTTTCTCCTTCCAGCTAGCGCCGCTACTCAAGGTAACAACATGTTTCTCATGATCGAAAAGCGCTGTAGTCCGCCAGATTTGGCTTTCTTCTGCGCGACAACCTTCTTCGTTTATGATACCCGCAACCTCACTGCCGAAGATGGCAGGGTACTCCGTTGGCATCATTCCGAGCCTTCCTACATTCGCATCTATTGATTAAATAGCGCACGTATGGACTGTAATCTGCACTTCGCCTTGTTTGAGTTCAAAGATCCTGGCATCGCACACAACTACCTTGCTTATTCGAGCCTTAATTAATAGAGTTCTATTAGCTATAATGAAAAGGTAACGCAGATTCGATCAAGCAGGACTTGAAATGCTCGGATCACTGACCTGAGAAATGCAAGATGGCAGATTTGAAGTCTTTGAACCCATGGACCAGATCTCTGGTTTGAGAATTGCTCGAATTTGAACGTGTTTTGAAGGTCGACTGACTTGAGTGCTTAATCAAGCTACCTAGTCTCTTTTTAGAGTCGAAGTCGAGTCTGACCAAGCAGATCGGCAGTCAACACCAGGATCGTCATCGGTTTCGTCAAGTCGGCAAGGACCGATCTGATACCAATTCCAGACTTGTCTTCGGCGGACAGAAAAGACTGTAGTAGCTCATCCGGCCCGATTCGATTATTAGGATATCGAGGAGATTGATTTTCCAAATGATCAAGAGCCGGAGCTACCATCGTAATCTCCTATCCAGTATCTCCGGGTACAAATAGTGCGCAGTAACCCCTACTAGGTAGAAGGCTAGCTGCGAAGGTTTTGTATTTTTCCTCATGGCTTCCAAGAAGCCACAGATATTGTGGCGATTCCAGGCGACCCCAGGCAGGAGTTGAGATCCTGTAGACCGGGTCTTGTTAGCTACTAATATCTCGTTTATGTGCTGGACTACCGTGGAGCGGATTTCGTCATAATCAGACAGCTCGTCAGAAGCAAGTGGGCCAGAGACCCATTCGTACCTAGTCGATTGTTCACCCAATTCTAGCGTCTGGCCGTGTTTCTCTTCCCAGTAGGCAAGATTATCTAATGTGCCGCTTTAAACCACAGTGAGAGGTTGCTAGAGACCGAATGGCAGACCTTGTGTTCGAATGCAACGCTGTTCTTTCTTGACGATATTAGCGGGTCTATCTTCTACCGATTGGCCATCTTGCCTGACCTATGCACCATCGCAATTCCTCAGCTGCGGCTGAATTACATGTGTCTGCTCGCTCGAGGTACTGCCCTGAGGCGGCCGCGCCGTGTGGAAGACTGCGATCCTGACAGGGGCTGGAGGAGAAAAGAATAGTGGAAGCCAAGCAAACATTTCCTGAGAGCATTGAAACAGAAAAGCAAACTATAAGCGAGATTTGTTGCCTCACACCTTGATGTTTATGCCCATGACCGAAGTGTATAATGGTCGGTTGCAGATGTAGCCGAGGTTCGCCAATTCCAGGCTTTCGTGACATGAGAATCGTACCAATGCCTAGCGGCTGAACTGATTAACCTCTTCGGTTCCTCTTGGATTTACGGTACGAACGCTGATTCAGATTTCCTTCTAAACAAGAGAATTCAGCGCATTTTCCGCACTATCTTGCCTGATTCTCCTGTGTCAATGTTTCAAGCGCTTCTCAACGCCTACTGGCTAAATCAGACAGCTGTGAGTCTTGGAGTAAAGATAAGTATTTTTTCAAAATAGTAAATGCGGGATGTCCCTCGGTACACTGCCTGGCCGATTCCCTAAGGATGCTCCAGTGGATGATTACGCTTAATTCACGATACCGAAGTAAATCAAGGTAACCAGGTATAAGCTAAACTTGGACTGGCGGTGTTGTAATTATTAGGCTTATCTTCGATACCAACAGTTTAGTGTGATGGAACAATAATTGAACACAGAGATTAGCGACTGTTCGCATACGCGTAGTACTAGTCTGCGAAAGAATGTACGGATATCCCTGGAGAGCAGCAATGTCATATCCCGTATATCTTAAAATCAACGGAAGAAGTCCCGATTGTATCACGCTGAAAAACATCAATGCCTAGGCCTGCGATCAAAACGTGCATTTCTTGGTTCCTGGGTTTTGACAATGAACACAAAGCTGATTCTCTCTAGAGATTTATCAAGCAACAAGAACCTTGATCTCACACGGTGCCCCAAACGCAACTGTGAAACGACCGTTCTCGCTGACAAGTGAGGACGTTTTGACTGTCGTCGCCTCCCCTCCAAGCTGTGGGAGCTTATTACTATCATCGCAACTTGCCGCTGACAGGGTGACGACTTGAGCTGTCTTGGCAAACTGCCCTTCGAATACAACATCCACCACACTACCCGGCCCATAGTAGTTAATAAGCTTAAGATACCTGGTATTCCCGGTCTTCGTAGCAGACCAGAACACGGGATCAATGCCCAATCCAAATTCAGTCCGAACAGCGACTGTTTCCTCGCCGTGGTATTCCGAGAACAGTTTCTGCACATAGTAACTCGTGCTGCGGAGAATTTGGTCAGCAGTGTGCTTGATCACCGCTACAGTGTTGGATTCTTCAACATAGTTTTTGATCAGTGCGCCGTACGCCGTGCCACGAATGACGTCAGAGTTGCGCTCTGCACCGAGAAGCATGATGGCCTCCGATAGTGCCATACCCACAGTCTGCGAGCCGATTTCAGGGCCGCCTGCTCCGCCGGCGCGTATGCACGCGTACTCGCCCACGATAACAGGGAAGTTGCGGTCAGTGTGATCGAAGACATCGTACTGGCGCGCGAAGAACTCTTGATTATCGTACATATGAAGGTCGATCCAAGTACCGGGAATGCCGAGAGGCGCAGGGATAACGGAGGAGATGATGTTAATGTCAGGATACTTTGCTTTGATAGCATTGTAAAAGCGCGGAAAACGATAACCATTATAGGAATCTCTGCCACCGTTCAGGTAATCTTCGTTGCCAAGCTCGATGTACTCGATGCTAAAAGGTGTTGGATATCCGAGACTTGCTCTTAAGGCCCCGAGGCGCGTCGAAGTAGATCCCTGTTACGCGTGGTTAGACGAAGAATAGGTTCGGGTCAATCAAGAAATTTACCAACAAAAACTCCAGCTCTTCCATTCCCATGTCGATGAACCTCTGTAGGTCTGACTCTGGAACGAGATTGCCACCAATGTGCAAACCAGCAAACATTCCAAGAATAACCGTCTGACCCATGTCATGAGCCCACTGAAGCTGCTCTAGGATTCCGAAGCCATCTGTGTCAACGTTGCCCCACGTACCCACATGTCCGGGCCGAGAGGTGAGGTCACCGATTGTCTCATTCCATCTCCACTCTCGGCCGTAGCCTGGCCCTTGTAAGTTGTTGCCTCCGGGAAGGCGAATCCAGGTTGATTTGAGACCACTGTAAGCATGGGCCAGGTCCTCTCGAATTCCATTGGGGCGATTGTTGTAGGTCTGCTTGAACAGGCTGAGCAGATTCACTTGTATTGACTTTCCTGCCAGCGTAGCACCATCGAAAGTAAATACAAAGGTGTTGTTTGGATTACCAGGGGCTAAGGTAGGTTGGAAGACAGGAAAATTAACAGTAGTCCAAGTGTTACCGCTCTGGATGTTTGCTGATGTGGAAGAGAGCTTCTCGTTGGAGATCTTGCTTCGAAACGAGGCTCGAATGCTTCCGGTGTATGCTCCACGTAGTCGTAAGCTTGTGGCATAACGTTTTGCTGGGTCCACACTAAAGCCCCAGAATCCGTCGTTTGAGATACCAACGGTGCCCGTTGTGCCAGCCGGAACATCGATGCGCATGCTCCATGGTAGTTGTGGAGATAGCACTGGGGTGCTTTGATCTACTGACAAGGAAACATTGCCAATCGCGTGCCAGTGATCTGTGGTCCTGGTAAGGCTTGCCTCTCTGTTCTGTGATGAGCCCTGGAAGGCTCTGTTGTTGAGCAGCTCATTGTAAAGCCCACCGTCGCCGGAATGGTAGATGTCCTTTTGCGTGGTGAGTTTGGGGTCTGTACCAGAAGGTGCCATGGAAGCTACACGAGTGCTGAACTGACAAACGTAACTTACTTCGTACAAAGAGCCATACAATAGCGGGCTGGACTTGTTCCCACCACCAGCAGCAACTGTCAGGGTCTGACGCTGAGCGACTGTCGCCGAGAGGAGACAGCAACTGACGAGTAGAGACTTCATAAAGGATGTGAGAGAGGAAAGAGAAGCTGATGCTGGTATCGTAGAACAAGATGTGTGCCTTCAAGTCCACTCTTATACCAATTACCCGTGTTTGTTCGGGTGAGCTCGCCCGCAGTTGCATGTATTACCCCATGGGGCTCCTGGACAAGCTAGCTAAAGTTAGGTATTGATGCTCTGGGTTCGGAGCAGTCCCAACCGATATGATGCTGATATAGATAATGCGCCCGTGATCAAGTGCACGATAGTGTGTGCTTCGCGGTTTAACAACCAATCACAGGCGGACAAAGCCGGACTAGTCCGGTTTTGGGAAAGGGTGTCGCTTGAAGTCGCTTGAACAGGTCGGGCATTTTCGATGCTAAACCGACAAAGCTGGATCCCGGGGTAGTTCATCTTCCGGATAGTTTCCCCGGTTTTCAGTCAGGATGCGAGTGTACGAGGTCAGATTTTCAACCGTAGCGCAATGGCTTGTCCAAGCTCGTGTGCATGTTGCTTGTCAAACACTCATCAGATCACGACTGCCACGATCTGCCCAATCAGGCAACTTTGCAATCAGCAAATGTCTCTTTGAACGGAAGTGCGTGCTCCAGCAAAAATCTGATGGTCCATCTGTTTAGAGCGAAGGCATCTCCTGCCGATTCGTGGAGGCATTGGTTCTGGAACACGAATAATCTCTCCTTCATACGCTGAACGCACGGCCAATACATCGCCAACTCTTCAAGTGCTTCGAAGTTCATTGTTAATTGCGCACGTGCCTCTTCAATTTCTGGGTCATTGCCAAAGAGGAGAGAGTGTAGCAGCACTGATGATGACACAATAGTAAGCTGCGCGACAGTTAAATAGACGACGTGGCAATCTCCACAGGTCCGAGCAGTATGGAGTAGACGGCTGAAAGCCAGAGCGTGATGTTTGGCCCTACTTGCGTACGTGCCAGCTTCTTTGATTTCTTGATGGCTTGGATTAAGAAACTGGAAGTAGAGTACTGTTGAGTAGTAGTGGTAGCCGAAATGTAACGCAATAAAGGTGCCACCGTGACCAATCTTCCTGTACGTATCGAGGTTGCTATTGCTCATGACCATATTGTCAGGGAGTGAGCCATGCCAATCAAGTAATCGTTGGGCGACCAGCTCGATCTGGCCGACTGCCAAATGGTCAATTTTATTCGCGACCAGTATGTAGTTGGTGTCTTGAATAAGTGCGAATGTGCTTGCCAAAGTTGCCTGATAAGCCCATATACCTGTGCTGCGGCCGCCATCACGAGCTTGGTCTGAGGTTCCAAGTCGCTGGAAAGCGAGTTCGTCCATTGGCAGCAGCTTCGTGAGGTCAGCACGGATTGTGCGTGGAATTCCAAGTCCGGGAGGGCACCAATTGTCTGCTATCACTAATGACCACCAGGTCCGAAGTTTGATTTCTTGCAAAATCAACGAGTCCTCTTTATTCCGCTCTTGAATGTTTGTCAGAAGCGCGGTGCGAGTAGCGATACCTATCGAGAGTCAATGGTAGTGAGCGCAAAGTGGCTCACCAATACCCACCAAAATACATGGCTTCTAGATCATTTTTCTGCACTGCGGCGTACCAGTTGGCAAGTAGTATACACGTTTGAATGTTCTCAAGAGTCATGTGATCAAGCTGTTGGCCGAGTACCGACCTTGATTTCTCTGCGAAGACAGGGGCTGAATCTCGATCGTTTTGATCTGATGAAAATCGACATCCAAGAGCGCACATAGCTGCCCACAGCTGTTCGGGCAATGAACGTGTGCGAAGGGATTTCCATATCGAAGGCTCGTGGAAAAGACTATGGGGCCGGTCGTGAATGTATCGAAAGTAAAGGTTTACGAACTTCCAGATCTTGCTCGAGTACTCAGAGTCGAGTTGTGGGTCAGCTCCCACCGACGTTATCAAGCGTTCAAGGTGTGAGGTTGAGTGATTAGTCGGTATTGATAGAATTGTTTCTGGTGTATTCGTGTTTGAACACCTCATTGTTCGTGACTTGCACTCGAGACAGGCGTCGTGTTTGCTTGCGAAGTTGGAAGTGCACTTCCGTTTTGCAATCCTACACTCTCGACAAGATGTTGGACGTCTCATTGTACACTGGGCGCATGCGCTTTGAAATCTAGGGTATGATGTGCATGTTAGAATTGGATATTACAATACGAGGTGGGTGTCGTTTAGGTAGCGTTTTTCCGTACCGTGGCGGGGAGCCGAGGTAAGCCTAATTTGCACTAGTTACATGTATGTTTTGATTTTACTCTGTACCTGCTGGTACGTAGGTATTGATACTCGCCTAAGACTTTAACATTGCGCTTTGGCGAAGGGCGCTCCGCCCTCTATCATTGATGATCGCCAACACAGCCACAGGCACCCATGCCAACCACATCTTCTGCGCGGCCACTCCAACAACCTTTACTGTATTGGAGTTTCCACGAACCACAGTCTTCATCTCACCATCACCATGTCGCGACTAACCCAACTCCCAACCGAGCTGCGCCAACAAATCCTCCTTCTCGTCCTCCCAGTCACGAACCGCGTCGAGACACACGCCAACTTCATTCACCTTTCGCACATCAACAAGCGCATTCGCCAGGACATGCTTACCGTGACCGCCCTCTGGACACCGACACACTACATCTCGCACCCGTCCTCGCTCACAGCCCGCACTCCCTACACCCGTGGCTACAACCTGTCCCGCATGTGCCTGGATCTCTTCTCAACCGCCTTCCTCGGCCGCATTATGTGGCGCTTCGGCGACCATAATCCCGCCAACTACACGCATCCCGAGCTTGTCGCTACCTGGTATTGTGCCGTGCCGTTTCTAGACCCTGGGGTGAGGGAGCTCTGGATTGACATCACGCCTGCGCCAGTGGACAAACGTGGACGTCCCCAGGCCCTGCTCGATGTTTTTGTCAGTGAGGAGTTTTCAGCGATGAGGTTCTTGAATGGGCATGTGAAGGATGTCACTTTGCTGATTACGCGGATTGACCGGCACTATGAGGGCCGTGTGCGGGTCAGATTAACGGGACGACTCAGTACGAAGAGTTTGGTTTTCGTAAAAGCTGTTAGATCACAGCTCGGCAGAGAATTGGAGTATGAGGGTACTTGGATATCGGCTGACGATGCGAGACGGGCAAGACTAGGTGCTGTGGTGGCGCAGGAGACGTTGTGTACGTTGACAAGAGCAGGAGGACGGTGTGCAGCACATACTTTGGCGTGGCTGAGCGGTGTGAGTTGGAGTATGAAGACGGGGATCATATACGTGAAGCTTGCGGAGAAAGGGCTAGGGTATGCGGTTATGCAAGAGTTAAAGAAGATGGGGCAGCTTCGAGCTCACATAGGAGGCACTAAAGAAGGTGTCTTGGTGTTGCCCCCAGCACACAGGTTGAGGAGGGCGTTCCAGCACCAAGTTGCTGCAGACCTAGGACTACAAACAGCCGAAGCCGATGGAAAAGATAGCAGATATGTCATCGCAAGGTGCTAGGAGTAGAATAGTCATGTAAGTTTGAGTAACGCGGTCTATACAGAGTTACGCATTTTCGCACATCGGCACTAACGTGGCCCTTGGCTGCTGTGGCCGAGCAACGCAGGTACCTACGTAAGTAATCAGCGAGCCCTACTACGAAGATTTATGTCTTAACAGTACATACTGACGCCACATGCGGCTTGGAGAACCAAGATCTCGCAGGTCGGCGTATATGTATCGCAACCATTAACCTGCAAGTAAGCCTGGACCTGCGTGTATGCACACGGGAACGTGTTCGCCCCAAGGAGTGCGTCTAGTTCCATTGCGCAAGTAGGGTATGCAAGTACTTATCACACAGACTGCTATCAGGTTGGACCCTGCATGCATAGGCTTTACGAATACGCCATCGTCGTAGGTACGTGCTAGCCCCAAGACTCCGTCAGAATCATCTTTCTGGACAGGAATTTTATAAGTAGACGAACTTCTCTACTACAAACTACATTCTTTTCTTCCAATTCTAAATAATGGCACCCTGATTCCTCTTCTCTATAGTTTGCCTGATCTTGTTGTTAACAACATCTACTGTTCCTGATAATGTTACCTGCAGATGCGTACGTTTTGCACAACGTTGCTGACCTTCACAGATACACTGACAGCATACGAATATTCTATTTAATCTATGCTGGCCGTCTCCTACCGTATGGGCATCTCTGAACGGGACATTAACGGGCCGCGTCCTCCCTACAACACTTCCCACCTTAGTTTGCCCGCAAAGTAGACCTTAACAACAAGCCTAACGGGTATAGATAAAGAGGTGCTGTAACATTAGGCTATAGTAGGAGAGAATCTGCACCTAGGCTTGCGTTGCATCTGTGCGATTTTAGGGCGGGGTTAGCGATAAGACACTTCCTACTTCCTACTGGCGACCGCACGCTAAGCTCGAATAGTGCATCACACCTTCCTCTAGGCCTAGCTCCCCTACCACTTCAGCTGCTGAAGTTTATTGTGGCTAAAGGCTCGACCTTCAGAAAGTAGTTTCCGAGGAACATGGCATCTTGATTAGCGCTGATGAATTCCTCAAGATGAGGAATGGAGGCGGGCGGGCAGGATAGGCGCATGCTTGTCCAGGATGCTATACTCGCGCCGATGTAATCAGTTCGTACCTGACAGTGCCTTCAGTAATGGTTCGCATTGTTCAAGCTTAAACAGGGACACGAGACAGGTATAGCAGCCGACTGTTCCTGCAGCCCAGTCGTCTGGGTCATCTAAAAGCTTGTGCTGGCATCGCACTTAGTAACATTCTTACGCTAATATAGCTGCATGGACTCGCGTTTAGAGGCGTTCAGAAGGCGTAATACCAAGATATTCATGCATGCGAAAGCTGAGTCGAAACCTCACCCGTCAAGGGTATAAAAGATCATGGTGCTGCAAGCTTTTCTTGACGACAGGCAGATCAACAGTTGTCTCTTGTAAACTTCGATCCAAGAATCTCAAATCCCAGCAACAATCATGAAGATCTCTCACATTGTCACCTTGCTATGCTCGGCAGCTACTGCCGTCTCAGCCGCCGCCATCCAAAAGCGACAGACGACACCTGCTGCCCCAGTCGAGCAATACAAGGCGCCGACATACGTACGGCCTAAGCACCCTTCAAAGCGCGTCCAAACGGCATTCGACGTCTTGGATGGCTTCAAGGAATGGACTGTTGAGGGCGTCACCCGCTGGAACGGTCCCGGTTTTCAACACCAGGTCCTGCCGCGTACGCTATCCCCATTCCCCTCGCACATCGCATTAGGCTAACATGGCTCCTAGTCTCGCGTGGCGCTGCCGTCAAGGACGCTGCCGCCTGGAAGACGTACTTCAAAAGCATCGAGCCCCTTTTCCGCGGCTTCACGCCCGTCATTAACGACCTCTACGAGGACGAGAAGAACAACGCGGTCGTCATCTGGGCGCGCTCTACTGCCAACACGCCAGTCGGCCTGTACGCCAACGAGTACATGCTTACGCTGTACATGACAAAGGACCAGAAGAAGGTGAAGACGTTCCTGGAGTTTGTTGATATTGGTGTTAGCCGCGACTTCTTTCCCAAGTTAAACGCTTGGGTTGCGGCGAACCCAAGCTTAAAGTGGTAGAAATAGGTTTTAAAATAGACACCTATTCTATAGCTTAGATAGACACGCATTAAGAGAATAGAAAGTAATACAGATAATACACATTCAATGAAGTATAAAGGTTACCTTGTTTTAGGCCTAATAGCTTATCTAGGAAGATAGGGTTAGAGTTAGGCAGATTCATCGACCATGATGTGAGCTTACTTTTCGCGGCGTTGCTTGACTTGCGAAATGTCGTCAAATCGACCGTAGAAGGCCTTTTGGATGGACAAAAGGGCTGATGCCTGCGTATCATAAACGATATCAATTTCATAATCGTGGCCTGCAATGCCATCCTTCTGTTTGTTGCATTAAGTCTTGAGACCCACGATGCAGTTCGAATCATGATGCATTTATGGTACTCCGCACTCCTCCCCCATATTATAGTAGTGACACTTGGCGGCATGGTACTCGGACCCATTGCTTAAGTCTGCGAGAAGATCAGGGATAAGCCACCAACCTCGCTTTAAGCAAAGACGTTTTCTTTTAGACGTAGATCCTTGCGAGTTACGCTGATGAAGCACCAATAAGACAAGCTGAAGGACTACTTCTACGTTCCAACGGGAATAATGCAAGAGCAAGCGCAAGATATTTGGCGTCGCGTAATGCTGGCTCTGGAGAGAGTAGACTATTTGCATCGCGCGCTTTGCAACTAGCCCCCTTCTTTTTGGGTGGCAATGGTGACATTCCGCAACGATGGCATGCTGCTTCTGCATGGCGCATTAAGAGAAGAGTTCAACACACCAAATCTGTAAGCTGAACACCTTCTGCACTCCTACCGTAAACCTGAGTTAGCTAGATCCTTCTTTCATGAGAATTGAACTCGGCCTATGATGGACGACGCGACCCCTCTTGACGGTTGGGACTATCACGAGTACATCAAGTTCGCACCAAGAGCAAGCAACGCTATCATAGGAAGCTTCTTCTTCTTCTTGAGAGATACTCTTCCAGGTTTCTGCAAGCGTATTGAGGACATTGATATCTATTTTTAACTGTTCAACGTTAATGTTTGGGAACTCCTACGCTGCCTTAGCATAGAGAGATCTTTCGATTGCATTGAGGTAGCTATGTGTATATCTTACCTTGCTAGAGACTGTGTGCTGACAACTAACCTAGGTTTTAAACGTCTGCGATCGTGGATACGTTGGATTTGAAAGAGTCCTTTCTACGTTCGGCCCGCTGCTTACATCAAAAGCCGTCAGCCTACACGCGACACTTCTTATGCTCTTTTTGAACGCTGTCGGTGAAGTGCATGAGCAGCATGATTGCCGAGAGTCTCGACGTCTCATGCAGCAATTTATCCCCCATACGCCTCCGTTGATCTCAGCAGCGAGCCAAAGAGATAGCACGCGGAAGCGTAAGCAGCATAGGCGAAAATTCGGCATCGGGCGAAATCATGCAATAATGCTTTTCTATTAACGCTTCGCCACTTCGTTCTTACGCTTACTCACCTGCTTGCTACGGATTGGGATTTCAAACCCTGGTATTCCATACAGTACGAACAACGTCGCTCGAGATGCTTCTAGCAGTACACGACTAACCATAGTTTTTCTACTCCTAGACGCCGACACTGACAGTTCAGCGCGTTATTTGCTATGATATAGCCAGCTCCGTTAGAAGCACTCACTAGAAGCTTTTACTAGGAACGCTTGTTAGTATTAAGTAGTGCGAGACTTGCCGTGACTTCATCCACTGCGCACCTGAACCCTAGGTGTTCTGTCTGCCACCCCCTCAAGCCTTGGTCTTCGCATCAGTGCCAACGTTCCTGTTCCTCGAGATTCTCACATCCAGCCCGACGAGGATGAAGATGGTGCTACTCGTCCGCTGTCCCCTCTCGCACAGCTCCCAGAAGACGACGTCGAGGCTGCTAGAGTCATCAGCCAACTTAAGGAAAGCGACAAACAACACACAACAGATCGTGATGCGTACGAGGGGCGTATTCAACAAAAGATGAGCGAAACAGATACAAGGACCGCAGAGATTCTGCTAGAGATGCAATCTAGTATTCTGCAGTCACATGTAAGCGCATATAAAACTCCAGAGCAGTTAGGGAACGTACAAAGATTAGCAAACTTAGACAGTGAGTCGCTGAAGAGTGCAGCAAGTCTGAACTAGGCTGCGGGCTATATTTGCAATAGCTCTGTTATTTGAGAGAACGCGGCCCGCCATTGAAGTATCCGCATAATCGCGCAGCCCTTGTTTCAAATACAGAGTTTCAATGAGGCTGTGGTCTAATGAACTGAGACATTCAACTAGTTCAGGTAAGGCAATCGCGAGGAGTCAAAAGAGATCAGGAGACGGCTTCCCAACCACGCAAGGTTGCTGTCCTCTTCTAGCCCATGTTTGTAAGACTATTCAGGTTTCTTGTCTACTCAATTTATACATCGCTATGTCTTACACCGTTATACCCCTGCGTCTCTCCACTCTTCCCATGTACTGACTCCCTCACATAGTCTTCTTCGATTGTCATGTCCACGGTCTTTGTAATACCTTCCACACCCAATATCGATTCCTCGCTCGTATTGCGCGTACCCCCTACTGGTACATTGATAGCCCTATTGCCCCCATTGAATGTGTAGAGCTCCATTTGTCCGTTCGAATGTGTTCTAGCTGCGCGACTAAACATCTTGCTGTTTTGGCCGCCAGGTGCGTAAGAAGCTGGGTAGCCTGGGCCAGAGCGGTCGTGCGAGGACGAAGTAAAGGCTTTGTTGAGGAGAGGGCGGAGGGCGGGTGCTGAAGCGGATATTATAGCAGCGTTTATCTCGATTTGGGAAAGAAGGAGGATGAATATGTCGTCGTAGGGTGGGTCGTCTGTTACAGCGTATACCCAAAGGGCGTAGAGACGGACAATGGATGCGATAACAGCTACACTTCCGACCATGAAGACACCGAGGAGTGCAATGCGCTTTGTTCGTTGGAGTTTTAGCTGTCCAAAAGCTCGCATTGGCAGGGCTAGGATGAAGAGATCTGTGAGGATGTTGACAGAGGCCATCGCGAAATACGTCCTAGGAAGGTCGTTGCATCCTTTGGGAAAGGTAGGGACCCATGCTCTCCATGGCTCTTTCGCACCGCATTCGAAAGCCTGGATCAGTCAGCTTCGAGCTCGGGGAATGCTGGGGTTTCGCGTATGACATACGTTGACAAAAGTGACTACAATGGTCTGAACAGTGACGAATATACTAACGGCGTATACAGCGTAGCGAAAATTTGTTTGTGTGAAGATCCGGTAGTAGAGTGCCAGTATGCTAGCTTTGACGAAGAGCAACGCCCAAGGGTAAACTAGCTGATATGCATACCAGTGCTTGAACGTAGGGACCATAATAATTGAATGATCTAAATCGACATTGTGTCGCCTTCGTCTCCCGTCAGTTGCCGTCAGTTTTTCTACTACGGGTATACATACCCAGTTCCCCAGCTGACAAGAAAACCATTCTGAATACCGAGTGAGATAGCAATCACCCAAGCACATATCATGAACTTGTCGTCTAATCCTACATATCGTATGATAGTGAGGCGACAGTGCAGCCTAGCAGATAGTGAGCAAGTCTTGCGGCGAGTAAGTAAATCAAGGTTCCGAAAGATCGTACCTTAGCGCTACAGCGATTGTCGAGAACAATAGGAGAACTCCAGTGACGATCAGAAACATAGGCTGTCGCGAACCATTGTCCCAGGTGATACCATAGCCACGCGTGCCGCTTGTCATACTGTAGGAATACACTCACATTCAAATCACGGGACTCACAAAGAGGTCATGGCAACCTCTGGGCTATGAATAATTCTTGCTCCTCCTTGTAGCTTGACCCTCCGCGCCGCATAATATCATGATCCAGCACTTTGGGCAGCTTCATCTTGTGAATCCTTCGTATTATTATCCGGCCGTGTGTCCAACAGGACCGCAAATGCGTGAGTAAAGTCTCCTGGGGACGGCTGGCATCTCCGAGCCATCATTGGATAAGCAACGCCAGCTAAACGCTGAGGAAGGGCGAAGGATTCGCGCGTTCGTTGCAGTCATCCTGGTTGGAGTTGGTGCGGCTCTTTGTTTTGGACGGTCTACTACCTATAGTTTCCCTCAGTTATCGCCTGGACGGCTCGACAACTTCCCCGTTCCCCAGCCGAGCCGGTACCCGGACGAACAAAGTGAGCTCTTAGACTCGATCTTCCGCGTGAAGATAGGAGGAACTTCTTCAAAGTCTTGAGCGGTTAGTCGTATGTGCGTTAGCGCATCACCATACTATAGGATGCTGAAAATCGGAGTATCGCTTCGCGGTCGAAGAACGCCATTTGGTAGGTCGACAGCTCCGCAATAAAGGAACGCTCCAGGGTCCACCGCGCCATGATCCCGCAGGAGCTATGTGCCGTGTTTGCCTCTCCTCGCCTATTTGCCACAGTTGACCCTGTGTTTTCCCGTCACCTCGGGTGACAAAAATACCGCACACCCAAACTACCTCCTCCACGTAAGCCCACAACAATAGCATAAATAGAAATTCTAAAAAAGGGATTTATAGAGAAAACGATTCTCTACAAGATCATGTTTTCGCAGGCTCTGGAATCTTGTTTGTGTTGAGTAAGATAACCTGGAAGATCGCGTTGGGTGGTGGTGTTCCTGAACTTTTGCTAGGGCTTTGACAATAGGGTGTGCGGCTTTTATTGGCACCCAAGTACCCGTTAATCGCTGGTTTAGAACGTTAGACACGGCCCAAAAACCAGCAGGATCTTAGCGCGAAAGCGGGTCAACCTGTCCCGTAAGCTCTTCCGTCCCCGCGACAAAAATCTTGCAGCCTCACCTTCTGCATTGCCGCCAACAAGAGCGGCGCAGGGGAGTTTGATTTCGGCCGATCAGATTTCAAGGTTATTGCGACGCGTTATTCAAGATGAATGAAGCAAGCACACACGAGAGGTAACATTTACATGCCATGCTCTAGGATCTCGGGCAATCCATTCGTAGCCATGCGAGTAATCCTACAGGAATCTGTAGACCGGCCCACCGGGCGCAATCATCTGAAATCATCCTATCCTTTAATCACCAGCCCATGCGAAAATTGTGCAGGCTATTGCTACAGAGATCAATACGCTTTTGGTCATATCATCACCGTAACACAGCAGAATACGCAGGTAAGTACTCGCAGGCCAATCACTGTTGCATGTGCGCCACATAGAAGCCATGGCTCATGACCAAAATCGCCGGTAAGCGTGCGCCTACCGGAATATGCACATCGAAGCGCTTCGCACGCGTTGCATTCTCCGAACTCAATCCTCCAGACCCAGGGCACCTCGAAAGACCATGCAGCTGTGCCACACAACCGCATCTCTCCTGAATCGCCATGCATACAAGCTTTTTCCAGACCCGGATCTCGCCCCAAATACTACGGCAAGTGGTCCAATGCCCCGTTCTTGCCTTCAGCACTTATTTCCTTTCGTTACTCATGCCTTCGTGGCTCGGACTTCAGTTGCATGGTCATCCTTCGATGAGGCTCAGACGGGTAAAGTGGGTATGATAAGGCCTGCAGTGAGGCACAAATAAAGCTTGATGCCCTCAACACTCACAGTCACCAGCCAGGGACAATACGCTTTCGCCTTCAATCAATCCGAAACACAAAGCTGCCAATCTCAACCTCAGCCGCCAAAATGGTCAACCTTTCCATTCTCGTTTCTTCGCTCTACTTGGCTTCGTCAGCAGTAGCCGCGGCTCTCCCTGCCTCTGCTCCAAAGACGTGCAAGAACCCCATTGTACGAAAAGAATGGTAAGTCAATCACACCAATGAATCATCTCGGACTCTGCTGACCATTGTACTTCTGCAGGAAGCAACTCTCTATTCCCCAGAAGAGGGCGTATATCGATGCAGTACTCTGCCTAGCATCAAAGCCAGCCATCTCTGGCATCGAGGGAGCCATAAACCGTTTCGACGACTTCCAAGCCGTACACAGTAGCCAAACTCCCGACATCCACTGGGTCGGTCACTTCACTCTCTGGCACCGCTATTTCATCTATACCTATGAAAAGGCTCTTAGGCAAGAGTGCGGTTACACTGGTGCTCAACCCTACTGGAATTGGTCTCTAGATGCTGAACCTCAGAATCCCACCTCAACACGCATCTTTGACTCTGAGATCTGGCAAGCAGACACTGGATTCGGTGGCAACGGTAACAAGGTTGAACCCACTAATGAGACAAACCCCTTCGGCATCGTTGGCGGAACAGGAGGTGGTTGCGTACAGAATGGACCTTTCACAGCCGACAAGTTCTCAGTCAACTTCCCCACTCCCCACTGTCTCAAGCGCGATTTTGTCCCCACTCTGATCAATGTCTGGGCCGACCAGAAGCTCGTCAACAACGTCCTCGCCCAGAAGGACTACACTGGCTTTGCCAGGGCCGTTGAAGGCGAGGCTAGCTTCGCCGTTCCCAACATCCACGGAAGCGGTCACTTCGGTGTTGGAGGTGCTCTCGGACAGGCTGGTGATGCGAACAACAGCCCCGGCGAGCCGGTATTCTACCTCCACCATGGCAACATCGACCACATCTTCTGGATGTGGCAACAGAAGGATCTCAAAATCCGCTTGCACCAGGTTGGTGGCCCAACAATTCCTTTCAACTACAGTGGTAAAAATGTCACAATTGACTTTGAAGTTGGCCTTGGTAAGCTTGCGCCTACTGTTCAGCTTAGAGATTTGTTAGATACTCAGGGAAGCACTCTATGCTACACCTACTAGAGAGGTGCATATATCTTATATCTATATTAAAATACTCTAATATTTATATATATATCTCTATCTTTCTTTCTAGTAAAGATTTTATTAAGTAAAGCTAGTTATACTAGATATAGCTTACTCTTATACTTATAGCTCTTAGCTACTATTATAATAGGCTACAGCAGAGTCTACCTGTTACTTGCCGTATTGCTTCTACACCGCAGCCTAAAGTCTACTTCTAATACGCACATGTGCTGGCTGGCGACATGACGCTACAGCGTTTAGGTAGATTGAGAGCAAAACCTCTCGGTGCATTATATCGCGCACCTGTACATGCCATCAACGCTGGGCTTACCTGATGACGGCCGAAATCAGAGGCAGCAGTCTCGCTAGCTGCATGCTCGCAATTGTGATCAAATAGACTGCTGAAATCGACACAGGCCTGCGAGCCCAGCCCTTAGCACTCAGCGCGCACCCTCAACGCCTCTACATAGCGACCGCGATTCTCTGCGCTGGGCTCACAGATGTACGAGCAAACATCTTGCTCTAACAGCTTACACAGCGCCGCTGCCGCTTGCTAAGCTAGCAGGTGCAGCGCATGACTATGGACTGTTTCGCTTGCCGTGATCCTCTTTGCTAAAAGGAGCGTCTAGTCCCTGCGCGCTGATCAGCCGTTCCACTAACAAGGGTGACCCGCTAGTTAGTGTTGTAGGCCTCTTGGTTTGCCCTTTGGGTAAATGTGTCTTGCGTCTCTACTTCAACTGGCATCTCAAAGTTTCCGCCCTTGTTAAAGATGGAAGGGAAGCTCTGCGCTGTACATAGCTACTCATTGACGAAGAACCACAGCGAACCACCCAGCAGCACGCTGTACGTAGTCCCAAAACATCAATTACTGCGTGAAATCTTACAGATCACGTATCCGCTCACACTATATCAACTACCTCGCATCACAGCAAGACCACACCGCTCAGCCCAAAGGAAAAGAACACAGCCACCAAACCGTCCGCAGCCCCATCAATCTTCAAGACCAGCAACCGCTCCGTTTCAAAACGCGATATCAGCTTAGATGCGCGTTGCGTTGCGTTGCGCCGTCTAGTCTCGGCGCGTTGCTCTCAAATTCGACGTTCGAATGCGAAGAGGGATTTCCAGAACAGAGCCTGCTGATGCCGAAACGCGGGGTTCATGCGGATGAGGACAGCTTCTGGCTGGCCCAAGGGTACGCGCCGATGAAGATGCTGCCAGTGTGCGATCGCAGTTGCGAGACGTGTGGAACGTGGTATGTCTGCCAGCCGGCTGATTCTCCTGCACGCCTGCCGTACAGGCTTCCCGCGCATTCCCTCCGCCACGAGTCTGACCAGCCCCCAGACGCTGCGGCAGTGCGCAGTGCTGGCCTCGTCGCTGTGCTGCCCCGGCTCGCCAGTGAGGGACATGTGGAAACGACGCCGCCGCCGCGAGAGCGCCCGGAGCACCGGGTCACCGGGGTGTTGGAGCGTGGCGATGTTGTTTGTGTGCTTTGGCGGGAAGAAGCTGCACGCCATCGAGAATCTGGGTCGCTATCGAAGCTGATTCGAGAGAAGAACCAGAAATGTGACAGTATCTCGCCAACATTGACAGTCAATGCCCTTAATTGCTTACCAATGGCGCAGAGATGATAGCGCATTTACTAGGGTTAGTGCGCAGCTAGGTTGCTAAGCTTTAGGCTGCCTATAAGGCCGCCACATGCTATAAATCTGTTACGATCTACCTTTTGTAGCCAACCAGCTGCTGACACTTAATGAGTGCTGACACGCTTGGCGCGATATTACATGGGCTCTCCTATGTGGCGCAGTTTTATTACAAGTTATGTGACAAGCTTACTCCTTAGTAGTTAAGCCAAAGTGGGTCTTATATAGAGCTTACGCAGCTTATATTAAGCTTAGTAAGCCTAGCTTATAAAGCTTATGTTAAGCTTGGTAAGCTACTATACTTGCTATAGTATATAGCCAGTAGGAACACAACCCTTATAGTTTGTGTTTAACCTAAGTATTAATCTATAATATTAGATCTTAACCTAACCTTTAAGCTAGACAGTCTACTCTATACTACTTATTATTACTCCTTACCCTTAAGATAGATAGATTATATCTATACTCCTTAGTGCAAGACCCCTTTAGTTTCTCTAATAGTATTTATCCCTAAGAACTAATTAAATAGTGCTTATAAGCTTTGCTTAAAGTATAACCTTAATATTTTAAACACCCTTAAGATATCTACTACCTTAGGAAACTAAGCTACCCCTAGCTTATTAAATAATATAGATATAACTAATAATAGTGCTGCCTATATAGGTAATATTATAGTTAATAAACCTAACCTCTACTATAGTAAATATAGCAAGCTTAACAATTAGCTTATATAATAGAACCTATTCTTTATATTCTAAGGCAAGCATATTAAAGAGAAGAAAAGGGTTGTGCTTGCTAGTAGTTATATATATAGTGTAGCATTTAAATAGATTAAGCCCTTTATATAATAGTATAACTTAGGTAATACTCTAAACAAAGTAGATAACTAGATAAAGGACTTTAATACTTTTAAATTATAAATTAAACCTATATTTAGTATATTTAATAAAGTCTCCAGTACTAGATATAATATCTAATATATTAAACAAACTAAGTTAGCTACTAACTATACTATAGAGTTTTAGTAACTTGCTATATATACTAACTAGAACAACACTATACTCTTAACTATGTTTAGATAAGAACTTAAGCTAAAGATTAAAGAAGAGCTAATATATACTAGTGCTAGTACTAATACCTTTATTAAACTAGTTAACACTATAATTAATATTAACGTGAGTGCATAGCGAGTGACGCAGTCAAGCGAGTGACGCACCCCAACAAACCATTGGGCCTTCCTACCTTCAAACCTCAATGGACCAACCACCTGACCTGGAATCGCTCCTAAAAGAAGACAGAATCAAGCTTGCACTTCAAGCAATTAAGAAACCTCAAGAGCTAAGCGTGCGACGCGCTGCTACAGTGTACAGGGTCTCTGAGGCAACCCTCCGCCGCCGACGCGCTGGGACGCAGTCAACACGCGATACCCACCCTAAATCAGCGAATCTTCAGAGGACAGAGCAGAGGACACTTGTGCAGTATATTAGGAAGCTGGATTCCCAAGGATTTGCCCCAACGCTCTATTGTGTTGAAGATATGGCTAATCAACTGCGCGCTGCACGCGGCGCAAAGCCTGTTGGCCCACGATGGGCTTCAAACTTCGTCAAACGCGAACCTGGACTAAAATCGCATATGACTCGACAGAGAGATCGCCAGAGAGTCTTGTGCAGCGATCCAGGGGTCATTGGGCCCTGGTTTGACCTGGTTCAGAATGTTAAGGCCAAGTACAGCATCCTGGATGAAGATACCTACAACTTTGATGAGACTGGCTTTACTATAGGCATTGGAAACTGCGTCAAAGTAGTCACTGCATCAGAGAGACGTACTGAGCCCATTGGGTTGCAACAGGGAGACCGTGAGTGGGTAACTTTCATTGCTGCGATCAACGCGATAGGCTGGGCAATCGCGCCCTACCTTATCTTCAAAGCAAAGAACCATGACGCGTCCTGGTACCCTGATTTAAGGCCCCAATGGCGCATTGGGGTCAGCGACAACGGCTGGACTACAAACGATATTGGTGTAGCCTGGTTAAGGCACTTCATTGAGCAGATTAAGGGCCGGAGGGTGGGTAGCCATGTGCTGCTGATAATTGACGGCCACGAAAGCCACAAGTCGCTTGCATTCCAGGATCTTTGCAAGGAGAACAAGATAATTACTCTGTGTATGCCTCCACACTCGTCGCACATCCTGCAGCCGCTTGATGTGGGCTGTTTTGCCCCCTTAAAGCGGGAGTATAGTAAAGAGATCAGAGTCTTGGCAACAGACCACATTGGCCGAATTGACAAGAAGGCCTTCATTGCAACGTTTGCAAAGGTTTTTGAGAAGGCGTTCTCAAAGGCAAACATCACATCAAGCTTTAAGGCAACTGGCTTAGTGCCTAATGACCCATTGGTGGTGCTATCAAAGCTTGATGTCAAGCTTCGGGCGCCAACACCACCTCTACCAGGGGGGGCCCAATGGAACCCCAAGACACCCACCAACGCCAACGAGATAGAGTCTCAATCAACGCTGCTTCGCGATCGTATTCAAAAGCACCAAGGATCATCACCAACTCCAATGGTGGAGATTGTTAATCAGCTGCAGAGAGGCACTGCAATGCTACTACATGGGCAGACGTTATTGGCAGCCCGAGTGCTGCAGCTTGAAGCATCGAACAAGGCTGCTTCTGAGCGCAAATCACGTAAAAGAAAGCGGATTCAGAAGGGTGGAGACCTCTCAAAGGAACAGGCAGAGGATTTGATAGCCCAACGCGACGTTGAGGCGCAGGTAGAGGGGGAAACGCGTGAGGGTAGGGCCCGAACAGGTGCAGGCAAGCAGGGCAAAAGGCACTGCAAGCGCTGCGGTGAGACAGGGCACAACTTGCGCACGTGTAAAAAAGATGTAGTAGACGTTAGCGATTAAGGATATATCTTGTTAGCTACATTATAATGTTGTGGTGTTGAGTAATTGCACGTAGAAGGCCCAATGGTTTGTTGGGGTGCGTCACTCGCTTGACTGCGTCACTCGCTATACACTCACGTTAATATTAAACTATATAAGCTATAGTTAGAATTATAAGATAACCTCTATATAAGGGTTACTAATTCTATACTATAGGCCTTTAGGAACTAATAAAAGAATAATATCTAACAGAGACAGCATAGAGAACACTACTAGTCTAATATATTATAATAAGTCTATACTAGAACTAATATAGGTTACTATAGTACTAAAGCTATAGACCTTTCTAATATTAACAAAGGACCTAAATAGTAGAATATAAAGAATAAGGGTAGTTCTAGAACTAGCAAGCCTCTAGTAACTTACTATAGCTATAGCAGACTAGGCTACTTTATAAGAGACTATTATAGCAAGAAT